TGTTTCCCCACTGTAGTCCATTAGTCCATAGGGGAAAATACAAGAGAACCACAAGAATATGCCCCAAGCAACTAAAGCAATAAGAGAGAGAATTTCTTCATTTAGGGGATTATATATTCCCAAAGGTGGTCACGTCTGCAGTGGTCATTCCCATCCTGGCCAACCACCTCTGCCCCCAGGTGTGATTGACAGGCATTTGTCTATGTGACCCCAAGTTTACTGGGTATGGGTTTATCTTCTCTTTGTTGGATTTCTTCCCCGAGTGTTTTCCAGGCCAGCATTCCCGGGGGGGGGGGGGGTGTGTGTGTGTGAAACTGCAGCCTCCTGTGAAGCTGCCCGAATGACAAGCCTATAATGTCTGACTTTCCCTTTGCTTCTTTTCTATTGTTAATAATTAGCTAATTCTAATGGTATCACCATCAGAATCATTTTACGTAGTTATCCCTTTATCCTTGACACACTTTTTTCATTTAGTTTCCTGGTTTTCTTGCTGCTCCTCTGGCTCTGCCTTTCCAGTCTTTCCACAGATGTTGATTCCATGCAAAGCAGTGTTCTAGGTATTTGTGATACACCCCTAAGCAAGATAGGCAAAATCCCTACCCCTATGCAACTTAACTTCTAGTGGGGGGATGAAGAGCAGAAGTAATAGACATAATAAGCAAATGTTAGATTCGAAACTAAAAGGAAAGGAGGTAGTAAGTGGTGTTGCATTTTTAAGTGGGGTAGTCGGTGAAACCTCACTGAAAGAGGACATCTCACAGGTAAGCACATTCCCACCTCAAAGCCTGTGCCCTTGCCATCATTCTGGAATGTTCTCTCCCCTTGACTTGACACATTTCCCACTGATATTCCCATTGTGTGCTTCTTTGTTTCCTCTGGGACTTTATTGGAAGGTCAACTTTTAGTCAACACTTTCTTGTCCACCTCTTTGAAATGACAGCTCTCTTTCCCCCTTCGTCTTAACTGCTATTTTAACTATTTATCTTTATTGCTTGATTTCTTATACTCTTCTGTCAGCTCCATAAGGGTAAGATCATTGCGTGTTTATTTTTTCTCCTGTATCTTCAGCTCCTAAAAATTGTTTTAAAAATATCCAGGCTTCCAAATTTTCAATTGGGTCAGTGTTGCTCATTTATGTTTTCTACGAATTAGTCCACTTGACTAAGTTTTCAAAATTATTGTCATAAAATTGTTCAAAACAGCCTCTTCTGTTTTCTGGCAAGCTTCTCTCTGCCTGTAGGCGAGCCCCTCTTTCTGCTCCATATTGTTTCTTTGCACCTTCTCACTCTCCTTAATTTCACTTTTGATGTTGTTGATTTTCTCGGTCATATCCAAACCGGCTTTACCCATCCACTTTCTTACCGGAGGAATAATATAATCACTTTTCTAATGGCATTACACTGGCTGCTGTTTGAGTATAGGTGGGTTAGGGGTGGAGGGAAGGAGCTAATGAATCCGTTCTGATAATCCAGGTCAAGTTGCTAGAACCAGGATGGTAGTTGTAGAGATGGTGAGAAATGGTCATATTCTGAGTATATTTTGAGGTCAGAGCAAAGATAGTTTCCAGCACTAGGTATTGATTGTGATGGAAGGGGAGTCAGATATGACACTGTGATTTTTGGACTGAGCCACTGGAAAATGGAGTTTTCCTCAATTATGATGGAGAAATGATGAAACAGGTTTGGGAGATTAGAAGGCCAGACGTTCAATGTGAGGCCTTGTACATTATGAGCCTTTTTCTCAATGAAGTGGACATAGGGAATGGGCCGCAGGAGACAAGAAATGGGAATTCAGAACAGGGGTACGGACTGAAGATAAATATTTGGAATCATTAGCCTGTGGAGGGATGTTTAAAGCCCCGAGACTAGAGAAATTAAATAAGGAACTATACACAGAGAAAGAAAAGAATAAAAAACTTAGCTCTGAGGGAATCTAATATTAAGAGATCAAAGAGATTAACCTGTCGAAGCACGTGAGAAAGAGCTCTCTGTAGGTAGGAGGGAATCCAGCCGCGGTGCTGTCTTCAACGCCGAAGGAAGCAGTGTATCAAGGTTCAGGTACTTTCAGTAGAACGGCTCCAGCTATCCTTTTATGAGGCAGTTCAATCCACTTCACCCCTCTGTTCAAAACGCCCCACTGGTTTCCATCTACTAGAAAAACAAATGAACAAAAAACAAAAACCCTCCAAACATTCTTACAAAGGCTCATGAGGCACCCAGACCTCCAGTCCTTTTTCACCTGTTGCCTCCCTCACCCCCCACCTGCTGTCCCAGCTGTTCCTTTAGCTCCATCTCCGTCCCCGGAGAGGTATGTCGTTCACTCCCTCGACTCTGTGTATTTGTCAGTTTCTCCCTGTAGTTCGGTAAGTTTTTGTTTTGTATAATTTGAGGCTCACTAGATATCTTCAAGTTCTGAATGAGTATATCTAGCAAACGGCAAGTTTCATCACTAAGTAGTAAATAACGTATAATGATTTCTGTAATGGAACCTATTTTGTCTGATAGTAATATACTGATAGCAGCTTCCTTTCATGTGTATTTGCCTGGCATGTTGTTTTCCATTCTATTAATTTTAACCTATCCATGCTGTTAATGTTTAGGTGTATCTCTTATAAGAAGCCATTTGTTTGTGTGATCTGACAGTCTCTGACTTTTAACTAGTGACTTTATATTCTATTGCCATTTATTTGTAATTAATTGACACACTTGAATTTGTTTCTACCATCCGACTCCTTGCTTTCTATTTGCTCTGCTTCAGGAAAACTACCTTCTTGCTGTTTATAAGTTGACTGAAGAGTTTTCGTTTGCTCATTTGCTTGCCTGTTTTTCCTGTTCCGTGTTTTTTTCTCTACTGGTTTGAGAGTTATAAACTATAGCTGTGCAGTGTGATTGCCCTGGAAATTAGGCCATAGATTCTTAACAAAATTGAAAGTTAATCAATATCTTGACCTCCTCTTAATCAATGTAAGGAATTACGAACGCCTTACCTAGATCAGTCTCTTCCTAACTTACAAGCTGTTGTCAGGTATTAAATTACTTAGAGCTTTCTAACACTCTAAATTTGTTGTTTCCACTGATTCTCACCCATGGTGGCTTGTTTCCTGTGCGTGTGGCTGCTTTCCTCCTGCTGTATTTATATCTGCCAGCAACCAGGCCCACAGCAGTGTCTGTGAGGGTTCTGGCTGAATGCAGGAGTCTCGGTTTCAGAGTTCGCACCTTATTCAAATTCCAAGACCAAATCTCCTGCAGCAACGGTACAGATTTTGCTAAGTACGACCAGCTTCTTCCGTTTGTTTGTGGTCACAGGTCTGTGATCCAGTTCAGGGTCATCGTGTACTGAGAGTAGGAGACCTAAAAGATTTATTTTCCCACCTGTGAACTCACCCGTGATTGAAAGGCATATGCTGTGCTCAGCATCTGGCTGCTCTATCATGAGGCGGCCTTTCGGAGGACCAGTGACATCACGGCAGCTATAGTTCTTTTGTCATATGTTTGAAAATATGTTGGTTTGTTTTGACATCTTATCAAGGTATTTTCGATGAACTAGATACTTAAAACTACAATAAGGAAAACTTCTTAGAAGGCAGCGGAATATTTGGATATTCCAATATAGTCACAGACCCCCACCCATACATCAACACAGAGTCACACACAGCACATCAGAGTTGGGTGTGTGGTAGCTCGAAGTTTGCCCCGAAGTCACTTGGGGGTGTCTCAGCCAAGCTCATTTGTTTAATAGAAAGGAGGTGGAAAGTGACTAAAATACAGCACTAGCTGCTCTAAGACACTCCTCTGTCCTCTTAATCAGTGTGGTTGTACGTAGGGCCCTCTTTCTGAGCAAGAGTATCTGTGCAGTTACCTACAGATTCAAAGTAGGTCAAAGGGTTGTTGTAGCAAAATAAATCAGGATAGAAACTTTGCCCCTAGCTTTTTCTAAAATGTAAAAATTAATGCCTCTCCTGCCCCAAATTAATTTTACTTATGTGAACAAATGCCTATGACTTTAACATTTTAATTCAGAACATGAGAGTCTTCAAGGTTTTCCCTTCCATCAAGTGTTGCTCATATGGCTTTAGGCTCTTTTTTGCTTCTTTTCTCCAGTTAATCCATTAAATCCTGGTGCAAAAGAAATAATATTCATCTAACTATACATTCTTGTGGGCTAATGTGTCTTATTTTTCAGGGAGTGACAAACTGTTGAATATTTATTCTGCTATTTAGAAATAAACTAGGCTCTAGAAAGTATGGCATGAAGTTTTTACCTCTGTCTTTCCTTGCAATTGGCTGGGAATTGTGAAATGTGTGTAAATCTGTATATAAATAAGTCTGCTGACAGTGAAAACAAATCATTAAAATTCAAATTAATCTAAATAAATTATTCAAATTATGGGATTTATACAATCTGCAAAGAATATTTATAACATAGCACGTGATATCCACGGGAAGTTCCCTGTACATGTCTGAAATCTTCTAACTATAACAGTTTCTTCATAATATATTGTAACATAATCAACTTACTTTAGATGGCAATACCACTTTAGGATTGCTTGTGTGCATTCAAGGTAAAATAACAAGAGTCTAATATTTTTACCATGAAAGGGTTAAATTAGTTGTGCTTGGTTTTAAGCTTTTAAAAACCAACATATCTAAATTTTAAGGGAGGAGAAAAATGCCAGCCAGTCATTGCTTATGGCAATAAGTACACTTTACTTTGGACCATGTACCTTTAAAATGTGTGAATGCATTGCTGTGCAAGTGGCATGTACGCTTAAAAGATGCTGTACGTGTTGGGTGCAGCTCTGGCCCCAGGCCTCTGGACAAGCACAGGCTCCGGTACAAGGGAAAAGCCTGTGATAGGCACCACGTTGCACGTGGACGTAGCAGCAGCAAATTGTTGAACACATTGACTCATCAGTGCAGGCTGAAAATTATGCTTCTTAGCCTCCTGTGAACATGTTGCCTCATTTAAAAAAAAAATTTTTTTTTTAAACTGTATCTTAGGATCTGCTTCAAAACACGGATGCCCACAAAAGAGCCTTCCATGAAATCTACCGGACCAGGTCTGTCAACGGGATCCCAGTGCCACCTGACCAATTAGAGGACATGGCCGAGAGGTAAGGGGATGTCTTGCATGAAGTCTCTTTTTAAAATGCTCAGTGAATGCTTTTTCCATTTCTTTTTTTTTTTAATGCATTTAAATATTTTCTTACAGAAATGCTTACATCTGGTACCATAAAATTGGGCTCCCATAACATATGCTTAAGAATGCCGACATTCTAATACATTAATTGAAAAGAGTAAACCTGGATGAATTCAGAGCCTGAAATCACAGAAATGGTTTCTTCAGAGGCTGTATTTTTATTCAGCGCTGTGAGGAACATTATGTAATATTGCAAGAACAGTTTATAAAAGAAACAGATGAGAAATGTTGGCAGGGGAAAAAAGCTAAACCAAAGATTCCAATCACTCATGATTTGCCTTGAAACCCAGAACCAGGAAAGGAATCAGATCTCCAGGCAGTGATTAATCAAGCCAGAGTTTCAAAAACCTTGTGCCTGCATTATATTCAACACTGACTGTAACAGGTTAAGTAAGCACTGTTCTGTTACTATTAGTTACATTCTGTGATTCCCGGTGTTTTATTTCTAGGTTTCATTTTGTTTCCTCCACATCAGAACTCCACTTAATGAAAATGGAATTTCTAGAATTAAAGTACCGTCTGCTCTCACTGCTGGTTCTTGCAGAGTCGAAACTGAAGTCTTGGATCATCAAGTATGGGAGGAGAGAGTCGGTGGAACTGCTGCTGCAAACCTACATCGTAAGTCTCCCGGTGCTTTGCCAGAGAAGTCAGGGACCCGGGATCTAGCATTGAATACCTACCAACGCATCTGACACTGTTAATATAATCTTGAATTTAAACAGCAAAGGTCCAGTATGTTAAATGGGTTCAGAATCAGTTCGTGGGATGTTCACAATAACCTGAAATATACACCTATATTCTTCGGAAATGGAAAAGCTTTTGCTGCATTAATCATATTGAACCATTGTGACTGACTTCATTGCTTAGAAAACTTAGTGCATTGCATGCCCCTAACTTTGATTGTGAGCTCACCATTGAAACAGAGTGAAAATACTTCAAGATTACTTTCATGTCTTCTAAAATCCAATCTTTGAGGATAGTTCTCAATTGTTCTAAACTATTTTTTAGATTAGATCCAGCATATCGTTTTTTATGGTTATTCCCTAAGCATTTTGGGGGTTCTTGTGTGCACCCAGAAAAAGTAAAATTGTGTCAGTAAATCTCTGTATAAATTTGATTTTTAAAGGTTATCTCATATTTTGGGTTATCAGTAAAGATTCTCTCATACTTTGGGCTATTTACATAGAATAGTAGTGCTGTATTAATGAAGGAATTAGGTTGTTCTGTAACTAGGCATTTCCATTTACATATAATTAGAAATTTATAATTATTAAAGATAGCTTAATACTCTTAGTTAAGCATATACCCTCCCCCCAAATTATTAGCAATACAAATTTTTCTCACAAAATGAATGTTGATAGGGCATCTCAGTTCTGTATTGTTCCATTGATGTTTAATCACAAAATCTAAATGATCAATTAATAAATTTAAAATATAGGCCTATTTTTAACTTGACTAGTCACAGTGACTATAAGGGGTATGATTGATACTTGTTGAAACGATGTCTTTACTGAAGAAGCATCCCAGAACCATAATATATTTGCTATATTTTTATTTCATTTTCTGAGTGATAAATGAATCACATGCATTTGGGGAAAGAAAGCTTTACCAGGTTTATAGCAAAATCTTTCTTTTGATTTAATATTACTGTCTCAGAAAATTTTTGAAGTCTATTATATGTTCTTTTACTCATTTTAAATTATTTTGGAAAGTGAGGAAAAAGCCAACATTTTAAGTTCAAGAAATTTTATTAGACATATAACTATTAAATACAGATATGTGTTTATATTTTTGGGTTTAGTCATATCAAATGATACACTCTGAGCTCAGTAGGTAATCATTCAGGATCCCTCTTTGTTCTAGCTATTTAAGGACAGCCAATCAGATTAAAATGCCTAATGGGAATGTTGCACCAGGTTCATGTTCCAACACAATGATGTTAGTAATTCTCTTTGACCTTCTCAAGTAAAAGATTTGTGAGTGGAGCTTTGTTAGTAATGATTTAAAAAAAAAAAAAAAAAGCAATGCTTTCTGCCTAGTTCATAAAGTAAACAGAAGTTCACCAAACTGCTCATTTTAAGCTGCTTCCTAAGTCAAAGTTATTTGTAAGATTGTTAGTTACCCTACAAACATAGCAGGTTTCAATAACATGTCCTAATATTCTTATCTCCTGTGAAAAATACCTATTATCACTCAGACTTCTTTTCCAAAAAGAGTTCTAAGGGATTTTTTAAATAGTTTGAATAACTTTGGAAGATTCAGTATTTGTCACGTTTCGAGGGTTTTACACGTGTCGTCCTCCATCCGTGGGACGACCCTGTGGCTGGGCACTGTTTCCCTGAGGAGACAAAGACGGAATGCCTCAGTCACATGCTCCAGGTGGCTCAGCTGCTAAGGCCGCGGAGTGAGATTCAAATCCACCTCTTTCCGACGCAAAAGCCCTTGTGCTTAAGTAGTGAACTTTACTATCTAACAAAACCTGCTGTGGAAAAAAGAATGTTCTAACTTAAAAGACCGAATCATTCAAATGATGTCTTGTAGCTTAGAGAACCACACAGATACTAGTCCCATCTAATGTTGGTCCATATTGACAGTATTTTACACTTTCGTGCTGTAGCCTGATAGTTTCTATTCTCTCTCTTGCAGGCAGCATGGATTTGGGGCAGGGTGAGGTCAGTCACACAGAAATGTGTTGAATCATGGCTCAGCTACTTATTACCCATGTGGCTTTATAAATAGCATAATTCCTAGAAGACTCACTCTTCCCCAAATGTATAATAATAATTATAGGAATTTCTAAGGAGCAAAGACTGACACATACAGTTTTCCTTCTACTTCACACCCCATAGAGCCTCGTCCTGTTGGAGTTTGTGGGAAAATCACTGTCTTTCGAACAGACTATTTCAGAGAGCAGGAAGACTTTCAGATCAAATTACAAATCAGGTTCTTAAATGCAATCCTTTCCTTGGGTTCTAAAAAAATGTATTATACTGAGCCATATGCTGCTACATCGTCTAATAACCAAAATAATATTCAGGATGTAAAAGTTCCATAATTATCTTTGCCTTAGTCTGAATTTTCAATTCTATCCTTTTAAAAATGTTGTTTTTCAATTACGTTGGACATTGAGTATTATTTTATATTAGTTTCAGGTGTCTAGCATAATAGTTAGACAACCATGTACTTACAGAGGGGTCCACCCAATATTTTAAGTACCCACGTGGTACCACGTAGTTATTATAATATTATTGACTATTCCCTATGCTGAACTTTACATCACTGTGACTATTTTGTAACTGACAACCTATACTTCTTAATCCCTTCACCTTTTTCACCCAGTCTCTCAACCCCCCTCCCCTCTGGCAACCATCACTTTCTATGAGTCTGTTTGTGTTTTGTTTGTTTGTTTTCTTTTAAGTTATGGAAGCAACCCAAGTGCTCATCAATAGACAAGTGAATAAAAGAAAGTTGTGGTACATATATACAATGGAATATTACTCAGCCATAACAAAGAATTAACTCTTACCATGTGCAACAACATGGATGGATTTAAAGGGTATTATTATGCTAAGTGAAATAAGTCAGATAGAGAAAGACAAATACCATATGATTTCACTTATATGCAGAATCTAAAGAACAATAAACAAACAAACAAAACAAAAACAGATTCAATTCAATCTTACTGATCTGAAAAAATAGGTAGTGTTAGAAAATTAGAGAATGTGCTTTCTGTAACTTCTTGTACAAGGTGTTTGGTATGCAGTCGATCAGTACTTAAGAAATTCTTGGAAAATATTTTACAATGCTTGTTGATTCATTGAGGCCACCTGCTACTGATAAGAGATTACATACTGTAATGGAAATCAGAAAATGATTGCTTTGTTTCTTGCTGTCAAAATTGTTCTTGATATGACCATGTTCGTTAACACATGCTTCAATTTTACCGTGGAAGAAATAGGATAACATTTCATTCTTTCACATAAAATCAAAGAAGAACTCTTAGAATTGTGGCTTATGTGAATGCAACATAGGTAATATAAACATTTATTTATTGTTTGCAATTATTTTACTAATATACATAGGCAGTTCTGATAAAACCACTCCTCAAAGTTGGTTTTTGAAATCTTAAACTATCTGGTTTTGCTCCCTTTCAGTGAAATTGATGAGCTTTTTATTTATTATGTCTATATTTATCTTATGAAAGTAGAAATCCAGTCTCTTCCACTAAGATTTTGAATTTAGTGGCATAGAGAGGTATCTTGCTTTTCTTTAAATGTCTATTGACTAACACAGCTTATTTGTTCAACTTCATACCAAATGTAAACCTTATTTTGAAAGAAAGAAACAAATCCTGTTACTACTATTTTAAACATATATTTGTGTTTACTTTTACTATCTTTGGAGAGATAGTCTCTACATAGCTCACAGTAAAAAGGAGATTTAGCAGTCTTCCCACTAAAGTGATTCTAAAAGACAAAATTATTCATGTTACTATGTGGATTTACTAAATACTCAGAAGAAAAAGAATCAAATAAATGAAACAACTAAAAATTAAAATAAAAAATATGGTATTGTCCTTTAAAAATTTGTTCAGTTTTCCTCATGGAAAAGCTCAAAAAATGTTAATGAGACTCTACGATATTTATTTATTTTTTAAATTATTTTTATTAATTTGTTTTTGCTACAGATGTTTCTCCTTTTTTTCCCATTGACACCCTCCTTCCCTTCCCCCTCACCCTTTCCCCAGCTTTGTTGTCTGTGTCCATTGATTATGCATACATGCATATAAGTTCTGTGGTTTATCTCTCCCTCCCCCCCCCATCATTCCCTCTTTTGGGGTTTGTCAGTCTGTATCCTACCTCTGTGTCTCTGGGTCACTTTTGTTCATCAGTGTTTAGTTCATTGTAGTCCACAAATAAATGAGATCATGTGATATTTGTCTTTCTCTGCTTGGCTTGTTTCACTTAGCATGATACTCTCCAGGTCCCTCCATGTCATCTCAAATGATAAAAGGAAACCCACCATATGGGAGACAATAATTGCCAATGATGCATCAGATAAGGGATTAATTTCTAAAATATATAGAGTACTCATACAACTCAACAAAAAGGAAGATAAAGAACCCAATTAACGAATGGGCAGAGGACCTAAATAGACATCTCTCCAAACAGAACATACAAATGGCCAAGAGACATATGAAAAAATGCCCAACGTCACTAATCATCAGAGAGATGCTAATTAAAACAACTATGAGGTATCACTTCACACCTGCCAGAATGGCCACCATCAATAAGTCATCAAACAACAAGTGTTGGCGAGGGTGTGGAGAAAAGGGGATTCTAGTACACTGCTGGTGGAAATGCAGACTGGTGCAGCCACTATGGAAAGCACTATGGTGTTACCTCAAAAAGTTAAAAATTGAACTGCCATTTAACCCAGTTATCCCACTTCTAAGAATATACCCTAAGAAGCCTGAAACACCAATCAGAAAGAATATATGTACCCTCATGTTCGTAGCAGCACTATTTACAATAGCTAAGATCTGGAAACAACCCAAATGTTTATCAGTAGATGAGTGGATAAAAAAGCTGTGGTACATGTATACAATGGAGTACTATGCAGCTGTAAGAAAGATCTCTTATCATTTGAAACTCTACAATATTTATAATATTATTAAAACATCCGCTGTTTCCCCTTGGACCAGAAATAAAACTGGAAATAAAATTTTCTCTCTTCTTCTTTGATAATTCATTTGTGAGCCATTCTAACAAAAGCATAATTAAGTCTTTCTGTCCAGTAGAGGCACGATCTCTCATTTCTTTGACACTTAGAACAACTGTTTTCCGTTAGCTTCTTGAAATTTTTGCCCAAACTAAAGGCTGTTTTTAAAACTTTTCCAGAGATATTTATCTTTTAAATTTTTTACAGTGCCTTGAAAACTGGGTGTAATTTTCCATTTTGTATCAAATCATAATTTGTTTGTTTGGTTAAATTACTCAAAATTTAGATTACAGTAAATTACTTTTGTTCCAGTTGGGGGGCAGGGAGAGGTTAAAGGAGTAGCTCATTCGGCTAAATAACAAGTCAACCAGACTATCGTGGACTTACTTTAGTCTCACAGACAAAATATGAAGCCTATTCAAATTATTGAACAAAGTATTCATCATGGCACCCCCTCATTCTAAGAAACTCACAGCTTTCTTTCTTCACTGTTACCCCGAAGAATAGTTCATATATAAGTAAATGCTTTATATACATCAAATTATATAAAATGTATTATATATGTAATTTTTATGTTATAGTGAAATGTTTATCAATAAAATCTAGGGACATCTATGAAATTGCTGCACAAGTAGTTTTTCATCTCCATATTAAGCATTATTCAGCCTATTGAGGACTTCAGCTGGATTTTGAAGGCTAATTTCACATTTTATAATAATGTTGCTATCAAGTAGTTTAGTGAGTCTAGATCATAAGAACCAATTATGCTATTAAAAGAAATTAAAGATTTCTTTTGGGTGCTATGTTGTTAACTCTAATTACATGAAGTTTCTACTTTAGAGAAGTAGGAACAATCTTTGAAACAGGAACTTTTTCATATTTGTTGGAGTTAATGATACTAAAACTTACCTCAAGATCTGTTGTGTGTTCTCAATTTTATAGTATCCATTTGCTGATAGCAACTCTATTTTATATGTAAATTACATATGGATATAGACAGGCCTTATCTGTAATTTTCATACTAGGAAATATAAATTGGAGACCGTGGATAACAAGGGTGGAATGTGAGATTATTTAACATTTTTCTACTTGTAAATATTTTTGTACTTACTTTTTACTTTAAGGAAAGTGTGCAATGTGCTATTTATTTATAATCTGAAGTTCCTGAGAGCCATCATTCACCAGAATTACTGTTCAATGAGCAACAGAATTTCACTGCTACAACCCAGTGGGACACTTGAAAATGTTCTTCTAAATTTAGTGCTTTCTAAATGTTAGCCCCAGGTTCTCTGGAGAAACTTCTAAAAACAAACCCTTGGGTAGAAAGGAAACAGAACATTTTCTCAATCTAGGGATGAGTTAGAATTCAAAGTGTGGAAATAATTTATATTTTCAGAATAATTAAGTTATTTATGACAGTTGAATTAATTTGATATTTTTAGAAAGAGCGAGGTTGGTAAATTTGGGTAGCATATTCACATACTGAAGAAAGTTGGCTTTGTCATTTCTACCTAAGCCAGTATTTGTAATCTTCTAACCATTCTGCCTTTTCTAGTCTTTTATAGAAAATAGCAAGTTCTTTGAACAATATGAAGTGACGTACCAGATCCTGAAACAGACAGCTGAGATGTACGTCAAAGCTGACGGTTCAGGTAAAACTCATAGAATTTGTTTCAGTGTGGAATACAGTAAAATTTAGAACCTACAGATTTCTATATGATCAAGCCATTTTTTTTCTCTCTCTCTTTCTGGAATTATTGTGTGACCATACCATTGGCCTGGAGAGTACATATTGGATTCAGTCCCACTGACTTTGTGTAATGCTTAACCTGAATAATCATACTTCTGTGTGTGTGTGTGTGTGTGTGTGTGTGTGCACATCTGTGTATGATCTAAGAGAGGACAAAATACACATTCATTTTCTAAATTGCAATTTTCCAACCTATTTTCAATCCTGAGGATTCAAAACAAAAAAAAATGGACTAACTTGAATATTTACTAGCGTAAATGAAAACTTAAATTTGTGTAAGGACCTATGTTGTAAAATATGCTTGTTTCAATTTGTAAGTGTCTGTCATATTTGCTGAAAATGAACTATAGCATTTGTGACTGATACTATATGTGTGTCTATTTGAGAGTATATAAAATGTGAATAAATGCATATGTCATTTATTGCATCCCATTTATCAGTAATTTTAAATATATGATCATCTTTAATCTTTATTAATGCCTGTGAATAAGATATATATTCTCAGCAGCAACTGAATGAAATTCTAACATTGTATCTGTTAAATTTATTATCTGAAGAATTATAAATGTGCACTAAGATAATAGACCCTAAATAAAAGGTATGGTGGATTTAAAATATAAGACAAAGATTGCAATGTATTTTATCTATGTCAGTGGAAGAAGCTGAGAATGTGATGAGATTCATGAATGAAACCACGGCCCAGTGGAGGAACCTGTCGGTGGAAGTCAGGAGCGTGCGCAGTATGCTGGAGGAAGTCATCGCTAACTGGGATCGTTACGGCAGCACGGTGGCCAGTCTTCAGGCCTGGCTAGAGGATGCTGAAAAAATGCTAAATCAATCTGAACATGCCAAAAAGGTGAGATTGCGTCTTACGGGAGGAAAGGCGTGTATATAAATTAAAAAATAAGTGACTTTTACAGCATAGTTCTCTAAGGAGTGTTCTATATTTACAACTTTGAGTCAAGAATCCTGACTTCGCCTGAAAAGTTGCACTTTCAGGTTGGTAAATTATTTTGTACTAAGATATACACCGCTTTGTGAAATGAGTGGAACAGTCCCCTGTCTGATCAGCTCAGGGTTTGATTTTGCATTCAGAAGAGCAGTAACTGATGGAGGGACAGCCAAACCCAATGGGCAGCAGAGGGCGCTGTACTCACAAGGTCTGTACTTGAAAGGGTATGTCCAGGGCACCAGCCCAGTGGATTTCCTAATTTAAGATGCAAACAGCTTTGGTTAGACATAGTACTGAATCTGTGTGATGTCATACGCCAGTTACAGAGATGGGGCACCGAATTTTTGTCTCTTTGGATATTCTTTCTTGAATTGTATTAACCCTCAGTCAAGGGTCTCATTCTCAGTAGGATTGATTTCCCCCCTCCATTTACAGGTGTATATTTGCATATATAAAAGTTACTGTTTTATTTTAATGCTCTTTACATTTAAAAAATAACATGAACTGGACTGATTTCTATATATACAGGTGTTGGCAAGAATAGATTTACATTTGTAAGTACACAAAGCAAAGTTAATTCTTGTATCATTGATTTATTAATTACTGTATTATTTGTTTTATCTGTCTTATTATTATTGTTTTTGTTTCATATCCTTATTTATGATTTTTCCTTTAGGTAATTATGGCTGTAATTTAAAACTACTTTTGCCCACCCCTGTATATACTTCTTAATGGGAGCTTGACATTTCCCACAGAAAATCAATTTATATGTAAAAAACATTAAAATACCAGACTCCATTAAGAAATATCATCCATACATTAGAATTAGTGCTAGCCATCCAAGATTGTTTCAACTATTATTGTGTAATAAAAATAGATGTATAATTTTTTAAATCTCTTATCGTTTTATATTTCCTTTAAGTTAAATATTCTTGTGTAGCTGATGGTGACAAAAACTATATAGCCATACAGATTTTTGGCTTTTCTGATTAGACTGCAGTGCCCAAGGAGATGCCACACATGTTAATTTTATCCAAGGAAACATAACCGCCTGAAACAGAAGTGTTCTCATCTATTTATGGAGGAAGAACTCCCACACATAGCTTATGAAATGGATTTTGAATTATCTTTTGTTATCCCTGCTTTCACTGTGGTGTGCGTGCATGTGCGTATGTGTGTGTGTGTGTGTGTTTGTGTGTATACATTTGCACATATTCATTAACGTGAAATCAGGTAGAAACTGCTTCATTGCCAACTGTGTAGCCTTAAACAAATGAGAGAGGATGTTTATTAAGTTTTTCTGGCCCAGATATTTAATTTTTATATTTTTCTTTGATGATTTATCTCCATGATTAGTAATTACCTCGATGATATACTGTATTTAGATTTTAAAACCATAAGCAACAGGTCAAAAGTTTGTTTGCAATGTTTTTGAGGAGGCTATGTATTTTCCTACACTAGTTTCTCTTTTATATGACTCTAGCACTCACATTTAAAAAAAAATTTTCTTTATTGATTTTAGAGAGAGAAGAAGGGAGAGAGAGAGAGAGAAACATCAATGAGAGAGAACATTGATTGGCCGCCTCCTGCATGCCCCCCACTGGGGATTTGGCCCACAACCTGGGCATGTGCCCTGACCGGCAATTGAACCATCGACCTTTTGGTGCATGGGTTGATGCTCAACCACTGAGCCACACTGGCCATGCTCTAGCACTAATATTTACTTGCCTGAAGACAATGTACAACTCCTTTATGCTCACAGAAATTCAGCTTTTCATCTGTAAAACAGGAATAACAGAAAATGGTCATGTTTTGTTTCATCTTCAGCAAATGATATAGCATAGATGTTCTTATAAAAATACGCTCAACAGCCCTGGCCGGTTTCGCTCAGCGGTTAGAGCGTCGGCCTGCGGTCCGGAGAGACCCGGGTTCGGTTCCCGCTAAGGGCATGTACCTCGGTTGCAGTTTGTCCCCGGCCCTGGTTGGGTCGTGTGGGTGGCAACCACTCGATGTGTCGCTTTCACGTCGATGTTTCTCTCTCTCTCTCTCCCTCTCACTCTATCTGAACCAAATATCAAAAAATGTCCTCAAGTGAGGATAAAAAAAAAAAAAAATGCGCTCAACATTTCAAGTCCATACTTTTGAAATTCAAAATTTGCATTTTGAGAGTTAGGATTTACCTTAAATTTGTACAAATTTTTGAACAAAGTTATTTCTCTTAGTTTGGTTCTTATCACATTCTTTATTACATTTGGTTTACGATTTACAATAATATGCATTGTTTATTGTCTAGGACTTTTTCCGAAATTTGCCTCATTGGATACAGCAACACACTGCCATGAACGATGCTGGCAATTTTCTAATTGAAACGTGTGATGAGGTGGTTTCCCGTGATCTTAAACAGCAATTATTATTGCTAAACGGGCGATGGAGGGAGTTGTTTATGGAAGTCAAGCAGGTACGTCTTTCCAACCTACACACGCTGGAACATGTATGTGTTATAAATGTTGCGATAAAGAGTCCGTTTAGAGACCATTTTGTTATTATAACATGGGCTTCTTCAAGCAGAGTCCAGATGAGTTTAGAACTGTTATATTCACATTTGGTCCTTCATTCTTTTCCCTGAATAATGGAGGAACATTACAGAAATGTGTAGTTTAAGGATTATATTGCCATATGGGGCCTATGTATATGGAATGATTCATGTTTCAAATCATTATTCTTCACTTCTATGCTAGTTCCTGTTTTCCTTTCACGGTAGTTGGACTGCAAGTGTATCTAAAATAAGAGTCGGGAATCAGAGTCTTTCTTACCATATAGCGATTGCAAGGAGTACACAGGAGTGGAGGATACAGGCTTCCAGTCTTGGCTTAATGATGCTCAGGGTTGTGCATTGCCCGTGTCTTAACAGTATGCTCGAGCCGATGAGATGGACAGGATGAAGAAGGAATATGCAGACTGTGTCACCACCCTGTCTGATTTTGCAACTGAAGCCCAGAGGAAACTTTCTGAACCCTTAGAAGTCTCTTTTATTAATATGAAGTTATTCATTCAGGACTTGGAGGTGAGGGGGCTTTCTGGACCATGAAGTGAAAATCTCATTCTGTGGTGAAAATCAAGATCAGTAAAGTTGCTCAAATCATTGCAAAGTTCTGCCTATGCCTCTTTTGAAATGTGTGTGTATCCACATTTGTACCTTAAAAAAATTTTTAATTGCATTCAAATAAAAAAAAAGCTATATTTGAATTTTTTGAAGATATGTTTTGACCATGAAGTACCTGTAAAATAATTTTTTAATTTGGAGATTTTCCCCCTACAACCAAATTATAAAGCACTAGAAGAAAACAAGTGTCTATAGATGAAACCTCTACGTAAATGTCTCCAACAATAAAGGATTTACTAAATGAATTGTGCTATTTAAGTATTGTGAATACTCTGCAGCTCTCAAAATGAAGTAATGAAAGAATATTTAATGACATTAAAAACTTTTCCAATATGCTGAGAAAAGCATTATTATTATTATTTTTGATAAAAGTTAAAATTGGTTGTAAACACACACAGGAAACATTACATCATTACATTTATGATGTAATGATGAGTTGGTGGCTCTGTTTATCACTGTGACTTTAATTTAAATTTTCTTTATCCTAATTTATTTCTATTTATTCAATTTTCTGCAATGACAATGTGTGATTTTTTTAAGCAAATAAATGTAATTTTTAAAGTAAGAGGTATTATTCCAAATTATTAACATGTATTTACCTGATACAGTGTTTATAGACTACATTAACACATATGTTGAAAGTGTGAAGATTACTTTAGCATATGTCAACTTAAGAATTTCTGCTTACTTTTCTTTAAAAAAAAGCTTTTATTTAGCCATATAATATTACCAATATATATTAGTAATAAAGGAAAGTTATACCTGGAATCTCCAAATGTACACGTGCAGAATGTTGCACAGTGCATGTTGACTTTTGCCAAGCCTTCTGTGGAATCCTGAAATTAAAAGGCAATGTACCATGTGTTAATTTAGCTGTTTCAATGATTCATGCAGGATATTGAGCAGAGGATACCTGTGATGGATGCTCAATTCAAGATCATCACAAAGACAGCACACCTCATTACTAATGAGAGCTCCAAAGAAGAAGCTACTGAAATGTTTGCAACCATGGCTGGGCTCAAAGAGCAGCTGACAAAGGTGGGAAAATACTTTCATGCAGGATACCCTGTGCGGGACCAACTCTGCCTTCCGTTCACCCTACCCCTCCCCATCACCTGTGGCAAATCCTTTACTTGTTAACAAGCTTTTGTTTCTTATTGTGATTTTCATTTAGTAACTTTGTCATCTAGTAACTCTGTCATGAGTTTTAAAAATGAAACTCTGGCCTGGCCAGTGTGGCTCAGGGGATTGAGAGTCGTCCCATGGACTTCTCTGGTTCGATTCCGGCTCAGAGCACTTGCCTGGGTTGTGAGCTCGATCCCCAGTAGGGGGCGTACAGGAGGCATCCAGTGGATGTCTCTCTGTCACACATCAGTGTTTCTATCTCCCTCTCCCTTCTTCTCCCTCTAAAAAAGTCAATAAAAACATATTTTAAAAAATGAAACTCTGGGGCTGATACCAACTATTACCTCTGATAATTTAGAAGTATTGGTAGCTGTATTTTATTAGAAAGATAAGCCTCTTCAGGGGGAAAAGGGACCAATTAAATATGATGAAACAAAAGGGGAAGAAGTAGAGGGGAAGGGAGGAAGAGGGAGAGATCAGATATTTCAATGAGAAAGAACCCCAAAATACCCTTTTGTTGATAATTTATTTGATGTACCTTTCCTCTAAGAATACGTATGCTTTTTTCTGGTTGCATTACCATAAAGCAGTGGAAATTCTGCCTTCTACATCTCACAGAGCTCAGCATAGACTTAAAATATAAACTTATTTTATGCCACTTCTGTGCAGGGAACTCAATGAATGTCAAGTATGAGCCATACGCCTTTTTTATTCTATTAAGGGATTTTCCTTAAGAGCTTGGAAAGTTACACTGGGATTTTTTTTTTTTAAATGTATCTAAAGTTGAATTTTATGAAGACTGTATTGTTTGCAAAGTCCATTTAGATTGGGTAACTAATTCTGGGTAAAAGAAAGGAATGATTATATAAATGAATGGAAAAAATTTGTGATGAAGAATTGCAAAACAGAGGAAAAGAAAGCAGAAATATCTGTTAGCAAGGGGAGAAAAAGTAGTCAGTGAATAACCACATGAAGTCATCACTGAGCATTAATGAAAAGGGTGGATTACTGAGAATGAAGCTATTCAGGAAGTTCTAGAAGAATTGCCTGGTCCTGGATTCCAACCTAAAAATAACAAGAGAGACACTTGATGGCCCTCTTGATCTCCAGGAGCTGAGAGCTTAATTCTTCTTCTGAATGTAACAAGAATTATCATCACAAAAAAAAAAAAAAGAGAGAGAGAGAGAAAACTGAACTTGTCAAAATGGTTCATATGTTCGTTTTTAATCCTTTTTATTTTAACATTTGAGTTACGAGTATTTATAAAGACTGGGTTCAATCCAAGTCAATATTATCCGTTTGGGGACCTTCGAGTAGCTCTCGAGCCATGTCTTGGGTGCGCCCAGGCAGGGTTCATGACTGAGGGCCCCCCCCGAGAAAGCACACTGCATCTTTACACATACCCTCGTCATTATGCTGTCTTGACCGCTGCTTCTGATGTAGCGTCTTGGTAGGTTTTCTCCTGTGTTCTGGAAAGACTTGTAAAGTGCACTGGTCTTTATACATGTTAGCAGAGTCCCTTCGTTCTGTTCGGAAGAATGTCATCACCTCCTCATTGCAGCGGACCAGTAGCTTTCTTCTCATGAGTTTTCCTTCAGGTCACGTATCCAAGAACGTGAGAGCGTGAGAATATTTATGATTTAAGAAAAAAAGCAAAACAAAAAAAGAATGACCTCCTAACAAATGTGCCAATTCTTTTCCTTGGTTCCCTGAAGTTTGAATGACACTTTGGGAGTGACCCTAGGCAATATGAGGGAGGACAGGAAGTTCTAAGAGAATGTGTGGTCCTGGGTTCCAACCTGAAAGTAACAAGACAGACACCCGATGGCTCTCTTGATCTCCAGGAGCTGAGAGCTTCATCATGCAAATAAAAACAATACAGGTGTATAAAGACAACATTTTTAAGAAGGCAAGTGGCAGATAAGGGCTGGGCCAATTCGAACTAGGGAGATGTCCCCTAATGGGGGAACCTTTGTGAATACATTGGTATGTGACATGAGCACTGGGGACGAGGAGATGCCAGCTGGTGGGCACAGCAAACCGTGAAGATCGGGGGAGGTAGGACAGCACAGGGCCTGTCTGGAAAGAAGGGGTCAGGTCTGCAAGTATGTCCAGGGTTAAGGGTTCAAGTAGTAGAGTTCTTGACAGTTAAGTTGGAAGGCACAGGTTAGTAGACAATATAATTCACGGCTATCTTTTGTCAGATTCTGAGGCTGAGGCGAAGGTGGGTTGCCCAGTGTATGAAGAGCAGTGTGAGGCCATGGACTCACTAACCACATCTTTTATAGGGAAACTGCTACTGAGATGGGGGACTGAGCTTCATTTTCACAAGAAAACTCTGTGGCATGTGTTTATCTCATTGGTGCAGTGATATCGTTTTATATATAAATGCTTAGCAATACATAGGAACTATCATGAAATGAACAGATCTTTGGAGATTGTAAGCACACCACGACCGTGTCACTAAAGAAACTGTCCCTGAGAGCTGTGACCAGTGCCCTCGGCTGAATGGCTCTTAATGGAATTTTTGTCTTTGTATTTTTAAAGGTCAAAGAGCGTTACTCCCCACTCCTTTCTGAGTCTCAGCAGCTGTCAGTGCCGTTGGAGGAATTAGAAAAGCAGATGACGTTATTTTATGACTCACTCGGGAAAATCAGTGAAATTATCACAGTTCTTGAGCACGAGGCGCAATCTAGTGCTCTTTTTCAGCAAAAACATCAGGTAAGAAAAAGACCCTTTCAGGAGACAGTTATTTTGCAGCATGTATAATAAGATTCAGGTCATGCTTAAAGTGATAGAAATCCAGTTAAGACAGGAAACAGTTTTCTAGAATAGTACTGCCAACTCAAAACAAAAGTATGTCTTGTCCAAAGGAAAAAACCCTGTTCACAGATAAAATAAAAATTATATATATATGTATACACACACACACACACACATACACACACATGTGTGTATAATTTTATAGATAACTTTTACATTATATATAAGAGATAATATTTTTATATATAAATAGATAATTGCATTGAATTTCTATCCAGTGTTTCTAATCTGTGTCTTATGAGATCTCGTTGCCTCTAGGACAAGGTCTGTTTACACAGCCATACAATTCTGGAAATGTATTTGGAGTGATAATCGTTTTTACTTATCTCATTTTCAGTAAACAGAATAGTCTCCTACTGAGTGTCGCAGTTAATTGACTTAGTGGGTTTATTATAAATTAACTCATCCATCAGAGGAGGTGAAACTAACGAGCGAGAGGCCTGCGCTGTGCTAAGGGAATAGATTCATGGGAGGAGCCGGCGCCCAGCAGAAAGGGCAGAGAGTGTCTGAAGGGAGTCAGGCCGGGATCCAGACCTCAGGTCTGATATCACAAACCACAGAGCCTTGATTAGCTTTTATTTCCTCACCTTAAAATACCTAAATTGGAGCTTGTGTGAAGATTAAATGTGATATTCATTTAATATATATTCTCTAACTGGTAGCAATTATTATTGTTGTTGTTGATTGTTGATTATTGATTATAGAGAGATAATATTTATACCGCCAAACCTTATTCTAATGTGTTCTCATCCTATTGGATAAAGATTATTTTCCATTTTGAGTCATAGTGCCATTTCTTACATTCCCAAATTGCTATAAATTGCCATCAAAGAATCCTTCTACAATGAAAATATTTATATTTAATAATAATAACATTTCATAATATCTGTCTGTGTTACTCTTTTACCTCCTAAATATTCAAAAGGAGAAAGTATGTCCTTATTCGATTTTGCCAAAGCAAAACAAAAATTATGCTCTTAATATTTGAATCTTGATTATCAAACTAGTATCCAAATGAGCTGTCTGAAATATTTTTCCAAAGTAATTGAGGATGTTGGAATGCAAATGGTGTGGGTTCAAGTAAAAATTGCCTGTCTGCTGCCTGGCCAGTGTGGCTCAGTGGTTGAGCGTCAACCCACTCACTGAGAGGTCGCTGGTTGATTCCCAGTCAGGGCACATGCCCAGGCTGTGGGCCAAGTCCCCAGTGGGGGGTGTGCTGGAGGCGGCCAGTCAATGTTCTCTCTCATGGATGTTTCTATCTCTCTCTCCCTTTCCCCAACTCCCTCTCTCTAAAAAAAAGGGAAAAAATGTTTTCAATGCCTGTCTGCCTTGGTTGGGTGGATAACTCCCACACCGTCAGCTGCAGAAATTGCGACAGCAGGGTGCGAATCCGAGGTGGAAGGGCCAGGCCACCTTGCTCCTCGTCCTGCAGACGTGTGTCAGTTTTCTGCCCCCCGCCCCAAGCCCCTTGGTCTGCTGCCTCCTGTGCTCAGGATCCGGGGTCCACCATTTTGTCAGTGATGTTGATAGTTTATAATGGTGTAGACACAACTTACACAAATAATATATAATCTTTGTGTCTGACTCAGGAAAGTATAATGTACATTGGTGATAAATTTATTTAGTTAAATTAAAACCTGCTCAAGCCCTGGCTGGTTTGGTTCAGCAGTTAGAGCATTAGCCCTCAGACCAAAGGGTCACGGGTCCGAGTCCCAGTCGAGGCTATGTACTTGGATTGTAGATTTGATCCCTGGCCTGGTCGGGGTTGTGTGGGAGGCAACCAATCAATGTGTCTCTCTCACATCAATGTTTCTCTCTCTCCCTCCCTCCCTTCTATTCTCTCTAAAAAAAAATCAATGGAAAAATATCCTTGGGTAAGGATTAACAACAATAACCAAAAAAACCTGCTCTGAAAATTGATTTCATTATTGTTCTCTCAGCAAACCACAGGCCTATTGTTTGATTGGAGAAATGCATGCACCAGGCAAATAACAATTTCAATGCCCTGTCATTCTCTGGATGTTAATAAGATGGGCATAAAATAGTCTAAAAATCTCAATAAACCTTTAAAAGCCCCGACATCGGTGATTGCTTAAAATTCTGGGGGGGGGGGGGGGGGAAATGACAACAAAAAACCCTCTGTGGCTTTATTTTGTTTCTTGCTGGTTAAAAGCTGTATAATGCTGTTCTTCTTATTTTGGAATGCTTATTCTCTCTTTCTTTCTCACCCTTGTAAATTCTCTCGTCCTGTGCCTCCTTCCCTCCAGGAGCTGGCAGCCTGCCAAGAAAGCTGCACAAAAACCTTGGCACAAATCGAGAAAGGCAGTCAGAGTGTTCAGAAGACTGTGACCTTGAGCGCTGTGTTAGGGCACTTTGATCTGACCAAGTTGCAGAGACAGACAGCAGATGTTCACGTGGCCTTTCAGGTGAGCGCTCCCCCCTCGTCCATGGACCAGGCCCCGGACACGCAGCGGGGACGCACAGGGGCCGGGGACCCCACTGTCACTCTCCCTGCATGCCTCCGCGGCTGCTGTCAAAACCCACATTTTGCGTCTTCTTTCTCTCCTGTCAACATTCATTAATATTAAAAGGGGCTGATTATTCTCCTGACAATGCAGTGCATTCCTTCCAAGTGTCTTCCTTAAAGAAACAGTGTTTCTTAACAAAATGTGACTTTCAGTAATGAGAAAGCATCACACTGTGCTTGTTTTTATAACTCAAGAACATGGTCAAGACAACCGGAGATTGGAAGAAGCACGTGGAAACCAACAGCCGCCTGATGAAGAAGTTTGAGGAGTCCCGCGCGGAGCTGGAGAAGGTGCTGCAGATGGCCCGCGAGGGCCTGCAGGAAAAGGGGGACCCGGAGGACCTCCTGCCGAAGCACACTGTGAGTTCATCGCTTTCTTTACGGAGTCAAGGTTTCGGGATTTCCCACAGGCCTTCTAGAATATTCTCCCAAATTTGACAACTGCAAATATTTTTTTCCTAAAAATTAAAAATGACCATTTGGATTTAAATGGGGTGGCTTCTGATTCGTAAGTCTAGGTGGTTCTAGTTCATCCCTGAAAAAACAAAAACTGAAAGAAAAAGCAGTCGTGCGTAGGGTTTGAGAGGGCAGCGGTGGCTCAGAGGCCAGCTGAGAGGTGTGACGGCTTCGCTGGCCGGTGTCTGATGCTGCCCTTCACTCTGCCCAGCACTTTTTATATATATTTTTTCTTTATTGATTTTAGAGAGAGAGAAAGAGAGAGACAGAAACATCGATGAGAGAGAACATGGATTGGCCGCCTCCTGCACACCCCCCACTGGGGATCGGGCCCACAGCCTGGGCCTGTGCCCTGACCGGGAATTGAACCGGTGACCTCCTGGTGCAGGGGTGACGCTCAACCGCTGAGCCACGCAGGCCGGGTTCTGCCCAACACTCTTAACCGCCCGCCCCCTCCGTGCCAGGAGTTCTACAGTCAGCTGGATCAGAGGGTGCTCAACGCGTTCCTGAAGGCCTGCGACGAGCTCACGGACATCCTGCCGGAGCGGGAGCAGCGGGGGCTGCAGGACGCAGTGAGGGCGCTGCACAAGCAGTGGAAGGTGAGCGAGACCCGCGACCGGGGCACGGGTGATGGGCGGCAGCTCGGGGGCGCCGTTAGGTCTATTACTGAAATGTCGTTTAACATAATTTATGCATGTGCATGTTTGCTGTTCTCAAGGATTTTATGATCTAAAAATATAAATGAAAACATGTATTGGTTAAGGATTTAATGATGAACTAAACATAAGTCTTTTAGGGGAGATTCTTAGTTGCAAATAATAAAAGTATAATATATAATACGTCCAGGAAAGTAGGAGCAATGTGTTTAGGAAGGCTTTGAACGAGGGAGGAGGGCTCACTTGGAAACCAGACACAAGTGAGTCAAGTGATCAGTTCTAACTTGGCGCTTCAAGAAGCAGCAAAGGTCTGGCTGTGGGTGTGAGGGTGAAACAGTATCTCGTCTAGTAACTGACCCTAATAAGGTTTCCTTGCTTCCCCTCCATGTACTGGGTATAATGTCTGTCCTTCCTACTTCACAGGGTTGTTGACAAAATTAAAAGGGACACATGTCGGGAGAGGGTATTGGCATGGTATGTGATTTAAATCTAGATTCAAATCTACCTTTTTCTGCTTACCCCTAAGGCTCAATGGTCTAAGCTGGAAATAGGAGCATTCGTGCCGCTTGGGCCATTGTAAACGTGAAATAGAACAATGCCAGCCCACCCGCAGTAGGAAGGAAGGGTTCGCGGTGGTCCTAGTACTTGGAAAAGTACAAAGCACTGCAGCTGGGTGCAGACTCTATGGGTGCTATCAGTGGGCCCCAACAGGAATATTCTGTTTTTGTTACTTCTACTGGAAATGTACATGATCAATAATGGTATCATATTTTTCTGAATCTTCCTGTGTCCCGTAGGATCTCCAAGCAGAAGCCCCGTATCATTTGCTTCATCTGAAGATTGATGTGGAGAAGAAGAAATTTCTGGCCTGTGTAGAAGAATGCAGAACTGAGCTGGACCGAGAGACCAAGCTGTTACCCCAGGAAGGCAGTGAAGAGATCATCAAAGAGCACAGGGTACGTCATACACGCACCCCGAGCGCAGTCACGCAAAATCACACAGTCACGTAAAAGATATAACTGACACTTCGGTCTGGGTCTGGGAACTCGAAATAATTGCTTTACACTGACAGTCTAAATGGAACCTTCCTTTGGTTTTTCTATGAAAATATAAGAGTATTGTATGACTTCTCACAGGGATTGTCTGCATGTTTATTGCTCATTAGATTTTCTTCAGTGACAAAGGTCCTCATCATCTCTGTGAGAAAAGGTTGCAGCTCATTGAAGAGCTGTGTCTGAAACTCCCAGTCCGGGACCCCGTGAGGGACACCCCTGACGCCTGCCATGCGACCCTCAGGGAGCTCAGAGCGGCCATCCAGAGCACGGCTGAGCAGCTCAAGGACAACCCGGACAAGTGGCAGGACTACGCCAGCAGGTAGGCCGGGACTTGTTCCCACACAAGGACATGGTCTGTCTGAATCCTGTGAATTCAGAGACTATTGCAACACAAGACAGGACCTGTGTTTCAGCCTCTGCGATAAAGAAAATAAGATTGAATAATGTTACCTGTGTTCTGGTATAAAAACGCTTCATTAGCCCTGGCCGGTTTGGCTCAGCGGTTAGAGCGTCGGCCTGCGGTCCAGAGAGACCCGGGTTCAGTTCCCGCTAAGGGCACGTACCTCGGTTGCGGTTTGTCCCCGGCCCTGGTTGGTCATGTGGGTGGCAGCCACTTGATGTGTCCCTTCACATCGATGTTTCTCTCCTCTCTCTCTGTTCCTCTCTCTCCCTCCCACTCTACCTGAACAAAAAATGGAAAAATGTCCTCGGGTGAGGATAAAAAAACAAAAAAAAACAAAAAAAAAAACACGCTTCATTCAATAAAAAGAACGGGTTTCGATCAGAAATGAAGTACTTCACCTCCAGTGGCTCCGATGTGGTCTCTTGGAGGCAGAATTGGTTCATCTCTTTCTCTGGAATTGCCATATGTCCCCAAAGAGGGACTTCTGACTCTCTAGGGTTATGTCACACTCTGTTGGGGACCCGCAAAGCCAGAACTCACGCAGTATGGTCCTCACCCCCAGGGGCTCAGGCCCTGAGACAGACATCTCCTTCTTCAGCTGAGCTCTGGATGCTCTGCCGGGTCCTTCCTCCAAGTGACAGAGCACAGAGGTGGCCACGCCTGCCCTGAGCTGCATTCTTTCAAGGAACGGTTTCCAGAAAATTTGTTCACCTGTTTGCTAATCACTGGAGTGTTGCGTTTCCGTGAAGGGATGCAGACGAGAGAATGTATTCTGACCATCCTCGTGGGTTCGCCCTTTTGTGAGCTAACACAAAATTCTGTGTTATTTCAGAATTTCCGAGTTCTCATCTTGGATCACTGCAAAGGAGACACACCTGAAAGGGATTAAGAGCGAGGCCATTGATAGCGCCAACCATGGGGCGGTGACACAGGCAGTACAGGTGAGTCCCAGGACATTTTTTTGTTGCTAGAAAATATCCATTAATTTAAAAAAGTGATAGACCATCTAACTGATGTCTTTTTTTACTTTCTATAAGAAATGAAGTTCCTGAAAATTAACTTAAAAATCAGTGTCCTCCTGTTGCGTGAGGACCGTAGGGGTTTTTCTATGGGATCGCGGTCGGCTTTGAGGTCTAGTTGGCTGGTTGTGCCCTCAGTGCAGCTCCGGCTCACGGGGACGCCTGAGGGGGAAACCGCGTGCCTGGGTGCATACGAGAATTAAGCACCATCACGGAAAACAAACACTGTAGGTTTCTGTACAGTGCATTTCAGCCACTTAACAGCCAGGTCACAGAAAATGAGGGATTTGGGCAAAGCCTCTAAACATCTTTTCTACGCACAGTCAGCCTGGATTGGATCAGCCCCTGGAGCTTGGGGACAGCCGGATGACCCGACCGTGACAGGGCCTCGGGTCTAGACCAGTTCTCATTGTGAATGGCATCCAGCAATACTCTCCCTCCTCGCGTGGCTCTGTCATCACAGACACCTGCTCCTGCGAAAAGTCTTTACCTGTCAGCGTCTGCAACCCTTAGCAGTCACATAGTTGCCGTTAATGAGAATATTTTTTCTTTCTGTTTCTATCCTCTACATTTCATGCTTTATATTCAGATTATAATCCCCTTAAATGCTAGAGGTGCTCATAATGGCATGCTTTACCAATGAAGGCCATCTGTGCAGGGTAGGACACAAGTAGGTTCCCAGTTGTTCGGATGGAAAAAGACATGCAGGTGATGACTACCCCACTAGCTTTATTGACGCCGTGTTCCGTGTGCTCACAACTGTATACCTACTTTTGTGCCATGTTTAGTAGTGACTGTTACAGTACAAGAAAATTCTCATTGTTACGTGAAGAGATCACTTGCTTCTAGAACCAACTGTTGTCTGGCTGGCATGCATTTGCCCTGTAATACCCTGTGGAGCAAAACGTGTGGCTGGAGACCACTCTGCCCTTGCGCAACCGGAGCGGCTGGAGGAGAGCGAGGCTGCCAACTCGCCTTCCCCTGGCTCCCTGCCCTACCAGGGCTGAAGCCCCAGAGTCTTCCTGGCATTGTCTCGGCCAATAGACCTTCCCTTCCTGGATTAGACTTGCGATCCTGTTTGTGAATCTTACCTTCTGGGGTATTGACTCCTAAAAGCAAACAAAAACGAGGCATAAACTAGGACTTAATAAAGTTAAAATACATCTTTAGGTTATCTATAATAATATTCAACAAGTAAACTCTCCAATAAAAGAATCAGCTAACTAAAAAAAAAAGGATTCTTTTATTCATTTCTTTAAAAAATACCACATTCCTTCCAGCTCATAGAAGTAAGATAACAAAGTATATTATAATATTATAATTCCCAATTTTGCCAGTATATTCTTCTACAGTACTTTTAGAAGTGTCTTTGTTGCGATCCAGGGAATCTGTAAATATCTAACTGTGTAATTATGAAGGTAATTTTGTGCTATAGAGAGCACTGAGTTGATGCATAAGTACTGGCATTGGAGAAACATTTATTTCTCGCACTTGTAGACTTTTGTGAAAGATCTAGCAAGGTGGATAAGCAGGCACCCACCGGTGAATCAAGGGCAGGCATCCCCACCTGCACCTTGCATACCTTCTTAGGTGCAATCCTTTCTTGCTGGAAAGGCATGATTCACAGGTGTCTTTGGTTCATCAAACGTGTTCCTTCATTCCAGGAAATAAGAACTGGTGTTACCCAAAAAGGCGAGACTCTCAGCTGGCTGAAATCCAGGCTTAAGGTTTTGACCGAAGTTTCTTCTGAGAAAGAAGCCCAAAAGCAGGGAGACGAGCTGGCAAAATTATCTAGTTCCTTCAAGGCTCTTGTGACCTTGCTGTCAGAGGTACATCATTTACTCGCACTCTGGGTAGTTCTGGGTGAGGAACGCGGAAGGTCCTTTCTCTTTCGTTGTAGCTTAACAGGTAACTTTAGAAAGAAATCCTAGTTGAAATGGAATAGTTGATATTTACTTATATGAATGGTGGTGGGAAAGATGAGTAGGACGTTTGAATTATGGCCTGTGCCATTATTGGATGTGTTAGTTCAGATTAATGACCTGTAGGTAAACTACAAAGCTTATCAGATCCATACTTTTTTATTCTTAATAAAAGCATTGTTTCATGCTCAGTTTAGGTAGTCCCAGAGACATGGAAGTGGGGTACAGACTGGCAATCCCCAGAAGAGGGGTCGGGGGAGAGATAAACCACATAACTTATATGCATGTATGCATGACCAATGGACATGGACAACAAAGCTGGGGAGGGAGGGGGAGGAGGGTGTCAATGGGGGAAAAAGGATAAACATCTGTAACAAAATAAATAAAATAAAATAAAATAAAGGAACATCACAGAAGTTAAGGACTCAGGCTTGCTAGTCAAACAAACTCAAGAGTTAGAGTTTAACTCTGATCCCCCACTTCATATGTAACCTTGAACTTGTCATGAATCTTGAGCTTGTCATTTAAAATTTCTGGGACCTTGTTTTTCTTATTTGCAAAACAGTTAAAAATATGCCAAAAGGTGATGCCAAGAATTGGATGCACTAATGCATAGGAAGCACTTATTACAGTGCCTAGAACAGAGTAAATGCTCGTAGCTGATGCCCTGTAATAATAAAATGTTCAGTGTGTAGTCTACAGCCCAGTAAAATCTCTTTCAGGCAGGATCTACTCAATTAAACGTCTCAATATACATTCAATGTTTATGTTCCTCTATGGATTGGAATGCATAAACCTGTCTGTCCATTTCTCAGTGGGCCACTGCCTCTCTGCAAGAATGCGTCCACTGAGCAGGTGGTCGGACGGGTCTGGTGGGTCTGTGTGTGGAAGGGAACGTAAGAACGCAAAGTAGAATAGATAGTTACCAGTATTTCTTGAAATCATTAGTACACTTGCAAGAAATAATGATCACTGGAATGACTACAAAGTTGCTTGATGCTGCAGATCTGGAATTCTCTCCAGCAGTCTCAATTGTAACAGTTTGCCAGTTAACCTTTTACATTTTCAATCCATGCAGATCTGCTTAAGCCTCCAGTCGTGACTTTACATAAATCAAAAATACTCTGAACTGCTTGTGATTTTAATACTATGTGATCATGTATTTTGATATGTAACATGCAGTATTCTTAAAATTTCTGACAAATTGAAAACAGCGATAGGATTAATCAAATTTTGGAACTAAAGCGATGTCAACCCTTTGATGACCCATCTCTCACAGCAATAATCTAGTTTAGTTAGTTGCCACTATTGTAGTTTAAGTGAAATTCTTCTCTACTCTTCCTTTGGTCAAGAAGGTAAGAATAAAAGTAAAGATAACAATACAGAAAGCACATATATATGCAGGTGATCCTTGAGCCAAGATCTACCACATCGTTTTAGTCATATCAATAGATTAATTTACATTTTGTTACAAACAAACAACCACTTTGGCAGCCTTTAAATTTAGAAATTATTATACACCATAACATTTTATCAAGTAAAATTTTACTTGCTTTATCTTTCAAGCACCCTCATGACATTGCCCATGGGACCTGTAGCAACAATCTGCCTCTGACAAATGCAGACCTGAGTTCTTTGAACACTCATACGTATTCAACTTCTGTATAACTTACATTAATACTCTTTTTGTTACTTAAATGTAGTGAGAGCAAAAAGGGAGGAACGGAGAAAAATGAACATTCTGTTCACGTAAAGATTGATATAAAAAGGTAGATTTGACACATTCAGTCCTTCCTTTGATTATAATCTATTTAGTGTTTAAATTAATGTTGAACACAAAGTTCGCAGTCGTCCAGGGTAAGGAGAAAAGGCTGTGGGTGACACTATGGAATGAAGAGTCACTTCTCGCAGCAGAGCCGAGACCTACTGAGACCTGGAGTGTGTGGTTTTCGGGGGGTTTCCTTCTGGTTGCTGGAGAACAGCATGTTCCACGTTACCTGGGACAGAGCAGAACAGGGTCGAAGGGAAAAAAAACATCATAAGAGGAAACACTGGAAGGTTTCTGAGGAAGACAAATGATAATGCAATGTTAACATGGTTATGTAGTTGAAGATGAAGAGGAATAGACTTTGAAAACAAAAGATGCTGGTAAACTAAAACAGAGAAGGCAGAAATTAGGCAGAAGGCAAAGCTGAAAACTGAGTAAAATGACAGGGAAAAGACTCCACTAAAGAATCACAAAATTAGAAAATATATTGGTGTTTTGTGTAGAAATATCAAAAGTGCATTTTCAACAAATGCTTCTGTATTCCTCTTTTTCCTCTATGCAGTTGTTTTCCTTATTTTAAATAGGATAAACTCAACTTTCCTACGTCACACTTTTTTTATAATTATATTTTAGTCATAAGATTGTAATTAACGGGATCCAGGCAGCAATATATACAGTTTTATTATCCTGCCTTGATTTCAAGGTCAAGTTGGTTTTTTTATTTTTTATTTAGAGAGGAAGGGAGAGAGAGATCGAAACATCGATGTGAGAGAGAAGCCTCGATCAGCTGCCTCCTGCACGCCCCCCACTGGGGATCGAGCCCACAGCCAGGACCTCTCAGATCATGGGACGAAGGCGGAGGGGGTTTTAACATGGTATACAGCACCATGTCGAATGAGGCTTGCAACTCTTACAAGTGACTATGCAGCTTAATAATAAATAAAGAAGCCTTAAAATATATTTTAAAAAATAGAGGTTAGGGATCTGTGTATATATTTCAAGTTGCTGAGAAAGACTTTACACATATTCATATGTAACATTACATGAGCAAATGATTTACAGTTGTTTTCATGAAAACCCAGGTTGAAAAGATGTTAAGCAATTTTGGGGACTGTGTCCAGTACAAAGAAATTGTCAAGAGTTCCCTTGAAGAGTTAATTTCCGGTTCCGAAGAAGTCCAGGAGCAAGCTGAGAAGATCTTGGACACTGAGAACCTGTTTGAGGCACAGCAACTGCTTCTCCATCACCAGGTAGATCGCCTCTGTCCCCAGTGCATTTGTGCAAAGTTCATTAGTTGATCACTGATAGAACCAGAGAGAGAAACAGTATATCCACTGGGTGAGGGCAAAGGAAAGGGGGTTGCAGGAAGGAACCCAGCTGAATGGTGAAAAGCACCTAGCACTTCTGCTCTGTGTTAAATATTAAATATTTCAAAGAACCTGCAGGAGAATTTCTCAGCCTGAGGGATTTGACGGCATCACAAAGTTCAAACAACGCGGTGAACGGAAAGTTGGTTTAGCGACGACAGCCTTCACGACACTTGCACATGGTCTCTTTCAAAACAGAGAACGGAAGCCTGGAAATATTTGCTTCCTAGTCTAGATCAAGATTCTTTTGTCATTATGTAAAAAAATCTCACTTTTCAATTTATAATTTTGAATATATCTTAGTTTGGGATGATACAACTTACACGGAGTACCAGACCTTCAGGAGACCTTCAGGATAGGGTTAGAACCGGGAGTACAGCGATTCTGGGACATACATTGATAACAAGCAATTTTAATCAACTTCACTTGTCCAACTCAATGTCAGTGGAAGTCTAATTCAAATAAATATTCTAATGACAAAATTCTAGCTAACTTAATGTGTAGCAAATGCTAATCATGTGCATAATATATAAAAACGGAAGTCGTACTAAAAGTATATGTAAAAGGGTACATAAAATGGCAGCTTCTAGGGTTTATAGGTACAGTTAATACCTATGAAAAGACTGTGAGCACAAAAACGTTAATGCTTGGTGTTACGTTGTTCTCAATGATTGTAAAAGTTGCGTTTGGGTTCCAATTTAAGTCCGAAAAATATGAGACTGTAGATATTTACACTCATATTTTAAACCTTCACATTTCTGGGACCAGGTGCTTAGTTATGTGTGTGTTTATTTGTGAAAACTCATGAGCCGTACACTTGAGATTTACATACCATTCTATTTGTACATTATAATTCAATAAAGTTTATTTTAAAACAGGACTTTCCCCAGATTTCTCAGCAGATTCATCATTCTGCGTATGCCCCAGAATTAAATTTCTTAACAATAGCATTTTTAGAGCATAAATGATCTTTTCAAACGGAGTTAGGACTTTCTGTGTTTAAGTAGAACATAATTATTTTAGGAGAATCATGTCAAATGAAAAGTCTTGCCAATCCCTTGTGGAATGTTGCACAAAATGCTGAACGTTGTCTGAATATGCACACAAATCACCAAGACCAAAGGAATGGTGTGTTTACCATTAAAAACATAAAATATTTAGACATAATGTCCACCTTTGACTAACACACAGTCCCCATTGCCGTTTTAACTGTCGCGTTCACTTTAAACTACCATCGGGGCCCACCAGTGAGGTCCTGGACCTCCGCGGGAGTGGGCCTTTGTCCCTGCTCCGCCGCTTAGAGTGACACTTGTGTCCGCCTGTTGAACATGTGCTGCCAGCAAAAGACCAAGAGGATCTCGGCGAAGAAGAGGGACGTGCAGCAGCAGATCACGCAGGCTGCGCAGGGGGAAGGGGCGCTGCCCGGCCAGGTGCAGGAGGAGCTGCGGAAGCTGGAGAGCACGCTGGACGGCCTGGAGCGCAGCAGGGAGAAGCAGGAACGCCGCATCCAGGTAGGGCCACGGGGTCATCTCCGCGGCGTGGAGAGCACGTCTGTTTCCGCCTCCGATGCCCCAGCCCTGCGTTAACTGTTTGCACGAGTTAACTCTGCCAAGCACCACATCAGCCCTCAGAGAAGGGTACCACAGTTAGCACAATTTGCAAGTGTAGATGCTTAAAAAGGAAAGAGTTTGAGCGCCTGACTCAAAGTCACAGGGCAGTGATCAATAATAATAAAGCCAGGGTTTTAGTTGACGCGTCTCACATACAGCAGCCACACGGGTATACGTTTTTGTGATCTTGACACATCGCCTGCAATGAAGGCTTTGCATTTTGCCACCTGCTCACTGCTGACACCCCTTCCTTCTCTCTGTCACTTCTCCCTTCTGTTCTCTCTCTCTTTCTGCCTCTCTCTCTCTCTCTGTGTGTGTGTGTGTTTGTGTGTCTCATCTCTCTCTCTCTCTGTCTCTCTCTCTCTCTGTCTCTCTCTCTCTGTGTGTGTGTGTGTGTTTGTGTGTCTCATCTCTCTCTCTCTCTGTCTCTCTCTCTCTGTCTCTCTCTCTCTGTGTGTGTGTGTGTGTTTGTGTGTCTCATCTCTCTCTCTCTCTGTCTCTCTGCCTCTCTCTCTGTCTCTCTCTCTCTCTCTCTCTCTCTGTGTTTGTGTGTGTGTCTCTCATCTCTCTCTCTCTGTCTCTCTGCCTCTCTCTCTGTCTCTCTCTGACAGAATCTGGGAGGCTGTTTTTCCCTTTGTCCCTTACCTACATTTTAAGTAATATCTTTAGATGCATAGGACATTACAGCTGGTAGAAAACTCAGAGTCCTAACCCACACACTCTCTTTACAGATGAACTGAGACTCGAAAGGGACGTTCTTGTGGGAGCCACTAGGATCGTCTTTACTGAGCAGAACTGTGTGACATTTGAACAGAGTTAACTAGACGTTGGCAGCCTGACCATAGAAATGTGAACAATATTGTGCGACATATTTTGATAATTCATAATAGTATATGTTGTTTATTTTCTCTAATTTAGGTCACACTAAGAAAATGGGAGCGATTTGAAACCAACAAAGAGACGGTGGTCAGATACCTTTTTCAGACAGGCTCCAGCCATGAGCGCTTCCTGAGTTTTAGCAGTTTGGAAAGTTTATCTTCAGAATTGGAACAGACAAAGGTATATCAGTAAGACACAGAGTCCCTTGGTACTCAGCATTCAGAAGAAAAACAGTTTCCTCTCCCTATTACTATTATTATAATTAGGCAGTTAATCAATACTTGTTTATTGATCATCCACTCTTCAATACACTGCTCAAGTTCTCTGGGGAATGAAAACATAAATAAGATTTAAATCTCAAGAACTGAGAGCAAGTTTGCATTGAAGTTGGATATGTTTCCTAAGAGATGAATGCATTAATTTTTGTTCTGCCGGCAGTGATACTTTTACCTGAACCTTGAAAGGCAGATCAAGACAGAAAAACAGAGCTGGGGGCAGATAATGAGCAATCCTGTGGTGAGAAATGGCACAACTTAGAAAGGTGTTGAAATGGGGATTCTATGTTGTACAGCAGAGAAGTGAAGTACAGTTGTAAAGCAAAGACCCTGTAGGCAGCATGGAGCCCTCAAGGTTTTCAGAGTCACGTGATCAGAGCTATACTTCAGGAGATGAGTTTGAAGCAGGTTAGAAAATTGAAAGGGTGAAAGACTGGGGTCGTGGGATCCAGTTAGAAGTTATTGCATGTGTGCATCAATATGGACATGAATAAGAGCAAAGGGGATGGTGGTGGGGGCAGACGCAAGAGGCAGAGTGAAGGAAGGGAAGATGCTCCCCAAGATTCTGAGCCCACCAAGACGGTGGGAGTGAGCTGGGAACTTGAAGGAGTAATTGTTAAAATGGGGAAAGATGACCAGCTGTTTGCACCATATTACATTGGAGGCTCCAGGGGGACACCCGAGATGCAGTACTCAGCCGTAATCCTTGCTGAGCACCGGCCTGTGTGCCAAACGCCTTGGGCACTGTGAGCAGACCAGTGGATGTGTGCAAAGCACGGAGAGACGTGTGCAGGTGCCTTTGGTTCCTGTTTCTGTGTTTGGGGTTTATAAAAAGACTGAGTTAGTATAAAATGTGTTAGCCAATACATAAGAGAGGAGGCTGTTTTATCACTCTTACCATGCCTTTAGCAAGTAAATTTCATGCTTCTATGTTCTTACCAGTGAAAGGCTCTCTGTGTGTCATACTGCTAATTTGTCATCATTTCTCCTATTGTCAACTCGCTGAAGAATGTGTGTGGTTTTAAAAAAATTTTATTTTCTTCATTGATTTTATAGAGAGAGGAAATGAGAGGGAGAGATAGAAACATCGATGAGAGAGAACATCGATTGGCTGCCTTCTGCACCTCCCCCACTGGGGATTTGGCCCACAGCCTGGGCATGTGCCCTGACCAGGAATCGAACCGGCAACTTCTTGGTGCATGGGTCGGTGCTCAACCACTGAGCCACACTGGCTGGGCAGAATTTGTGTTTTTATAAGGTCACAGAATCTTTCAATTCTGTATGATTTCATTTATTTTTTATGTTAAAATATATCACCATTTTTATCAATACAACTATAGTTACTGGGTTAGTTATCATATGGGGGTTCCACCCAGGTTCCCTGAAGGGTTTCTGACACCCTATGGCTCTAATTCCTTTGAATCTGTTTCTCAGCTACAGGTACAACAAGTGTGACTTTCCTAGTCTTACTATTAAAATTTTTCTTAGCGGTGATCTTGTGAACTTTGGGATTAGCTTAATAATGTCAGCTAACAGTTATTGAACATATGCTATATGCTGGTCTAATCACTTGATGTTTATCATTTTCTTTAATTCTACCCAAACAATTCTAAAAATTAAGAACTATTGTTAATCCTATTGTATAACTTTGGAGATATAAGATACATAGTTGTTAATGGATTTACCCAAGATTTTAGGATTATTAACTGGTGACACTGGGATTCAAACCCAAGAGGCCCGAGTCCAGAGCCCAGACCCTCAGCCATCATATTATGTTTTCATTATAAAACGGCTCCACTTTATTGACTGTTTACACGTGCTGCTGCACACGCTCGTGTACCCTCGAATAACTGCTCACTTGACATCGTTAATACAGCCTTTGTTCCAGGTGTAGCCCCGAAATGGTTGTGCTAAGGAACTTGAATGCTTTCAGTCTGCCAGTATGTGGGAGGGTGTTCCTGGCAACATCACGTAGAACCTTCACAACAGGGGTTTACTGATGAGTTTGGAAAAGTCAGGGAGTCGTGCGGCTGAAGGTCACACAGCTAGTGAAGGACAGAGCCTGGTTTCAGCTTCAGGCGTGTCTGAAGCCAGAGTCCACTCTTCCCTGCTGCACCCTGCCGCTTGCGTGTTGTCTTCTAGGGATATAGACACAAAGCCTCACTGTGCTATTCTTTTTTTTTTTTTTAGTTAGATCTTTATGAACACCATTCTGTTCTTTAGATTCCTTTATGTTGTGCTTGCCCCACAAAAGGCGCTCAGATTGAATGTATATAAACAATTTCAAAACATAACTCTACTTTGTCCATGGTTTTTCCTTGGCTTTGGGGAAACACTACAGGGAAAACATACTATTTCATACTTCTGATTCTATTCTGAAAGATTTTGCTGTGAACTCGGTCTTCGCAATGGAATCTACAATGACTGTAAGCTCACACATGACAATAGTGGGTGCTTATAAGAATTTAAAGTTATGACACTGGCAAATACCATATTTTATGATATTGTGCATCTCTCTATCATAAGGAAGCTGTACTTAGTCATTTTTATTCTCTTAAATTGCAGGGTACTTCTCTGAAGTAATGTTGATATTTCTGAGGATGTTAATTCTTTCAAACATGAAGTAATAATAGGATTATGCAGTAACTCTATCTTTTATGGCATTATGTAATAATTCTGAGAGATGTTTCATGGGAAAAGATGGCTATTAGAAGTCTGACTTTAAAGAATTATTTGTGCCCTGGCCGGTGTGGCTCAGTTGATTGGGTGTTGTTTCATGCACCAAAAGATTGCCGGTTCAATGCCTGATCAGGGCACATGCCTGGGTTGTGGGTTTGATCCCGGGTAGGGGGCATGCAGGAGGCAGCTGATAGATATTGCTCTCTCTCATCGATGTTTCTATCTCTCTCCCCCTTCCTTTCTCTCTAAAAATTCAATAAAATATTTCAAAGAAGGAAGAAATTAAGTTTAATTTAATGGCATTAACATCAGGTTTTATCTCTTTTCAGAGAACATAAGTAATAAAATGTTTTTTCTTCTTCTTCTTTTTTTAATTGTCACCTGAGGATAATTTTTCATTTATCTTCAGATAAAGTGGGAGGGAGAGAGAGAGAGAGAGAGAGAGAGAGAGACATTTATGTGAGAGAGACACATCAATTGGTTGCCTCCCACAAGACCCGACCAGGGCCAGGGATGAACCGCAACTGAGGTACATGCCCTTGACCGGAACTGAACCCATGACTCTCTGTTCTGAGGGCCGATGCTCTAACCACTGAGCAAAGCCGGCCAGAGCAAAACAATGTTTCTTTACAGTCAACAGCAGTGAAACTCTGTGTTGACCCAGAGAGTCTTCAACCTAATAAATAAATATTTATATTTATTGCCCTGGAAATGTATTATTACCTCTATGATTGGAAAAAAAAAATCAATCAATATTGCATTGCCTGAACTGGCCTGTAATAAACCAACATATTTGTGAATAAGTTAATTAGTATAATGCGGTTCAGAATTCTAAACAATGAACTCAAACCAAGAAACAACGGAAAAACATTTTTGTGAGAATTGTTGGATGACCGTGAAGGTAGATAGCTGGTTGTGTATATAAAATGAAAATAATTTAGCGAAGTCTCTTCTGGCCATGATGAAAACACATCTGTTTTATTGCTCAGCATATGATATGCTAATATTCGTACATGTATGAATCTCTCCACCCATCCCATCTGTCGGAGACTCCGCAATACAAAAAGGCTGTTATTGGAGGCAGAGTTTAATGGAAGATGCCTTCCTAACCATTCTCTATATTTTCTAGGAGTTTTCTAAACGAACAGAAGGCATTGCAGTCCAGGCGGAGAACCTTGTGAAGGAAGCTGCAGAGATACCCCTTGGGCCCAAGAATAAGCAGCTGCTTCAACAGCAGGCCAAGTCAATCAAAGACCAAGTCAAGAAACTAGAAGACACACTTGAAGAAGAGTACGTGCTTGACAAGTCCTAAGCTTGCGTCTCTGACATAGTTTCATGCAATGCAGTCTCTCCTGGATATTGTGTTTTAAACGTTTTTAAAATCTCCACGTGTCTGTGTAGTTCAGCATGTTTTGAGGAAGCAACTCACAATTCAAAAGCAAGTGCCACCAACACAGAAGCCAACATCCATAGCAGAGCAGAGAAATAGAAGGGATGTGGTTTTACAGCGTAAACTGATTCTGTCCGTGAAAAAGCCATATCTATTAAATTCTGTGGCCTTCATACCTTGGAGAGGAAATCTCAAAAAAGAACCAATATTGAAAATATTTTTTTTTATTCAATTATGCTGCTGTTACCAGTTTGAGGGAAGAGGAGATATTTTGGTTGTGTAGATTCCGGGCCTAAATCCACGTGATATAGTCCAAATGTCTGCATCTCCAAGCCCACAGAGCTTGTTAACTGCTTCAGTATTCAGATTCCACTGACTGATATTCGATTTCCAAAAATTAACTTCAGAAATCTATTTTATTTTAAAATACTTAATATATGCTTACCTAAAAAGAAGGAAAGTTTGGCTTATGGTATCCTGGTATGTACAACACATACATACACACAAATTTGGGGGGAATAAACAGATGAGAATATGGCCAATGATCCTCCAAATAATATGGCTGAACATTTCTATTTTACAAGTTATTTAGTGGCAGGCCACTGACACATTCTCAAGGTATAGGACATAATTTTCAAGATATATTTTGCAAAGTAAAATTTGATTTTAATACTCTTTACACCTTGACATTAAGACTGTACATTGCCTAAACATTGAAGTTGGTTAAATAATTTATTTAAAGAAAATTATGACTAATGTTTGAGAACTTCAAATATTAAATATTATTAATTAGGGTAGCTAAATAGTAGAACTTAGAGTGTATTGGGAAAGAAGCTACTTTTGTGAGGAATATCTGTTTGAATTTTTATTTTATTTAGAAACCTGCATTATAATGTAGCTTGCATTACCTGTACTGATAAGAGCACTAGGCACACCCAGGGTACACATTTGAGGCTGTACTGTTGTTTGATTTGACAATCAATGATGCCATTATATTTTTCTTAATGTTTTCAAGTGCCTTTTGGTAAACAACAAAATTCTTTCACTTTTTTTTTTAAGCAAAGGACTTATCATTGTAATGATATAAGTCTCTACTCTTTTTTCTAAACTGAAAGCCATAATCACATGTTTATATATGCCTCACTAATACAAACTGGAAATCTATAGTTAGATTTTTGTTCACTAAATTTATTACAAATAAAGCCCAAATTGTCTAAAAGCAGTTAGTATGCTTATGTACAAGGATCTATAAAAGTATTTGAAATCAAGATCAAACCACCATCTGAGAAGAGTTGAAGTTAATAGAGATTATAGATGGCAGGCTTAGCTCTAATGATAGAACAGTCCCTGCCTGTCAGCATGGAATTCAAGTTACAAGCTCTACTTTCATTTATAAGGATGCATTTTGTAAGGATCCTGGAGCATAACACACCCCTGTAGTATCTCTCCTCTAAGAACAAGAGGACCTTGTCCACAAACATAGGACTGCTAAACGCTGTGTGCAATAGACTGTATGCAGGCAGTCTATCAAAATAAGTCCTGGCATCTACTGGTCACTTGCACTTTAACTAGATTATACCTGGATTCAAACCCCTTTGGACCCCAAAATAATTTGTTCAAAGCACAGTTCCATTCATAGCATGGTGCAGATGCTATCTCGTGCAATGCTTATTCTCAGAGGACATAGGAAGACAGAACTGATGGACTAGTCCAATCAAATGTGCATATGTTTTCCTGTTCTAAGAGTTTCAACTTTAATGTGGTCACAGATGTCTTAACTATCTTTTCACCTGACGATTTAAAGGAGAGTGTATTGTTGTTCTTTATTAAAATACTGCGTTTTATTTACTTAATTTGGTTAATTTTAGTATTAAAACCATGGAAATGGTGAAAAACAAGTGGGATCATTTTGGCAATAATTTTGAGACCCTGTCCGTCTGGATAACTGAGAAAGAAAAAGAACTCAATGCCTTGGAAACTTCGTCATCTGCCATGGACACGCAAATCAACCAAATTAAGGTGACCTGCTCACACGTTTCGTTGCATTTATAATCCATGTCTAGCTTTTAAAAACTCCTTTCTTACATCTCACCAAATCCTATTTGACCCCAGGACAAATCTTTCATTGCTATGTGACTCTATTACAATTAAATTCACACACATTGCTGAGCTAAGAGGTCTTGATTGATACTGGGCCACCATTTATAGATGGAATTATGTATTAATATTGTCTGACTTAAGCATTTAAAGTCAATATTGTGTGCAATATCATTAAAATGTTTTTATGGTTACATTATTCTTTTCCTTGATTTTGAATGAACCCCATTGGAGTGCTCTGTTGATTCATTTATACAACATAAACCATATTCATCATCTACAACGGTACTTACAGAATTATCCCAAATGTCTAGTTCAAGTATTAGTGGTCTTGACCCTCACAGACCACAAGGCAAAGAAATCGCTTTCTTATGTGAATCAGTCAGACCCCCTTGCCCCAGTTCCTTCCTCTGTGATGACCTTCAGGGCATGGGCTAAGGTGCTATGGGATCTGAGCTCCTCAGCTCTAAAATAGCCATGTGCACAGACTATCACTGTTCACTTCATTCACCAAGTTTCAGAAATAGATGGGCTGAAAGAAATGAATTCTCAGGGTTTAGTTATCTTTTTTATATACAGTTTCACACAACACATTTTTAAAATTCAGCCACTTCTTTTTCTATCTCAGCTTATTTTATTGAAATAGGAAAACCCTCTGACATTTCATTCAATTAAGAATAGTAAAGTGAATACCAAGGTGAGGGAATAGTTCACATTATGACTCAGAACAAGTTATCGCCATGTGCGTGGTGGGAGGGTGCGATGTTGCGTAGCTTGGATCGCGTGATGTGCAGACCGTCCTGGTTTATTACACATCTTTTGCAACGGAGACTGCGTGGAGACCGCTGTGCACGGTCTGATCATGCTTTGTATGGTATACTAGGAACAGCAGATGTCAAGCTATTTAAAATATTCGTGCAATATGTTTAATCTTTAAAACTATTTTGAACAGTTGTCATTTACTCATTTTCCTTAAATTCTAAGAAAACAAGAGATAGCACACACATAGTTTTGTCTCAAAGTTTTTCTTTCAAAAATGTTGACATACACTTTTTAATTTGCTTATGCTTTCTATTAATTCTTTTCACTATGACTTAACCTGAATTCTAGAACTTCTAAAATATACCACTTATCAAATGTCACTGCATGGTTACACTTTAGGAAACAAAACAACTACATATTTTATTTTAAAATATATAAACACATTCAATTGTAGATTTCATGCCATCGGCCTAGAAATACATTTTAATATTCCAATATAGCATTTTGCAAACTATCTAAAAATACATTAAATGAATATGAAGAGCAAGAAAAATATAAGCAAAGATAGAGTGGAATGTACTTTACTGTGGAATCTGGGCTAATCGGTTCATGTTCTATTTTCATACAGAATTAGATTACAGGAAATACTAAAAACATGGCAGTACCTATCATAATGTTTTCAATTTAAAACAACCTTAGGATAAAACTAATTCATAATATGTTCATTGTTGTGAAGATATTTATCCATAAGCCCATTTTTGTTCTTCATTACATGCTATTCCAAACTGATTGATTTCTTACTACTAACTGATAATTTATAAGTGATAAGAACATATACTGGGTTCATCTTCCATCTTCTCTTTTTAGATTAGAATTTTGCCACAATATGACTGTGCAGTTTGCATTTATGACTTTGCTGATGACATGTATTACACCAAGCACTAACAACCTTGATGTCAACTAATATTGTTTCATTGAGGTGTTGTTAGCACCTACAATTGTTGCTACCAAGGAGACATTCAATATATAGTCATTAAATTCATGAGTAATTTTTCTAAAAAATATCATTTAAAGTCAGCAAAGATTGTATTAATGCTCACACAACAAATATCTATCAAATATACCACCACAGTCATACACATGAAAAGGAAAATAAGTGATACACTCGTGAGTTATTTCTGATTATCTTATGTAGGCAGAAATTATTTCTGACTATGTTGAGTCATCTAGACAAAAGTCACATTATTTTTTTCTAGGGTAACAGTATTTCCCACTTAAATTATTTGGAACAGATTTGTCTGAATTTTTGGCTTCATTTTGATTGGATGATTTGGCTTTTTTCTTAGAGAAATAATTTTCATTTTCTTCTACATAAATAAGCCTCTATGTGTCGGAGAGACAAACACACACTCCCAGTCACATAGGCACACGCATGCTTGGTGGCTTTCAGTACTTTTCATGTGTTGGCTAAATGTAAAATGTCCCCCATGGAAATTGTAGCAAGTGGGCTTTTTATTATAAAGTCCACAGCTGATGTTAAAGCGGTGGTAGTGGAGCCCAGGATCAGCAGGAGCGCATCAGCTGGGAAGTTAGAATTGCAGACTTGTCCCCCATTAGACCTACTGAGTCTGAGTCACTGAGGATGGGGGCCAAGTGATCTTAAGATATTCCAAATTTGAAATACACTGGAATAAATAATAGATAATAAATGTGAAAGGACTGGGTTTAGGTAGGCGTGGAATCAGATAAGCTGGTAGTTCGGTAAAACATGAAATTCTCAGCTACGTTGTAGGAAATTTAAATGAATGTCAATATTAGCATTTCTGTGAGTTGCTGGAACACACTGCTTCCAAGATCAATTGGTTAAAAACCTTGACTCATAGGGTAAGCAGTGAATTTTAGGAACCCTCATAGATATGGTAAGAGTTCCGGGGACATCTCGCTGCTCACGTCACTGCAAGTGGAGTGGCTCTTTCTCTCTATTCTCTGCTCAGCGAGCACGACCCGCAATGCATATTTCAGGCATAGTCTGCATATCTGTCCTCCAAAAATGAGGTCAGGAAACATGTAGTATCTGTTCACAGCTGCTCTCCAAAAATCCAAATACATCGAAATGTCGGTTTTCTCTCTGCAGTCTTTGTATCATTTCAGGAAGGCAAGCTCGCTCAGCCTACATTGTCATTCTTCTTGTTTTAAATATTAGGTCACCATTCAGGAAATAGAAAACAAGGTCAGCAGCATTACAGGACTAGAAGAAGAAGCTCAGTCTTTTGCCCAGTTTATTACCACTGGAGAGTCTGCTCGCATCAAAGCCAAGCTGACCCAAATAAAGAGATACTGGGAAGAACTTCGAGAGCATGCACAGGGTCTGGAAGGAACAATCCTGGGACATTTATCTCAGCAACAAAAGTTTGAAGAAAATCTTAGAAAGGTAAGAACTGGTCCATGTGTACTAAAGCAATCTATTTCACATTGCATTTATAGTGAAATGCAGTAAATAGTCCAGAAATCATGAAATCATGAAATGACACAATTTGCCAATTATTTACCAAGTTCTTAATGATACTTATAACTATTTATAAGTTTATAACTATTTATATGGTATACTTTTTGAGGGAATATAAAAATATCATTATGCATTGTGTTCAGATAGACATTAAAATTTCTTTCTTTCAAATAATAGGACACATTCATTTTAGATTTTTTTTAAGTATATTTATCAACACGTTGAAAGTTATCCAAAAGTGATAGTCATGCTGCTTACCCAATAACCTTTCCTGCCTTGATGTGTACTTCCCCCACCATTATTTTTATATTTTACCAATGTTTTAGATCCAACAGTCTGTGTCTGAATTTGAAGACAAACTTGCTGATCCAATTAAAATATGTTCTTCAGCTACAGAAACTTACAAAGCTCTCCAAGAACATATGGTAAGAGTATGCTTCCACATTTCTGCTTATTTATCAACTCAGAAGTTTGATAATTCCTACTTGAAAAGGAAACACAGTAAATATTTTAATGAGAGTTAAAATTTTTAAAAGGTTGGTTATATGAGGAATGATATAGATCAAGCATATTTACTTCATATAACACAAGACATATAAACATGCAAATAAGCTTTCATTAAATATGTTTAAAATGTAAGTTTAGGAAGACACCAATAGTGTGGTAAAGGCCAGGGTGGAGGCAGGAACTGGGTGGAGGCAAGAACTGGGTCAATAGAAGGAGAAGAGGGAATATTTGTATTATTTTCAACAATAAAGATACATTTTAAAAAGAAGTATTCATTTAAAATATATTTCTCTCTTAATTAGAATATGTAACTTTTCCATATTATAGCTTGAGTAAATCCTGTTACCTCTTAGCAGCATTATAAAAAGTAAGTGCACAGGGAAAAAACACATGTGCAGAGCAGATCCCAGATTTGAACCTACTACACTCAACCTGCAAAGAATATGTCCTCACTGCCTTTCCCTAACGACTAGGTTTTGGTCTGGTCCCTGAACTGGTGACCACGATGAGTTGTTTTGCAAAAGCACAAACACGCTTCTGGCAGAATGTAGGGGAAGGAGCAGAGCAGGAGAATAAGGCACAAAGAGAGCAAAGAGAAGCCCCTGTTAATTAATAAACAGAAAAGTGCACGTCACCCTGTACACATGCATGTGTACACAGATGTGCATTGATGCAGGGGAAGGAGCTCCAGGGCCAGAGAGCAAACAGCTGGCAAAGGCACATCTGGAACGGGGAGTGGAACTTATCTCATTGGAATTCTTATAACAAGCATGCATTTTTGTGTGACTGATGTCATTGTTTAAAAATATCCTCAAGTGAGGAAAATTAAGATAATTAAATTTCATGGAATTATTTTAATAGACAACTAAGTTAATAATTGAGTACCAGAGGGGATACTATTCTACGTTTTCTAATATTTAGAATTCTAAAGCCAGTTATTTTTTTTTTTCGTCTTTATTTTCTGATCTGTAAAATGGGGTGAGAGTTAAGGGGACAGAACTCTTAAGGGTTCTATGGAGGTTAAACGAGTTAATATATGTAATGGGAATAGCACAGTCCCTACTACATTCTGAGGCGCCTTAGAGTTGTTATTATTATTACTGAGTCCCGATAACAGCTTGTCCACCGTAACTCTTCCCATGTATTTTTATAGAGATTATTGCGTTACATACAGCTCTTGTAAATCAGGAGTGGAGGGCTTCTTAAACACATCTGGCATACAATGCATACTAATTTTCACAAATTATCTGGCTGGGAAGCGAAGTAGACATCGTTCTGATACACAACACAGTTCCGTTTGGGCAGTGGTCTCTCGGTTTTCATTTCGGTTCCCACACTCACGAATAACTTCCCACGTTCACGGTGTCGCTGGAAGTCGCGGCCAGACCGTTTCCAGTGCCACTGCTGGTTATTGTGACGGACGGGAGCTCGGGTCTCCAAGGAGAACGGTGGCCCGGCCTCTGGTTCTGCTTTCATTGCCCTCCCTCTGCGCTCCCACCAGGACCTCTGGCAGGGCCTGGAACCCCTGACCAGCGCCTTGGCCGCCCTCTCGGCCGGTGCCCAGAAGGCCGCCCGCAGAGGCTTGCCCGTCCAGGAGGCCACCGCCCTGCAGCAGAGGCACGAGGGGCTGCTGAGTCGGGCTAAGGAGAGGCAGACGGTGCTGGAGAACCTGCTGGCCCTCTGGCAGAGGTGAGCCCCTCCCCCCGGGCTGGCCTGGGTTCCAACAGCCACGGAAACAGGACATTCCCGGCAGTCACCCCAGAAGTAAAACAGGTCAAGCCACGTCTCTAACACAGCATGGAAAGGACGTACGTGTACCTGTCCACGTTACGCACGGACACGTGTGAGGGTCCACCTACGAGCAGGAAAGGGGTGGCATTTCTACCTTCACTTCGGGGAATAAGATAAGCAACGTGGTATTATTTGTTATGCTTAGTGTTGAACCCTCAACTTCAGAAGGGCCTTGTTTTCCAATATGGTAATTTTGGATGAATTCATTTCGTATCTCTGCTTTCTTCAGGCTGGAGAAAGAACTGTCGACCTTTCTGACCTGGTTAGAGCGCTGCGAAGCCATAGCCAGCTCCCCAGAAGTGGACCTCGCTGCCGACAGGGTCAAGGGGGAGAGTGAGCTGCAGTCCATGCAGGCAAGACAGCGCGGGCAGGCGGCCCTGTGTGCCGGGGCATCGTAAAGCAAAGCCGGGGCAAACCCCGCTCTCCAGCTCAACTTCTCGCTCTGCTTTTGTGATCCCCCCCAAATCACCGAGACCAGAAAGGCAAAGTGATGGTGACCTTTGCGAGGAGCACTTACTGAGATGCATTAGAAAATCCTGTGATAGAATAACGGGCATTTGAACACAAATTATCTGGCAGGTGAACAGAGGGAGGATGAGTGGAAATATAGATGAAGCGATACTGACAATCAGTGAATAATTTTTGAAGCTCATGTGTTTATATGAACTTTGGTAATAAAAGGGTTTTTGTAGAAAGAGAAAGGAATGTAATGTTGAAAAAAGCCACAGGAATGATTATTTTTAAGCAACACAGAAAAAAAGCGAATGAGCACACGTGCAGATGGTAGAAGGACAAAGAGTATGAGCTGATTACATCCTTGAGGAAGCCAACTTCTTAAAGTTAAAAGAAATGTTTAAGTATTATTGAAACTATAGACCATGTTACTAATTTCTGGAGATTAGTTACTTGCTGTCTGTGCCAGAAAATTCAACAGGCCAGATTCCTTCTCCAAAGAGACTGACTGTATGACAGACGTACGCCCCACCTTTTATAAAGTATTGAAGCAGAAGCTCAGTTATTTAACTTTTCATAATTGTTTCTCGAAGTCTCCGTCAGTGGGGGGGGGGGGCTATCACATCGGAACCCTTTACCCATCTTCCTTGGCTTCGAAGGTTTCCTGCATTCCTGCTTCTCCTCTTTCTAGTTTATTAAACATTAATCTCCCGAAAAGTCCCTGCTCAGAAACCCCCGTGACTCTCCGGCCCGGAGGACGAAGAGCAGTGCTCCGTCCAGTCTGGTGGTGACTTCTCAGGGTCACAGTGCAGGTGTTCTGCTGGAGGAAGTCAGAGCTCCTTCCCTTAAACACGACACAGCACTCCCTGGTGACATAGAAGTGTGTCCGTATGTGTGAGGGGATGGAAGGGGCTGTGTTCCCCACATGCCCAGGCACCGAGTCAGCCAAGCTGCTGCCCCACTGTGGTCCAAACATTCGTTGTACATTCCCACCTCCTGGCCTTGTGTCCTTCGTCCTACTCAGCCCAAGTCCCAATTCTGCTTTGTGGTCTCTCCTGTCTCCAGAGGCTGGGATCCCTTTCCTCGGATACCTCTACCCAGGTTGCTTGTATCACACAAGTGTTCTCACTAGAGAGGGCGGAAATCATTTTCACATGCACTTACCATGTGCCATGCTGTACCTGACATCCCAGCTGGCACCGCGATATGTTGTTAGCTCTCCATGCGAGTGTTTATCTCTTATTAGGTGGGAACCACAACTTTTATGCACCCCTCAGAGCACCTAGGAGACGTATTGCCTGATTACATTTTTTTCTGCAGCATGAAAGTAAAATGAAAAGCCTTTAAGTCCCAATTGGCCCGATAATATCTTCAGACAGAAAGGGAGACCATGTTCCCGTTACCTAGTATTGCATCTCTGTTCTTGTTAGGCATGAGTTTTCCCTTGAGCAGTAATTTTCCTTTGACTCTCCTTGCCTGCTCCGTTTCTTCATCCTGAAAGAAATCCTACAGCATCTGAATGTGCCTAACAATATAGCTCAGACCCTGGAAAATGAATCCAGATTTAGGTAGCCCTTTATTTTGATTATTTTTTAATGAACTATATTGGGGTTGCATTGGTTAATAAGATCATGTAAATTTCAAGGGTACATGTCTGTGATACCAGATCTGTTTGTTGCACTGTGTGCCCACCCTTTTCAATGTTGCTTTAGAGATTCAGTAGGTTCCTAAATCAAGGAATAAAAAACTTTCTATAATTGAGTCCCAATGACCTCCATGTTGCAAGAACGCAGAGCCTTTGGACAGCACCCTCCATTGTCACGTGCTCCTTCCGTGTCAACCACATCGGGATGGGATCTTTAATAGCCTCTGTGTTTCTCAGGCACTGCAAAGTGAAGTTGTATCCCAGGCCTCTGTCTACAGCAACCTCTTGCAACTGAAGGAATCACTCTTCTCAGTGGCCTCCGAGGATGATGTGAAGGTGATGAAACTACATTTGGAACAGCTGGATGAGAGATGGAGAGTTCTGCCACAGATAATCAACAAAAGGTTGGGTTTCTATAAAGCATTCTGATATTATTCATTTTTTAAAATGCTGAGCATATAAACTAAGAAAGCACAGTTTTGTTTACTTTGATTTAGCCCAACTGTTCACAGGTTCATTAGACAAGAGAAGAAAACTACGATATTTGCCATTTTAAAAATAAAAACACTCAAAGATGAGCATTTCTGATGAACCTCAGTTCAAAATTTCAGTCTCACGATCAGGGCAAATGATCAAGCTAGTTGAAATACAATAAAGAGAGTAGGTTTTTTCATATTTGTTCTATTTATTGCTTAAGCTGTTTGTGTGTAGGAGGAAAAGGGTAATTAAAATTTTGTTTCTCCTGATATGTCTAAACAGAGGCAATATAGATTTATATGTATAATTTTCTTCCAATGTAGGCCTCCGTAGAGAGCAAGGGAAATTATTATAATGTTAAATGGAGGCAAAAATGAATTAAATCCTAGTTGACTAGACATAAGCTTTCTTGTCACCTTTTAAACTCATTCATTTAGCAGATATTTGCTGCAGTTTACAGTGCAGAGAGCACTGTTCTGTGTGTGGAGGCAGCAACAGAAGAGTTCCTCTCTATTTCTGTGGAGTTTCTATTTGCTCCACTGTTCATTCAGTCACTCAGCAAATATTCGCTGGGTACCCGCTGAGTACCAGGCACCGTATCAGAGACTGGAGCCATGAAAATAAATAAAATCTGACCTCCAGTATTTTACAGATCAGCATGGGGACAAGGAAACCCCTGAGAGAGGTGAGCGCAGAGCATGATGGGAACAGAGAGAAGGCACAGCTGAATGTCCAGGAAGGGCTGACATGGGTTTGGCGCCTGCTCTTGAAAGATGAGTCATTTTCTGCAAAATAGAGGAGGATCCGTCCCTGCCTCTCTCACAGAAAGAAAGGGCTTTTAAAATGATACAAACTTAAAACATTCAAAATATAATTCGTGCTTGTAAAGACAATGTGTGGAAGATTTTATAAGGATTAAAACGTGGAAGTACATTTAAAAAATTGAACTTTGGATGCAAACCACTGGAAGGAATATTAAGATTTGACTACGGTGTTATTCTTAATGCCAGTTTCGGGTTCTGGCCTCCGATCACCTATTACTCATCAATCTGATTCATTTATTACTCCAGCAGTGATTGAGCCCTGACCATATTCCAAGCCCCTTTCGAGGTCTTAGGAATATAGTGGCAAGTAGGGCTGAGGGGAGGGTCAATATGTAATCCAAACAAATGAGTGAATAAGACTGTTTCGGTGGCGGTAAGTAGAGTGAAGACAACAGCACAAGGTGACAGGGCAGGACCGTAGGTCACACAAAGCCTCCAGGGTGAACGGCATCTGACGGAGATCTGAGTTCTGCGCAGGAAGTAGACTCGGGTGCTTTGGAGGTGAGCCACAGGGCAGAGGGAGCGGAGGGGCGAAGGCTCTAGGGCAACACGAGCTGGCCTTGGGGAATCAGAGGGCAGTGGCAGGGTGGGCGGACTGGGTCCGATGAGCTCAGAGAGTGGACTCTGTGGGACCCTCGCAGGGCACAGTAAGGAGGTGTGGAGTTTTGCCTTCCTGCGTACAACAGGAAACTACTTTGACAGAGGACGTTCTGGTTCATGAAAATCATTCCTGGCTGCTCTCTAAAGAGTGGATTGTAGGGAGGCAACAGCAGTGGCCAGGAGGCCAGTTTGAGAGGCTGTTGGAGGTCAGGCGAGAGAGGAGGGGAGTTAGACCAGGTTGTGGCAGGGGAGGGAAGAGCACAGACTGCCCTGGTGGGTGCTGAGGACACGCACGGATCAGACGTGGTGAAAGAGAGTCAGGACATCTGGGTGGCTGGTGCTGACGGTGACTGAGATGCAGCAAGTTGAGAGAGAGATGGAATCAGACAGGTAGAAACAGAAGGGTTCTGGTTTGCCCCTGTTGGACCACACCACGTGTGCCCTTGGCTAAGCTGATCTCAGAAACATACCAACACCTCTGTTACACTGCGGGGCATTGAACTTGAGCGCCTTTCTCTGCCTAGGATTCATTTTCTTCAGTCTGTGGTTGCCGAACACCAGCAATTTGATGAATTGCTGCTTTCCTTTTCTGTCTGGATTAAGCAGTTCCTCAGTGAATTACAAGCCACTTCTGAAATAAGCATAATGGACCATCAAGCAGCTTTAACTCAGCACAAGGTAAAGTGCATTCTTTTGAGATGGAAGAAAAGTTTGTTCATAAAAGAGAGCTCTTGAATCATAAAACAAAGCAACATGAAAAAAATATAAAAAATAAAAAAACACTCTCATTTCTTTAACATGGAGCAAACATTATTAGGGTGAAGTGATGAGAATTTCATTTTTAAGCTTCCCAGTTTGTTTTGTTTCAATGCAAAAAACTAATACTGAATCCCAAAGCTTTAACAGTATTGTTTCTCTGAATTACTATTTAGCTTGAAACTTATTTAAAATTTATGATTGATTTTTCTTTTTTTTTTCTTTTCCTCTTTATTGATTTTAGAGAAGAGAGAAAGTAAGAGGGAAAGAGAGATCGAAACATCAATGAGAGAAAACATCGACTGGTTGCCTCCTACATGCCCCCCACCGGGGATCGGGCCCACAACCTGGGCATGTGTCCTGATCAGGAATCAAACTGGCGACTTCTTGGTGCATCGGTCAATGCTCAACCACTGAGCCACACCGGCCAGACAGATATATTTTTCTTATATCTAAATTATGCGTAATATGTATCCTGGCATAAGAAACATTTTAAAATCAGATACTGATCATCAAGTATTGGAATAGTTGGGGATGAGCTACATAATAAGCTCATAACAATATTTGATGATAAAACACAATGTTTACTGAGTGTTCCCTCTTTGCTGGGCTTGCTCATTGGTTTTACCAAAGGAAAAGTACTTTCCCCTTTTTTCATGACCACAGGTGGTTTTACAGTTTGGAGCAAGGTGCTCACCAAAGTTAGACTTCCGCCCTCTGAAGACAGGAGATAAGTCACCATCTTCCCTGATGAGTACATTTCCCAGGGACAACTCCCGGGTTTCTGAGACAGAAGTCTTCAGGTGTAAAACTGTCTAGAAGCTTTTAAAAAGATTTACGTCTCAAAAGGACAGAGAATGAATTTGTAAGTTTTCTAAAGTAAATGCTCAAAGAAACCCTCTGAAGTTTAGTAGTTCAGCTGAGGGAATTATTAAGGCAATTCTGGTCAAGATTAAGACAGGTTTCCCGGCCGGTGTGGCTCAGTGGTTGAGCATTGACCCATGCACCAAGAGGTCACCAGTTTGATTCTGGGTCAGGGCACATGCCCAAGTTGTGGGTCAAATCCCTAGTAGGGGTCATGCAGGAGGCAGCCATCAATGTTTCTATTTCTCTCTCCCTCTCCCTTCCTCTCTCTCTAAAATCAATCAAAAAAAATTTTTTTTTAAAGATTAAGACAGGTGATTATTTCTCCTTAATGGGAATCATTCTGAGATTGTTAGCAAATCCCCAATATATTTTAAACATGATTTACTGGGAGCTAGTCAAATTTTCTATACAACAGTCTTATCCAGTTAAGCTACATTTCCTTGACGAGAAGGAAGCCACAACTTGCTTAGTCTGGCTTATTCACCCCCTCTGAGGAGGGGCTCACGTCCATCACACCCACACCCTTCGCTGTGTGAGAATGAGCTTTATTGTATGTATATGTATAATACATATGATATATAACATCTCTTTTGAAACATTACAGGTTTTCAATTTCTTTTGACTATATATACTATATAACTTTTAACTGGGTGGACATATATCTTTTTAAATCTTTCAAATTATATATATATGTATATGTATATATACTTTTGTAATTAAATTTGTTGGGGTAACATTGGTTAATAGGATCATATAGATTAACTATTTCTATCGACGAAGAAATTCCTTTTGATGGAATGAAATAGTTCCAAATCAGAGTTGTGTTTTATATTACACATGTAGGTGAACAAGACGAGGAAATTGAAGAACCTTCCTAAAATGTTCACTGTGGACAACCTTTACATACTATACCATGCATTGCGTTTAAACTGTATCGTGACATCAGCAATTCTGTCATGTATCTGTGCCACGAGTCACAGTGTATCTGAGGACCCGGTACCTCTCTCTTCCCTTGCAGGACCATGCAGCAGAAGTCGAAAGCAAAAGAGGGGAACTGCAGAGTCTGCAGGGGCACCTGGCGAAGCTGGGCGCTCTGGGCCGGGCCGAGGACCTTCACGCCCTCCAGGGCAAGGCGGAGGACTGCCTGCAGCTGTTCGAGGAGGCCAGCCAGGTGGTGGAGAGGCGGCAGCTTGCCCTGTCCCAGCTGGCCGAATTCCTGCAGCGGCGCACCTCTCTGTCCCAGGCGCTGCACCGGCTGAGGCAAACGGTGGAGGCGACCAGCAGTATGAATCGGAAGCAGACGGCTTTATTAGAAAAGGAGCTCACCGACGCCGTCCACAGCGTGAGAACGCTCGAGTCTGCTGCCATCAGTCTGGACGGCCTTCTCACCAAAGCCCAGTACCATCTGAGAGGTGGCGGTCCCGAGCACAGGACTTCCTGCAGGACCACGGCGGACCACCTCTGCGTGGAGTTAGATCGGATCCAGAACCTGCTGGGGACCAAGCAGAGCGAGGCGGACGCCCTGGCCGCACTGAGGAAAGCGTTCCGGGAGCAGAAGGAGGAGCTGCTGCAGAGCATCGAGGACATCGAGGACAGGACGGACAAAGAGCGCTTGAAGGAGCCTACGCGCCAGGCGCTTCAGCAGCGGTGAGGGACCCTGAAGCCGCAGGCTCAGCCACTTTCTCCTTGTTCTTGGATTAGCTCTTTTTATGTTTTCATTCTTTATCTTTATTGATTTTAGAGAGAGGAAGGGAGAGGGAGAGAGACAGAAACATCGATGAGAGAGAACATCGGTTGGCTGCCTCCTGCACGCCCCGTCCTGGGGATTTGGCCCACAACCTGGACATGTGCCCTGACCGGGAAAGGAGCCACACTGGCCAGGCTGGGATTAAGTCTTGTGCAATACTTAGATAGTACCGTACTTAGCAACTTCTCTTTTTTGTATTTGTAAGATAAAAGTAATGACTAATTTGACACGTAAGTCCTACAATTTATTCGTGTTCCTTAAGGATTTTCCTAAGGGCTATGTATAAGCCACTCTAAGATCTTATTTAGAATAGAGTAAGCATGTTGGGCGCCCTGTCTACTTGTAAGCACTTTTTAACTGATGGGAGAGGGACTTCTGTCCTGTAAGAGAAGGCAGGCAGAGGAGGCAGGGAGCCATTCAGCAGACTTGTGGTTCCGGTGGGAAATCTGGAGGAGTGCCCCCTGGTGGCTGCTAGCCCTCGGAAAAGGCTGCAGCAAACTGGTCCCTGGAGATTGAGTGACAGGAAGTGGACAGAAGATGGTGTAAAATAGTCACCTGGCAGAGAGGAAACGGAAATGATCCCTCTGGAGCTTGGTGAGGTGATAAGCTGCCATTTGAGATTTGTATTTATTCACTTAAAGTGAAATCAATCAGCTTGGCAGAGAGGTTCTCGCCAGGGCTTTTGCCTGTCTGCTTAGAGGTATGGAGAAGGCAGAGAAGGTTTAAGCCAAGATGGGGCTTAGCCAGGGGCAGTTATAGAGAAGGGGAGGGGTCAAGCATATTTTCCTGCAATAAATTGCTAGTACTGTAGCCTTCTTTGCAATCTTTTTTCCTTCTTGAGAGAACTTTCTCCCCACGCATGTTCTGAGAGTCGCTTTCTCTCCCCTTTTCTTCAGGGGGCAAACAGTTGAAAGGCACTTAGACCAAGGCATCCCTAACTTATAAGAATTATGTTGACACCGCCAATTTGTTCCCTTTTAATCGGAATCAAACATTGATTAACCATTGGTTCATTGACTCGTTATTCCAGAATTACACGCCTTGTGGGCAAGAAACTATGTGACTGGCTTAATAAACTTACATATGGAGTAAGACGTGGGAAGGACAGAGTGGCCTCCAGAGTAAAGACAGAATGATCGAGCCAAAGAGCAAAGGGCTCACCCAGGAGACAGTGGGAATGGTACCTCCTGGCCTCTCGGGGCAGCAGACAGACCCTAAAATTGCTGGAGAAGGAGGCCCAGGTTGAGTTCAAGAGTCTTTTACACACACAGTGCTGAACTCACCAGTATCACACAGAGGCTACCGAAAATGCTGCAATGAACCGATTGATTTCAGCTCTACTTAGGCTTCACTGCATGACCCTGGGCAATTCACCCCTCTTCTTGTAAAACAGTTAATGATGATATCTGCTCCTAGCCTCTGTGTTTTGGGGAATTAAATGGGATAATGCCTATAGAAAGGCAAGAAAGAAATGGTCAATGGCTGCCTATGTATGGCCACTTTTCACAAATACTCAAATATTAATATATCAGAGGGAAAAATGAATATTTTCTAATGGTAATCTTCAATAAAGCATGGAAGTAAAGTTTTTAAGATATAGGTTTTTGTACAGCTTAGTGATGCTATTTTTATTTTATGAAACAACTATGATCCTTAAATATTTTTACATGAATTAGACCTCATGACGAAATAATTTCATACCAATACCTTGCAATAAGTACTCACCTACTTCGCCTGCCGATCAGCCCTAGTTTGAAAAGTCTTACACCATCAAAAGATAGTAGGAGAATACAAATTAATGGAAGGTTGAAGGTGAATAGCGAGACTGACTTTAAATGTTTGCTGAGGTACACTCTGAAGTATGCAAAGCTCTCCTTAAAGCCTCTTTATCAGTCGGTAGACATTCATGCAATTGCTGTGGTACACACTTTTTAGCTCTACGTGTGTGTGCTTTATGGAGAGGAAATACTGTTCACTACCTTGAGTAAAACAGCATTTTCATTCACAGGTTGAGAGTCTTTAATCAGTTAGAAGATGAACTGAATTCTCACGAGCATGAACTATGTTGGTTGAAAGACAAAGCTAAGCAAATTGCTCAGAAAGATGTGGCCTTCGCTCCGGAAGTGGACAGGGAGGTAAATCTCTTGGAAGTCACCTGGGAGGATACCAAAAAACTGATTCATGAAAAGTAAGTCAGAAACATCTCAGTTTTTGTTTTTAACGTCTCCCTATTTTGTGCCCTTGGGCCATTGCCTGTTGATATTCATGGGCGTGATCAGGAATTGAGTACCTTTTGCCATCTTTAGTATTCTGTGTCTTTCAGCAACACTGAAATGTGGTCCTACAGAAGTTGATTGAGGAAGTTGCCTTGAGAGGACAATTACGTGTGAAATTCAATGTTTAAGGAAGTTGCCTTGAGAGGACAATTACATGTGAAATTCAATGTTTAAAAATTGTCAGGTTACTTAAATGCTACCATGAGAGTCTTAACTTCCGGTTTCCTTTTCATTCTGTTTTGTTGTACTTGTTTGTAGCTGAGGTATGATAGACACAAAGTAAAATTCACCCTTTTAAATGTACACCCTTAACCTGTATGACAAACACATGCAGTTGTATAACTATCATACCTATCAAATTTCCTATTAGCGGTACCACCACCTGGGAACATTTCTCATCGCACTGTAGTCAGTCCCTCCTCTCAATCCCAATTCCTGGCAGCCATCAATCAGTTTTCTGTCTCCACAGTAATTTCTTTTTGAAAATCACATATAAGTGAATTCTTTCCAGTTGGATCATTATAAATAACGCATTTATAAACATTCATGTTCAAGTCTGTGTGTGTGTGTATAAGTTTTTATTTTATTTGGGTAAATACTTAAAAGTGAAATGCTAGGTTTTCTGGTATGTGTTTAACTTTGTAAGAAATTGACAAAGTAGTTGTACCATTTTGCGTTTGTACAAGCTATGTGTGACCGTCCCAATGGTTTTACATCATTTTCAGCACTCGATGTTACCGAGTTTGTATCTGTTTGCCTGTTTCACATTATAATAGATGTGTAGAGATATTTCATTGTGTTTTTAATTTCTATTTTCCTGATGACTAATGATATTGAGCGTGTTTTGAGCTGTTATTTGCCATCTATATATCTTGTTCAAATTGGACAAATTGGCCTGTTCAAATTGCCAATTTTCTGGATCTTTGTTTTCTTTTTATTGAAGTCATTTTGTATCAATAGAATCACAATCAAAATCCCAGCAGAATATTTTGTAGGAATGACAGGCTGATTCTAAAATTTATATGTAAATCAAAAGACCTAGAACCGTACAATTTTGAGAAAGAACTGGAAAACTCACACTACCTGGTTTCAGTGTGGTGTTGGCTAAAGGGTGAACATAAAGACCAATGAAACACATGGACTAAAATAGACCCACACAGACATGGTCAATTGATTTTTGACAAAGGCAATTTGATGGAGAAAGAATAGTCTTTTCAATAAATATTCCTAAAATAATTGGTTATCTATATGAATTAAAAAATATCTTGCATGACATAAAAAGGTCTTTTAAACAAAATTGAGAGCACATTATATACTGTAGACAATTAATGTGGGCTTTTGTTAATGAACCCATGTTGCATAAACATCATCCTAATCTGTGTTTTATTAGAGGTTGTACAGTATTCAACTATAAAAATATATCAATATTTATTCAATTATTGGCCTTTTTAAACATTTCAGCTATTTCCATATTTTCTCCTATTATACGTAATGGTGTAAAAAATATAATTTTACCTAAATATTACAGTACATCATTTCCTTTGGGAAAAGTCCCTAGAAGTATAATTGCTTGTTCAAAGGCATTTGAGTCCTGTAAACAAAAACCATCTTCTTACTTTGATCATTTTCAGGGGATTCATATTCAATGAAAATTTGAGTGTTTGAAATGGAAAAGGAAACCTCATATGTATTTTAATTATTGAGCAGTGTTTTTTTGTTTTATTTTGCTTCCCCTCAACATATACCATTATGAATAATTAAATCATGGAACTTTTAAAAAAAATTTGGTGATATCTACACAAGTTTGCATTATCCAGTATAAACATATATTGCATCTTTGCTTGAGATCACAGATTTTGTTTTAATGGCTTCTTCATTCATGAGGATTTTTTGGACGTTAGAGTTAAGTAAGATTGACCAGAACTCTTTTGACTCAGCAAGTGTAGACATGGTTTCTCTTGATCCCAGCATCCATCTGTTAATTTGTATGTATTCATCAGGTCCAGTCATAGAGAGCTCTTCCCTTCCCTGATACATGACAATAAATGATGTCTTTTCTTTGATCATTGCAGCCAGGGTCAATGCTGTGGGCTTATTGACTTAATGAGAGAATATCAGAACTTGAAGTCAGCTGTCTCTAAAGTTCTAGAAAATGCCATCAATGTGATGATAACCAGAACTACAATAAAAGATGAGGAGGATCTTAAATGGGCTTTATCCAAGGTAAGAATTCAAAATGTTTTTATTTTAGTAAAACACTTAAGTAGACCTGACTTTTTTTTTTTTTTAACTCATAATGCATTCACTACACAAATCTTGTCAGTACAGTTAGATGTAGAAAATTCATGCTAATGAGCTCAGCTTTTTAAAAGAGTGCTGATATCCTAGGATTCTAGCAATTCAAGAAAATTATATTATACATATTTGTATAGTTTATTAATATCCTTAGTTTCTGCATCAAGTCATCCATGAGTTAAATTTCTTAGAGGTAAATAATTTTAAACGTGTATCATTGATGATTTTATTAATTAAGGAAACATTTATGTTCACAGCATGAAACTGCCAGGAACGAAATGAGTAATAAGCAGAAAGAACTGGGTAACTTTACCACTAAAGGAAAACAGTTGTTATCTGAGCTGAAAAAAATTCACAGTACGGATTACAACCTGGTGAAAACAGACATGGAGAGCACTGTGGACAGATGGCTGGATGTAAGCTCCTCGCCTGGGATTCTACGAATAATTTAAATATTTACATTTATGAATCTCTTTTAGGGGCAAAAGGTTATTGAACAAAGTGAATTCCATTTTTTAACTTTTAATGCAAATATGATATTCTGAAGAAGAATTGTGTTCACATAAAGTTGAGAGACAGTAAAAAACATATTTGCTTTATTTTGTTAAAACTTATTGGCAGGTTTTTTAGAATTTTACTTTGCAGCTTCAGTTGTAACAAATTTATAACTCTGACTTCTCAAAACTCTGGGATTATAAATAAAAATAAAACAATGATTTATAAACAGCCTACAGACTATTAAACCACACTGTATAATAATTTAAAGTAAGGCTATTTTGCATTGAAAAACATTGGCCTTGTAGTTCACATCTTTGGGTTTTAGTTCTTGCTCTGTTATTGGCTGTGATCACAGGACAAGTCACTTGATCTCGCTGGGACTCTGTATCTCAATCCATGCATATTTTACATTGTTTTCCAGATCAAGAAATCCAGTGATTCTGTTGAACCCCTATTGTCAATATGTAGGCTCAGAAGTTAAATCTATTGTGGGTTCCCTTACTTAAGTTAAATTACTTAAGTTAGACATTGATATTTGCGTACCATAATCAAATAATTTGTGGACTTCAGAAAACCTTATATTCCTTCACTTTTAAAAGGAAATTCTTATTATGGAAAGAATATTAAGCAATAATACTGTAAGCAGACATAGTTGGTTAATCTCCTATATATTTGCTTATTCTATAAATATGTTCAAGTCTAATTATGCCCATTTTTATATATCAGCATTACAAATAAAAAAACTTGTGTTATTTTCAAAAACAAATACAACACTGCCCTATATGGACCCCTATCCTATAGAATTCAACCTTAGGGTGCGTTATATTATAATAGACCTATTGCGGTTAGTTTTCCAATTTATAAATAAAAGTCAAATATCCCAGAAATTGAATCAACTCTTCCAATGACAGAAACAATTTATGTAATAACATTTACATAAGTTGAGTTTGATGCACTAGTCAGATTACAATAATTTTTGTAAAACTTTGCTTTTTGGTCAGAATATAATTTTCTGATTAAGAAAGCATTGCCATTTTAAGTATATTGGTGGGGCAAGAAGCTTTTTTGTTTTATTAATTTACTTTTGTTACAGTTGTTTCTTCTTTCTCCCCACAAACAGCCTCCTCCCTATCCAGCCCCTCACCAAACATTGTTGTCTATGTCCATTGGTTGTGCGTACATGCATATAAGTTCTTTGATTTGCCTCCTCCCTCCCCCCTGCCCCTCTCCTCTGAGGTTTGTCAGTCTGAACCATGCTCTTTTCTATCTCTCTGGGTCTGTTTTGTTCATCAGCTTTTTTTTGTTCTTCACTATATTCCACAAATAAGTGAGATCATGTGGTATTTGTCTTTCTCTGATTGGCTTATTTCGCTTAGCATAATACTCTCCAGGTCCTTCCATGTCATCTTAGAAAACAAGAGATCATTCTTTCTTACAGCTGCATAGTATTCCACTGTGTACATGTACCACAGCTTTTTTATCCACTCGCAAGGAGATTTTTTTTTTTTAAGCCTCAGACTATTAATGAAATGATTTCCTTTTTCTATTTCAGGTATCAGAGAGAATTGAGGAAAACATGGATAGGCTCAGGGTAAGCCTGTCCCTTTGGGCTGATGTTCTTTCAAGTAAGGACGAGATTGAAGGGTGGTCCAACAGCTCTGTCCCACAGCTGGCTGAGAGCATCCGCAACCTGGACAACAGCCTCAGAACAGAGGAATTCCTCAAAGAATTTGAGGTACATTAACTACAGTTTCTTATGTGAGCTTGTGGTGTAGCACTGACCAGAATAAAAAAAAATTGGTGTCCTTTTTTCAAAGTTTCCAAAGTTCATCCTTCCCTTTGAGACACATATGAGTGCAATAAAACTCTTAACTATCTTTTGCTATTTACTTGAAAGTAAACCTATAATTTTTTTTCATTCATCTGAGAATATGGGATCTTCCTACTGGAAAGCCAAACTGAAAGTGTTTGTAATTCGGTAATATTTAGTACCTATTTTTTCTTCATTTCAATAAAATGTTTCCTGAGCAATTACCCTACACTGAACACACTCTAGGCGCTGGGTTCTCCACTTCCTTTTCAGGAAAGGAAGGCAGTGGAGATTGGGGTGTCACAGGTCACAGAAAATGGCCTTTTTAAGGTCCAGTCACCAATTTATTTTAACCTCTTTTTATTCCCATTTTTCACATTCATTTCTTCCTTCACCCATCACATTCTTGAGGAGCACCTAAAGTATGCCAGGCACTGTTTTAGACTGGCACTGTAATAGTGAGTCAGACAAGTCTCTGCCCTCACGGTGTCTGCACTGTGTACATTACAATATGTGTTATGTGCAAAACGTCAAGTAGTAGTTAGGCTATGATGAAAGTGAAATATGGTGAAGGGAGTTAGAGTGACAGAGATAACTTCTTTCACAAAGCTTGTAAGTGACCGTGTTGGTGAGGACAGGAACTGTGGACCGTTGTATGCTTTGGGTGCCTGTACCTGGCATACCTGTGGAACATGACAGATACGTGAATGAATGACTGCAGTCTGAAAAAAATGTATTGTTAAATCACCTGTATTATGTACCTAAGTTATTCAGCTGTGTTTGACCCAAAGAACATTCTAGAGAGTATTCCTATTTCTAAGGGTAAACAGAACTAGAGGAAATTATTCAGACTGAAAGTACAGTCAGGGGCCTGGCTGGTGTGACCCAGTTGATTGGAGTGCTGTCCCATTCACCAGAAGGTCACGGGTTTGATTCCTGGTCAGGGCACATATCTAATGCATAGGAAAGGCAACTGATGAATGTTTCTCTCTCACATCAATTTAAAAAATAAATAAAAATAAAAATATGGTCAGGGAAGGGATTCCACAGTCCCTTTAGTTACCTTGGATATTAACTTTCCGCCGCAGCTCAAACTGGATACACATGTGCGGAAAGAGGGCTTATCCCTGCTCACAAGAGTCAATGATTGTATTTTCAGAAAATGTGCGAGCCAGTGTTAAACACAGCCATTATTAAATACTTAATTGTAAACAAATTACAATTAAATTCACTGTATTTAAAAATGAAGGTCGTGAACACTCCAAACTCAGAACTTCCTAGCTGTTACCCTCACAAGGCAGTCAGCGGGGCTCTGGAGCTCACCCTGACCGCAGGGCATGTGGCAACACTGTGAAAGGGGCACTGCTGTGGCACCCCTCCAGCTCCATCTGCAGCGACATGGTGTTGTGACTCCAGTGGTGGCAAGTGCTGCAAACCAGGGCCTTTCTGTTGGAGGGCCAGTCGTTAAACCCATACGCAGTGCACTCCCACCGATGACCTCTGGGCCAGGGAGCCAGCGGGTATCAGCCCGCATCCTTAGGTCCAGGTTCAGTTCTCACAGAGATGCTACTATGTGGCCGCCTGTGGCACACTAGCTAATACAGGCAGGGAGCTGGACTCAGCCCCAGGCCTGAGAATGTCACTGCTGTCGGGGAACAGGGAGGGACACAGATGTTAGATGTGATGCCTTCATGGTCCAGCCTGCTCTGGAAAAGGCCGGCGGGCCTGACAGTCCATTCGTCACACCTGACTGGGTAAGGAATTACTCTCTGGATTGAAGGCATCAGGGGGAGTGTTAGTGTCCACAAAGCACCAAGGTACAATGTTGAACTGTTCCTTTGTGGGCTCAAATAACTAATGACGGTTATAAGTCTCTAATTTGTTCAGTAACAATTCTATGGTTATTTATTCTTTTTTCTTTTTGTGTTGTTAATGTCAGTGTTGGTGCAAAAAAAAAAACAAACAAACAAAAAAACCAAGGCAAAATGTTAGACCTCAGTCTCCTAATTAACCTAATTTCTCTTTGAACATCTTTTAAATTTTTATTGGAAAGGTTTCTTGTGTATTACATATAGCCGTTGAAATGCTTCTTCAAAAGTTCAACGCTGCCATAGTAACCAGTGATATCAATGCTAATGAACACATGACGGTTAGCTTTTAAAATTCCCCACTGACTCAAGACTTGTGGTTAATGTTTAATTTTTTCCAGGAGCATTTTTTTCCCCAATAAAAGAGAGTGGGAAGGAAGAAAGTTCCGTCTACTCCCTCATATCCCAAGTGAAAGGGGATGGGGACATTTTTCCACATTCATAAATAATGACAATGATCAGAAAATGAAAGAGATTTTTTTTTTACCCTGGCATAGAGTTGGGACATTTGGATAGTTAACTGTTGCTATTGCTAAGTGCCAGAGATAACATGCGAGTGTTTGGATTAGTTATGCTTTCCTCTTTGTCTTCTATCTTGGCAGTCTGAACTGAAAAACAAAGCGTCGAAATTGGAAGAACTTCATTCTAAAGTTAATGATCTAAAAGAATTAACTAAAAACCCGGAAACACCACCAGACCTTCAGGTAAGCGCTCGGGCGGGTTTGTATTAACTGCTCTCTGCTAGACCATCTCAAAAGAGTATTTCTATTTTTTATGTGTTTATATACAAAAGGGCATATGGTTTGACTGTTTGGAGTGGCCTCCAAAGTCATCGGGGGTGAAAGCCAGAGTGTGACCGCTGGCCCAGGGTGACTCATAGGAGAAAAGGAGAGAAGAGCACCCATGTGCGACATCTCAGGCTGAGAAAGCTTTCTGGGGGTGGCAGGCCTCAGTGACAAGAAGCGAAAGAGATGCCCACAGGCGGCAGAGGGAGAAAGTGAAGAGCAGAGACAAGTGCATACCTGCGTCTAGGGTACTTCACTGGGAGGTCACAGAACTGAGGGGGCCTCAGAAAAAACCCACAGATTAAACGTGTGGGAGGAGAGGCTGTGAAATACCGCCAGGTCCAGAGAGCACAGATGCCTGTTCCCTCCCCCACCTCCTACCTGTCCAAACCTGCAGGGGTCTGAGCTGTGCGAGGTGGAGGAACAGCAAGAAAAAAGGAAGAGACCAGGAGAGGCGCTTGCTCCCTCTCCCCTGTGGGTCTCCTGCGTGCAGCAAGTCTGAGCTGGGCAGGAAAAAAGTCGTAACCTTCGGTTAACTTTGAGTCCAGAGTTCTGATTATTAAATGGTCCTGGGCATTTCAGTTGTGGAATTGAAACTGTTTGCAATTTACCATGATTATAAATTATTTTATTATCTGTGGGGCCAGAGGAACCAAAGGCCCTCCTAAAATAAATCATCCCGGGGCAGAGAACTCGCCTCCCTGAATAGGTTAAGGTAGGAGACAGAAAGGAAAGCGCTTTAGGATGAAATCCTGTGGTGGATTTGTCTAGCTCTGTGTTTGAAATGTGATCACGTGTATTCCCAGGGACCTCAGGCTGCCACTTGTACATCCCATGTCGACTGTAATCCTTACTCTGCCCGTTTTCCCATCACTTACGATCTTTGGCATCTTGTACCCACGGATTTTCCTCTTTAGAAACATTGCATGAACATCCATGGTTAGGCCTCTGTGGTTTGTTTTGTTTTTTTATGATTAAGCCACACATCCATGGAATTCCCAGTAAACAAGTACCGGGTTTTCACAGCTTTTAATGAAATCTTACTTTATGTTTAGTTTATAGAAGCAGACCTAAGGCAGAAACTGGAGCACGCCAGAGAAGTCACTGAAGAGGCCAAAGGAACCTTGAAAGAGTTCAGGGCTCAGCGTACAGAGGTGGAGACATTTATCAGCGACATAACAACCTGGCTGACGACACTCGAAGAATCCTTGGTGAACTGTGCCCAGACCGAGACCTGTGAGGGGTTGAGAAAAGTGAAGGTAGGTAGCAAACTCTCACTAAGTATACACTTCAGTGGGGATATTAGTTCTCCTGCTTTGTGGTGACTATACTCAAAATCCAACCTCTGCTCTCAATTATCATATTACACAAGGGTAAAGAACTGAATGCAAAATGAATGACCTAAAAACAGAAAGCATGTTTTGCTATAGGTCCTGCTCATAAGCTATTATTATTATTATTATTATTATTATTATTATTATTATTAAAAGGATGTCATCTATAGAAGCGTTTGTATGTCCATGAATTTTCAAACTTGAATGCCAAATAGTTTGTCTTTACTTAATTATTTTTATTGGTTAGTATGACTGCTTTTATCTAGAGAAGAATATATATTTTTAATTGAGAAAATATCCCACTATTATGTCATTGTGCCCATTTTTTATAGATGACGTTCCTGATCAATTCTCTATAAAGCTTGTGAGTTGAATTGACTTTTCAACAAAAATGATCTGTTGTGTTTTAGCACATTTCTTTTCTTACTTCACTTGAGACTAAGGACATATGTTTTAAAATTAACTACTGTGACCCTTGTGACCCACTGAAGAATGTGAATTGGAGAGAGTGATTCCATTAATATTTTCTAATCAACTGACTAAACCCAAGCTCATGGCTGGAATCCATAAGGGTCTATTCAATTTGTTTAAAATCCTGCACTCTAACTCAAGTCCTAGCTACCTCTCAACAGCTGTTTGCAGTTGTTCCCAAGGAGAACTGGGTAAAAGTCTCAAAGAATCAACACAGATACCACAAATACTCAAAAAAACAATCCCACAAAAAAGTATACGTTAGTGCGTAGATTTTGATAGCATCAGTTTACCAAGAATGTCATGGAGCAGAATGGATTATTTGCTTGTGTGTGCTCAACATCCTTCATGGCACACTTTCATTCTGTAGGAAATGCAAAAAGAACTCCAAAGTCAGCAAAGCAACATCAGCTCCACCCAAGAAAACCTCAACAGCTTGTGCCGCCAGTACCACTCGGCCGAGCTCGAGCGCCTGGGCGGTGCGCTGACCGGCCTGACTCGGCGACACGAGGTGGTCCACCAGCTGTGCTCCAGAACTCAGGCCGGCCTGCAGGATTCTCTGGAGAAACACTTCCATGGTGAGCTGGGACGGGCCCTGGCATGAATAGTCTGTTTGCGAGAAAGAATCCCAACCAAATGCTGCGTGGAAACTGCCAGCAAACATTTGCACAACTTCCCAGAAGGCGATCATGTTGAAGTCATTTGTGCGTTGCGGTTTGGGCAGTAGACGTATGATGCTTGTGCTCTCACCAGGAGCTGAGCTCCTCCTCTTCCCCCTGGGAAAGCAGGGGCCCACCGTTTGGATGATTCTGAATTGCATCTGGGTTTTTGACACAGAGCTCGTTTGTGTGGAAAGTGACTTCCACTGCTATGATGAGGTGTGTGAACGTGGCTATTAGGAGCGAGCAGGAAACAGCAGCCGCCAGGAGTTCAGGAAAGTGCCAGGCCTGGCTGTGTGCCTGACTCGGTTTCCCCCACGGCATGTCTGTGCGTCGATGCAGACACATAATCACGCTCAAGTCAGCTTGGCGGAAAGAGGAGATTTCTCCTTGGGCCACGGAAATGGCTTTAACACCCCTAAAGCGTTCCTCTCCATCATCAGGCAATTAATTCTTTTTCTTTACCAAAAGAAAGAATTCCTCTTACGTAAGAGGAAATCAGACATGTAAGGAATATACACGCCTCTTCTCAGATAATTTCTCAGCTCTAGCATGAGCAGCCACGGCTATGGATACGCTGGGTCATAGTCTGTATGGTCCTTACGTTCTGTCCGGAATACTTTGTAAGGCAGGATGCAGTGCACTGAGGGCCAGAATGAACCCATGGTAGTAATCCTGGAAGCTCATTCAATCTTTTGGATGCATTTCTCACTTTTGTTACTTTCCAAAGAGTCCCTGCAGGAATTCCAAGAATGGTTTGCTGGAGTAAAAGCAGCGGCCAAAGAGTCATCAGACAGAACCGGTGACAGCAAAGTCCTAGAGGCCAAGCTCCGCGACCTGCAGGTACGGACGCTGACGTCGCCTTTTCTTCTTCCCCACACTGCACTCGGGGGCCTTCCCGTCAGACCTAAGTCATCCCTGTCCCCCGATCTTTCAAATTTATTCAGACTTTTCTTGTTCCTCATCAGAATTAGATTTCTTGATAAGGAAATAGGCAATATGGAAAGTAAGTTGAAAGAATAAATGAGAGCTATAAAATTTCCAGATCCTGTTCTTCTCTCTTTGAGCCTATTGACTAATCTTTGGAATTCACTCACAACTAAACCTGATTTTAATTTCTAAAGCAGTAAAAGCATAAATGGGTCTATCGATTTTACGTCACTGTCATGGAGGAGTTTTAAAAAGAAGACATCACCCTGGCCAGTTTGAGCAATGCTCAGCGGTTAGAGCATTGGCCTGCGGTCCAGAGAGACCCGGGTTCGGTTCCCGCTAAGGGCATGTACCTCGGTTGCAGTTTGTCCCCGGCCCTGGTTGGGTCATGCGGGTGGCAACCACTCGATGTGTCCCTTTCACATCGATGTTTCTCTTTCTCTCTCTCTCCCTCCCACTCTATCTGAACAAAATATTGAAAAATATCCTTGGGTGAGCATAAAAAAAAGAAGACATCACTTGTGTTTTTTAACAGTCTGTGGTCTAGATTTGGAGCTTAAATATATTCAAATTAAAGCAATGTAGATTATAAATTATATAGGTTTTACTGATTATGAAAAATGTATTAATTCAGGAAAGAGAAAGTCATTGCGAAGTAGAGGATATAATTGACAGAAGAGTAGGTTTCTACTGAGTTTGGGCTAAGGTTTTTAGGCAGCTAACATGAGAAAGCACTGTGTTAAGAATTGTAAAGATAATTTTTAAAAGTTAATGGGGCCCTGGCCAGTTTGGCTCAGTGGTAGAGCATCGGCCCAAGGACCAGATTCTGGTCAAGGGCACATACCTCAGTTGCAGTTCGTCCATGGCCCTGGTCGGGGTTGTGCGGGAGGTAACCAATTGATGTGTCTCTCTCACATCGATGTTTCTCTCTCTCTCACTCTCTCCCTCCCTCCCACTCTAGCTAAAGATAAAAATAGAAAAAAGTTTCCTCAGGTGAGGATTAGAACAAAACAATGTTAATGGGAACATTTTTGTGGCCTAATGGCGATGATGATTACGTACCTAACTCATTAGCTGTCAGGATAGGCAGGTTATCACACAGGAAACTAGCTGTGCAGGAGGCAGGGCAAATGCAGATGTGGAATCGTCCCCTTTCTGGCTGGAGATGCAGTGGAGCCCCACAGGGAAAAGTCTGAGTACCGATGGCAAATGCCACCCTGGAGCTCAGGGACGAGGGAAGACTAGAACAGAGGTCTGGGTCCCTTTGCTGAAGCCACGCCCATACATATGGTCTTCCAAAGAAGAGGTGCATACCAAGAAAAGAAGGGAACTGAAGTCAGGACATTGTGAGCTGAGCAGACCAGAGCGGGAGGTGGAGTGGAGGCAGTCAGCCAGTTAGAAGATCTCACACTAACCATGTGAGGAGGTGCAGCCCGGACAAGGGTGGGGCAGTGAGGAAGGGACAGACCTAGAACAAGACCTTGATAAGAACATCCTCCTCCCGGGTTGACATTATTCCCAGTTTGTCCTCAGCGGCTCCAGTGACTTGCCGGCCCGTCTTCAGTTATGAGTCTTGACTCTATCCAATTGCATACATCATTCTCCTGAGGCCTTGCCAAAGACGTTGTTTCCTTGGCCTCTGTCTGTCTTCCCATGCTCTACGATCTCCGCTTGGAATTGTAATCCATGCTCCTAGGCACCAGGGTCTCTGAATCATGCAAATGTTTTACATTACTTTATGTCTTGAAACAGAATATTTTGGACTCAGTCGGTGATGGGCAGAGCAAGCTCGATGCTGTGACGCAGGAAGGACAAACCCTGTACGCGTACCTGCCCAAACAGACGGTCGTCAGCATTCAGGAGCAGGTCACCAAGGCTAACGAGGAGTTCCAAGCATTTCTGAAACAGTGCCTCCAGGACAAGCAGGCTCTGCAGGACTGTGCTTTGGAACTTGGGAGGTAGGCTCTTTGGGTGCAGGTGGACTTCCTCATACCCAGAATTTTCAATGACTTTCAAAGCCATTGTGAATCACCAAATCTTTGAAATTGTGAGTTTACGTTTTAGAGCTTTGACCTGAATTACAAACCCATACTAGAATAATAGTGGACTGTTGGACCTATGAGGACATCATTTGCTTTTATTTTCTACAGAGAAAATAAGGGAATTATATATAAATGTAATTTCTGTGAATGACATGAATTCATGTTTTTCTTGTTTTGTTGTTGTTGTTTGTTTGGCTAACTCAAGATATTGGAGCTTTGATATCCAGACTTCCGATTATCCAAGTCTTTTCCTTGTGTCTACTTCTGCTGGGTTGGAGTCATGGCAGAAAACACTGAATTTATGTGAAGTGAGATGCCAGTCAGGAAGCTAGGTCAACATGGGTAAATGTGAAATTAGAAAGGGGGAATAAAAACCTTGTTACTAGGGGAAGAATAGATGTCAGTATAATCAAAATGCCTTTCTGGTGTTAGAGTAATTTGCCTGACCCTTGTCCAGATCTCTCAGAAAACGTACACTGTTTTCAAAACTTACAGCCCTTGTGCTCTTTTGCCATATTAAGTCCCCTAAGATACAAAGGCACAGGGAAGACTTCCCTTTTTCTCACGGGGCTTCTGCAGCCTCCCTTATCCATGGGCCCCAATTCAGGATCTTTGTAGTAACACCCAAAGAGTCAAATGCACATTGCAAGGGAACGTGATCTTGCTGATAATTGCCACCTACAATTACCAGGTAATCAATGCAGCAAGATAGGGTGATTCATTTTTTCCTGGATTGCAAGAGAAATTTTTGTGATTTGTCATTTGTCATTGAAATAAGGGATCACTTGAAAGAGCTTATTATTGAGTTTTCTTCTTCTTGAAAATCCATGAGATCTGAATTGTCATGACATTGTGTCCTCAGATATTAGAATTTATGTATTAGAATGAGAACATAAGAATTTCTTTATGGGATTTTTCTTTTCTTTAGCTTTGAGGATCAGCACAGAAAACTGAACTTATGGATCCAAGAAATGAATGAGAGGTTAAGCTCAGAAGACTCAGGAGAGAGTAAACAGCACATTCCTGAGAAGAAAAACGAAGTCCATAGAGTTGAAATGTTTCTGGGTGAACTACTGGCCGCCAGGTATGGTGCAGAAATGGATTAGGTCCTTTTCCGACTGTTTGGTTGGTTGGTTATTTGGTTTGGTTGTTAGTGGGTGGGTTGGTTGGTTAGTTGGTGGTTGTGTTTGTTTCCATCCCAGAATGTCTAGAATACAAATGATTGTGCAGTGTTTTCTGCAGCAGTGTGATACTCTGGAGAGAGCATGGTGTGGAGGTAAGGGGCTGGTCTGCATCTTTGTTCCACCTCCCTTTGCTCAACGCATTGGACCGGACACTCATTTCCTGTATTTTTTTATAATAGCTTTTAAGCATTGTGGTGATGATGATGATGATGGTGATGATGGTGATGGTGATGATGGTGATGATGGTGATGATATACTTTCTTCTCAGAGATTATTATAGGGATGTAAGGTGATTAAAAGATACTCTTAATTTACAAAAATAATGCTGTAGATCCCAATTTCCAGATCTTCTTTATACACTTCAGCCTTGGATCTCATTTTCAATTCACCCCATCCTCACAATATTCTCTGTAAAACAGGAGGCTTGCTCTTTGAGTCTGGGTGTTTTGGAGGTTTCTCTTCTCTACCGCAGTTTTGTCTCTTTATTGCTCCCCACCTGAGTACATGACTCCAACTTCCTTCTCAGGTCCAGTTTTCGGGCCTGACTCTCAGGACATTGTGTCCTAAGTTCATTCTTCACTCCTGGTATTTCTGGTTGTCTCATTGTAAGTCTTCCCTTGGAAGACGGAGCACTTCCATCAGGGGAGTGCACTTTGGCCCAACACACCTTCGTTATCCTCTGAAAGCGTAGATACCCTCACCTGTGAAGCAGTGAAGGCTAGCACCCCGCTGGCTTCATTAGACAAATCAGCAGCAGCAAGCGGCTGAGTAAAGACCGCCTCATTCAGCTGACCCATCCCTTTCCAGAGTCCTCTTATTGGTCAAGCCTGCTGAGTGTTCCTAGTCTTGAGAAACGAACATGCAAATAAATACACAACCCGAACCCACGTTGGCAACTATTGTTGGTGTGCTAGCTTGGTGACTATTGTAAGATTTCCCTGGGATGCTTTGGCCTCGTCTCTGTGAGCCCCCACCATGGCGTGAACACTTTGTTGACTGTATACACCTGTCCCCTACAACGCGTTCCTCAAGGCCAGAGACCATCAGGTCTTTATCATCTATATGTTCCCATTGTCTAGTGTGGTGTCAGAAAAAATAGAAAACATGCTGAATTAACAGAATGATAGCATCATTCTAAGTATATCACTTTCTGAAAGTTACATGGCGCTTTTTTGCTTTTAAAATCTTGATTCTTGCCCTGGCCGTTGCTCAGTGGTTAGAGCATCAGCCCGCGGATCGAGCAGTCTCGGATTCGGTTCCCGCTAAGGGCACGAACCTCCATTGCAGTTCATCCCGGACCTGGTTGGGGTTGTGTGGGTGGCAATCAATCGATGTGTCTCTCTCACGTCGATGTTTCTCTCTCTCTCTCTCTCTCTCTTCCTCCTTCTCTCCTTCCCATTCTATCTGAAGATAAATGAAAAAAAAAAAAAAAAATCCTCCGGTGAGGAAAAAAAAATTTTAAATCTTGACTCTTGTCTAGATACAATATAACATGACCAGACCGACATCTCTTCTCCTTCCAAACTTTAAAAATAACTTGGCATATCCTCCTTGAGCTGTTACTTTCTGACAGTCCATCAGCAGAAGCTCTGAGTCCTGAGTGTGTCTCTCCCAGGTTCCCCTCACTGGCTCCTTCTCCAGACGGTCTCGGTGCTGGGCACCCACGTGCTCCGGCTGGGTCATCTGCTCACTTGCTGTCTGCTCCTCCAACCCTCTGGCTTGTTGCTGTGTGTTTTTCTTATCATAATATTTTCAGTACACGCATCTTGGGTGTGTGCCCTGTATTTTTTTCAAGTACCCCAGGCCGGAGACTCATTGCATTTTTATCATCCATTAAACAATTCTTCTTGGAGTAACAAGTGGTATCTGTCCTCTTGAATTATTATTTCACTCACATCATTGCTTACACCGCCTTCTTGTCTCAGCAAACAGATGACAAGGATAAAAACTGTATTTTAGAGTAGGTATGATATTGTGTAAGTCACATGTATCTCCCAGAGGCCTATGTGATGCTACTTGCATGGTAGCTGCTCAGGGGAGGGGAGCTGAGCCATCGTAGGAGAGAGATTACATATTGTGTCTCCAGCACTCTGACAGATTGTGCTCAGACAAGTGCACTCTCCCTCCTGCTATCCCAGGCATCTCCTGAGAGAGGTGCTGATCTGAATTCAGAACCTGCAAAACAGGATGAAGCCAACCCAGCCACTTGTGAACACATTTTCCCTTGAGCTAATTAGCATAAGTCCCAACCTGAGGCAAGAACGACACCTTAAGCCTCATGAAGTGGCCTTTTACGGGAATTTTTGTTTTTCAACTTATCTCTGCCAAACCTTGTGTTGGGTCCTGGGGATCGGAGAGGATTATAATAGCCCTGGTTTCCATGGGCGAAATCTTTGTGATTGAGACAGACAGGGTGTAGGAGGGACAGAAAGTGCCCAGAGGAGGAGAGCTGCGGCCCGCCCTCCCCGCCCTCCCCGCCCTCCCATGCACCTGGGATGAGGTGCGTGCATGAGCTCTGAAGGGGCAGCGAGGGAGCAGAGGACAGCAGCAGGGTTTTCACCAAGCAGGAGGCTCCATGTGCGGATCAACAGCAGAGGCGTGGGCGATCTCAGCCAGCTGCTCCTGAGCAGGGCACTAGGTAGGGGAGGGAGCTGGAGGTGCACAGGGCGGCTGGGCGTTTTCTCAGGTGAATTCTGGGCAGACACTGGGCTTGGATCTCGGCACAGCACGGGTTAAATCAGGTCCTGGAGGTGTGTTAACGACCTTAGGAGAAGCAGGTGGCCAGGGCCATCCCCAGGCTCTTCATTTTAAAGGCGTGCGAGCTGCAAGCTGTTGTCTGGTGACTGCTTCGGTGTGAACAGTCCTCTGTCACCCCCGGCACTGCAGAATGTCAGAGTGCACTTTTTTCCCTGTTTTTCTTTAGAGAGTCTCTTGACAAGCTCTCCCAGAGAGGACAACTTCTCAGCGAGGAAGGCCACGGTGCTGGGAAGGAAGGGCGCCTGTGTTCTCAGCTGCTCGCCAGCTACCAGAACCTGGTGAGGATGACCAAGGAGAAGCTGCGGAGCCTCCAGGTGGCCCTGCAGGAGCACGAGGCCCTGGACGAGGCCCTGCAGAGCATGTGGGCCTGGGCAAAGGACGTGCAGGACAAGCTGGCCTGTGCGGACAGCACCGTGGGGAGCAAAGACACCTTGGAGAAACGGCGGTTACAAATACAGGTGCGTGTGGCACCGGCCAGACACCCCGAGTCTGAAGGCTGATGTGATCAGATTCACAAATGTGGGTGTCGGTTCCTGGTCACGCGGGAGCCTCTCACCAGACGAGGGTTAGGCAGGCAAAATGGAGAAACTGCGCAAAAAGGATTCGGAGGGGATCGTGTGTTTCCCTTTGTGTAAAGGAATATTTTTGTTACTAGCTTTAAAATAATTTTTAACTTTGTTTAGTAATAATCAGCAAACGTTATGAAATAAACACATGCTTCGGGCACCGTGCCAAGTGCTGGGCATGTAAAGATAGAAATGAGCCCTGGCGCCCAGGAGCTGGCGTCGGTGGGAGGCACTGACTTGCGGTACGACACGTATGTAGGGGCCGTGACCGAAGCCAGCGAGGGGGGTGCAAAGCATGAAGGAGCCGCCCACCCAAACTGCATCCGTGAAGGTGACCTTGGAGGGCAGGAATTAGCCAGGCAGTGAGGCGAGGGGACTGTTCAGCTTTTGACAAGCATGTTTTCATTTTCAAAGCAATTTCTTTGTACTCTGAAACGAAATTTCAGTAAAACTGCAGTGCCTAGGCAGGTAGCCCAAAGTTTTCCAAGAATTTAAATTGAAATTAAACTTTACTCCCAGACACCCTAATAGTTAATTAAAGTATTGTATTACAGTAGAGTCCTGACTTTGTTGTTGTTGCTGTTTTCATTTCTTTTTCATTTTTAATCTTCACACGAGGATATTTTTCCATTTATCTTCAGATAGAATGGGAAGGAGAGAGAGAGAGAGAAAAACATTGATGTGAGAGAGACACATCGACTGGTTGCCTCCCACACGACCCTGACCAGGGCCAGGGACCAAACCAGCAGCCGAGGTCTGTGCCCTTGACCGGAATTGAACCCGCGACTCTTTGGTCCACAGGCCAATGTGCTAACACTGAGAAAAACTAGCCAGGGCTGTTTTCATTTTTTATTGTTGACACAATTACAGGTGTCTCCCATTTTTCTCTCCTTTGTCCCCCATTCACCCAGCCCCTGCCTCCCCCTCTCTGGCCTTCCCCACATTGCTGTCTGTGTCCATGGGCTGTACCTCTATGCATATATGTTCTTTGGCTAATCTCCAGCATCCCTCCATCCCCCTCCCCTCTGGGATCTGCAACCTAGCCTGTGGATCTATTTTGTTTATCAGTTTATTTCAGTCGTTGCTATTTTCTTTTTAAGGTGAGTAAGGTATTCCCTACTTTGATTCTCATGGGAAACATAATTGTTTTTAGAAAATATCAGAAGACTAATATTTCTACGGACACGCATCCTCTCTTCTTCCGTAGGATATTCTCCTGATGAAAGGTGAAGGAGAAGTTAAGTTGAATATGGCCATTGGCAAAGGGGAACAGGCCTTGAGAAGCAGCAGCAAAGAAGGTCAGAAGGTGATTCAGACTCAGCTGCAGACCCTCACAGATATGTGGACCAACATCATGAGCTCCTCCATCCACGCCCAGAGGTACAGATCCCATTTCCAGGGTTTATTTGCCTAAACGAACCTCAGCCAGCGGCTTAGGGAAATGACAGAGCAGTGCTGATGCTGTGCTGTGAGCGAGCGTGTCATTTGAGCCGGTTCACATGCTTTGTCTGTGCCTATGTCGTGCTCTCTGTGATGGCAAAGACTAGTGTTGTTGGTTTGCTTGCTGTGCGCGTGTGTGTGCATGCGTGTGTGTGTGTGTGTGTGAAATATTTACATCTCCCAAAATATCTCGTGGAATTTTGCATACAACCTGGGCTCAGTAAAATACCCTCTTTTAATTCATCAAAGCAAGAATATATGGTCTTGAATCACTTGAATATGTTCTCACTTTTTAAAAAAAATTTTGTTAGAATTTCCTCACGTATTCCTTTGTTTTCACTTTTTTAAAGAAACATAAGGAAAATTAAGTTGTTGGCAACTGTGGAGCTTAAGTATAAATATTTTTCTCAACCCAAAGTAGTATCAACCACACCGGGGCTGTGGAAATGTGGGGTGGGGTTGAGGGTCCCAGCGGTGGGACAGCCCTGGCATTCAGGGACTGAGGCCAGAGAGCTAGCGTCCAGTGCAGGGGACATTTTCACACCAGCAGCCATCGTTAGCAGGTGTCGCGGCTGCTGTTATATTTATGAGGGGAAGATGTTCACCTTCCTCCCTCTTCTCAGAGGAGCCACAGATAATCTGGCTGGCTTGCTGGACAAATGGCTGTCAGTCGGAGTGATATTAAAATGCATTCTAGGATCTCAGTCCTGAGGGTTATATAGACTGTTGGATCGCCAAAGAAGTGTGTACTCACTGTGATCAAGATAAACAGATCGATAAAAGATTAAAATTCATCACAAAACAAAACAAAATAATTCTGCAATTACCCACTGCCGTGTAAAAATGAACCATGGTTTCAATTAAAATTTGGGAGGTTGTATTTCGTTTTGTTTTCTTTAATGTGAAGCATTGGTAGTGACTCTTAAGTCAGCAGGATTTTGAGTCTTAGTAATAACTCAAACTAGTCAGCAAAGGAAACAAATTCAGATCCCATGGTTCTGTGTTTTATGTAGTAGATCAAACTTCCCAGTGCTTGGTAACAACCTAGCTCTGTACAAGTGAACAGGAACATGGGTGAATGTTTTTCAGATGTTCAAATAAAATGTTAAAACCAAAAAATAGATTCAAATCTTTGATTCTGCTCTTTTAGCAAGAAATTAAACTTGACAACTACACATGGAGCAGTAACAACGTTCAAATTGCAGTGGGTAATTGCAATTTTTTTTGTGATTATTTTTTCTGTGCTAAAATAATGAAATACACAAAGTACTTTTTACCCTCTAAATGCTGGGTGGCTACCTAGGGCCCATTCCCGACAAACTCTGGCTCCAATTGTGTTACTAAGACCCTGTGAGGCTCTGGAAGGCAGGGCCTGGGGAGGCTTCTGAGGAGCTGAGATTGATTTGGAGTTTCTAGAAAACTCTTTGAGGAAAGGATAAGACTTTTGGCGTGTATGATGAGGTTCCCATTGATGCAAAAGAAACAATTAGAGCAAATGCTGGAAGTACGTTTCCCACCGATCTACTCCAGGATTATAGGGTTGTATATAAGGGAGGCTGCGAGGGGTCATGGAAGATAAATTTAGAATAGTTTTAAAGCCGAATACTTTAAAATTTTAGAATGCCATCCTGGAGAGCCTTTTACTTGACTATCTAGAGAGTTATTTGGTTGAATATTTAATGTTTGATTATATTTCTTGTACTATAAATGCATTTAGCCTTTATCCCTTCATTGAGCATTTTATCCCTAAGTGAAAACCAATCTTATGATATTACTTAGTCAGGAAAATTACCCTAAATTTTAAATTTCAGTCAATAAATAATTGCCATCTGAATTTAATATAATAAGCTGAGTCCAAGAAAATTAAGAATCGATATATATTCAAAAACATTGAATTGATGCCCCAGTACTGATTTTTAACAATATATCCCATAAATTTGCCTATTTATTTAGAACAATTAGCATTTGGAAGACAGATCTCCAGATGCATATAGAACTACAACATCTTACTTAAATGTTTACATGAATTCACTTTTGTTTAAAGAAACTGTGCAGTGAGTCAGAGAAGTCATGTCCCCTCCCCCCCACCCCGCCCTTACAAACGTCTTCACCACTTACCAGGAGCATTTCGTGAGACAGCGTCCATGGACGCAATGCCCTCCTCGTTGGTTTCCAGTAGCGATGTCGAGATGACTTATTTTTATAACATTCATTCTAGCACTTTAGAGTCTGTGATTAGCCAATGGAATGACTACCTAGAGTGGAAAAACCAGTTGGAACAGTGGATGGAATCAGTGGATGAAAAAGTGGAGCATCCTTTAAAGCCGCAGCCAGGCCTGAAAGAGAAGTTTTCCCTGCTGGACCACTTTCAGTCCATCGTCTCCGAGGGGGAGGAGCACGCTGCAGCCCTGCCCCTCCTCTCGGCCAAGTCCAGGGAGCTCTACCAGAAGACTGAGGATGCGTCTTTCAAGGAAGCAGCCCAAGAGGAGCTGAAAACACAGTTTAATGATATAATGACGGTTGCCAAGGTTAGTGCTTTATATTGAAGAAAAAACACAACGTCAGGTAAAGAATACCCTATTGGTTGAATTATTGGGGAATTGGCTGCCCTAAAACTGTTTGTATAGATACTACATAAAGATAATTTCTCACCTTCGGATGCCCATGAATTTTTCCTTTCTGCGATCTTGGGATTATTTTTAATTTTTAATTTTATGATTTCCTCTACTTAGAATTTAGTCAACCTATTTTATTTTATTTTATGTTTTGCAAAATTGTGGAGTCTCAAATATCAGTGTTTAAAAGTTCTTTCTTTTACTGCCACTTATACTTATTATATTAAATGCCAATCCACTTACCTCCCAGATTTCAGTCACATACAAAACTCTGTGTTCATTTCTTATCTCAGCACAAACTATATTTTCTTAAAGATATAATCTCCTTCATGTAATAGGAAGATATTTTTCAATTCTCCATTGGAATCTTTACTTTTCTTCATGATTTCTTTTGTGTATTTGTGACAATGTTAAAGAAAAGAAGGGAGGGCTACTCCCCCCCCCCCTTTTTATTTTTCTTTTGGGAACTCTCTTTGCCTTATTAACATATGTAGTTGCTTATCCTGGTTTTTTTTTTGTAACATTTAAAGTAAAAATCAAAAAAACCTAAATCTCAATTCTGACTTTGTCACTTTTTAGATGTGTGATGATGGGCACATGACTTAATTTCTATAACCTCTGCAAGTGTCCTTTCCTATAAATTAGTGTCACCTCAGAGCTGTATGAGGGTCAAATGAGCAGCTGCATTTAACGTGCTGAGCAGAGTGCTTTGCAGAAAGCCAACACAATGTCTTAAATAATAATAAGAGTTATTATATTAATTAAGTGGATGATTAGTGAGAGATGTTAGTCAACATCCATTAAGCATAGATCTTTGTCATTGTTGTTAGTCCTCACCCGAGGATATTTTCCCACTGATTTTTAGAGAAAGTGGAAGGAAGGGAGGAAGGGAGGGAGAGAGAGAGAGAGCACAGATTTTTATGCAAAGCTAGACATAAGTAAAATGATAGGAAAATGGTTTTATCCTGAAAGTTTTTTAGTTTAATTAAGATTTGTTATTTTCATTTTAAGATACTAAACATGGAAAAAAATCAAGAATAAGAATGAAGTCTTCGGAAATCATTAAGAGACCAATATCAGACAGTTGTCTGATTTGATATTGTCAGTTCTGACGACTGCTAAAGTAACCTTTTTGTTGTTTACCAGGAGAAAATGAGGAGAGCGGAAGAGATTGTGAAGGACCACCTACTGTATCTGGACGCAGTGCAGGAATTCACAGATTGGCTCCATTCAGCAAAGGAAGAACTTCACCGGTGGTCGGATATGTCTGGAGATTCATCAGCCACACAGAAAAAGTTGTCTAAAATCAAGGTCAGAAAGTGGACGGATATTATAACTTCACTGTTTCATTGGTTCTTGAGTCTGACATACCTGTGATAAAGGTTCTGTGGATTAGAATCTGTTATTTAAAATGTTTCCTTCCTGTTCCTATTTGTTGGTGCTTATGACCTTGCACCGTATGCATTCTAAACACAAACAAGAGGAGAAAAAAGTAATTCAAAACACTTTACACTCTGAGCCAAATGAAACGTTGTCCATTGTCCGTGTAAGCTTCTCTGTGCAAATGTGCTTGTTGCTGTAACATGAGATACAAAATATACGCCAGCCTGGGGCACTGACAAAACGGGTGATCATTTTCCAGCACAGAAGAAAAGTTTATACAATAACTTATTAGAGGTTTTGAACAATAACTTGGAAATGTCATTGTAGGTGTTTTATTCTGCTTTCCTAGCCAACAGCACAACAGCAAGGTGAAAGACAGCACTTGAACGGACATTAAAATGATCGCCTATAAGGGCAGCTTAAAGCAAAAACTGTCACCCAACTCACAGAACTATAGACCTTAGCATTTTTTTGTTGTTGTTATTTCTAGTGGCTTGAATAAGACATTGCAATAGTTTCCTCCCTGTGGAAAAGAATAGATTTTAATCTAAAAATTAAGCAGTGAGGAAATCCTTAATGGTGAAGTTTTAGATGAGGAAATGTTGGGTATCGATAGTGTAACTATGGTCAGGAATGTGAGATTCAAATTGTGTTCTAATCTCTGGAGATCAGAACATAGAAATCATGAAAGAAATAGATGATGACAGTAATAACTACAATTTGAAGATTTACTTCTAAGGGCTTATCTTATTTAAATCTTACAATGACCACAAGGGTTTTAAATGACATAATCACATAAAGGCACTTTTTGAGTTTTTATTATGTGTGTGATCTTTTAGAATACTTCTTTGACACACTTCTCAGTAATATTTTGACTTATTCATCCATGCATCCATTCTTTCCGCCAGTGTTGCGAATCCCTCAAAGATCTCGGTATAGTAGGTATGATGTTTGCAAAATAGTATACAAGGTACCGACAGCTCAGTCGGGCTCCAGAATCAGAAACCCAGGGCTGTGTCCTGACTCTACTGATCCCTTACCTGTGTCTTTGGACAAGTCACGTGGTGTCCTCAAGCCTCAACCTCATAATTGGTAAAATAAGAATAACCATAGTCCCCACCATATATGTGGTTTTGAGGACTAAATTCAGTCACACACACTGAACATTTAGCATCATGCTTGACACACAGAATGCATTCAATGAGAAAATCCAGTGTATTTGGTACATGAGTGATTTAACTGGCTATGGAGTGGTAGTGTAGGACAATTCAAGAGTGACAGCCAAGACATTACCCAGAGTCAATAAAACTATGTCCATGAAAAATCAAGCATAGCAGAGGAGACAGGTTACATACAAAGGAGGAAAGATGAGTTCGGCTGGGAACAGATGGAGTTTGAACTGCCAGGTGGTGATGTCTAGGAGGCAGCTGAATGTTCAAGTCTGAATTTCAGGTTAGGAAACTGGATTGATGACACAGAATTGGAATGGTCGGCATAGAATTTGTAGTTGAAACCACCAGAGTGAATGACCCCCAAACCTATGTATAAAGCAAACAGAACAATGGGCACCAGACCCAAGCTCTCAACATCTAAGGGGCCACAGAAGAGGATCTGAAAGGGAGAGGCAGAAAAAAGAAGAAAAATAATAGAAGAGGAGGCCCAAGAAGGTGTGCTGCCACCAAAGCTTCTGGTGGAGGAGAGGTCACCCTCACAGCAGCCGCAAGGGTCGCCATTGAGAGGCGGGTGACAGAATGCCCATGAGACTTGGCAGCTAGGCTATTGGGCAACCACCGAGAGCCATTTCCACAGCCAGGGAAGGACAGGCGATGGCGAGGAGGGACTAGTGGTTTGAAATGTCCATATGAGAAGATGAAGACAGCTCCTTCACAAGGCTGCTTCCCGAGTTGCCAAATTGTTTTGTTTTTTAATACACTTATAAAATACCTCAAAAATATAAGACATGTAGGAGAAGTTGCTGACAGAAAGAAATTGCAATTTGGGAAGGAGAAAGTGAAGCCTCTTGTAAGTCCAGCTCAGGCCTGGATGTAGGCTGGTGTGTGGGTGAAGAGAAACCCGAGAAGAAATAAGTGAGCACCTGCTCTGTCCTTCAGAGTCACCCCTGCCCACCCCCAGGAGTGACCACCGAGAACAGCAACTTCAAAGCCAAATATGTATGTGGATGAACAGAGTAAGTGCAAGGAAGGAAATACATGTCAAAGTCATTTCAAAACACTCTAAAATGATCATTTCCAATTATTTAAAACCCGGATGAGTGGAGTTAGTGATTGCTGATGTCGAAATGCCCAAGAAAACTGGGCTGAAACTGGTTTTTGACGGTTGATATTCCATGAGCTCCAAATTGGAAATGACTCATAAAAGCACATCGTACGTTGTTTAAATCTAATAGTTAGACATCACTCTTTTGAAAAAGTTACCATTTTTCTTCATCAAATCACGACTTTTTATGCACTGATAAAACGGAAGGTTCTTAGCAACCTGCTGTTGAGGACAGGATGAATGTGTGTATTAAATGCTAACAGTGTAAAGGATTTCATAGCATTGCGCTTTGGACTAATATATAACTTAATACTTCTAAATTGTCTATACTAAACTGTGGCTCTCCAGAATATAATGGTGGAAGATATATTTATTTCAAGCTAATCTAATAAAATGTGAACTATATTAGTAGAGTAGTTAAACAACTTATGCTTAGCATAATTTACTAAGCATGCTTTATACCCCAGTTTCTCCTGAACCTATTAACTTTTCTTCTTGAAGTCTTTTTCCCCTAACAATCATTTTTTTCTTTCTATTTAATTCCACATGAAGTTATAATTTTTATTAATACTAATAAGATCCTAGCTTTAGCAACTATATATATATGTATGTGTATATATATAGTAAATATATAAATATAAGATGATCGATTCAATGAAATTCAGTAAAAGGATATATTCTCAGAAAGAAACAGTACTACCTATTTAGCAATGCACATTTTAATTTTATTTTGTCTTTTAGAGTATTTGTGTGCTTTAAGCCAAAACAAATTAAATTGTTAAATTTCTAGTGAATGTTTAAAGTAAAAATTATAGAAATAAATGACCTCAGGCTCAGGGTTACTTTAAACTTTTGATTAAGTATGTCTGTTAATTATTATTTTAGTTACCATAAAATGTTTACTTAAGGAAGTGAAGTATTTGAAACCGAGCGGGCTTGTGCTTTCGTTGGGACAGTTGGGCCTGATTCCTGGTGGCTAGAGATGTGCCGGAAACCACCATCGGCGGGAGCAGCAAGGGAGTTAGAGACTGAGCAGAGCGCAGCCCTGCGGCAATCTGGCTGCCAGTCTGCCAGCCCCGGGCAGCGGTGTTCAGCCGGTGGGCCGCAAGAATTTTTCAAACATGCCATACCTGACTATTCAGTCAGGGACACCGACCTCTTTTCCCCTAGACTGTCAAATTAAAAATGACAACAGCCAACACAGCAATAGCCATCCGGTGTGAATGAATCAAAATTATACCCATTTTCTTGTCAAATCGCTAAAAGATCTATTTTTTGGTGCGCTGCAGAATTTTAATAATTAGTTTATGTGTGCCGTGAGATGAAAAAGGTTGAAAATCACTGACTTAGGGAGATGGGGATTTGCATATTTATAGGAGCAGTACACTACAGGCAGACATTTAAGTCACCACCAAAACAGTTTCCCATACTCCAGCGAAGTCTGATTTCAGGGTCCCCGTTTCATCCGTGTCAGGATGTTTCAGATTCCGCAGCCGATTTTGCACCAGCCTTGGTGCTCAGGATGAGAAGGCTCTGCTATTATAACTCAGGGGTGGGCGGGGGGGCTGCTTCTGCCTTCCTGCAGCACAGCCTGCAAAAACTTCCTAGCAGGACAGGGTCCCCCTCCGAACATATCTGGAAGCTGGCTGTGAGTCAGCCTCCTCGGTTACCATGGTGATGTTCCATTACAGGAGCTGATGGATTCCAGAGAGACGGGGGCCAGCCGCCTGAGCAGAGTGGAGGCTCTGGCTCCTGCAGTGAAACAGAGCACGGCCGCCAGCGGGTGTGAGCTCATGGACACGGAGATGCAGGCCCTGCGCGCCGACTGGGCGCAGTGGGAAGACAGCGTGTTCCAAACGCAGACCAGCCTGGAGAACCTGGTCAGCCAGATGGCCCTTTCGGAGCAGGAGTTCTCGGGCCAAGTGGCCGAGCTGGAGCGGGCCCTGGAGCAGTTTGGCGGCCTCCTGACAGCGTGGGCTCAGCAGCTAGCCCTCCTGGAAGGCAAGACCACAGACTCGGAGACCGCGGAGGGCTGCAAGAAGGCACGAGTAAGTCGGCTGCCTGTTTTCACTGGTGGTCATGCTAAAAATTGGCTTTGGTTCTCACTGCTGCTAAAAAAAAAAAAAAAATTTTTTTTTAATTCTTTCTAACTAAAAGCACACAACATTCAGATTTGGAAGAAATAAGTATTTCTGATTCAATTTGCAAATCACATCTGTTTTCTCATCAATCAAACTATTGTAAAAACCAGGACAGAGAGAAGTTAGTGTTTACCCTAGAAAACAGTTTCTTGTTCTCAGAAAGGTCTGCTTTCAGTCTCCTGGTGTAAGAGTTTGGAATAGTGTATTCAGCCACTCAGTCTGAAAAACGGCCTGTGGCTAGCGGCATAAATAGACGGAGAGTCATAGCTGTTTTCCTGCCAGTGAATTATTTCCGACAACTAAGTGATTGACTTTATCTCTTTGAAAGAGATATTTGGTGATCTACAGCACAACGAATAGTTTTCACCCGGATCCGCTCTCCCGGTGTAGTTTTGACAGCTGTGCCTGGATTCACCAGTTCACAAAACTCCTGTCATGCTCGTGGGTTGCCTTCCGGACATTTTTTTTTTTTAAACTAATGGCAGCCCTTTCAGAACGAGAGAAAATAAAGCATGAAAGGGTGGAGAAGAATGGGCAGAAGCTGGAAATCCTTCCTTTCTTCCCTGATAAATGGTATCTTCGGAAGACTTTCTTTCGCTATCTGCCGTTTAATAGTGCTCTGAACCCTGGATGTCCTTAAAAGGAAGTTTTAGTAAAGTAAACTTCCCTGTGTCTATTCATGTTATAAACATTTCAAAAGAGCTCCACACAGTGAGAAACTCATGTAGTATTTCCAACGCTGTCTTGTTTTAAATCAAGCATTTGGAATAAATATAGCATACCACAAAGGAAAACTTTGTAATCGTCTCTTTATGCTATTTTATTGACAGTGCTTGTAGGTTATATATTTTTCTGGTGCCGTTCTTGTCCTTTAGGTTTAAGCACCAGAATAAAGTATAGAAAGCAGTTCTGTAAAACAGGGACAAGGAAGTTGGTAATTATTTCATGTGGTCAGTATTATTCACTCTGATGTAAAAAAAAGTCTAATATAATGTTTTAGTTCTATTTTGTTTCCCTTCCTTTCCTTACCATTGATATGAGTGAAATTTTTAAAAAGAAAGATTTGGTAGTATTTAAATTATATTGCCTTCTGAGCTATCATTATTTCTTTATATGGATTCTGTTAGTAAAAGTGATGGGTGAGGCCCACAAAAAGGTAATGCAAAAGTAAATGTAGCTTTTTAGTGGTACAAACAATTCAGACAACAGCCCGAGCTTAGATCTGTTTCCAGATTTGGCTCCGGGGCTCATGCTCTTGATGACAATACTACATTAACTCTAAATATTCAGATTTTCTTTTATTTTAATAATGTAATTTTATCTAAAAATGGGGATGATAAAACAAAGAAAGAATTATGTTATGGGATAAAGGTGTTAGCTAATAGTGTGGTGGTAATCATTTTACAATATTTAAATGTACTAAATCAATACATTGTATACTTTAAACTCACACACTATTGTGTCAATCATATCTCAATAAAGCTTAGAGCAATTTTTTAATTTTTTAAAAAAATGGAGATGATACTCCCATTACAATGAAAACAGAGGAAAGTTTTACAAAATAATGGATTTGCTGGGGTTTATGTGGCTTTGTTTTGCTGTTAGGGAGGGCTTGTCATTGTTAGCAGTCATAATAATAGTCATAAGCATTCACAGGCCTTTTCTTTCTCTTCTGCAATGAAATGACGATGCTCAAGAAATCTTTTTAAAAATAAAAAGGCATGCCCTGGCCGGTTTGGCTCAGCAGTTGGAGCATCAGCTTGCGTACCAGAGAGTCCCGGGTTCAGTTCCCGCTAGGGGCACGTACCAAAAAAAAAAAGTAAAATAAAAAATAAAATAAAATAAAAAGGCATCATTGTCTATAAACTACATAAAGTCATGTCACAAAATATCTTCTTCACTGTGTTTGCAAAAACTCATATCTCTTAATATCCATGGACTATTAGTGTTGGAAATTTAGGATTTTTCTTACCCTGTGTAATCGCTAAGGAAAATAAATGCATTCCAGGACTTAACTGAAACACAGGTATATAACCTGATATTTATAAAATGAAAGATTTCAAAAACATGTTTTAATGTATGATAAAGTTATAGACAAACTTTTTAGTATAAAATTTTGGCCAAAGCTTTTCACTTTTGATAATAATGTGTAAGTCACTCATTTGAATCTCTGGGGTTTCTTATTTACTTCTTTGGTACATAATAAGTTTCTTTGGTTCTTATAATGCTCTTTCTTAAATAAAAGATTCAATAGGAAGTAAAATAGTAGTTACTAGTTTAACATTTGGAGTTTCAGAGAGAAACGTTCTAATGATAATTTGTGAATTTTGTCAATACAAATATTTCCGATGCCTCTAGCCCAACCCTAAGCTAAATAAAGAAGCTGAAAGCTAAGAGAACATGATCCCTCCTGTAGAGCCACCATCCAGGGGGAAAGGCCAAGTTCAAGACCACTGGGACACTCAGTAGGGATGAGTGCCAAGAGGGCTGGGTGTCCCCAGTGACAAGCCACTGAGAGATGGGAAGGAGCCAGAGAACCCTTCGGGGGTCATTATGTGAGTGGAGGTACGGTTACAGACTGACCAGATATGTGAGGTGGGGGCGTGGCACCGTGGTACCAAGCCCTGGGGACTGAGAAGACATGGGGGGGGGGGGCAGAACAGGATCAAGTTAGGAGGATATTGTGCCGTTCTCGAAAGACATGACAGACATGTCAGAGTCGAGATGCACAGGTAGGTGATGAAAAGAGCTCTCTGAGACCCAGAACAGACCAGGCCTCGTCAACTCTTGCGTGGAGTGAGAAGGGAAACCGGCGCGGCCAAGAGGATGCTTCGGTTTCTGATTTAGATCAGCTGGAGGACAGTGGTTCCATTTACCAGGAGAGGAATGCAACACAGACCTGGTTTGCTGAGAGGCGTGGTTTGCCTACAAATCTAGGCCATCTCACGATAAATATCTCGGAATAAAAATAGTAACAGCAACAGCTCTCCGACTACTTACTCATCCTCTTGTCCCTCCTCTTTAATTATTATAATCATTATTATTGTTCACCTTGGCGATACTGTTATCCACACACTCCCATTTAAATATCTGGGAGTCGTTTACCGGCTGGTTTTACTCACAGGGCACGTATCCGTGTGCCATTGGTGTATTTGACACTCAGGATGTCATTTGCACCTTGTGTGACAATCCTTTGTGTGGCTCTGTGGACTATGGCCTTGATTTCAGAGGTGTGCTTATCAAGTCCCAAGTCTTTCTTTTGGATTCGCTGCTCACAGAACTGTGATTATTCACGTGCCTCTCCCACCCGTTAAATTGTGAGCTCTTCAAATATAAGAATTACAACTGTAGTCATGTTGTCGGGGTGGGGCAGAATTCAGCGAAATTCTGCAGACATTTATGTCGGCAGACATTGAGCAAACATTTAATGGCTATATGCATGAAACCATAAAATGAATGAATCATGACTTAAATCAGACCTCTGGATTATAAGAATTTCTTAATGTGCAAGTTAACTTTACACACTACACAAAATCAGGTGCTGTGTGTGGACCAAAACACACGCTGCTTCGCTTTGACATGATCTCTTTAATTTTAAACAATACACACCTCTTTCGATGTCCTAGTCAGAGTGCTTTTAAACAATTCAGGGTTTGGGTTTTTTTTCCTCTTTTTCTCATCCCACTTTAAGTTATTTGACCACTTGATCATTTGACTTCTTGGCAGCACTTCCTGCCGGAGTCCCCAGCCAAGGCTAGAGGAGGATCGGATCAGGCACGTGACATCATTTGCCACGGGGGATCCTGGCACTAGGTCTCCTTTCTTTTCTGAATCTATATGTTGGTTTGTCCCTCATTAATCATTTATCATGTGATTGATGCCTGGACAGTATGAAGATGTGGAAATTACCTGATTTAAATGCTTACCCATATGTCTTATTATTTCCTAACAGGAGATACTGGATGCTCTACAAAAAGCAGAGCCGAAGACAGAGGATCTCAAGTCTCAGCTGAATGAACTTTGTCGATTTTCCAGAGACTTGACTACATACAGTGGAAAAGTGTCTGCTTTGATTAAAGAATATAATTGGTGAGCAGGAACATTGTTCGTATTTAAAATATTTTCATACAAATAGGAAGCTAGAGATTTGTGTATTTTAAGGTGTGGTTTCCATATTAATATAAATTAATCATTAAATACGTTACTAAATGATGTGAGTACATACTCTAAAAATTGTTGCTTATCAAACATTCTTTTAACCTCCTTGATCATTTTTTTCCTTCCATTAACTACTTCCAATCGTGGCTTTAGTCTTTGTTTGCAAGCATCCAAGAGCTGTCAGAATAAAGAACAGATTTTACAGCAGAGGTTTCGGAAAGCCTTCCGGGACTTCCAGCAGTGGCTGGTGAACGCAAAAATCACCACCGCCAAGTGTTTCGATATACCTCAAAGTATCAGTGAAGTCTCAACAAGTCTTCAGAAAATACAGGTAAGCATGTTATTAATTAAGTCTAGTCATGAAGCTTAAGCGAATTTAAAAGGTGCCCCTTGAGAGTTTTAGAACCATATTAAAATTTTGCTTAAGAAACTCAAATTTCAAATAAATCCCTGCATGAAACAATTGACTATGTACATGAAGAGAAACTAGTACAATTATATGAATGATGCTATTTTATTTTTTAACTGTGTTTTTATTTTTAATTTTTTGTTTTTTGAGAGAGAGAGAGGAAAGGAGAGACAGATAGAAACATCTGTGAGAGAGAAACAATGTGAGAGAGAAACATCAATTGGCTGCCTCCTGCACACCTGGGGATCGAGCCCACAACCTGAAGTGTGCCCTGACTGGGAATTGAACCAGGACCTCTCAGTCCATGGGACAGCACTCAATCTGCTGAGCCACACCGGCCTGGCTAAATGGTGCTATTTTATATATATTAATAGGGATTCAGGAATTAATGGAAGTTCTTTCTGTGAGACTAGCATTGTGCCTGAGCATTCTAAGCAGATTTTTCATTTGATTTTCACAGTAACCACATCAGGTAGACAAGGTTGTTATTTCCAGTGTACAGATATGGCCAAAGAGTCTTAGTCATTTAACCTATACAATACAAATTATTTATTCCACCCTGGCTGGTTTGGCTAAATGGTTGGAGCGTCTACCTACGGACCAGAGAGTCCCATGTTCAGTCCCTGCTAGGGGCACATACCAAAAAAAAAAAAAAAATTGTTTATTCCTCCTCTGTAATTTTATTGAGAGAGAAGTAAAAAAATCAGTATATTTCAAAGCTGAGAGCATTTTATTATGCCTGATCTTACATTTTTGTTTACAGGAGTTTTCATCAGAAAGTGAAAATGGACAGCACAAGCTAAACATGATGCTATCCAAAGGGGAACTTTTGATTTCTCTGTTGACCAAAGAGAAAGCTAATGGCATCCAGGCCAAAATTGCAAATGCAAAAGAGGATTGGAAAAATTTCCTTTCGAATCTTCACCAGAAAGAATCTGCCCTAGAGGTATAATATAACCAACTACATGAGCACATTCTGTATTGTTTGTTGGTGGTGGTGGTGTTAGTTAAACCATACTTTCAATATATCTAAATATCCTTAGCAATGCTTTTGGTCATCCTTCTCTGAGTATAAATGAATGACTAGATAATCCTAAGAAACAGCTCAATGCTAGAAGTGTGAGCCTCACTGAGGAATTAAGTAGCTTCTTGCATAGTAGGGACTATTATCATAGACCGTAAGGAACAACCGGTTTTAATTTTAAACATATCATTTAATGTTTCATGTGAAATCCCTTAATTTGGGAGGTTGTTCTGAGAAAATGAACAGAAATATCTCGGCAAGGCCGCAAAATACTATGGCTGAGAAGGCATTTTATAACCAATGCAAATATCAAGTAGTAGATTTTAAGAGTTAAGTATGCAAAGAGACAATGCTTATACAATTTTGTTTCATCTAGAGAAAACATAAGTTGAATTTATTATAATCATAACATAATTACTGCCACAATGCAATTATATTTTTCTCGTGAAACCATCTGTTTTGTGTACCAACTCTTCTCTTGGAGGAAAATTTAGAGACATGGAGAATATTTTTTTCCTTTTAAAACAACACTTCCTGGAAAAGTAGATACTTAATAGTAGAGAATTAATACAAGAAAGAGAAAAATGTGTACTTCTCCAGTCTTTCCCAAGCCGAGACCACCGTGGTTCTCCTTTGTGACGGTGGCTGCAGTTTCGCGGCAGACACCCTCCATGTAATTAGGAGTGATAATCATTGCGCAGTGCCTAGAAATCCACTCTTAACCCTGCAGGGATCATTCATGCGATGTGATCTGAGCTCTGAAGCATGTGTTTTGAAGGTAGTACATCTAGCACTGACAGCAGGATTATCTAGTTCAAGAGATGTCCAAGAGTGGATGGATAGAAACAGCCTGCCTTCCTGCTCTCTATACTTCCTTCCTCCTTTCTTTCCTTCCTACTAGTGAAACACACTTAATATTGCCTATTATGTTCCAGGCACTATGTTAGGAATACAAGGGGGTTATTTTTTTCTTCTCAGAGAACACACTTTCTAAAGAAGGAACAGTACAGAAAGAGATGATTGCAATATAATACAGGTACGGTCAGCATATGATAGTCACTCAAAGAAGGATGCTACTAACTCATTTGGAGATGCTGAATAAGGTTTCCAGAGAGATGGCATTCTAACTGAACCTTGCAGGTTAAACATTCTTTGCATTTGCAAAGGCTGAGGTGTGTTTCTGATGGAAGGACTTGACTGTGCTGATCCAGGGAGTTATGAGTGCCAGCTATGTATGGGAATTTGAGAAATTTAAAGTTCACATGAGCTACAAAGATAAGATGGGAGGTGGAGATTGGAACCAAATAGTGAAATGTTTGTATACTAAACAAATTGACCTTGACTGTCAACCAGAGTTTCTTGCTGGAACCCCAGAACAGCATTCATTTTCCCACTTTTCTCATGGATGGAACATAACCCATACCATTCCAGATGCATAGGGGAGAGGTTATTTCATTGCATGTAATGGATGCTTTGAGAGACTAGGGCTTAATTCTCTCTCAAAATTCTGGTTGTGAAAGGCTAAGTGAGGAGCTTATAGGCCTTTAAACATGTCAACTCTGGCCACAGCGTAGACCACAGTGGGGAACAGTATGTAGCTGGAAGACCAGAGAAAGCTTTCATAATGTCCCAGATGAGAGAGACGAGGGCCTGGATGAAAAGAAACAATAATAGATGAAGAACTTATCTTTAAGGAAGAACACAACAGAGTTTGGTAACTAATCTGATGGCGAGCACAGGGAAGAGGAGAGCTTCAGTTCGAGGCCTTAGTTTGTGGTTTGGAAGATGACGTGGATGGTGGTGCCATTACCTGAGACATGAATATAGTGGGAAAGGTGGTTTTGGAGGGGAGAGCACAAATTAATTCAACTTCATAGATGTTAAATGGGATGCTTTTGCAAGACAAGCAGGGAGTAATGGTCAGGAAAGTAGCAGTTTAAATGAGTGCAAAACTCAAAAGAGTGGGTAGATCCTCAATGACAGTGATAGGGACTGTCGTAGGCACTTAACAGATATCAATACATTTCATTCTCATAACCGCTCTCTGAGGGAGGAGCTCTCTTGTTTCTATTTTGTAGAAGAGGAAATTTAGGCAAAAGGTGGTTAAATAATCTGCCAAATTCCCACAGCTGGTAAGTGATAGAGACAAGGTTCAAAGCCAAGCCCTCTGACTTAAAGTCCTATATAAATACATTCTATAAATGTGGGAGTTTGTGGGTGGTCACTGATGTTATGGGAGAAATAGTTGGAAAGGCATGCAGAATGAACATTTCATGGGGGGCCTATGTGCCCCAATACACAGGAAGTATATGAGGAATGTTGGGAGTTGCTTGAATTTAGTATCAAGCTGTCTTTATTCCTGTTCCCCAGGCCCATCACTCAGAGCCTGTGACTTCACTCCTTACACTAAGGAGCCAATTGTTTAAAATATGTTCTTATTGCTTTTTTAGAGAAAGAGAGAGAGAGAGAAACTTCGATGAGAGGAAAACATCGATTGGCTGCCCCCTGCACGCCCTCTACTGGGGATCGAGCCTGCAACCCAGGCTTGTGCCCTGACTGGGAATTGAACCAGGACGTCTCAGTCCATGGGATGATGCTCAATCCACTGAGCCACACTGGCTGGGAGAGAACCAGTTTTTTTTGTATTATATTTCTGACTAAGCCCCTAATGCTCTTCTCCTCAGCCCTGTAGAATTAAATTCTTCATCATGGTCCTTATTTTGCCCATTAGTGGCCCCACGAGACTCTAGTAAGAGGGAGGTAGAAATGCTTTGAATTTATTCATTTCTTTGTTTATTCAACAACTATCATTTGAGCACCTTCAGTTTGCCAAGGACTATGCTTAGGCTCTGGGGTTACAGCAGAGAATAAAACAGAACACAATCCCTGCCCTCATGAAGCTCAAATTTGAGTAGAATCCTCCAGGAGCTTTCTTGGTATCTTGCATTTGTGAAGCACTTTCAGTTTTCCAAAGCATCCCCTAGCTACCCATCTCCCTGGGGGGTAACTGTGACAGGCATGAGTGTCCCCACTTGTAGGCACCCTGAATTGACACAGTGGAACCCCGAGTCGTTCTCCCAGAGACTCCCGCAGCCCTTGCTGCTCCCATTTCTCATCTAACCTCTGTGGGCTTGCTCCTCGGCGGCCTGCCTAAAGCTTCCACTCATTTAAAGGTCTGCAGTTGGCAACATCGTAGTATACATTTCAAATTCATTTTAGCACTTTTATAAGTAACAGCGGATGTAGACAGCTTCGCTAAAATGAAATAGCACCATATAAAACTTGATCAAATACATTGAAACAGCTACTGGCACCTACACATTATCTATGAAAGTAGCTACCACATTCTTCTGTAGTAAGCACAGACCACTACTTGGTATTTCTTATATCTTTATGTATCGGAACACACAAATTATTTATTGAAAGCATAATAAGCATGTAAACCGTGTGCTACTTCTTGTCTCATTACTAATAAAAATGGACAAAACGTTTGCTAATAATTATTTATATGTCTACACTGGTGTGTCCTGGGTAGTGCTGGGCCCAGGCCCTGTCCTCGCGGAGCCGTAGCTTAGCTGTGAAGGTCACCAGATGGAAACCCTCAGAGCAGCCGGTCTGTGACAACGTGCCCAGTGACTGGTATTAACAGCACACGTGATAGAGTGGGTGTGAAGTCAGATGTGGGCTGGATAATTAGGGAAAAGGTCGTTTATTAAGAAAGTAAGTCCATAAAAAGCTCCTAAAGGATATTCAAAAATTATGCAGGTGCCAAGGTGAGGGATAGAATGTTCCAGATATTGGGAACAGGGAAAGAAGCAGAGGGGGTCTGTGGAATCTAGTTGAATGCCTCGGGAAAGACTTTGCATTTGCTATTGACCATTTTGTGCGTGCCCCAAATTCTCTGAATCCTCGTAGAATCTGAAGATCCAAATGAAGGACTTTGAAGTCAGCGCAGAGCCGGTGCAGGACTGGCTGAGTAAGACTGAGAAGATGGTTCGTGGGAGCAGCGACCGGCTGTACGACCTGCCGGCAAAGAGGAGGGAACAGCAGAAGCTCCAGGTGATGAGACTCGGCCCGCGCGGCCACTCTTACCCCGTGCTGTGTGCGCCCCTGTATCCCTGTGTCCGCGTGCCCGCGAGCACCTGGAACTCGGTGTGCTGTCCTGAGACGGTGTCCCCCTTCCCTATTTCTGACCATTTGATGTTTCCCGGCTTTCCTTCGAGGTGGATTTGTTTTTGTCCTGTAGTCTCTCCTGTGTGTAGCTTGGAAAGAAGAAGCCTTCAGGGCACACCGATGGCTACCGGCTGATCGATTTCTGTGCTCTTCGGGCCAAAGCTTCGTCGGCGATGTGCTTTTCCCCAGGCTCTTAATAGTAACTTGCTTGTGCTTTTCAGTCTGTCCTTGAGGAAATAAACTGCTACGAGCCTCAGCTCAACAGGCTCAGAGAAAAGGCTCAGCAGCTGTGGGAAGGACAAGCTGCCAGCAGGAGCTTTATGCACAGAGTGACGCAGCTGTCTGCTCAGTATCTAGCGCTAAGCAATTTAACGAAGGTAACGCCCGCCCTGTGCTGTGTGTGAGTGTGGTGCAAATCTGGAGTCTCGCTGGGGTCCTGCAGAGTCTGGCCTGGAAAGCCCCGGCCAGGAAGCAGGCGTGTCAGTCTGTCCCCAGCCTTGCAAGCTGTCTGTATTTGTGCTGCGTCATCTCAGTGTGGTTGTCCAAACAGAGGGAGGGAGGTTCCAAGGACTGCAGAGACGCCCAGGCTCTGTTCGTGCACAAAACATGCCCTTTTGTACTGAATTGGCAGGCTCTCCGGAGCTTTTATTTGAAAACCCAATGCATAAACATAAGGCAAAATTCAGTTTGGGGGCCTAAGGAATCTCAGATTAAATCACTTTGGAAAAATAAGAATTCACACCAGCTTACATTTTCGTGAACTAAATAAAATGAGTTCGGGATCTTTTTTTTTTTTTTTAATTTGTCCAAATTTTTTGTATCCATTACATAGTGGTCAAGGATGTGTTGATTGAGATTTTCAGTTAAGTCAACAGAGTAGAGTTCAAAACTGACCATGATTTGTCTAACTGATTACATTTCTTTTCTAACATCTTAGACAAAAGTAAACAGGATCCCACTAGGAACTCATTTACTGCATTCAGCTGGCATGACGCAAGCCAGTCTCGAGCTTGGTGGCAAGCCTATTTGAAGCTTTGTGTGGCCCGTGCATTTGTTTCTGATATTTGTCTTTTGCATTTCAGATCTTAGAATGTCAGGATCCTACTGTAATTTAGTCTTTAATTTGGCACCCTCGATTTTAGTGTGGACTGGCTTCTGGTCTGTTAATTTGGATCCTCAATAAAACGGATCGACTCAGTCACACTAACATAGACTTGGAGTAAATAGACTGTGTTTACACGAATGCTTTTCCTATGAATATGTTACTTTTTTGTCTTTAGAACAACATTTATAAGCTTCACTGCACTGGATATGGTTTTAATTAATAAACAAAACCATATTTATGGTCCCAACTTTTGTTTTTTTTATTTTATTTTTTAAAAATATTTTTCTGTATTGATTTTAGAGAGAGGGGTAGAGAGGGGGAGAAAGAGAGAGAAACATCCATGAGACAATAACTGCCTCCTACACACCCCACACAGGGGATCGAGCTCAAAACCTGGGCATGTGTCCTGACTGGGAATCAAACCGGGCACCTCTTGGTGCATGGGTCGATGCTCAACCACAGAACCACACCGGCCAGGCTGTGGTCCCAACCGTTAAAATTTAGTGATACTACAGAATCTCAGATGCTTGCTTTTTAGAACTCGTGCTAACGATGTAGGTCGTGTGAGTTAGATGAGCCCAGTGTGATGATGTGAAAGCTGGAAGCCACTTTGGTCTTTAGACAAGCCTTAGGGAGAAATTTACTGAGTCTGGGGAAAAAAAGGCACAATTGATATCAAGAAGAATAGCAACTAAGTTGTCATTGTAAATTATAAATTTTTTGCCCCAATGATGCTCACATTTTTACTATTTAGAAAGAGTTCACACGTCTCTCCGATTAATGCAGACCGGCCTCATGGCTGTGCAGCGTATGAACCTATGGCCAATCCTAGTTATCAAGCGTATCAGTTACCTTAACAATTAGAGTAGCTTCAGGCTGTGTGGGGTCGGGATGGACATCTGGAAACCCATGTCTGCCTGTTTCCAGGAGAAAGTGTCAAGACTGGATAGAATTGTTGCCGAACACAACCAGTTCTCCCTGGGGGTGAAGGAGCTGCAAGACTGGATGGCCGACGTGGTGCACAGGCTGGATTCCTACTGCCACCCAACATCCGACAAGAGCGTGCTGGACAGCAGGATGCTCAAGCTGGAGGTACGCATTTTTTAGAAAAAACTCTCTCTAATTGACACCATTTGTTTTTCTCAAAATTTCTTTTTTTAATCCTCACCCAAGGATGCTTTATTGATTTTGAGAGGGGGGGGGAGACATTAATCGATTGCATCCTGCAACCAGGGATTGAACCCACAACCTAGGTATATGCCCTGACTGGGAATCAAACCTGCAACCTTTTGATGTACAGGATGATGCTCCAACCATCTGAGTCACCCGGCCAGGGTCTCAACATTTCTGAAGTCTCCATCTCCATCTCCCTGGCATTGCTATGTCACAGTCTGGCCACGGAAAGTCTCAGAATCCTCTATTAGCACTGGGTGGGCAAGTCTAAGCATTCCTGAATCACTGGGCCAGGTTCACACACAAATGCTTCACAAAAATAAAATAACAACCCAAGTGTGGTTGTTTGCTTGGTAGCTGGTTAAGAGGCTTGTTTCAAATCACATCACAGACACATTTATTCTGAGAACATAGTTCAATGAAACATTTTATAGTGCAGAGCATTTTTCATCTTGTTCAACTTACTTGCCTGCCTGTATCATTTAGTCAAGTCTCCCATACCAACATATTAGTTCTAGTTTCCATTTATGGCAAATAATGACTCTTCCTTAATTTGTCTCTCATTCATATACTGGGTGTCTTCTATGAGACTGTCGCTCTAACACCAAGGTTTGAAAAATGAATAAAATATCTTTGGCCCCAGGATTTCATTGTCAGATGCTGGGGGCTGAAACGCAGCAACAAGAGAGATAGGGTTATGCTTATGGTTACAGACCCATAGTGTGGCACCATGCAGGAGGGATGGGGTTGAGAACCGAGCAGGCTTCTCAAGAAGTCTGGTACCTGAACTGGTGTTTGAGAATGTGCCACATGAGCAAAAGTAAATAAACAGCATGGTGTGTGAGAAATCACCTGCAGTTCCTTCCTGGTGGCTTGAGCTGACTCTGTAGAGGTTGCCAGGTCCAGATTAGGGAGAGACCGTTTTGTAGCTTTGATTCAAACCTCCTTTGTTTTTTGTTTTTGTTTTTTGTTTTATTACAGATGTTTCTCCTTTTTCCCCCATTGACACCCTCCTCCAAATCCCACCCCCTCCCAGCATTATTGTCTATGTCCTTGTTTACACATACATGCATATAAATTCTGTGGTCTATCTCTTCCCTCCCTCCCATCCCCCTCTTCTGAGGTTTGTCAGTCTGTACCCTACGTCTATGTCTCTGGGTCTATTTTGTTCATCAGCTTATTTTGTTTATTATTTTCCACAAATAAGTGAGATCATGTCTTTCTCTGATTGGTTTGTTTCTCTTAGGATAATACTCTCCAGGTCCCTTCATGTCATCTCAAAGGATAAGAGATCTTTCTTTACAGCTGCATAGTATTCCATTGAGTATAGGTATCACAGCTTTTTTACCGACTTGTCTACTGATGGACACTTGGGCTGTTCCCAGATCTTAGCGATTGTAAATGGTGCCGCTATGAACATAGGAGTACATATATTCTGATTGGTGTTACAGGCTTCTAAGGGTATATTCCTAGAAGTGGGATCACTGGGTCAAATGGCAGTTTAAATCTTAATTTTTTGAGGAAACACCATAGTGTTTTCCATAGTGGCTGCACCAATCTGTATTCCCACCAGTAGTGTACTAGAGTCCCCTTTTCTCCACACCCTCGCCAGCACTTGTTTGATGATTTGTTGATGGCAGCCATTCTGGTAGGTGTGAGGTTTGCATAGTGTTTTCATAGTGTTTTAATTTGCATCTCTCTGACGATTAGTGATGTTGAGCATTTTTTCATATGTCTTTTTGTCATTTGTATGTCCTGTTTAGAGAGGTGTCTCTTTAGGTCCTCTGTCCATTTAATTGGATTATTGGTCTTTCTTTTGTTGAGTTGTATGAGTACTCTATATATTTTGGAAATTAACCCCTTATCTGATGTATCATTGACAATGATGCTCTCCCATACAGCGGGTTCCCTTTCCATTTCGATGGTTCTTTCTTTTGCTGTGCAGAAGCTTTTTCATTTGAGGTAGTCCCATGTGTTCATTTTTTCCTTTGTTTCTCTTGCCTTAGATGTTGTATCAGTGATGTCTGTGTGTGATGTCTGAAATTGTGTTGCCTACATTTTCTTCTAGGATTTTTATGGATTCATGATTCACATTTAAGTCTTTTATCTATTTTGAGTTTATTCTTGTGTATGGTGTATTCTTGGTGGTCTAGTTGCATTTTTTTTTTTTTTTTTTTTTTGCATGTAGCTGTCCAATTATCACAACACCATTTATTGAAGAAGCTGTCTTTACTCCAATGTATGCTCTTGCCACCTTTGTCAAATATTAATTGAGCATAATGACTTGGGTCAATTTCTCGGTTCTCTGTTCTGTTCCATTGATCTAAATGCCTGTTCTTTTGCCAGTACCATGCTATCTTGATTACAGTGGTTTTGTAGTATAATCTGATACCTGGTATCGTGATCCCTCCTACTGTGTTCTTCTTTTTCAAGATTGCTGTGGCTATTCAGGGTCTTTTTTTGGTTCCATATAAACTTTTGAAGTATTTGTTCTAGTTCTGTGAAATATGTCATTGGTATGCTGATGCAGATTGCATTGAATCTATAGATTTGCTTTGGGTAGTATAGACATTTTAATGATGTTAATTCTTCTGATCCATGAATAAGGTATGTGCTTCTACTTTTTTATATCTTCCTCTATTTCTTTTTTCAATGACTTGTAGTTTTCTGAGAATAGGTCCCTTACTTCTTTGGTTAAGTTTACTCCTAAGTATCTTAACTTTTTTGCCTCAGTGCTAAATTAGATTCTTTTTTTAATTTCTCTTTCTGTGAGTTCATTGTTGGTGTATAAGAATGCCATCGATTTCTTGAAGTTAATTTTTTATCCTGCTACTTTTCCAAATTCATTTATTAAATATAGTGGATTTTTGATGAAGTCTTTAGGGTTTTCTATGTACAGTATCATGTCATCTGCGAATAAAGACAGTTTCATTTCCTCCTTTCCAATTTGGATTCCTTTTATGTTTTCTTCATGTCTGATTGCTGTGGCTAAGACTTCTAGTACTATATTAAATAAGAGTGGCAAAAGTGGGCATCCCTGTCATGTTCCTGCTCTTAAGGGAAATGCTTTTAGTTTTTGCCCATTAAGTATGATGTTGGCTGTATGTTTTTCATATATGGCCTTTATTATGTCAAGATATGATCCTTCTATTCGCATATTGCTGAGCATTTTTATCAGAAATGGTTGCTGGGTTTTGTCAAATGCTTTTTCAGCACCTATTCAAATGAACATATGGTTTTTATCTTTTATTTTGTCAAATCTCCTCCTTAAATAGAAGAAAGTGAATGCTTATGAAGAACTTGAACTATATAAATTAATAACATATAAAATAAATTACAGTTCTTTGTTTCTTGGGCTAGAGGCCTTAACATTTATAAAATTCTCCATCCTGTGACTTTTGAGAATTCATGAATTCTACTGTAGTTTCTATTTCTTGTATTAAAAACCAATAAAATAAACCTTCAGTGGAAAGAAGAGATTATTCAGAGAAGAATCAAGACCTGCAAAGCCAAGGACACTTGGAGACCAGAGGGTGACAGGTGATTGGCTATTGTCGCCCACCAGCAGGTGACTCTCCCACCCTTCACCAGATCAGCCCAAGAGACCCAAGGCTCAACACAATTGCTTATCTTTCTCCAATCTTCAGGCGCTCTGAAATATTGAAGGCCAGAAATGTACCACATGCACTTGATAAAGGACTTCCGATTTGCTTTTTCAGGCTCTGTTATCAGTGAAACAGGAAAAAGAGATCCAGATGAAGATGGTGGTGACCAGAGGGGAGTCCGTCCTCCAGAGCACTGCTCCGGAAGGCGTCCCTGCCGTCCAGCAGCAGCTGCAGAGCGTGAAGGACATGTGGGCTTCCCTTCTGTCTGCAGGGATCCGCTGCAAAAGGTCAGAGAAACTGAAGCCCACCACTGTGACGCCTTTGCTGAGAGACCCGTGTGATCACTCAGTAGCACTCTGTTTCCAGGGCAGGCTGGCTCTCTCCCTCCCTCCCTCCCTCCCTTTTCTTTTCTCGTTCTTTATCCTCACCTGAGGACATTTCTCCATTTTTTTGTTCAGATAGCGTGGGCAGGAGAGAGAGGAACAGAGAAAGAGAGAGAGAAACATCGATGTGAAAGGGACACATCGAGTGGCTGCCTCCCCCACGACCCCAAGCAGGGCCGGGGACAAATCGACACCAAGGTACGTGCCCTTGACTGGAATTGAACCTGCGACTCATTGGTCCTCATGCCAACGCTCTAACTGCTGAGCCAAACCAGCCAGGGCTTCTTTTTTCTTATTAGAAGAAAAGAAACTGGCAGGTACACTCTTGCATTTGGGCTATTTGCGATGCTGTGCCTTGTGTACTATAACTACATGTTTAGCTTATTGTTGTCACTGCTAGAAAGTCAAAGATAGACGAATGTTTCATCAAGTAAAGATATATTAGTTGAAACCAAGTCGTTTCCTTGGAGGACCACGCCAGGAAACAGCAGTCGAGGGTGGGAAAGGGAGAGGAGGGTGGGGGCAGGGAGCAGATAAAGGGCTGTAGGCAGCTGGAACCGAATCCCGAATCCTGCAGGCAGTGCTGGGAGCCAAAGCAGGTCATGGGTCTGGGAGCCACCCCGCCCACGAGCAGGGCAGCTGGAGGATTTGTAAATAAACTCCCAGGAGTCAGGAGGGCAGTTGCAGGCTGCCCCCAGGGGCAACAATCCCAAACCTTCTTCCTATATGGCCCTGAACGGAGGGCACAGGGAGCAGAGCCTGCCCTCAGCCCCAGAGAGCATGGAGCCGGCAGTCAGTCCCTTGTCATTTGCTGCCACAGTGTGGTCCCGGGTACCTGGTGGAGCGCAGTGTCACTACAGAGCACAGCAGTAAAATGAGGCACCGATGATCAAGGGAGTTAAAAACATAACCTGCGTGTTGAGAAAGGAAGTACTTAATTTATCTGTAAGAGCAATATCAGGTTTTAATAATTAGACCAATTCAGGAACTCTTACCCTATTTTTCCCCTGTAAGTCTCTGATTTTAAATCTCATGTAAGGCCGTGGCCACGCTTGTTCTTGCTGGGTTGTTCCTTCTTTCACTGATTCCTTCTTCCCTCTCCTCTGAACGTCCTGCTCACACCGAGGGAGCTGACAATTGGTCCCCTCCCTGACACAGTCTTGCTGACCCCGAAAGGCCTCGCGCAGGGCACCTCCCCCGGTTTTGCCCTAAAGTCTCTCCCGGGGTCTCCTGTGACCCTGATGACAGACTCCTAATTTTATATCCGGTTCTACTTTCTGCCTCTTGTCCCGAACTTCACTGTCCCTGGCCTCCTGAAGCGATGCTTGTGGGGGCCCCGGAGTTGATGGGCCTCCCCAGCCTACCCCTTCCTGATCTCTGTGAGCACTTCCTGCGGGTGGAGTGGACAGGGAGACACCACAGCTTCCCAGTACACACTCCTGTCCTTTCGAACACCTTGCAGCCAGCTCGAAGGAGCTCTCTCCAAGTGGACAAGTTACCAGGATGACGTCCGGCAGTTCTCGGGCTGGATGGACAGCGTGGAAGCCAGCCTGAACGAGTCGGAGAGGCAGTGTGCGGAGCTGCGGGACAAGACCGCCGCTCTCGGGACAGCCAAGGTGGGAGCTGTTCCCCTGCAGTGACCAGCTTCTCCGGATGCCAGTCATGCAGGATGTGCTCACCAGGGCGGTACCACAGGATGAGACAGGGCTTCACACAGAAGAAAACTATTTGGGGCTTGTGCCATCATTTCAAATGGCTTCTGAAGCTGGGCTTTTTTTTTTTCAAATTATGTTTTTATTGTTTTTTTAGAGAGAGAGAAAGGGAGAGAGCGATAGAAACATCCATGTGAGAGAGGAACATTCATCAGCTGCCTCCTGCACACCTCCTATTGGGGATGGAGCCTGCAACCCAGGCATGTGCCCTGACTGGGAATCAAACGGGGACCTCTCAGTCCATGGGGCAGTGCTCAATCCACTGAGCCACACCATCCGGGCTGAAGCTAGACTTTTGCTCGTGATTATTTTATTATGTGAGTGAAAATTTTCTCTTCCAGAAAAGCTTCAGTGACCGATGTTTTATGATACAGACCATTTAAAATTTGGCAACTTGTAATATCTTTAGCCTACTCATCATTAGGAAGTAAAAGTGCTTTCTTTTTACCACACCTTTTTGTATTTTGACTTTTGTGCATTTTTCATATTGCTCATATTAATACAGTACTGCATGTAAAGATTTTTAAATAGATATATTGGGGATATGTTCCCAAATTTTTAAACATTGATGGTAGTATTCCTACAATAAAACGCACACACCCATATTTTAATATGATCAGTATCACTGATATGATGGGAAATGTGGTAGGCAACTCATTTATTATTTTTTAAATGTTCTCTAGTTATTAAATGAAGAAGTGCTGAGTCACAGCAGCTTGCTGGAAACCATCGAAATCAAAGGGGCTGGCATGACGGAGCACTACGTCACCCAGTTAGAGTTCCAGGATCTGCAGGAACGATACAGTGCCATCAAGGAGAGGGCCAAGGTAAGGCCAACCATGTCCCATGTCGGCTCGCTCGCCGAAGTAGGAATGTTTCCTGTGCACACTAAAAGACTCATTTATTTTTAGAAATGACAGATCGGTGGAAGCAGATAGAAGAAAATGATAGAGCACATAGCAAAATAAATTTTAATACTTTAAATAAACCACTTGCAAAAACGAACAAAAACTTTCAAATAATGTTAATACGTGAAAGTTACTGAAAGAAAATATTTCTCAGCTAAGAATTCCTAGAAGTTTACCAAGTTAAGAAAATTTTCAATCAGCATTATAATGAAGATTTGTAAGTGCCTTAGTGTGGCTGGTACTGAGAGTTTTCTAAAGCAGGAGATCTGTATCAATAATCTTCTTCATTTAGCCCTCACAGATAAAAGCAACTTTTCAAAGCACATTCTACTTTATTAGACAAAGTACATAGAAAACTAATCCACAGTGAGTTCAAATTCATACTTAAGGTAATATATAAGAATTTCAGCAGTTTTCTTCCTAAGTAAATATGTATTTTTATGACAAGTTAATTCTTTTTTTTTTTTTTTTGGTATGTTGATATTATACTTCAAACAAGGAAGTCAGAGATCAGGAAGTTAATTCAACACAATATCTTTAAAACTTATTTTAATCCTAATTTTTTTCTATTTTTACATAAATCTTAAACCTTCATTCTTCTAGGAAACCATATTCCAGTGATTTAATAGTCATGCTTTTCTAAAATTCCAACAGAGAATTCTTACAGTACATTGAAACTGCATGCAGCCTTGTATTCCCATGTTAATCATCTTAAATGCTAATAACAGGAAGCAGTAATGAAGTCTGAAAAACTAGTCCGCCTGCACCAAGAGTATCAGAGGGACCTCAAGGCTTTTGAAGTTTGGTTGGGGCAAGAACAAGAAAAGTTGGAGCGATACTCAGTTCTTGAAGGTGATACCCATACTCATGAAACCACGTTGCGGGATCTTCAGGTAAAGTTTGTTTTATCTTAAAAACAAATCACTTTTCTTTCTGCATATGGAATTATTTTTTTAAGCCATGAGAAGTTATCATGACCTTGAATCCTATACATGGCTGATACATATTAAACGGAACTCTAGTCAGGTCTAATCTAGAGCATCCTGGGACCTCAGTGGAATATGCTAGTCGAGATCAGTTAGCAGGTAATTTAAACCCAGCAAGACCGCAGCTGGAGGCCTTTGTTCAGCTGTGACGGTGGCCTCTGGAAGGAATGGCTAGTGGCCTAATTTATGGTGTTGGTGGGCCACCTGCCTGTTGCTTCTTAAATGATGCATTTAGACATGAGACATAGCATCCATAAAAATAGAATGTGACACTTCTTAAAGTCAAACTGGTGGCCCCATCTTGGGCCATCTGGTTTCAACCCTAACCTCCATCTGTGAGGGTGTAGGTCCAAGGTCGGAGTCAGAGAAGAAGGAATTAGAAGAGCTAGAGAAAGAGTTGGTGACCAGCCAACAGGCTGTGATTCAGGCCAAGATGGCAGACCTAGTGGGAAAGGGGTCCTAACCAGGTTACTTACCATTCAGCATTTGTAGAATGTCTAATACAATACAGACACTTGGCCAGCTACTGCAGGTAAAAATTATTAAAATAATATTCCTGCTTTCAAGGAACTGTAATCTAATGAGAAGTGCAGACTCATTGGTATATCATTAAAAACAAAGTGATAAGGACAATAATAAACTAATGCAAGGAATCTTATGGGAGTGTCAGGGAGGCCTTGACTCTTACTTAGAGAGACAGGCAAGGGTTGGGAGTGACTCAAGGGGGCTGCCAAGCATACGCAGGGGAGAATGAGGAAAAGCCAGTGAGACAACCCCACATCCCATCAGCTGTGTGTTGGAACTTACTGGCATGCTTCAGCCCTCTTCAGAATTGGTTCAGGATTGGGCACGATGTACCAACAGCTTGCACAGGTGGAACAGGCAGGGACTGAGATGGTTAGCACTAGATTATAAAATGCCTGGCTAGCCCTGGCCAGTTTGACTCAGCGGTTAGAGCATCAGCCTGCGGTCCAGAGAGAACCGGGTTCGGTTCCTGCTAAGGGCACGTACCTCGGTTGCAGTTTGTTCCCGGCCCTGGTTGGGTCGTGCGGGTGGCAGCCACTCGATGTGTCCCTTTCACGTCGATGTTTCTCTCTGTCTCTCTCCCTCCTACTCTATCTGAACAAAAAAATAGAAACATATCCTCCAGTGAGGATAAAAAATAAATAAGTAAAGTGCCTGGCTATTCCAATAGGTCTCAGGAATCATCGTGGAGCACAAGTTTGAGGTTAGGAAGTTTAGACGCGCATCCGTGGTGGGACCTGACAGGGTGACTTCAGGCCAGAAAGAACTTCTCTAGCTCATTTTCTCCACAGAGATGTTTATGAGAAAGGATTATGTGAGATGGGGAAACAATGTATTTAAATGATGCTTCATTCATGAGACAAATACATAGTAAAAGTTGGAAGAGTCATACTTCTTTTAGTTTAGTTCAAGACTGCCTCCATTCTGTTTTAAAGTAGAGGGACACTCGGTCTGCCAGGTTGAGCTGTCGTGATTGATTTCAGTGGAGCTGACTCTGTTTTTGCTGAATAACCTCGCTCAGCACTTCCAGACACTCTTGGCAAAAGCAAGTGCCGAGCTCTCTGGGCTTCTGTGGGGACCCGAGCCAGCAAGTTCCTCGTCACCAGATGTTTCCCTTGTTCCGGTCAGGAGAAAATGTTTCACTTGAGTCAACAGTGGTTTGGCCCAAACCCAACTCCAACCTCTCGGGTTGCCATGCGTCCATTCTTACATGGTCTTGTTTTGAGTCATCACAAATGTGGAAAAGGAGACCAGGCAATAGTGGCAGAAAGAGGTGGTGGAGAATTGTCACATCCCACTGCCCAGCAGACCGCCTTCAGGACCTGGTGTGGGGCTCGGCCAGCATGTGGACCGCACTCACAAACTGTTTCCATACACTGAAGGTCATTACATCATGCAGGCGTCTACACTACTGACCCATGTCTTCCCTTCAGGATAAATACTTCAAATATGGGACATGTAGACGAATTTAGGTAACACAGTGGTGACTTGTGTGATAGAAAAATAGTTATAAAATAGGGAAAGGGTGATACATTGGGAAGATGAATAACTTAAGATGAAGGTCAGTAGAGGGTGGCCCAGAGCCTCATGCCTGTGTTTAAAATAAGTTTTACTGGAACACAGCTACACCCATTCATTTATGCACCGTCTGTTGCTACCTCAGAGCTACGATGGCAAAGACTGAATGGCCCCCACAGCCCAACAGATTTACTACCCAGCCCTTTCCAGAGAAAGTTCTCCAACTCCTGAATTAAGGAAGGAGATTAAAAATACAAAATTAACTTTAGCAACATTTTAAGAACTTTGGAATAAAATTTCTGTGTTGGTGGCCATATTGATTAATATTTTACCACATACACTGTTCTATTCCATTTACATGTTCACATGACAGCATTCTTGAAGTGACGTCCTAGCTAAGGAAAAACGTCCATTAGTTTGTAGCATCTGAGCATGCTACTTTTATAGGGAAGAAGAGTCAGATGTCAGCAATTTCAAATTGTTGGAACTGATAGTAAATCTTTTACAATGCGCATTTCGACTGAATGTGTTGGCCTTGTTAGCACGCTGGCTGGTTTTCACGTGGCCCCTTTCAGTTGCCGTTGGTCAGATCAGGTGTCAGTGTTGATTCTTTTAACATGAGAAATGCAAGTATATGAAATTGTTTTGCCAATATCTTTAAAGACATGAGCTTTTCTTGCTATAAATTATAGTTGATGCTCTTCACGAGCTGGTGCATGCTGGACTTGTAGGGTAAATCTTTGAGGTTTATGCTTTGGTGGGGAAAATATATTTGCACTGGGGAGCATCCGGTTGGCAGGTGTGACGATTCAACCTCCCAGGTGTGCATGGCCCCTTGCCCTCTGGACCAACTTTTCTTGGCCAACACTGTCCCTGGAGCGCGGCTCTGCAAAGTGTCCCTTCTTAGGAAAAAGAGGGCCCTTGTTCCTTCTGACACCAGAAGTACAGCACTGACTTCATTCAATGTCAGAGCAAGAAGCCTCAGGCTCTTGAAACAGATTATGAGCCATAAAAGGCCTCGGTTATTCTTTTAATCACAAGTATTTTCGCCTAAAAACTGAAAAGTCAACTTTCAGAAACTGTTTCTAAGATGATTGAGCCAAACATTCCTACGTGTGTGTCATTTGTTGCGTGTATGGGCGTGTTTTGATTATGTTAGTAGGAAATGTTTGCAAATCTCTCTCCTGACTTGGGCCATACAATTTAGTGTTAGGTACCTGTTGTTTTAAATACAATGGAATGAAATAATTCTGCTCTAACGTGAAGTCCGAGGTGGCCCGGTGGGCTCAGGTGAGACCCGGCAGCCTGTGCAGGTGCACACATGACGGAGGTGTGCCGGCCCTGCCTTTCTCCTGCAGGAGCTGCAGGTCCGCTGCGCCGAGGGGCAAGCGCTGCTGAACTCGGTGCTGCACACCAGAGAGGAAGTGATACCGTCGGGCATCCCGCAGACGGAGGACCGGGCCCTGGAGTCTCTCCGGCAGGACTGGCAAGCCTACCAGCACAGGCTGTCCGAGACCCGCACTCAGTTCAATCATGTAGTCAACAAACTGAGGCTGATGGAACAAAAGTTCCAGCAGGTAGACGAGTGGCTGAAAGCGCTGGAGGAGAGAGTCAGTCTCGGGACTGGACGCCAGTCTAACCGGGCAGCCAAGGAGACGCGGTTACATCAGATGAAGGTAAATTGGTGCAAATTTCTGTCTCGGTCAAAGAGGCAGGTGCCTTGCATGGTTTGTTTCATTAAGAATTTACTAATTTTTCCCCCCAAGGTTTAGATTTTGCAAAATCTTCTTCTGCTTGAAAAGAAAGTTAGCATAATTTACCACGAAGCATTCTAACAGCAGTTAGGAATAGAATCCTGAATTAATCTTTAATAAAATATAATTTAATGAAATATTTTATATTTTCTTTCTAGACCCTATTACTGTGCTTTGTAAAGATACATTAATGCTGGTATTGCAATCATTTAAATTTATGGTTCTGATTTTAAAATTGTTCCAATATAGTTAATAAAAGAATACTTGGCATTTAGTTTTATTCTGATTTTTATGCAAATTTGGTGCACATGAGCAAAACAATGCATAGGCCTTCAGAATTTTTTTTATTCATCTAGTTAAAAACCTATCTAAGTACAACAGAAGATATAAAAATGTATGTCACTCTACTTTAAAAATTTTGAATGGAAGTGTATGTAATATATACAGAGAAGTACTCAAACTCAGAGAGCATAGCTTTTATCATGTTATTGTATTTTTCATGACGGTTATACATGACATTTTCAAAATTATATCTCTGAATAAATATATTCTAAACATACAGTGGAATCATTTCCTATTAATACAGTTGTATCCATATAAAATTTTATGTTTTTCAACTGAAGTGTAATATATACAGGAAAGAGCCCAAATCAAGGGTCTATAGTTTTTATCACATTGTTGTAATACAATTTTTTATGAAGGTTAAATATGACATTTTCAAAATTGTATCTCAGAATAAGTGTATTCTAAACATACCCTGGAATCATTTTCTGTTACGAAATATATATATATATTTGTCTCACTCAACCATGCCGAAGAGTAAGGTTTGCTTGCGATGTTCGCGTCGTTCTAGAAGTGGCACGAGGAAGTCACCGCGTACAGAGACGAGGTGGAGGAAGTGGGCTCCAGAGCGCAGGAGGTCCTGGACGAGCGCCGCGTGAGCAGCCGGTCGGGCTGCCAGGCCACCCAGCTGACGTCCCGATACCAGGCCCTTCTTCTCCAAGTGCTGGTGAGAGGGCCAGCTGCTCCCTCCCCATGCCCAATGTCCTTCCTGTCACCCGCTACCGCCCAGTGCAGATGCGTCTTTATCACCCAAGGCACTGGCACGGGTCTTTAATTCACTGTGCAATGTTGCTTCTTTCTTTCAAAGGAACAAATGAAACTCCTGGAGGAAGAGATCCAGAGTTTGGAGGAAGCTGAGTCATCCCTACAGGCCTATTCTCATTGGTACAGCTCTACTCACAAAAACTTCAAGAATGTGGCTGCCAAAATTGATAAAGTAGATAAAGTGATGATGGGGAAAAAAATGAAGACACTGGAGGTAGGTGTGGCCCCATCAGACTTGTGTCCCAACCTTTCTTCTTCCCCTGAGCTGCTCCGCTGTCCCGGGTAGCGCTGGGGGGGGGGGGGGGCACGTGCTCATCTCCCCCGTGGGAGGGTGGTCCCTGGCTCATCATCTCACTTACATAGTAAGTCCATATCTCTTTAAGGCCAAAAGTAGACTTTCATTTACTGGCGATGTGATCTCAGTTGAATGACTTAGACATGACTGCTCATGAAATACCTAACTAAGTTCCAGTTTAACACACACAAAAAATCCAGACAAACATTTTATCTCAAATTGATGGCTCTGTGCATTAACAGTGTTAACTCGGGTATTGAGGAACATTGCTGAGGATAAGGGAAACACGAAGTTCTGTCTCAAGACACTAATTTGGAAATGATCTATAGATCAAGACATTTTAAAACCTATATTTATGCAAATAAAAGAGGATTCCTGATTCCTGGTGGGACAAAACTGGTCATAAATGTCAAAAATGTAGTTTAAGGGGCAATAGTGGACTTGAGAATAGGGTTTGTCTTTTCTTGAAAAGGAAAGAAGAAATAAGATTAACTCAGTATTTGTTTCCTACTCACCGTCTTCTGCAGGGTTTGCTAAAAGATATGGAGAAAGGCCACGGTTTGCTGAAGTCAGCCCGCGAGAAGGGAGAGAGGGCTCTGGCGTTCTTGGAAGACAGCGAGGCAGACGCTCTGAGAAACGAGATCCGTGGCCACGTGGAGCAGTTGAAGGAGCTGACCAGCACTGTTCGGAAAGAGCACATGACTCTGGAAAAAGGCTTCCAGTTAGCCAAGGAATTCTCAGATAAATATAAAGCACTCACTCAGTGGATAGCAGAATACCAAGAACTCCTCCACGTTCCTGAAGACCCCAAAATGGAATTATATGAGAAAAAAGCTCAGTTATCTAAATACAAGGTAGTGTGTTGTTACTAAATGACAGATGCAGGAGGGGCATCTGGGGACTGAGTGGGAGAGAGAGGGTTCCTGGTGTGTCCCCTAGTGGGCGGTGGAAAACACCCAGAATGTGTCTATTCTACTGGGGTGAGTGATGGAGATTTATCTGACTAGATACACTAAAGCAAAGTTATACTTCCATCAGGGATTAAATTTGCCTGATCTTCCAAGATTGTATCAATAAACGGAAAGCTAGTCTCACAGTGTGATCCACGTATAGGGACCCTCCAGGTACATCTTCCTGGCATCAGGATCTCACCCCTATTTTGTCTGTTTCATGGAGAGCAATCCCTTCATCTCTTCATTGTCTGTTTCATGGAGAGCAATCCCTTCATCTCTTCATTGTCTGTTTCATGGAGAGCAATCCCTTCATCTCTGAATTCCCAAGGCCTGTAAGCTGACCTACGGTTAATTTAAAATGAGATCCCGTATTTGTAAGAAAAGAAATTCTAATTATTCAACTATAGCTAAACATCTTAGAAACTGATTTTTTCAAAGAATAAATGGTGGTGTGAATAGAACCAGCTGTTCAGCATACAGAGACAGTTCACCTGTTCCGAGTTCTGAAACAATTATGGGAGTTTATGTGCGGAATCATTTGTGTTTTAAATTTGACCTGAATGTGTAAATGAGAGTCTCTGTGAGTTGTGTGATGACTCACCTCAAAGCTTTCCCTGTCGGAAGCTTTTTCCTCTCCAGCCAATGTCTGTTCATTCCCATCCTCGGCTTCTCTACCAAGTCTGACAGCATGTCATTGACCACGGAGCTCTTGAGGTGTTCAGACAGTGCCGTGAGCCTGGACGGCAGTGTTGAGGCTGGAATTTGTCCCCCTGACTTGACATGTGCCTCAAGCTGCAGTTAGCTTCGTGAGCTCAAAATGGAAAGACAGTACCTCACGCTGCATGGAGCTTTTTCTTCTGCTGGAAGGAACGGGGTGGAAGCTGGAAATAGAAACTGTGTTACATTTAGCCAGATGCAATTCTTTCTGTATTTACCCTCTCCACATGATGATGTGCTACTCTCTGTTTAAAAACTGCATTAGCCCAGCCCTGGCCGGTTTGGCTCAGCGGTTAAAGCATCGGCCTGCGGTACAGAGAGACCTGGGTTCGGTTCCCGCTAAGGGCACGTACCTCGGTTGCAGTTTGTCCCCGGCCCTGGTTGGTCGTGCGGGTGGCAGCCACTCGATGTGTCCCTTCACGTCAATGTTTCTCTCTCTCTCTCTCTCTTCCTCTCTCTCCCTCCCACTCTATCTGAACAAAAAATGGAAAAATGTCCTCGGGTGAGGAAAAAAAATAAAAAAATAAAAATAAAAACTGCATTAGCCCAAAATAATTTTTTTTCTTCAATGTTTTGCATGTATAGATTTCTAAAGTAGGTATCAGGTCGTCTCATACATTGCCCAGGCATATGGGTGTATTCCTCTTGATCACACGGATGAGCCGGCTCTCTCTCTTTTTTTTCCTTTGTAATTCAAGTCACTTCAACAAACCGTGCTGTCCCATGAACCGTCAGTAAAATCAGTGAGAGAGAAAGGCGACTCTCTTCTGGAGCTGGTGCAGGATGTTAGTTTGAAGGACAAGATCGATAAGCTTCAAAGTGATTACCAGGCCCTCTGCAGTGCAGGACAGGTAAGGCGATATCAGAAATTCAACACAAAATGTGCTTATTTGCTAAAAACAGGGTCCTGACTCCTTTTTCTCTGTCAGAAAAAAATGAAGGGCTGGCATGGGTCGGCATTTGTCCTTTTATTCAGATGGCATAAAGACGCTTTCTCTGTTTGTTTGTTTTTTCTGATCCTAGTAATTTTGTAATATGTGTAACCCTACCTACCCTATGAGTTGCACTGGGTTTTTCAGAATATAAAATCATTTTGAGTAGGTTTTTGCTTGAAAGTCACCTCTCGGGCACCTGGCTTCGCAGGAGCATGTTCACAGTCTCGAGGTGAAGGTCAAAGACCACGAGGATTACAACAGTGAGCTCCAGGAAGTGGAAAGGTGGCTGCTGCAGATGTCGGGCCGGCTGGTGGCGCCTGACCTCATGGAGGCCAGCAGCCTGGAGACCATCACCCAGCAACTGGCCCACCACAAGGTACGTCTGGTCTCTGAAGAGCTGCAGAGTACAGGACGGCTTTCACAGCCTGGCCCGTGTGTGTGTGTGTGTGTGTGTGGTGCACATGCGCCCACGCGCATCTCTGGATTATACGATTGTAGTTCAAGAACCAGGCCTGAGTCCCAAGAACGTCTGATAATTGGAAGAGTTTAATTCAATATTTAAGTGAATCATTGATAGTTGAATCCTGGCATTCAACTGTGAATACACTGTAGCATTTTCCCCCCAGCTAGTAGTTTTTTATTGCAGAATTTAATCTTTGTGGAATAATTTATCAAGGAGATTATCTTTAATTTAGACAAGTACAGCCGAAGATAGGATACAGAAATAGGAATCAGGAAGTCTGGCTTCCAGCCACAGTCTCTCCTTCTGAGCTGGGAAACAGCCTCTCTGAGTATCCTCCTTTCTTCTTTTTCTTTTTTTCTTTTTTATTGAATTTACCAGGTGACACTAGTTCACCAAATTATACAAATTTCAGGTGCACAATTCTGAGCCTCCTTCTCCTCTGCAAAGGGTGGTAATAACCAGGCCCTCACATAGCTGTTATAGGCATCACAGGAGATCACGTCTGTGAAAAACATTTTGTAAACCACAAATTACGGTGCTGATGTGAGGTGTTCTTTTCTTTATTAATATGTATTTTTAGTACTTATATGTGCCAGATGACAGATGTCATATGGTCACAATTTCATGGAGCAATCTTCCTGAACTTAGTAAGAAGCTTAATTTTAGTCATGATGTAGTCATCGTCTAATACTGTGTCTCGGGAAAGCCATACGCCTCTGGGCATCGGGATTCCTGTCTATAAGAGAAAATTTTATTTAGCAAATATGAGTAGAACACTAATGATATGACATATTCTATTAGGCATTGACAAAATACCCTGAGTAACCTCATGATGTAGTGACTCCAACTCGAAGACTGAATGGTTCTCTTCATATGGTGTGTATAATAACCATAACGCAGCACCGAGAGAGAAGTGGGGGACCCCTGGCTGCTGAGGGACCACTAGGTTTCCCTTAAATATATAAATGTGTCAACCCAGGGAAACCTTGTGCCAGAGTGAGTCGCTTGTCGTGAGCATTGTAGAGCAGTAAGGAAATTAAAACCAGATTTGAAACAGTTGGTTCCTCTTCTCTACGTGATCTATGAGAATGCTCACTAGTGAACACACGTGGGGACAGGGGTGTGCATGGGCTGAAGTCAGACAGAGCAGGTCCAAAGCCTGGGGCTCTGCCATTTACTAGTCGCGTGATCTCGAGTGTGTTACATAACCTCCCTGTGCATCAGTCTCCTTATCTGTAAAACAATGATAATAATACATATTTCTCAAGACGTATATGTTTCCTGGACTATAGCAAGTACCCAATAAGTGATAAGTGGTATATGTTATTTTTATTAATATAAATATTATTTGATGTAAATTAGACATTATATAAATTAATCATTAGATGTTAGGTTATTACATAAATCAGGTTATATTATTAGATAAACTAGATATTAGTAAATTAAATAGTAATTAGATTACTTTATATATAAACTATACCAGAATTATAATTTATAGAGCCGAAAAGTTTTATAAACATCCTTTCTCTGAAAATAATATTATGCAGCACATATCTTTCTAGCTGAGTTCAGCCATAAACTCACTCTAATCTTACAGGTTACTTCATCATCCCTATGTAACTTAACCTATTAAATTCATTAACTCTTCCCATCAGAATATTTCTGAAAAGTACATTTTTTTTCATTTGCTATATAGTAACCAAGATAAATTGCAAAACTCTTTCAAGAATATTATTAAACAGTGAAAGTTTAATCTTAAACTTCCTATAATAAATAGGTTATTGAAAGACTAAAAATGAAAATTTGAGGGCTCTGTTTCCTTTTCGTAGGCAATGATGGAAGAAATTGCTGGTTTTGAAGACCGTTTGAACAACCTGAAAAGTAAAGGTGACAACTTGATCAGCCAGTGTGCAGAACACCTCCAAGTGAAACTCAGACAAAATGTGCAAGCGCACCTGCAGGGCACCAAGGACAGTTACTCAGCCATCTGCAGCACAGCCCAGAGGGTGAGTACCGCTGGCACGTCCAGAATGACTATGCCTCAAGGGGAAAGCCTGTCCAATCTAGAGGTTTGTAAAAATAGTTCTGATGCTTCAGTCTTTGGGGTAGTTTGGGGGTATGTCCAGACAGGAACATAGATCTCAGTCTCTATGTGACAAAGCAGTAAATTGCAGACATTTGGTTTTTGCCAATCTCTTTATTCTATGAATTAACATAATTTTTATCTAAATTTTTTGTTTGTTTTTATTTTCACATCACCAATATTTTTTCTAATTTGTCTTTCATTCTATAACACCAAAATAAGTTTATTCTGTAATTTCCAGAATAATTATTTTTTTAACTTCATGCAGCTTAAGTTGTATTCTAATTTACTATTTCTATACGTTTGTATAGAATTTGATAAAAAGAATAAGTACCAATTTAGAATTATACTGTAATGGGTGTAATGAGTTAAACTAAAATGAAATTTCCAACATTATAGAAATAAATCTAAGACAGATAAGAATTGCCTGTTTAACAAAACTTAAGTACTACAGCTTAGGGAAGTTTTCAACGTATCTTCAAACAGGTTCTCTATCCCTTGCTGTTTCTCTTCTCCTCTGATACCCCTATGATGTGAATGCTGTTATGCTTGATTTTTGTCCCAGAGGTCCCTTAGACTTTCCTCATTTTTTTAATTTATTTTTTGGTTGCTCTGTTTGGGTGTTTTCTGTTATCTTGTCTTCTAAATCACTGATTTGATCCTCTGCTGTATCCAACTTGCTGTTGATTACTCCTAGTGTATTCCTCATTTCAGATATTGTATTCATCACTTATGACTGGTTCTTTTTTATGGTTTCTATGTTCTTTTTAGCACTTACTATCTGCTTAAGTTCTCACTGAGATCATCTATTTTTCCTCTAAGGTCCTTGAGCATCCTTATAACCATTGTTTTGAACTCTGCATCTGGTATCTTGGTTGTTTCCATTTCATTCCATTGTTTTTTCTGGAAATTTCTCTTGTTCTTTCATTTGGGGCATGTTTCTTTTTCTTTACATTTTGTCTCCCCTTTTGTGTTTGTGTATTGACCATACATGAGAATAAATTCAAACTGTATTAAAGACTTAATTATAAGGCTTGAAACCATAAAAATTCTAGAAAAAAACACAGGCAGTAAAATATCAGACATTTCTCATTGCAGTATTTTTTATGACATATCTCTCTGGGCAAGGAGAAAACAAATAAACAATTGGGACTACATCAAACTAAAAAGTTTTTACACAGCAAATGAAACCATCAACAAAATAAAATGACAACCCACTGAAGGGAGAACATATTTGCCAATGATACATCTGATAAGGGGTTAATAGCCAAAGTTTATATAGAACTCAAACAATTCAACACCAACCCCCCCCCACCCCCCAACAATCTAAAAATGGGCAAAGGACCTGAATAGACACTTCTCCAAAGAGGACATACAGATGACCAATAGACATATGAAAAGATGCTCAACATCAATAACCATCTGACAGATGCAAATTAAAATTACAATGAGATATCAGCTCACACCTGTCAGAATGGCTGTCATCAATCAACAAGCAACAAGTGTTGGCAAAGATGTGGGGAAAAGAGAACCCTCATGCACTGTTGGTGGGAATGAAGATTGGTGTAGCCACTGTGGAAAGCAGTATGGAGTTTCTTAAAAAAATTAAAAACGGACTACTTATGACCCAACAATTCTACTCCTGGTAATATATTTGAAGAATCACAAAAAAGTAATTTGAAAGACTATATGTGCCCCTATGTTCATTGCAGCACTATTTATAATGGCCCAGATTTGGAAGCAGCCCAAGTGCTCATCAGTAGATGAGTGGATAAAAAATGCTGTGGTACATATACACAATAGAATACTACTCAGCCCTAACAAAGGAAGAAATCTTACCTTTCACAACAGCATGGATGGACATAGAGGGTTTTATGCTAAGTGAAATAAGCCAGTCAGAGAAAGACAAATACCATATAATTCCACTCATATGTGGAATATAGTGAATAAAATAAACAATCAAACAAAATAAAAACAGACTAATAGATACAGAGAACAGACTGACAGCTGTCAGGGAGGGGGTTGGGGTGCTGGGAGAAATAAGTAAAGAGATTAAGCAAAAACCAAACATCTTCATAGACATAAACAATTGTATGGTGATTATCAGAGGGAAGAGGGGGGGGGCAGGTAGAAGAGAGTAAAGGAGGAATACATAGTGGCAAAAGGAGAATAGACTCTGGGTAGTGAACACATAATATAATGTAGAGATAATATATTACAAAATTGTACATTTGAAACCTATTTAGTTAACCAAGGTAACCCCACTAAATTCAACAAAAATATACTTTAAAAAATTAAGTACAATTAGTGAATTGCTTTTTATTATTCAATAATTTTTAAATGATAATGCAAGAAGTCCATGTATTTTTGTTACTGGGCTAGCGGGTAAGAACTGGAGAAAGACAAATGAGGAGAATGGTCTGTTCATCATCATGATAATAACAATAAAATGCTGGATGACATTAGTTGACTCCCTAGACTTGGGAATTCACCTTCAAAAAGTTGACTAAAGAGAAGAATAAAGTAATCTAACAAATAATTGTAGATGATGACAAAGCAGGAAAATAAGGTGAGACAAGAAAACCCCCCACAGCATGGAGCTTTCTGGTGAGCTCATTCATTCCCTTATTCAGTGCAGATTTACTGAACACTGACTCGGTAGCGGGCATCTTCCGTGCATCACAGATACAGCTACATGTTTTAAGAAACACTGGTAAATGTTTGAAAGAAACAAAAATTTAAAAATAAATTTTTAAAAAACAGATGAAAACCTTAAAACAGAGTCAAACTTTATAATTAACATTTGCAAAGAGTATAGAGAATAAAATATTTTTTTTAAGTTTTGCTTATAATGATAATAAATAAGGGATAGTCCCAATATCAGGTGAAAATAATGAATTTCACAGATGACGGAGAAAAACAGAATTCAATTATTGTATCTAATGTATCAATAATGAAAGAAAAGCCATTCTAACCTCATATCTTCTTTTTTTCTTTACTTTTTTTTAATGGAATAGTTTGCTCAGGCAATATTATAGGTGTATTTCACCTTGATTTAAAAGAAATACATAATGGTTTCTCAATACCTCTTTATGAATAAAATGGTAACTGGTTGGCTGTTTGAGGATTAATTGAATAGACATATTAGAAAATGTTTGAATTAGCCCTGTCCTGTTTGGCTCACCGGTAGAATGTCGGCCAGTGGACCAAACAGTCACAGGTTTGATTCCAGCCAAGGGCACATACCTCAGTTGGGGTCGTGCGGGAGGCAGCCAGTTGATGTGTTCCTCTCACGTCAATATTTTTCTCTCTCTCCCTTTCTTTCCCTCTCTCTCCCTCCCACTCTATCAGAAGATAAGTAGAAAAATAATCCTTGGATTATTCTGCATTATTGTTTCCTGGAGCATAGTTTATAAGATGCAATGAGGGTGTCAACCTCTCTCCTCCCCTAGTTTATCATTTAATTCCAGTGTGACCCCTCACCCATAAAGCAGAAGTATTTCAGGCAGAGAAATACTGTTCATCTTTTCACAAAATTGTATTTTTACTCAGTTTCTAGTTTAAACAAAAACTGCTATTGGTCTGCCATAATGGGGAAGCTACAAAAACTCTGATTTATGTTTGACAGTTTACTTCCCTGACTGTATGTATTCTGACACACTTCTACAGTTACATTATCACTGCCCACGTTCTCGTTCCCTAATCAGGATTTATACTGTAATGTGTGGGTTGGCAAGTTATACACCGGGGATGGCTATTGTGCTTTGCAACCTTTTGGAGCATACGAAAACTTCGTCGGTGCGTGTGTGGGGGGGGAAACCAATGCATGTGGGGGAGAAATCTATTTCAGTGGACGTGTGGACATGTTTTCTTTGATTCCAGTGATGTTTGTAACGGAATAAGCTCTCACAACTGCGGCATGATTGCTACGTTTCAGGTGTACCAGAGTTTGGAACATGAACTGCAGAGGCACGTGAGTCGCCAGGACACTCTGCAGCAATGCCAGGCCTGGCTCTCTGCTGTCCAGCCGGATTTACAGCCAAGCCCCCACCCCCCTCTGAGCAGGGCAGAGGCTGTGAAGCAGGTACTAGACTCCTGCACATGTGTTATGTCGTGTGATGCATTCAGTCAACGGCAATATGTTAAGTACTTATTACGTGCCAAACTGTGCAGGCTGCAGGGATGTAACAGCACAGGCACACCTCGTTCTATTGGCTTCACGCCTGGGCTTTGCAGATATTGCGCCTTTACAATCGAAAGTGTGGACCCTCCGCCAGCAAGGAGATTATGACTCACTGAGGACAGATGACAATTAGCATTTTTTAGCAATAATGTACTTTTTCATTAAGGTGTGCACATGTTTTAAAGACATAATGCTACTGCTCACGTGTTAGACTCCAGTACTGGGTAAACAAAACTCGCATATGCGCCAGGAAACCAATGCATGTGGTTCGCTTTATTGCGATACTCACTTGGCCGAATTGACGATCTGTCCGAGGTGGGCCCGTGGAAAGAAGGTCTGAGTGGGACTCTAGTCGTTGGCTCGTTCAGATACGTGACTAGAAAACTGTCCTGCTGACAACTTCAGATGGTGTCAGACTGGGCCAGGCTTTGAAGGGCTGTGGTGGCATCTTGGCCAGGCCCCAGGATGCATTGTACACCCCATGTCTCCCACTTGGTACACAGTACACATAGAATGACAATATGCCCCCCAAATGACACACTGACTCGGTTCTGTTAAGAATGCCATATGTTTTTATAAGGCATGATGTGTGAATTGGGGGGGAATGGAAAGAGGTCCTATCAAATGTGCCCTTGAAATTCAGCAAAAATCTTTGGCTGCTGTTTGGTCACTGACAAGCTATAGCTGCTCCCAATGCTTTTAGAATCAGGTCAACTATATAAATCTTAAATCATTATTCTTTCTAAAGAATAAATTCATGATATATTAAATTATATAAAGATATCTATAAAATTAATCTGATTCCTTATTCTCTTCTCATTTTCAAAAGCTGTTTGGGACAGATAACTTTCTCTGGGTCAGGGATATATAATGGGGTGACTGATGATAAAGATACTAATTAGAAGTGAAATACTTGTCAGTTTTTACACTGGATAAAAAATGTAGGTGCTACTTTTGACTTAATGGGAAATGGACCTATATTTGTGATGTCCACACAAGAATGGTGTGTTTTGCAACCCACATGATTCTGAGGAAAGGATGCTAAGGAAAAACTTAGGCTTCGTAATTGGCTATGATTTGGGAAAATCGCCTAATGTTTCTGTACATCAACATTATCCAATACGGCTTGCAGTCAATACCACCTTTCCAATTTATCAATAAATTAGTAAGTGAGAACCACTTCCCAAACCTCTACCCCCACCACCCTCCCTCAGGCCATTTGACTCCCAAGGTAGCCAACAGCTGGTCACCTGTCCCATCCCTGCCTGTCCCTCTCCTAAGAATATAAGCTCTATGGGAAGAAAGCTTTTGTTTTGTGTATGGCTTTATTCCTATTATCTAAAACAGGGCCTACATATCTGACTACCTTCAAAGAAACACATTTCTCCACATTCATGTATGTGGATTAACGATCCACCCGGAAATGACTTTCTCAGACTTTCCGCAGAGAGCAAGAGCCCAGCCACCTGCATTTTTACTAAACTCCAATGAAGCCCACAAATGCACCATGACCTTTTCCTTTATGTCTCCAGATCATGTGAAAACATGCTAAGGAACAGGCCAGAGTAGGGTGAAGATTCTTTCTCTGAAATGGAAGACGAGTAAGAATGTGAGCAGAGAATTGGGGAAAATTATAGAAATTTCTTGAGTGTTACTTTTTCCCAGGCCGTACAGACTTGATCACAATGAGAAGAAAATGACAGACAACGGGTCCCTGCCTGTGTGTTTTAATTCTTTCTGCGAGTCACTAACACATGTCATTTACAACATGAGTTGTAAATACTGAATGCAGCATAATTCTTTTTGAAATGTCAACAGAACGTTACAAAGATTTGCTGTCTACATATAGCACGTGTCTCTTCCATCCTGACGAGTGTGTTTTTTTAAGGTCAAACACTTCAGGGCTTTGCAGAAGCAGGCGAGGACCTACTTAGATCTCCTCTGCTCCATGTGCGACTTGTCCAACTCTTCAGTGAAAACCACAGCAAAAGATATTCAACAAACAGAGCACATGGTAAAATGTTTAAAAGCAACACTAGATTTGACTATTTTAATTTGTTCTCTGGCTTGAATGTTAGATGTGACATTTAAAGAAAATATATCCTTGAACCATTCCGGCTGTAAAGCTCCTACCGTGATTATAATAAACAGACATTTGAATTTCAACTAAGTCGCAGAAAGTAAGCACACTCTGCTCCTGAAGCCACTGAATTAGAACTGCAACATTTAGTCCCATTGATCTGCTAATTATTAGTACTTCTTTCCTCCTCTTTTTTTTCCCCCTTAATTACCATTCTTTTTTTCTATTTTTCCACTCATTTGTTTGTTTTGTTTTCTCCTTTTCATCTTTTTCTTTAGGCAATACTTAGTATAGAGGAGGTTTCTAACACATGCTCTGTGTTAGGGACGGCAAAGAGCCTCTACTCCACTGGCAATGACTGTGGTGTTGAGGATTCCAAAGCTGCATCATGGAAAATGCTGATGAGTTAGCAGTACCTGTCCACAGCAGACAGAGGGCAGCACTGGGCCATGTGTGCCACACTGCCACCTTAAACTCTAATACTCTTGGGTTTGAAAAAAAAAATAAGACTTTGCTTTGGTTTTTAATTGGATAAATATTTGAAGAATAGTAAATTCACCCAAAGCAAAAAAAAGTCTTCAAATAATGTAGGTTTTTCACTTTTTATGTTATATTATCAAACTGTATCTGTCTTTAAATCCTTATGAAAATGCAATAATTCCTATATTTTTACAGAAATGATTTATTAAAATAAATTATATGGTGTCACGAACCAGTGAAGCAGATCTAAAAATATATTTAAAATATTAGTGACTCGGTGTTTTATAAGAAGTAACAACAAATGTACAATAGAGAACAATGGAAGTCTTTTCTAGTTAACCCCAAGACTAAATTCGCGAGTTAATCAGATGTGGAAAACCATTAGGGCAACTTTTGACCTAGTAAATTGTTAAAACTTCTTAAAGTCTCACAACACAGATTGAAAGTATATGGCATGTCTTAGACATGTGAAGTTCTTGGAAAACCTAAATATAAAAAGAAAATCTACTTTTCTTTCTTTATTGATTATTTTAGAGAGGGAGGAAGGGAGACGGAGAGAGAGATAGAAACATTGATGAGAGAGAACATTGACTAGCCGCCTCCTGCACACCCCCTTCTGGGGATAGGGCCCACATCCTGGGCATGTGCCCTGACTAGGAATCGAACCGGTAACCTCCTGGTGCATGGGTTGATGCTCAACCACTGAACCACACCAGCTGGGTGAAAATCTACTTTTCTTGAAGCAAAGAAAGAATTATCTACTTTTCTTGAAGCAAAGAAAGAATTCTTTGTAGATTTATCACTGTGTGTGTGTGTGTGTGTGTGTGTGTGTGTACAGGCTGAAGAATTGCATCTCTGATTCACTGGACATAAATGTTTCTATCTATTGCCACTGACTTTTGCCTCTGTGTTCTCACAAGATCGAACAAAGGCTTGAGCAGGCACAGAACTTAACTCAGGGCTGGGAAGAGATCAAGCACATGAAAGCCGAGCTTTGGATTTACCTCCAGGACGCTGATCAGCAACTGCAGAATATGAAGCGGAGGCATGCGGAACTGGAGCTCAACATTGCACAGAACATGGCTTCCCAAGTAAAGGTAGGAGCTAGTGGGTCTCCAGGGCAGACAGAGAAGACCAAGGTGGTGTGTGTCCATCGATCCTTAAACATTAGCATAGCTATGTAAGGAATCAAACAGAATCAGAACAACGTTCATTTGGTGCCAGGAAAGGACAGATCAGAGAGTAAACAAACATGTAAAGTACAGCATAGGACATAGAGTCAATAACATTGTAATAACATGGTGTCAGGTGACACTACACACGTGGGGGATCACTTCAGACGTTATAGAAATGTCTCACCACTATATTGTACACCTGAAACTCATATAACAGTGAATGTCAACTGTAATTGAAAAACAAAAGTAATGATTGAAAAAACAAAAGTCAACATTCAAATACTATATTGGAGCTCTAATCGGCTACTTGCATCAAAGGACCCTCAGCCTCCCTTTGTTCCTGAGCAAAGCAGCTATAGTTTAGCTGACAGAGCCAGACGCCTCTGCCGTTAAACACACACAAACCTCATCACTTAACATCTTTTCATCACGACATTGTTAGAGCCACAGGACCGTAAGGGTACGATGCAATTAAATAGACATTTAATCTATAAAATAGACATTAATTAATATATAATTAATTTAAATATAATAGAGATATAATTGCTATTCCATATTTACATATAGTTTAATAGAAGATTATTTTGACTCGGGAAGTGGTACCAGATTTTTAACAAACCTTAAGGTTTATTTTTCTGTGAGAGTAATTCATTTATCATTTCTACTGAAATACAGTTTGCATATGCAGAAAAAACAAGATGGCATCAAAGAGATTGCTTTTTTTCCTCAAAAGCAGGAACTTCCAAAGCTTTTAGAAAATTGGAAATTAAGGCCATGCTTTAAGATAAAATATTAACGTTTTTCCTCAGTGAATATAATGCCATTCACATTTCTCAGTTTTTCTCTATACTGTTGAAAATTACACAATAAAATACCACAGTCATCCCTTAATTCTTATACACTTGGAAATGTGTGTTCATGAAGAGGCATGATACTTTCGAGTTTCTCTTTGTCCTGTGTGACCCATTCATTGACATGCTTTAGCTATTTAAAGTGTTAGAGGTATTACATCTATGCCTCATGCTATATTTATTGGGGAGTGTATGGCACGTTATTTATTTTGTCACTGTTGTTACCTTTAGGATTTTGTGAAGAAACTACAGTGCAAGCAGGCATCCGTGACAGCTATTACGGAAAAGGTGGATCAGTTAACCAAAGAGCAGGAGTCTCCTGAACACAAGGAAATAAGTCATCTGAATGACCAGTGGCTAGACCTGTGCCTCCAGTCTAACAACCTGTGCTTGCAAAGGGAAGAGGATCTTCAGAGGACGAGAGATTACCATGAATGTATGGGTGTCGTTGAAGTGTTCTTGGAAAAATGTACTACAGAATGGGACAGCTTAGCCAGGTAACAGCAGTTCTCCAGTGAGTTGCCAAAATACTAAGCCAGAAATGGCTGAATTTCTATAAAAATGCAAACGGTCTTTCTTCTGTTTCTAACATCTATTGTCTATAATTATTGATTTTGACAAAACATTATTCAGAGGCTCGTGTTGACATACGGATACAGAGCCATGGTTGTTTTTGCTTGGTGTTAATATAACCAGTAAGTAAAAGGGAAAATGTTTGGAAACAGCACCATCTTTCTCTGGGACCTCGAAGAATATTGCAAGACTGTTTCAACTGTTGTTTAATTACCAGTTATGGTGCTATCATCTATGGTAATACCGGTTATAGTATTAACAGTTATGGTACAATTTCATTTATTTTATTAATGAAATAAATCTTTACATTCCATAGTCTTCTTATCAACTCTGTAAAGTAATAATTCAATGTAATTCAGTCAAGTTTTGTCTTGCATTTGTTTGTGGTATTATAGAAATCAACAGACAAACCAAATTAAATTAATATGTGCTATTTGTGATGTTGTAGTGATTGAACTCTTCTTGGCTTTTTCTTTGAAAAATAAGGATCCCCTTCCTCCAGCCCTACACACTGGGTCTTCATATGGACATCTTTCTATACTTCTGATCACTCTATGTAGTGAAATTTGCATGTCCTGGGCCCAAATTTATTAATTTGCATCAAATAAAACTTACATAATTCTAGGTAGAATTGAATCAAGTGGGGTTTTTTTGTTTTGTTTTGTTTTGTGAAAATTGCACTATTTTCTAGTTTGTTTGCAGAACTTTTCCTTAAAGCTGAACATTTTACTGGTCTTTGAAGTAAATCCTGTCAATATCAGTAAGAACCCATATCAAAGGCTTACAATAGGCACCTCCGTCAACCAGCCTGCAGGCACCTCAAACCTAGTTATGCCCCAAACAGAACTCTCATTCTGCTTTCCAAGCCTGTTCCATGTACTTCGAATTGATTGTTTTGTAAATGAAAGAGAAAGATTTCATTTTCTCATCTGCCTGTGGTCAAAAGGATGAGAATTCTTTGCATTTCACACCTATTTTAGAGATTTTTAATCATAAACCAAACATATCTGAGTAGCTAGAGAGCCCTTGGTCACGTCTTGCAGATTTCCTGTCTAGCGCTATGTTATTTGCTTGAGCTTCTTCTCGCAGAAAAGCACAGACATCGGGGGCCACTTATTCATTTCTTTAAGTGCCATTCCCAAGAATGGAGTAGACCAGTGCTTCCCAGTGTGTAGTGTTTATACAAATCCTCCAGGGACCTTGCTAGTGTGCAGCTCCTTCTGTGTCTGTGAGGGCCAGAGGAAGAAGCTAAAGTACATATCAGATGTGCTGGGAGGGCTGGAGGAGCCAGAAGATAGGAAAGAGGTATTGAGGCAATTCGTTCTGGCTCAGCATCTGATATAAAAAATATGGGCCGTTATATTCCATAATAAATATAGCACCCGGGTCAGTAAACTCTTAAGAACACCCTCTTAAAGAAAATGGTGAAAGCACTGTCCCATGGACTGAGAGGTCCCAGTTCGGTTCCTGGTCAGGGCACATGCCTGGGTTGTGGGCTCGATCCCCAGCAGGGGGCGTGCAGGAGGCAGCCCATCCGTGTATCTTACACCCATGCTACTATTTCTCTTACATCGATGCTTCTATTTCTCTCTCCCTTCCTCTGTCTCTAAACGAATAAATAAAAACATATAAAAAAAGAAAATGGTGAAAAAAACATATAAAAATAAAAGAAAATGGTGACATGCAACATGGACTGAACAAATAGATACTGAGCTGGCTAATTTGCTTTGTCTTTCGTGTCTGCAGATCTGACGCGGAGAGCACAGCTGTCCATCTGGAAGCTCTGAAGAATCTAGCGCTGACGCTGCAGGAGAGGAAGCAGGCTCTGGAAGACCTGAAAGAGAAAAAGCAGAGAATGACAGAGCATCTGAATTTGGATGACAGAGATTTGGTCAAAGAACAGACGAGTCACCTTGAACAGCGTTGGTTTCAGCTGGAAGACCTTGTTCAGAGGAAAATCCAAGTCTCGGTCACCAATCTGGAGGAGCTGAACGTGGTGCGGGCCAGGTTTCAGGAGCTGATGGAGTGGGCAGAGGAGCAGCAACCCAACATCGCTGAGGCCCTCAAGCAGAGCCCCCCGCCCGATATGGCTCAGAACCTTCTCATGGACCACCTCGCCATCTGCAGTGAACTGGAGGCCAAACAGATGCTCCTGAAGGCCCTCACAAAGGACGCGGACAGAGTGATGGCCGACCTCGGCCTCAACGAGCGGCAGTTAATCCAGAAGGCGCTGTCCGACGCACAGAGGCACGTGAGTTGTCTCAGCGACTTAGTGGGCCAGAGGCGAAAGTACTTGAACAAGACGCTGTCCGAGAAGACCCAGTTCCTCATGGCGGTGTTCCAGGCCACCAGCCAGATCCAGCAGCACGAGCGGAAGATCCTGTTCCGTGAGCACATCTGCCTGTTACCGGACGACGTGAGCAAGCAGATTAAAACGTGTAGGAGTGCTCAGGCCAGCCTCAAGACCTACCACAGCGAAGTCACGGGACTCTGGGCCCAGGGCCGGGACCTCATGAGAGGCGCCGCGGAGCAGGAAAAGAGCGAGGTGCTGGGAAGACTCCAGGAACTGCAGAGCGTCTACGACACCGTCCTGCAGAGCTGCGGCCACCGGCTCCAGGAACTGGAGAAAAGTCTGGTTTCCAGGAAGCATTTTAAGGAAGATTTTGATAAAGCTTGTCACTGGCTGAAACAAGCAGATATCGTTACGTTCCCCGAAATCAACCTAATGAACGAGAGTCCAGAGCTCCAAACACAGCTGGCCAAATACCAGCGCATCCTTGAGCAAACTCCAGAGTACGAAAATCTCCTCCTCTCGCTGCAGAGGGCTGGGCAGGCCATGCTGCCGTCGCTGAACGAAGTCGACCATTCCTACCTCGGCGAAAAGCTGAACGCTCTGCCCCTGCAATTCAATGTCATCGTCGCCTTGGCTAAGGACAAGTTCTATAAGGTCCAAGAAGCAATTCTCGCCCGGAAGGAATACGCTTCCTTGATTGAGCTGACCAGCCAGTCTCTGGGTGAGCTTGAAGACCAGTTCTCAAAGATGAGCCCGGTCCCCACCGCCCTGGCGGCTGAGGAGGCTCAGCGTCTTCAGGACAGTTGCAGGGCTCTTCTGGGCCAGGTGGCTGGCCTCGGGGAAGCAGTGGATGAGCTGAACCAGAAGAAGGAAAGTTTTCGCAGCACGGGGCAGCCGTGGCAGCCGGACAGGATGCTGCCGCTCGTCACCTTGTACCACAGGCTGAAGCGACAAGCAGAACAGAGGGTTGGCTTGTTAGAAGACACCACCTGTGCTTACCAAGAGCACGAGAAGCTGTGCCACCAGCTGCAGAGACAGCTGGAGGCTGCGAAAGCGGAGCAGTCCAGCGTGAACGAGGAGACGCTTCCCGCCGAGGAGAAGCTGAAGCTGTACCACGCCCTGGCGGGGAGCCTTCAGGACTCGGGCATTCTGCTGAAGCGAGTGACCATGCATCTTGAAGACCTTGTCCCACACCTTCACCCCTCGGCCTATGAGAAAGCCAAGCATCAGATCCAGTCCTGGCAGGAGGAGTTGAAACTGCTGACTTGCGCCGTTGGCGCCACGGTGACGGAGTGTGAGGGCCGCATGGTGCAGAGCATCGACTTCCAGACCGAGCTGAGCCGCTCCTTGGACTGGCTGCGGAGTGTGAAGGCAGAGCTCAGCGGGCCGGTGCGCCTGGACCTGAACCTCCGGGCCATCCAGGAGGAGATCAGAAAGGTCCAAATCCACCAGGAAGAGGTCCAGTCCAGCCTGAGGATCCTGAATGCCCTGAGCACCAAGGAGAAGGAGAAATTCACGAAAGCCAAGGAGCTGATTTCCGCCGACTTAGAGCACACGCTTGCCGAGCTCGCGGAGCTGGACGGGGACGTTCAGGAAGCTTTACGCACCAGACAGGTGGGTACCATAGGGCTCCGCGTGTCTCCTCCACTAGGCTCATTTGTAGACATGGATGAGACTTTTCTTTGTTTGGGTTTTGTTTTTATTAGAATTGCGTCCTGAAATATTTATTTTATGATACTACATAGAATCATCTCCAAACGTGACTTAAAAGAACGTTTCATTGTTTACGGACGTGGTATTCATTTCATGTGATTTCCATGTTGACCTCCCTTTAGTTATAATACAGTCTCCTCCGCTACCTCTCGCCTTTACAAGAGGTAATAAATGATAGCATCATAGAATTAATACCATGGTGCGCACATTAATAATAAAATAAGCTCATTAGCAATGAATAATTAGCGATGCCTTTTTTAAACATTGTGAAACCTGGCATTTCTAAGATTAGCGCCGGCCAAGAACCTCCAGATGGAGAGAGGCCGATGGATGCTGCAGCCCCAACCCTGACGCTGAACCATGACTTTTTCTGGGGTCTCCCATCCGCTGCCCCTGTCTTTGCACCCCTTTCTCAGGGAAGAATGCCTTATCTTCCCTTGCTTCCCTGCCGTTCCACAGAAGCCAGACGACTATTCATCATGACTTGACTTGGGGATGACAAAGAAGTGAGAGCAGGCATAGAACGTGGGAGCAGATGTCTCTTTAAGATAATGACTTGGTTGCCTTTGGATAAGGACCCGGAAGTGGGATGGCTGGATCGCATGGCGCCGTAGTTAATTTCCTGAAGAACGTTCACGCCGTTTTCCACGGTGATTGACCTGGTGTACATTCCCCCAGCGTTATTGCATTTCTAACCATTGAGGCATTATTTCTCTTTGGAAAATATTCAGTCTGCCACATATTACTAGGCATGATAGATAGATAGATAGATAGATAGATAGATAGATAGATAGATAGATAGATAGATAGACGTAAATGAGAGAAAGTGTCAGAACTAGTCAAGATATCAATATACATTTCTATTTCGTACCTGTCCTTGCTTACTTATCTCACTGTACGTAATAATAAATCTAACAGCAAGATTAGAGGAAGGATCATTACAGATAATAACGGATTCCACCAAAAAAACTCTACCCACTGTTCAGTTCACTTATACATGTACATGTGACGGAAGACTGGAAAAGAAATGAAAAAATTAATCTGTTTCCTGCAAACACACTGTGATTGAGGGTTGGTTGTTTGTAATGACTATGTTGCAGGCTGTGCTGACTCAAATATACAGTCAATGTCAAAGGTACTACCAAGTGTTTCAAGCAGCCAGCGACTGGCTTGAGGACGCCCGCGGAATGGTGCAGCCAGCAGGCAGCGGCCTGGATGTGGAGAGTGCGGAGGACAGTCTCCGAAGCCACACGGAGTTTTTCGCTGCAGAGGGTCAGTTCCAGAGGGACCTGGAGGAGCTCCAGCGCCTGGCAGCCAACCTGGACCCACTCACCACGCCACCTGGGAAAGAGGACCTAGCACAGAACATAAGTTCCCTGGAGGAGAGGAGCCAGCGGATCATCCAGGACTCGCGCGCCCAACTAGAGCTCTTGCAGAGGTATTGTTTTCATCTCTTTATTCTAGCGAAAGAGGATGTGTTTCCAAATGCATTTCCACACAGAAAACAGGAATATTCTAATGATGTACAGCCACACGTAAATTCATTGTTCTCTGTTGAGTACCATTCGACGTATTGACGGCAGAGCTCTGCAGAGGAAAGTGTGATTGTGATGTGCTGTTGCTCATTGACTTTTGTTGGGCTTTTTCAAGATGTGCAGCTCAGTGGCAGGATTACCAGAAAGCAAGGGAAGAGGTGATCGAATTGATGAATGATGCAGAAAAGAAATTGTCTGAATTTTCTTTATTGAAGACTTCTTCCAGTCATGAAGCAGAAGAAAAATTATCAGAACACAAGGTTAGTTTTGTTATTTTTAATGTCCTTTCATTGTGTTTGTAATAGGTCTCTGTAATGCAACACTTCCAGAAGCAGGTCAGTCAATCTTCATTTCCACCTGGGTTCCTTAAATATGAAAAGGCGAAACTCAAAGAGAAGGAGGAACGGGTGAGGGCAGGAAAGATAAACCAAAGAACTTCTATGCGTATACCCATAACCAATGGACACAGACAGTTGTGTGGGGAAGGCAGGAGGGGGGCGGGAGCCGGTAGTAGGGGGTCAGTGGGGAAAAATGGGGGGACACCTGTAATACATTCAACAATACAGATAAGTTTTTAAAACTGGATACATTAACCATGTTTCATCATAGTTTTAACTCAGTTAAATGCTGTCACTTTTTTAGACTTTCCATTGGAAATGAATAGCTAGGTTTAAAGAGACAGAGCAATTCTTCTGATAAAGTGTGACACAATGAATTCCGGTGCATACTTTCTGGGGATAACGTAGATTAATTTAAATACAATTTAAAAATTAGCAGCTGAGCTGCCTGCACATATCGTAACTATAAAAGGTAGAATACAACATCCCTAAATGCTAAATTCAGTTCCCTTACATTTTTGCTACTTGTTAGAAACAGGAGAATTTCATCTCAAGTAGCACATCCTCTTTCGTTTTCAATAAATAAATGTTGCCCTTACCTCTTTAAAAGAAATCCAAGCCTAACTCAATTCAGAATTCCGCATACAAGTGAGAGTTACCAGAAGAAAAAGAATATATGTTGGAACATTTCCTTTTGCGGGTCATTTTGGGCTTTCCTCAAATCCATAGAACTTGAAAGAAATGTTTGCCTCAACCCGCCTTCTCCTCCCCAACCTTAGGCTTTAGCGTCCGAGGTCCACTCTTTCCATGAGAAGATTGTGGCCCTGGAGGGAAAAGCTTCACACCTGGAAGACACCGGAAATGACGCGAGCAAAGCGACCATAGGCAGGTGGATGACCACAGTCTGGCAGCGCTGGGCACGTCTCCGGGCTGTGGCCCAGGACCAGGAGAAGATTCTGGAAGATGCAGTAGATGAGTGGAAGAATTTTAACAATAAGGTAATTTCCTTTATTGATGGGCTCAAATTATTGTTTCCTCTCTGATGAGCATGTGTTTTGAAAAGCGGTATTTTGCTCTTTTTTTTTTTAATTGGCTTTATGAAAGTAAAACTCTTTTTAAATCTGTATCCCAATGGCATACAAACCAAATCGTGAAACAATGTACAATACACAATGTGTAATTTAGTCCCAAGTCAGGGTCCGATTATTTTAATAAGAAAACCAAGAAGTTAAACTAAAGCCTGCTTCCCTCCATCTGCTAGATTCTGCATGGACTTTCTTCCTGGCCCTGAAAAATCATAAAATACTCTTTCTTTGCCATGGAACAGAGCAGAAATTTAACACATTACCCAAGTCCTATACTAATTGCTTTCATCTTTTTTTTTTTTTTAATTTTTTTTTCTTTATTGATATTTTTGAGAGAGAGAGGAAGGGAGAAGTAGAGAGAGATAGAAACATCGATGAGAGAGAACATCAATTGGCCGCCTCCTGCATGCCCCCCACTGGGGATCTGGCCCATAACCTGGGCATGTGCCCTGACTGGGAATCAAACCAGCGACCTCTTCATGCAAGGTCGATGCTCAACCACTGAGCCACACCGGCTGGGCGCTTTCATCTTTTAACTAGGATTTAATGTTTTAAGCCACAACTTCTTTTATAGTTTGGGTTAACTTAAATATTAGAGTTGTTCATTTGTCTTTTAGTTTCAAAAACAACCAAAGTTTTTCTTTCTCATGCAGTCTCAGATTGCCCTGATGTTCTTTTGAGCTTAAAGCTTACACCCAGAATTCTCAAGCTGGTCTTTCGCACTAAGAAGATTGTTCAGGTTTTAGCTTCCTGAGATGTAGAGTCCACACCATCATCTTGAACGAGCTCTGATGCATGAGTGTCAAATGTGGCATTTATTGCAATTGCCCCATTTCTTCAGGGTTTTTTGTTTGTTTTTTTTTTTGAGTTTCTCAGTGTATATTACACATTTTTCATCAGGTTAAAAAAGCCACAGAAACGATTGATCAGCTGCAGGATAAATTACCAGGAAGTTCAGCAGAGAAAGCCTCCCAAGCAGAACTCTTGACCGTGCTGGAACTTCATGACACCTTCGCCCTGGAGCTGGAGCAGCAGCAGTCGGCCTTAGGCATGCTGAGACAGCAGGTGCTGAGCATGCTCCCCGAGGGGGCCGCCCCACCGCCGGGGGAAGAGCCGCCCATCGTGCGGGAGATCACAGCCATGCAAGACCGCTGCCTGAGGTAATTGTACACCTCTCGCTCTGTTACTGAACGTGGCCATGACCCAAAGGGATAAGTGTGGTTTTAGAGTCTGGGGGTGCGCCGTCATGCCACCTAACAACGGGGGGATCTGTTCCCATCATCCCCGCTTTTCAGTTTTCTTAGCGCTTCCCTGATTTGTCTGGCAAACATATCTAGTAGTGGTTAGAAATACGGGGATGAACCGGACGGACTCCGTCTGTATGTTCATGCCGTGCACAGTGGAGCAGGAGCAATGGGCAACCACAGAGCCGTTTGGGGAAAGCATGAAGAGGGGGAGACAGGAGCACAAAACAGAGGCAACTCACCCAGGAGAGCAGTCCAGGGAGGCTCCCCTTCCCAAGGGGTATTTCAGCTCAACACCGAACAGGTCTGTGCTATGCAGCCAGGGGAGAGGGAGTTTCTCAGACAGGGCAGTAGCGTGTAAGAGACCTTGGAAGTATGCATGTCATTTGCAGGCAACGGTTGGGGATGCAGCTGTTTATAAGAAACAAAGCTGGAAAGTTAAACAATTAATAGAGAGCTCCTCAGAACCTAATTTAGAAAAAGCTTGATAACTCATTGACTAAATTGGATGACAGAGAGATTGGAACAAGGATGATACCAAAGTCCAGGTAAATAAGACATTGAGAACTTAGTAGATAGAGGAAGTTAAACTTGATGATATATATCCAGCCTGATCCACTTATTGGGCTGGAAAAGAAATGTCAATAGATAATTTAACTGCCATATTAACTAATAGTATTCATGCATATCCTATATCCCCCTCTTCAGTTGTAGATAAATTCAGGATAATTGGACTCCACTTATTTAAACTCTTTAACCAAACATATGTCAATTCAAAGGAAGACTTACAATTTGGGTGTTAAACATTAGTAACTGTAAAATTTCCAAAGCTTGACTTCAACGACTGATTTCCAATAGCCACAAATATTCCAATTACACATTGCCCATTACTTTTAAAGGCTGATGATTTTGCACCACTTAAGTAGATTTCCAGAGGGGAAATAAACAATGTCTGGGTTTAGTTTACCTAGGAAAAATCATTGCAGTGTAGTGGCATGGAGTGTGTCAATTCTCAACTTTCTAGGGATAAATCATTCAATTCATCTGATGTATCTTCTGTTATACTTGACCTAAACTTAAGTCTTGCTGAAAATTATCTGACAGATTTGAGGAAGTTATTTACTTGTGAAAAAAAAAAGATATGAGATTTCACTTTTTTAAAATGTCTGTTTTCGATAATATATTTGAGGGAGTTCCTCTCACCTCCACTTCCCTTCTCCCTCCCCGTCTGTCTGAAGCATGCAGGAGAAAGTGAGGAGCTCTGGGAAGGCGGTGAGGCAGGAGCTGAAGGACCGGGAGCTGGTGGAGACGCAAATCAATTCTGTGAAATCCTGGGTTCAGGAAACAAAGGAACGTTTGGAGAACCCAACCATTGAAGTAGACGCTCAACTTGAAGAACTTCAGGTGCAAAACTCTCCTCATTCCCTATACCCATCATTTTTTTCAAAATTGCCCTGATTTTAATCTGACACATTTGTTTATATTCAGTGACACATTGAATTAAACATTTTCAGAAATGTGTTATATAAAAGGCTCTTAGTATTTCATGGGTTTTTTGTTTTTTCTGTATAGAGTGGACATGTTTCTGAGTCAGAGACTTAAGAGAAGTTTTGTTTTTCTTAAGGTGTTTCTGTAACTCCACACTTAATCATGTTTTAGTGGACAGCAACTTGTCTTGTGTCTGTACCCACGAACATTTCCTTAGGCTACCAGACATTTCTGGTTTTGATCTTTTCTTTAGATTCTCCTAACGGAAGCCACAAATCACCGACAGAACATCGAGAAGGTAGCTGAAGAGCAGAAGAGCAAGTACCTGGGTCTGTACACGGTATTACCTGCGGAACTCTCCCTTCAGTTAGCCCAGGTGGCGTTGGACCTGGGGACTGTGCATGACCAGGTAAGCCTGTGGACAAGAAAGTGCCTGTCCATTCGCTATGGGCTCAACACTCTGGTACAGGAGTTCTTGATTTTCATAACGTTATCTTCATGGAAGCAGAGTTAAAAAACAGCTCAGCATAAAACAATACTGTTAAATTGGAGATCTTATTCATAGGCAAAAACACATCTGATGATCATAGATATGAACAATAATGTTACATAATTAAACAAACTTATTTACTTCCTTACTCTTTTCCCAAAAAAAGACTTGAACAATAAATATAAATATATAAATATATGTGTATGTATATATATATGTGTGTGTATGTGTGTGTATATACATACACATACACACATATACACACATATGTTCAACAAATATTTACTGACTACCCAGAGGCTCTTCTAGATGTATTTCCACCTTTCATTTATACAGAGAGAACATTTCTTTACCATCTTTTCTTCAGCACTTTTTTTATAAGCAAAAGTATGACTGTTTATTTTGAAACCAAACCAAGGCCATTAAAGATTTGTAAATATTAACTGTTTTTTATTTGTTTTACTTTCCTTCCACTGGATGTGCTTCATGTTTCTGTCACACCGTAGGGCTATAACTGCAAAGTTAGAAAAGGAGTTCCCAGACCATTGACAGCTACTGACGAAAAGGTTCTCGGAACCACTTTTGTGAGTTTCGCATAGTGTAAGAAACAGGCTCAGAGGGGCCTGTGTGCTCAAGGCCACAGTGCTCGGAAGTGCAGGCCCAGACTCAGCCGTCTGCTCTGCCACCGATGAGCACTGAGAATGTTTGCTGAGCGAACCCCGTCCACGCACTGCTTGTCCCTCCTCTCGCAGCGCCGCAGGAAGACATGCAGAGCGTGCGTAGAGCCGGCGAGCAAGGCTGCATGGAAACCATGTCAGTTACCACCGCATGCGGCCGGCTCCACAAAGCTCATCGGTGCCAAAGCAGCACTAACCACCGACATCCCCCGCCGGCATCTCCCCATGGAGGTTTTCAGTATCTCTGACCCAATTTTAACCACGGTTGGTTTTGCCGTTCTCACTGATTTAGATCCAGGACAAAGTAAAACAAGTTGAACAGAGCAAGGCCATGAGCCAGGAATTCAGCCGGCAAATTCAGAAGATAACCAAAGATCTCACCGCTATTCTCACTAAGCTGAGAGCAAAAACAGATAACTTAGTTCAAGCCCAAACTGACCAGAAGGTAAGAAAAGAGAACTGGAAACATCAGGGGTGCTACTGAGTACATTCAATATTTTGGGGAGTTAGTTCATTTTGGGAATATAAAGAAGTTTTCTTGATCAGCAAGCTTCATTAAAACCAGAGAGTAAAGAGAAGCAATAAAGAAATGTGATAAGTATGATAGTATAGATCTATTTGCATGATATAATTTATCATCGCAATTGAACTTTATTAATAAATAGACATACATGTGTGGGGAATTGGGAAAAGTGTCAGAAAACTAAATAATGTGTTAGGAATACAATATGTAAATCCCAAAATGAAAAGTGTTCTTGGCAGCTAAATCTGAGTCCTCACTTGGCTGATGAGCTAAGTGACTAATCCTTTTTGGGTGGGGCAAAAGGAAAATGTTAGCACTCTCAGCCTGTTGGAAATGAACACCAGAGTTACAAAACATCCAGCTCATCCTTCCAACCGAAGAAACAGAAGTGACCTGATCGTGGTAGAGTTATTCCCGATAGTATTTCTCTTACACAAAAAATCATGTAATAGCATCCTTCTGATCTTGAAAAATCTGGAAAATTTTATTGTCTGTAGTCGAATGTCCTTTTGTTTCGATGACCATCTAGGTGCTAGGAGAGGAGCTGGAGGCCTGTCATTCGAAGTTAATGGGTCTGGAGGAAGCAGTGCAAAAGTTCTCAGAACAGAGCGGCCACCTGGGTAAGCCGCTGGCCAAGAAGACGGGGAAGCTGGCTGAACTGCACCAGCAGACCGTTAGACAGGCCGAGAGTCGCTTCGCCAAGCTCAGTCAGGTACGGTCCCAGGCCAGCGATCAGATTCTCAAGGGCAGAAACTCTATGTTCTGTTTTACCCTTTTGAAAATAAATAAAAAGATGATATTGACAAAGATGAGAGTAATTTAAGAGTAGCTTGCCCTGGCCGGTTTGGTTCAGCGGTTGGAGCGTCGGCCTGTGGTCCTGAGAGACGCGGGTTTGGTTCCCGCTAAGGGCATGTACCTCGGTTGCAGTTTGTCCCCGGCCCTGGTTGGTTGTGCGGGTGGCAGCCACTCAATGTGTTCCTTTCGCATCGATGTTTCTCTCTCTCTCTCTGTTCCTCTCTCTCCCTCCCACGCTACCTGAACAAAAAATGGAAAAATGTCCTCGGGTGAGGATAAAAAAAAAGAGTAGCTTATTTCATACCACACTGTGTTTCTAATTTGAAATACCTAAACCTGACATTATTTTGTATCAAACTATATCTTTAATTTATTGACTAAGGTGATCATGCAAATGTACTTTGGGGGTGAATATTTTGTAAACTGGAAAATATTTTGTAAAATGAATACTTATCCATGAACATATTTTACAAATCAGTTTGTGTGAATTCAAGTATCTTAAAGTAAGATATATATATAGATATATAGATATATAGATAATATATAATACTTATCATTTACTTAACAGGTTCAAGTCACACATCCCTAATAATTGTTGAGTATAGATTTAATTTTTTTTTTTATTCTCACTCGAGGACATTTTTACATTTATCTTCAGATAGAGTGGGAGAGAGGAGAGAGAAAGAGAGAGAGAGAAACATCGATGTGAGAGAGACACACTGAGTGGTTGCCACCCACACAACCCCAACCAGGGCCAGGGACAAACTGCAATCAAGGTCCATGCCCTTAGCGGGAACCAAACCCAGGACTCTCCAGTCTGCAGGCCGACGCTCTAACCGCTGAGCCAAACTGACCAGGGCTAGATTCAACTTTTACTAATTGATCGTATATGTCTTCTGTAACAGGAGACAAGTTAAATCAGGATTTGGCAGCTAGTGAATTATAGTATTGAATCCTGGCACGCCATATCCCCACCGACCAATCCTTATCGGTGAGGGTGGAATATGCAAGGGGGAAGGCACAAAGGGGGAACCAGACAGATGAATGAGATGATAACAAAGAAGTTTTTTAAAAGACAGATTATTCAAGCATATTGAAAACTTGGACTTTATCCTAACGTCTCCAGGAAGTCCTTGAAATATTTTTGACAAGGACATGATTTTTCATGATACCTTTTATAGATTAAAAAAAGGGCATAGGGGTTAAATAGATAATAACTTCACAGGGTGCTGGTCATAAATTCCTAACTGGGCAGGTCATGGTGGATAATCATGCCCCAGGCTTAAAACTTCTTTAGTTAAAGGTTTTAAGCCAGTCCGGTCCATTGATCTTGTGCATCTAGAATAAACACCTCTAAAATAAACCATAACCATTCTCAAGAGAGCATATAATATTAACTACCCTGTAATCCAGTCACCGCCTTGCTTTCTTCAATTTTCTTTATGTGCCTTCCTTAATTTTTATTTAAATTTTTAAAATATGTTTTTATTGATTTTTTAGAGAGAGAGGAAAGGAGAGAGAGAGACGCATCAATGTGAGAGAGAAACATGCATCAGCTGCCTCCTGTGTGCCCCCTACTGAGGATCGAGCCTGAAACCCAGGCATGTGCCCTGACTGGGAATCAAACCAGGACCTCATGGTCCATGGGACGATGCTCAGTCCACTGAGCCACACCGGCCAGGCTTTTCCTTAATTTTTAAGAGACGCTGCAAAACTGTTATTCTTAGAGCATTTGAGATCTTGCTCCTGGCATGTGTCTTCAGTTTAGCTCAAATAAACTAATAAAATTCTCTATAGGTTTGGAAGTTTCTTACGTTGACACTTTAAATATCTCAGATATTATCATTCTCAACCCTTAGGACTATTGTATCCAAAAAGAGGCAGAAGGCTGACTTCTAGCTCCAGAAGTAGAGGTTACATTTTTTATCTGAATGTTAATGATTTTTTTTAGGCAACATCACATTTAGAAGAATACAACAAAATGCTTGAATTAACTTTGAAGTGGATTGAAAAAGCCAAAGTCTTGGTGCATGGAAAGATTGTGTGGAATTCTGCAAAACAACTTCAGGAACAATACATTTCACATCAGGTAACTGGAAAAAATAGCTTTCAAAGAGTAACTGAGAGAGCAATTTCATTTAATTGGCTAGACTGACAAAATGTAGAGGGCCTAAATGTTGAATTATATTAGATGCAGATAAAAAAAAGAAAGAAAGCTAAGGTATTCCTACAACGTGTCCAGTGTTTTGAAAGAAAGGAGCTATGCATGAGATTTTCTAAGATTGTATAAATAAATGGATGTCTTCTATCTCCCCTAGACTTTCCTTTCCCCAAGACCGAAGATAATCACTTCCCTTTTTTGCAGCTTCTTAGAAACAATTATATGCAGGGATGTGGTAGAAAGTTCTTCCCGATGAAGAGATGTAGAGACGTTTAGAAAGAATATGCAGGCTAGAGTCCGACTGACGAGAAAACCAACTCTGCTGATTAGGTTGGTGTGATTCGGAGGAAACTACTTTCCGTCTCTGAATTCAGTCTTCCCATCAATAAGATGGAGGCGTAACTGATTTATATTGCAGAATCATCATGAGGATCAAACGGGGTAACTCGTGTGCAGACACTGTGACATGGGGGTGTTCGGCTCTCACACCTGCGCCCCCTCAGCCCGTGCAGGGCCTGGGCGCTGGGCCTCCATGGGAAGTAGGGTCAGCTGGGAGCCAGCAGTGAGTCAATAGCACGAGGTGGCCGCCTTACTTCATTTCCTCTGAAGTTTTCTCCGGGTCACGTCATCCAGGAAATTATGTTATTCTTTTATAACTGAGGTTTGTGTTAGGTAAAGATAGCCCAGTTGTCTTGCACTAAAATACAGAATGCTTTTGAAATCACATGGGTATCCTCAAGTATTTTATATTTTCTCTTTCTTTTATTCTGGTTTCTGTGTACTCATGTCTTTTATTTATTTAGTTTTATTTTTTGGTACGTGCCCCTAGCAGGAACTGAACCTGGGACTCTCTGGTCCACAGACCGATGCTCCCACCGCTGAGCCAAACCGGCCAGGGCTGCTCATGTCTTTTAGATCCATCCTCTTTCCCACTCCAGTTGACAGTTCTAGAATGAAGCCCCATCTCTCCTTGGACTTCCTTACCAGGCTTCTAATTGGTTTCCCTGTATCCACACTCTTTCTTTCTCATCCATCTCCCACACTCCTCTCGAGAAATCATCCTTAAACAATTCCAGTCTTCTACTTGAGGGCATGCTTATATATTAACAGACAAGACTTAAGTCACAACTGGTTGTAAACAATGGAAAAAAAAATTCAGCCTCATTAGAAATCTAGAAATACAAATTTAAGAGCGAGAGAGAGCATTTTAACTATTAAGTTAACACTATTCTCTAAAATTCCTGTTTAAGGAAGCGAGAGCTCTCCAACTCTCCTGGGAACTTGGTTAAGTCTCTGAAAAACCATTGGCAAAATGGATCATGACCATCAAAATGTTCCAACTCGGACCTGGCCGGTGTGGCTCAGTGGGTTGCGTGTTGTCCCATGGACTGAGAGGTCCTGGTTCGATTCCCGGTCAGGGCACATGCCTGGGTTGTGGGCTTGATCCCTGGTGGGGGTGTGCAGGAGGCAACCGATTGATGTTTCTCACATAGATGTTTCAATCTCTCTCCTTTCCACTCTCAATAAAAAAAATCAATAAAAACATACATATATAAATAATATTTCTACTCTGTAATCTAAAACATAGATATAAATATTAGTCACTACAGTGAAATTTTAAAGGAATTTTCAATGTCCACTCATTTTTTTGAGTAAATTTTTGGATATAATGGAATAAATTACAGTCTTTGAAATGACCCTAAAGGCCTTTTCTTTCAAATAACTCCTGTACTCATTTATGTATTCAACAAACATGTATAAGGTATTTTCCGAAGCTAGGGATTTCGGTAGGCTTTTGGAGTGCACACAGTATTTCCTGTCTCTGCGTCAGGGAGTCCATAATTAGAGGGAGGAAGGAGATGGAGGGACAGACCTAGACAACTGCGGTCCAGGGTGGCGTGCGGTGCTGAGGGATCGAGGGGCTGAAGGGCCCCCAGCAGGGGCTTCACCAGACCCCCAGGGTCTCAGGAAAGGTGATTCTGGGCTGAGTCCTGCAAGACAGACAGCCTCCGCCTGTCACTGTCAGCGTGAGGGAGCTCTGTTTGGGGCAATGAAAGGTGCAGTCCGGGGAGGAGGGCGGAGAAAGGAGGCCTCCGAGGTAAGAATAGAGAGCGAAGGAAAAGACGGTCCATGGAAGCCAGGCAAACACTTGGACTCTATCCTCAACGCCCTCTGAAGCCTTTCACAGATACTCTGCAGGCCAGTGACAACACAGACTTGTCACTGAAGAAAGATGGCTTAGCAGCCTGTGGAAAACAGGGGGGTGAAGGCCACCCAGGCGATTGTAGGGCCCCAGGAGAAATGACGGGCCTGTCTCCGGAGGCTGAGCGCAGGCAGAAGCTAGGGTGTTACTGGGCTAGAATTCCTGAAGCCTGTGGATGTGGGGGCAAAGGGGGAGGAGCCGAGGATGATTCCCAGGTTGTTTTGACTTGGGCAGTTTGGTGGGTTGAGTGCAGATGGACAGATATCCGGTGTTGGTGGCTACCTCATGCAGATGCTCAGGAGGACTTGGCCTGTACACACTGTTCCAGAGAGTTCTCCTGTGCCTGCCCTAGCAATTAAAGCCCCCTGACTTTATCCAAAAACGGCACAGAAAGAAAATGCATGTTTCCAGTATCAGGTGTAAAAGAAAGATGGAAAATTGTAGGTGAGTTATAATCTCAATTACCTAGAAATATACCCACACATAATAGCAGTTATAGCTTACTTAAAGTCACCTCTCAGGTATGGGATTATGTAATATTTTAACATATATATATATATATATATATATATATATATACACACACACACAGGGGTTGGCAAAAGCAGGTTTACAGTTACGAGTATGTGGAACACAGAGTTTATTCTTACATTATTATTTACTAATGATTGTATTGTTTATTTGTATTACAACTGTAAACCTGCTTTTGCCCCGTGTATGTTTATTACAAGAAAAATGTATTTTAAAAAAATCAGGATCTATTGCCTAAGAATAATGTCCCACCTCCCACTCCTCTTCATACTACGTCCCTCACCCCAGGACCTGCCCTTTCGGTGCTCGCTCACCTCAGTGCCTTTGCTCCTGCTGCTCCCTCAGGGTGAAATGCAGGTCCTCTCCCTCCCCAGCTGTGGGAATACACACATCCCTCTGACTCAGCTCAGAATGTGGCTCTGGCAGGAAGCCTTCTCCCACTTCCTTCAAGTTTATCTCATTTCCGCCCTCCTTAACCCTCTCTTCTCTTTCACTGTGTTAGGTAGTGCATGTTAATTACGTGGTCATTAACCCATTTGTATTTGTATCAGTCCCAGTCCCAGTAGATGATACTGTCCAGAGTGACAGGACCAGGGCGTGTTTTATTCCTCTTGGGATCCTGAGTTGCGCCTACCCCTTGTCTCACTGAGAGCAAGTGATCTGAGGTTTTTAGTTTGTTCACAATTCTCTTGTCTTGTATTCATTTCTTAGACTGATCTGCACTTAGATCTTAGGTATAGAATATGAGAGCTGGAACGCACCTCTTTCTTTTAACATGTTTTTATTGATTTTTTAGAGAGAGAGGGTGAGAGAGATAGAAACATCGATGTGAGAGAGAAACATCGATCAGCTGCCTCCTGCGCGCCCCCTACTGGGGATCGAGTCTGAAACCCAGGCCTGTGCCCTGACGGGGAATCGAACCAGGACCTCTCAGTCCGTGGGAGGAGCCTGCAGCCACTGAGCCGCACCAGCCGGGCGGAATCCTCTCTAGTTCCCAGTGTGTGAGAAGAGCCAGGGGCCCAGCCCTGATGCAGCTGCCCTGTGTGAGGAGCCCTGCCCTGCTGGAAAGGGGCTGGAACACTCAGGGAGCAGCTTGCGGTGGTAGACAGAGCCTGAGCCTTCTGGTCCCACACTTCACAACGTGTGGCCTCGGCGACTTGTTCACAGTTTCTGAACTTTGATTTCTTTTTCTGTGAAATGGGAACAGGAGGTGGGGAGTGAGCACAGGGGTGTGCAGATTGAACACCAGAGGGCACACAGCACCTACCCACGCAGTGTGTGTGGGAAGTGTGCATTTCTTCAGTCCCTTCCCAATCTGATGGTCTTTACACCACCCCATGTTGACTACCCGAACCTCTGCCTACCTATCACTGTCGTGAATATCGACACTTCATTCCAGACCATGCTAGAAGACTCTGAAGAACTTCACAGCTATCTGGACACAATGGCTGAGAAGTTACAGCATCTCGCCAGCGTGTACCGCACAGAAAAAATGTCTCAGCAAGTGGTCGAACTGGGGCGGGAGACCGAGGAGTTGCGGCAGATGATCAAAATCCGTGTGCAGAATCTCCAAGATGCTGCCAAGGTAAATAATAATAATAATAATAATAATAATTTAAATTGAGAAGTCCATTAAAAAACAATGGCGGTTTTATAGTGGACAAACAGTGCTTACCTCTGACGTGCCTTCTTGGCCGTGATGTTATTCTACAAGTTTGGACTTCGAGTGCTTAGATGCAGACATTCACACTGCTTTTACCCTACAGGATATGAAAAAATTTGAAGCAGAACTAAAAAACCTACAAGTTGCTTTGGAGCAAGCCCAGACGACCCTGACTTCTCCAGAAATTGGGCGCCTCAGTCTCAAAGAGCAACTGTCCCATCGGCAGGTGAGCAAGACTCATTCAGGGCAAATGAGTGGCGACCTAGATTTTAAAGAGGGGAGCGTGAGAAAAACTGATTTCTAAACTCAGCGATAGCCTCGGTGCTCCGTGCATTATTTTTTTGTAAAATTGCTTGGGGAATGTGTATAATTTGTAAGCAAGCTGTGAGTTGTGTCTCTTGCTCATGAAAGACACTCTGGGATGTAAACTCTGTGAACGGTTCCCTCGCACTTCCAGCACCTGCTGTGCGAGGTGGAGTCGCTGAAGCCGAAGGTCCAGGCCGTGCAGACCAGCCAGAGCGCGCTCCGCATCCCTGAGGACGTGGTCACCAGCCTGCCGCTCTGCCACGCGGCCCTCCAGCTGCAGGAGGAGGCCAGCCGGCTGCAGCACATGGCCATCCAGCAGTGCAACGTCCTGCAGGTACGTGAGCGGCGGTCCTCCTGCTCTGAGCCTTGCGTGGGCTCAGCCATCAAAACACAGCCGGGGTGTTAAATGTGGCAGCTTGTTGTGGTTATATAAAGTTAGGAGATGACGTGCTATCATTTGGATCGCCCACAAAAGCCTGGGGAAAGCTCTATAAAAATATCTGCTGGTGAAAACCATCTTTTAGTGATATTTTTATAACAACTTATTAAGGTGCATTTTATATTCATCCACATTTTTACCTCATTATTCATCTGAGAGTCGTCTAGGACCTTGTAATAGGACTTTACTGCTGGCATATATTATAGAAATTGTTTTCACATTTCAGCTTATTGACACAGCACATGCATTTTTTGTGCCTGAGAAGTATAGCCAAGTATAACTCTTAGTTTCTTTAATTAGAGAAAAATCATTTACCAGGAAGATATGACACTATTTACCTCCTATCACATTTCAACTCATCATACACCATTTTTATCCAAACATTACGTCCACATCCTCTCATTACATTGCTAACGGCCTCTTTGGTCCATTATCCTTGCTCCTTGTATTATCTTGTAATTTGTTAGACAGTAAATTCCTGGGGATAGAAGTCACACTTAATTAATTTTTTTACCCTCTACTCCAGCAGATGCCAAGTGCCGTACAAATATATTCGGTATTTCTTAGCTGGGAAAGTCACCCTGTTTTTCATACCATTTCCTACCATGTTCTGACCTGACTTGGCCATCTTCAGGGCAACAGGGGAAGGCAGAGTAGCCACTTAGCTGCTTTGAGTTCATAAATAATCCTGGTACATGTTTTAAAGAGAAGGCCCTGGCCTGGCCACTGTGGCTCAGTGGATCGAGTGTCGTCCCAGGGACTGAGAGGTCCCGGTTCGATTCCCGGTCAGGGCACCTGCCCTGGTTGCGGGCTCGATCCCCAGTAGGGATTGTGCAGGAAGCAGCCAAAGTTTCTCAAAAAAAAGAAAATAAAGAGAAAGTTCTGAAATATCTGAGTCAAGTTGCAGATTTGAATCCTCTAGGGATTTTTGCCCATCATTTTTTTATTCCCTAGACACACAGGTGAACAGGAATTTGGCTAACAGCAGCACAGAATTCCTTACGCTGTTATTGATATAGAAAGATAATTAAAAGGTCTTTCCCCCCCCCCCCCGAAGGAAGCCGTGATGCAATATGAACAATATGAACAAGAAATGCAACACCTCCAGGAGCTGATCGAAGGAGCTCACAGGGAGATTGAAGATAAGCCTGTGGCCACCAGTAACATCCAGGAGCTGCAAGCCCAGATTTCTCGGCACGAGGTGAGCCAGGAACACAGGCAGGACACTGGCTTGATCAGCATTTGTGACTGTTTTCTAGTGAATGAAAGAGAAAGGTTCTCTCCATCCTGCACATGATGTGTTCAGTTCTGAGTAGTCTTTTTGGCTGTCTTTGCATTTTGGTGGCTATTTTTGCTGATCCCGTCCAAGCCTTAGTAGCATGAGTCTCCCCTTGAGTCCCAAACTTTTTTGCATGTTATGACATAGCTCCACGGGACCCCGAGACTGTCTCCTACACCTGAATGCTCACAGTCAATGTACCAAGACACAGGCTGAGCCCTATTCTTAAAGCCTGCAAGAAACAGCAATGCTCAAAGTCTTGCTGCTTTGATCATCTCCTTTAAAAAGAAGGGATATTTTATGTTTGTTTGTTTGTTTTTTAATCATTTGTTCTTTCAAATGTTGGTCATTTCAGCTCCTTTCACCAAAATCAGAGAATGGTCCATAGTCTGTGTTTTGTTGCCTTCCAGATTGTACCTGTTGCATTTTCCCATTTCCAGAGTGTTTCTGTTCCTTCGGCATCATTATGGCCTTAGGACATGGACACCTTGGTAACTGTCTGGGGGTGGGGCGATGTCTCATTTTCTGTGCCAAAGATGGATATTTTGTTTCCCTTTCCACATGGCCTATTTTAACTCTGTTGTCATAAGAGAAAAACTATTTTTCACAAACCAAACATCATAGTGAGGGGGTATCAGCAGATTCATCTGTTGCCTTTTATGGGTGGAATATCTCACCATCTCCCTCTCCAAATGCAATTCTTTTTTTTATCCTCACCCGAGGACATTTTTGCATTTATCTTCAGACAGAGCAGAAGGGAGAGAGGGAGGAATAGAGAGAGAGAGACATCAATGTGAGAGAGACACCGTGTGTGAGTAGTTGGCACCCAGACCACCCCAACCAGGGCCCGGGACAAACTGCAAGGGAGGTACATGCCCTTAGTGGGAACCGAACCCAGGACTCTGTGGTCCACAGGCCGATGCTCTAACGGCTGAGCCAAAGCAGCCAGGGCCAAATGCAATTCTTTAATTTCTTGACACATCCAATGCATAAATCACTTACATTTATGTATTATTTATAAAATACTGTAAAGAAATACCCCACCTTCATTTACTCCTACACAGTAGATATCATCTGTGTTAACTCTTTGTTTCTCAAATGTTATTGGTTAAATGAAAATGTTATGCAAGTATCTGAACCACTGTTTATACAACTCATACATTAGACTATATATTATAAATTTATTTTGAAAATAGTTTTAATCCCATTTTCTAAGACCCAGAATTTTGTTGTAACAACTGTTTTACCATAGTGCAGAAAGTACTTTTTTAGTACTTCTCTGGATTAACTTTTCTGTTTTTTAAAACAGTTTCCAAAGTTTTTACATTACCTTTTATAACAACCCTGTGAGGTAAGGATTTCTTTTTATTACTGATAAAAAAGAAAAACTGACTTCTTTTTAAGATGACCTCCTGAGCTCTCAAATCTAGTTACTCAAGGAAAACAGATTCTAATCTAGTATATTTTGGCTCCAAATTAATTTTTACTGCAGCAGAAACTATTTTGGGCTGCCTCATTGCACAAAAGAAAAGAACGAAGTCCCAGAAAGCAAATGACTTGTCCAAGGTCACAGAGCCAGCCCTCAGCACAGTCAGTTGCAGCTTGTCTTTCTGGCTCGTGCTCAGTGATCTGTTCATTTTGCCACATTTACCCCCTCAGTTTTAAACATCAGTGTAGACATGTGTTAGTTTTTTCATATGACTTAGAATATATCTTCTCATCAATAATGACATAGTCTTGGGTGAGGCTCATTGTATGTATGAAACAAACACAGGAAGGAAAGTGCTGGGAGGATAAAGGCTGATTTATAATGACACGTTTGGAAGAATGCTTCTTCCTGTATTTTCAGTCTGCTTTTAATAGCATTGCAATCTTGACATGCGTCTAATTTCCTAATGGATAACTTTAACTCGTAGCATAACTGATCCTTGATTCGTTTCTAAGGAATTCCTATTTTTTTCTGAGGTTTTTCAACGGTTGCATTTAATTTAAGAAGATTATCCTGCCACTTTCAAATCATAGGAGTGAACACTCAGACCTCTTGCTGTCCACCGGACTTAGGAGGCCTGCCCTGAGGACAGGGGATGGCCCACAGAAGACAGCCTTCCTCAGAGAAGCCTCTGTACCTAAAAGCCCCGCTGTGATGCTCACCCATTACACTCACTTTAAGAAACACCCAGTGAAAATTAAAAATGCAGATGCTTTCCGAGAATGGGAAACACACTACCCCACCAGTGCTCCATCTGAATCGAGCAGACTTGACCACCTGCCCACAAAGTTAACGGGAGACAGGCAGGTTTAGCTTATAGAAGAACGTTCTAGAGAGTTAATTTTCCAGTCTCTCTCACGGGATAACTACATAATGCAGATTCTCATAAAGCTAGTAAATCAAAGTCGTTTGAAGTGGAGGCCAGAACTTCAAGTTCAAAGCTCTAGTTGGAATGTCAATGACTTTAAAATGATAGTGTATGTTGACATATTTGTATATACACAGTCATTTTAAAGACATTGCCATTTAATATCTTTGTCACAAACTGTGTTCTGTACAAATACTAAATGACAACTTTTAGACAAAGGACCAAATAAAAAGAATAGGAAAAGTAATGGTGCTATACATATAGGAATAAGACTTTAGAATATGCAACTTTATGTTTTAAAAGATGTATACATCTTTTCAGTAAGGAAGTATAAATTTACTATTTTAGAATTACCATTTTAATTTATTATTTTAGAATTTTAATATTTTACAATTTTTAAAAGCTATATGCTGTTAAGAATATATTTTCAGTAAGTTCTTGGTAAAAGTTTTAAAACCCTCTGTCTCTCAAGATAGTTTTTTCAACAAGAAATGCACTTAAAAGTCATGACATTTAAACTGAAGAAGTTCAAAGCTCTAGTTTGAAGCATCAGAAACATTTGGGTCCTGGTGGAATGCATGAAAGAAATTTTGATGAATGTACAAAATTTTATCTGGGGAGCAATCTGCATTAAAACATTAGGGATCGGGAGGAGAGTGTCTGGGGGGGGGAAGAGAAACATCTGTAACAAAAATTAATTAATTTTTTAAAATTAGGCTCTCATACGTAATATTCAGCTTATCTACAAAAACAGCTCCCAGGGACACAGGATTGCCAAGCAGTTTCCTTAGTGACCCTGTCTGCACAGCTGAATACTCTATCTGATAGTCAGTAAAAAGCTGAGCATTGCATTTTTTTGTAATTTCAGTCATCACATGATCTGATTTCCATGGCATGAACCATCTGGCAGTGACAAATTCTTTAGGCATTTTTAAGAAAGTTGCAGGTTCTTCAGGTTACATAAGTTCCCGACTGCTGCGCACGCAGCATCCCCCGGGGCTCGGATCCCTGGCGGGAGCGGCGCACCCTGCTCCGGCGGCCCGGCGGCAGCACCTCTCCGCAGCGCAGCGCGGTGGTCGGCTCGGCCGCAGGCGGTGCCGGCTCGGCACAGTCCACATCCTGCCTGCGCCGCGGCTCCTGCCGCCTGGCACAGCTCTGTGATTTCATTGGCCAGCCCCGGAGGAAGATGAACGCTACTAGCTCTGTTTCCTCTTGATGCTGCTCTGACACAAGGGGGTGGGAAATGTTTCCCCAGGAGCTGGCTCAGAAAATCAAGGGCTACCAGGAGCAGATCGCCTCTCTGAACTCCAAGTGCAAGATGCTGACAATGAAAGCCAAGAACGCCACCATGCTGCTGACGGTGACCGAGGTGGAGGCCCTGGGGGAGGACTTGGACCGGGAGCTCCTCCCCGCCACCTCTGCCCACCCCTCTGTGGTCATGGTAAGTAGGGGTCAAGGCCAGGATCCCAGGGTGCTGAGCACTCTTCTCTGTCTGCACCCTGGCTCCTGGCTCCTGGCTCCCTCTGGCTTATTTTAGGGATCAGTGGTAGGTCTTAGAGATTAGAGTCTAGCAACAGCCAGCCCCTTAGGTCTCTGCTACATTTGGGCTAAGGCCAATATTTGACCCTGTAAACAATGACAGTTGAAATAAAGCTATTTGCTTGAGGCTGCTGAATTACTTAACATGTCAAAGGTCGGCCCTGCATTGGTTTATCACTCAGCAAGAAGACTGACAGGCTCTCTAAGCTTCAAAAAAAAAAATCCTTTCAGTTTTCTAGTTTTCTGGGGGATGAGAGAATTGTGTTACTGTGTTTTCCAAGTTAAAACACTGACTGACTAGATATGTGTATTTAGTTGTATAAATGTTTAGTAAAATATAGAAGGAAGGCTATGATTAGAAAAATAAGAAAATAGAAAATCCAAAGTTTAACTTTGGATTAAAATAAAGAAGTTCCATTAATTTCTGTCTACATTATTCTCCCATCACTTTGCATCTAAGATGCATGATTTATTTTGGTAACTCACTGTTTTCCAGTACTGTGTATTTTCCACACATATGTGCTGTGCCACGGACAGGCTGTAACCATACTTGGACTCTTCTGCCAATATATCACTTAGGGTGCAATGATCTCCTTAGAAAATTTGAAATTTGAGATGTACACTAAAGTCCAAGCTTTATTTTACAGATTCTTTCATCATTTGTACAATTCATGATTTTAAAAATTATTTATAAAGATACAATCAAGAAAAGAAATACTAGAGAAATATTTAATCAACAGCAAAACTTTTAATGTACTACGCACCTCCTATCCCTGTTTGTTTTACAAATGGTTCCCAGCATCATGATTACTTGAACCAAACTTTTAAATACTGACCCAAAATCTGTTATGTAAATATGGGTCTCAGTAATTCTAACCTTTGTTGTATGATTGTCTCTGTTTTGACCTATGCTTGACCAGGTCTTTTGTTACATGGCTAATTGATGTTTATGTCCTTTGGGCTACCTTTTATGTGACAGATGACTGCAGGTCGCTGTCACACTTTGCTGTCACCTGTCAACGAGGAGTCTGGGGAGGAGGGAACCAACAGTGAGATTTCCTCTCCACCTGCCTGTCGTTCCCCTTCACCTGTGGTTAATACAGACGCTTCTGTTAACCAGGTACCACCCCCTTGGCATCCCCCTAGCTGTGATCTCTGGATGGTTGCAGGACTTCATTCTTACCAAACTGTGGGTGTGAGTCCTAGACTTTGGGGACACGCCGTTAGGTGTGACAATTGCACAGGCTGTGCCTGTCATGTGAGACCACTTCTGGCTCTACCCATCATCCCCTCTCCGGGGCTCCTGGAGTGAGATGAGCGAAAACTGGGTCGCAGAAATCACAGCCGGAGAAGGCTGTTCCAAGACCTTGCTCCTCCAGTGTCCGGCAGCTGTCTGTAATGGAGTACTGCATCCTAACAGGAAACGAGTATGTCACCTTGTGAAATAACAGGCTTCTGTTGCTACTGTAACATGTATCGAACATAGTTTTGACACAGACCAGCTCCGATTTTCAAGATGGAAAACTTCTGTTCATCATATCATACTTTTTCTTCATTCACTAGTGGCCCTCCAATACAAAGGCTGGCTGCCAGTTTATATATTGGAAAGCCTAGTAGATCTGAGTTTTCTCATTCTCATTTCTCATTCAGTAATCTTAAATTTAACTTTTTATAAAATAGGAATAATACCTTGTTATGAGATGCCTTTTAGCATACATTATATTAAAATAGCTTATATCAAATTAAATATGTCAAATTTTTCATGGAAAATATTAGATAGAAATAAAAGAGGCACTTATAACAACAATCAAAAAAAATTAATGCATGTTGAATAATACTATCTTTTTTTCATTTAGCCAAACAACTAAAAATTAATTTTCATTATGTTACTATGAAATTATATAAATGTTCAAAGAGGTTTAGCTATATCATCAAGGAAGAAATGTAAAACAGAGCAAAGGTGCTATAAACTATATTACAAATCGATCATATATATTTTTTTATTTTAGAGCAGAAGCATTCAATACAGGGTTTCTATGATAAAGAAAACCCCTCCTGCCCCCAGAAAGGAGAATGCAATGATGAAACCGTGAGATTAAACAGTTCTCTTGGTAAAAGTCTCTGTAGCTCTAGGGCAGTTTTCAATTCATCAGGTACATTCTGAGTGCCTGCCTGGCAGGAAAGCTGGTGCTGGGTCCCAGGGGTACAGCGAAGAAGAGAGCTGTGCTCTCTGCCCTCAAGGCCCTTCTGATCTAGAGAGAAAGAGGGCCTCGGGCCAACCCGTAACAAAAGTAATAAGAGGAAATTAAAAAAGCTACAAAAATGGAGAAGTTCAGGGTGCTCTGGAGAATTTGGGAAACTGTTCTCCAAATGCTGATTTTAGAACATGTATTTCTCATTCTTTGAGGATGTTCTTCCCTGCGGTCCCATAGTATTAGGATCGGAGAAGTAAGGCTGCAGTCAGTTCTTGAGGGTATAGAAAAAAACGTGTGCCTAATGTTCTTAAAACCTTCAATCTGAACAAGAAACACTGACCTTGAGACTGACGCTGTGGGAAGAATATCCCTTTTCTAAAATTAGAAGTCTCGAGGCTACTTCTTGTCCAGTGTCTTTCGATGCACGCGGAAGTACGCTGTAAATGGTAAAAGGTGCAGATGTTTTTATTATGATCACTTGAACTGTCCTGCTCAATTGAAACCCAAAATTATGAGTGAGATTATGCTTTATTTGAATCTCATTTGTCACCCCTCCCCCATCACAGGAAACCATCCATTACATCACATTGTTAACCTAACATACATATGTGTGATACTACAAATTCCTTTTTAAAACATGTTTATTTAGTCCAATCGGTGCGGCTCAGTGATTGAGCACTGACCATGCACCAAGAGGTCGCAGGTTCGATTCCCAGTCAGAACACATGCTCAAGTTGTGGGCCAGATCCCCATTGGGGGGCACGCAGGAGGCAGCCAATCGATGTTCTCTCTCATTGATGTTTCTATCTCTCCCTTCCTCTCTTTCTCAAATCAATAAAGAAAAAAATTTAAAACGTGTTTAGGTTATGTTAGGGAGCTGTCCTCGGAGGAAGCTGATAGAAAATATTATGCGTGGTGTTGTAGAAACGGGTGTCTTCATTTATGGCCACATGTTGCTCCTCTGCAGTCATGTAAGCCAGAGGAACAGGAGCAAACCCGAGGTGGCCAGTGATGCATTGGATTTACCAGATTTTGTCTGGAAACTGAAGCAAACGTTTAGAGTCCGTCGAAGCGCCAGTTTCCAGACTCGAAGCACTACAGAATGTCACAGCACTGTGAGGAGCAGCGAGTGACACTGCTTCACACAGTCACAGCTGCTAGGAGGGGTTTGCTCTGCGGCTCCTCCAAGTAGATCTCCGTTATATAACTAACTGAGCACCCACTTTCGGGGTGTTCTGTCTCTGGCAATAGCAGTTAACCGAAATGTGGTACCAATTTTGCTTACGTGAGGGTAGAAAGGGTGCAGCAGCCCGAGAACGGCTGCAGGCTCCTGGGTCCCTGCAGACACACGCCACGGCCTGGCTCCCGGGCCGAGTTGGGGGCACCGTCTGGAAAGGGCCGCAATGCAGTGGCAGAGCTGGGCTCCGGGGGAAGTCAGAGCGGCTCCGGCTCTCCCGCTCGGAGCTGACAGCACAGGGAAGCCCGCAGTCTTCTTGCAGTGGGAAGCAGCGCCCCTGCATTCACAAACCCTGAAAAAAGTTAAATATGACGTTAATCGTTGAAAGTACCTTTTGGACTGGATGTGACAGGGTAGCTGTAGTTTTCCAAACTTATTTCACTAAGCATCTACTGGATAACAACTCTCATAACCAAGCACATGCGCAACGAAAGGGGTATTTCTAAGGGTGATTCCTCACAGTGACAAACACTGCTTTCATTTAGCAGTTACTTAAAGCGCCAACGGAGCGATTTTATCGAATCTCTGAATTGACATCATCCTCAAATAGGTCCAAGTCATTCACCTACAGCAGGTGATATATTGTCAAATCTTTTGACATAAAACAGTTGTCCTTCCTTTCTAGCAGGCCTGAGCCATACACACACATACTCACAACTGCATGTAAAAGAACCAGGAAAAAAAAAGATGTTTTGGTAACAAGTTTGTTTTATTTTAGCACCTTCAAGGCCCTTCATTATTTATAATAGAGCATTTAATTTAAAACATTTACAACATTTTTTAAAATCCTCACCCAAAGATATGTTTCTGTTTGCTTGTTTGTCTTTTAATTGGTTTTAGAGAGAGAGGAAGGGGGAGAGAGAGAGAAACATCATTGGTTGCACAGCCTTGGTGTGTGTCCTGACCGGGAATGGAACTGGCAACCTTTTGGGGTACGGGATGACACTCCAACCCACTGAGCCATGTGGCCTGGGCTAAAACATTGACAACATTTAAAGCAACTTTTTCCCCTTGTGGGCAGTAATAGAATATAAATGGATAGAAAATAATAGATGTAAAGAAGTACTTTTACATGGATGGTTCATGAAATACATGTGTGTGTCTACCTGTTATTTGCCAGACGCCTGACGTGCTCAGGACCAGAAAGCAAAGGCATCTCCTGCGTGGGGCTCCCGGTTTGTGGGGGCAGGTGGGGACTGCAGGAAACACCCAGTGCTTGGGGAGCGCTCAGAAAACACCCCAAAGCCCGCTGGGGTCCAGTACTGGTCAAGGACGCACCTTTAGCTGGAAGACAGGAGTGCGGGTTGGGCAGTTGGCATGTCCTAGAGCGATGTGAAGTTCCTGAGGCAGAAGGAACCACATGTAGGAAGGAGTCAGGAAGGAAAATGGCTCATTGAGGCAACTGCAAACACTATCAGTAGAACTGGGAAAACAGCTTTGGCGGAGAAGGAGGGAGAGAAAGGAAGCTGAACAGGATGCAGGAAACACATCCCCAGGGCCCTTGGATGCCACACAAAAGAATTTGAACTTGCTCCAGAAGCTAATAGCTAACCGTTGAGGGAATCTGATGAGAAGTGACAGATAAGCGAGTTTTAGAACGATCACCCTGGGTGGATGTGGACAGGAGAACGGAGACGCACAAATTCAGAGCCAGGGAAACTCCGTCGGGCAGAAGTGTCGCTCTGATGCCACACTCAGCCGGTGATGTAGCTGAGAGACACAGCAGGGGGACCGTGGCCACCTGGACAGCCCCTCCGCACGTAGCAGAGGCGGCCTCTCTGTTAGAACTGCCTGCGGTAGGTAGCCACGAGGACACCGTGTCCAGACTCCGGATTCTTATGAAATCTCCCTGTCTCAGCGAAGAGAAATTTAAACAATGTGAAACACTGTATAAGCCAAGCTGCATGCGAACAGGCCAGAGGCACCTGCACGCTGCCCGGTGCAGCCTGGGCATGAGAAGCTGGTGCTGTAACGAGGACTGGAACCAATGCTGTGGCAGGGCACGCGCCGGTCGAACCCCATCCTTGCCTCCGCCGTGCCGTGAGCGAGGGAAGAAATAGCGGATGCATCCCGAGTTTATAGCTTAGGCGAAAGATGGATAACACTTTATAATTGTTTCCTAATTTGATGTCTCCTCTCGGATTGTTTTTTAAATGCTGAGTTGAGAGAGACTGTGGGGTATCTATGTGAGTTGGGAGCTTATAAATACACCCATGTTTTAAGGGTGAGCGGAGGAAAACTGCAAATAAGAAAGATCAAATGACTAGAGAGCTGGGTGCAGACCAGGGAGATGAAAGGAAATTGTTTTCAAACAGGATGGACAGTGGCATGTGTGCTCCTGTGATGGAACAAGAGAAAGGCTAAGAAATATTCAGTTTGTTGCATAAAGAAGAGCCACTGATGATGAAGCAAGAACAATTCCAGTGGATTCATTAGGACTGAGGCTCAGTTGGGTAGTTAGAAGCGGATCGAGAGTGAGAAAGAGAACACATCAAGAGCAAACCACCGTTTCCAGAGACTAGGTTGGGAAAAGAAAGGGAAGAAAGGAAGAATTGGTGGCCGGGAGTGTGTGTGCAGGTATATTCTCGTGTGGTGACCGTCACCTATGATTGGTGACATTTTCTCCTATATGATATCCTGCAAGAAAATTGTTTTGAAAGAGAGAGTGTTTGTCGGTGTTCTCAGCCAGAAAAGAGTTGACTCTGTATGCTGAAGAGAAAGCCAGTAGAGAGAGAGGATATGAATGGACCAAGGCCCTTGAATGAGCAAAGGCGGATGGGATTCTGGAGCAGGTGGGAACATTATCCTTAAGCAAGGAAACTGGCAAGCATCCCATAAACGTGAGTTTGAACATAGACAGACTTTCAGAAATTTAAGAATTTCGGGAGTATCTCTCTGAGGCTCAATCGTGTGTCTGTGTGTGTGTGGGGGGGGGGGGGCACGCTCACACATGCACTCTGGAAATAAAGTTCAAGTGAGTTCTGGTTGGGGTTTTCCAAGTGGGTGAAGTGGTGGTGAAGGGACAAAGGAAACAAAGGTGCTGGCAAAGAAGGTGTAAGTAACTTCAGATGTAACTCGTACACAGGGGGTGAACCAATTCAGTGGTGACAGGCTATCATGTTCAGGGGTGTGGAGGACTGCGTGGGTTGGAAGAGCGTGAGGATGAATGAGTATGGGTTTATCAGAGGACTCGATAATGGCAGAGTAATCTACCCGGGATGGTGACAGGGCTGGGAAAGGAGAAGAACCAGTCTCTATGCCCCAGGGTCATCTATAAATGTTAGACTTACCTGGAGCCTCAGTAACAGCGATTCCATCGTTAGAAGGTCTCGTGGCCCTTCCGACAGGACCTCATTGACTCCTCAGAGCCCCCAGTGCTGTACAGAGGGGGGAACCAGTGCCTGGGATGTGAGGGACTTGCTCCTTTATGTGGTTACACAGGAGGAGAATATCAACTGGGATCTCAGGGGTCCTGACCTCTCAGGTGTCAGACTGCTGTCTGAATTCATTCCACTTCCCGACCCTGCGTCTGCCCTCGTACAGACCCAAACCCAGGCCCCTTCCTGCTATCTCCTTGGTTTCTCAGTGACTAGACCTTCTTCACTACTTTTTAACCAAGACATTATTATCAATAAGGCTCAGGTATTTTAAATTAACATAATGTTCTTCAATAATGCAACTGTACAAGTAGTGACCTTTATAATAACAATTCCCAGAATGTAAACATTCCTCACCAATTCAACTTCTATTAATATACAGATAAATAACCACAGAAACAATTGGAAACACATGAATTATATGGCTTGCTATAATAGATTCCATCATCAATACTATTGAATTATGTATTATTACTTACAACCCAAAGAATAACAATAACTCAAAAGCCTGTTTTCTTATCATTTACTGATTATTCTTGTGTGTACTTTCCAGGAATTGATTAGAGGAAACCTTTTTTTTATTATTTGTTTCTCAGATTAGTTTTAACTTCCCCATTATTTTTTTTATTTACTATTAAAATATTTAAATTAATTTCTGTGAATAATCAGCTCTCAAATATTGAAAATCTGGCTATACCTGAAAAATGTCTTTCTATAGATTTAATTGTATTTAAAGCAAGTACTTTTAAAAATTATTCAAACTTCAGTTAATGCATTAAATAGCATTTTAGGAAATGTTTAGAAAAGATTATGTAGGTCTTTATTTTATTTTTATTTTTTGCTGTAGTAGTTAATCAATCTTTAAATATGTATACCGCTTAAATCCTTTGTATTTCCATGTTACCCAATACAAAATAAGAATGAGTTTTGAAAAATTTTATTGGTAAATTTATTGATTTTTTAAATATAAACTGAAATTCCAAAACCACCATGATATGCTTTGATATGATCTTTACACTCTTCTTACCACCCCAACATACTCACGTTCCTCGTTTGTGGCCCCCGGGACGGGGCTGAATCCTAACCCTTCCCCCACATGACAGAGAGCACCCAGTGTGTTACCCTAAACTCTGCCTTCCTGACCCCAGCACTGTGCTTTGCGCCCACAGGATATTGCTTATTACCAAGCCCTGTCGCCCGAGAGGTTGCAGACCGATGCCGCTAGGATTCAGCCCGGCTCCTTGCCCTCCCAGGAGTTCTATGAACCGGGACTGGAGCCATCTGCCACCGCCAAGCTGGACGATCTGCAGCGTTCCTGGGAAACTTTAAAGAATGTGGTAGGTCCTCGAAACGCAGAATTGTTTGCGCCCACCAGCCACCCGCATCTTCGTGGTTGTGTTTTGCAACACAGGCGTCGAGTTGACAAATCCTGTGCACGTTGAGTACCCTCTGTTGGGCCTCAGAGGTGAACGTGGGGAAAGACATGTCATCATGTAGCAGATAAAGGGCGGGCGAGGCAGCGTTGGTAACACGCCCCTTCTTCTCCAGATCAGCGAGAAGCAGCGCACCCTCTATGAAGCCCTGGAGCGGCAGCAGAAGTACCAGGACTCCCTGCAGTCCAGCTCCACGAAAATGGAGAGCATCGAGCTGAAGCTCAGTGAGCACCTGGAGCCGGGCAGGAGTCCAGAAAGCCAGATGGCTGAACACCAGGTAAAAATAGCCATGACTTCAGTTTCCTGCATGCTTTAACTAGGTGCTTTCTTGTGACTCGTCACCGGCCAAGCACGTGTTTGGGAGAGCAGACCGACTTGCTTTTTTAGGTATCAGTTCTTCCAGAGTAAACAAGATTGATATCAGTTCTTCCAGAGTAAAAAAGATTCCCCACCCGGGTCCTTTTCACTCCTGCCGCAGGGAGAGATCTAAGAGGGAAAGAAAGACATTCAGACCTTGAATCTAATTAAAGGAAGCGACATGAATTGAGGTTGCTTTTTTACTTTTGTTCTACAAAGCGGATTTCCTTTTAGGGGCCACTTTATTTTTATTTTGTTGAAAACTGTTGTTGTAAGAGTAAAACGGAACCCCCGTCTACCTCTCTGGGGATTGTTGTTTTAAGAAAGTTAGCCAGTGTGTGCCCAGCACCTCCCATTATCACTACAGAGAATAACTCTCAGACTTCAGTGGACAAAGGAACAGTTGAAGAATGAGAGGTTCTAAATGATCACCTTTGGTTGTCCTTGACTTGAATCCCTTCTTAAAAGGTTATATAAACTACACAAAGCTCTAGCTTTACATGAGAAACAGATGATTACATCAACCTAACTCAGAAAGCTACTGTTAAAAATGCATCTGCTTAAAATGCATGATAAAAAAGTTTATATTTGAGTAATGCTTTAGCATATTATGAGGTGTACTGTGGTGCACTATTAATGCACAATCAGGTATAACTGAGGTGCAAGGGTACTGAGGCAGGCATTCACCTGAATATTCAGTCACCGTAATACATGAAGATGCTGCCTGCCCCCCAACCAGAACCCTGGAGGATGTGACAATCCTATAAAAAGCAGAAGAAAAGGAAGATATTTTTAGATGCAAATAAAGAACTGTAAAAGTATGATGTGATACATGTATCTGTGGAGTACTGGAAAGTTTTTCAGCTTTAAGAGTGAAACACTTAATCTTTCCCCCAATTTACATTGATATAGTTTTCGAACCCAGGGTGACCTTGGAATATTTTGTTTGTTCATGTGTGTTGTCTAAGATAAAATTGCATTCTTTTACAATATAAGACCTTGCAGTATAACATAAAAATAAAAATGTTTTATCTAGAGGCATAATGTTGACAAGTATGATTTCAGGTTTTTTGATACTTTTGTAACATTGTAAGGTAGAAATCAAAGTGCATATCATCCATTTTAGGCCTCATTTTGGTAAAACTACCTTCTACGGACCATGCTGTTTCCCAGTCACCCAGAGTCAGTCTGGTTTGGGGAGGGTGTATAAATATATAAAATTAAAAGTAACCTTTGTTTATCTACCAACCAGCCCTGAGGGCAGTCAGGGACTTGGGTGACTATTATAATGTGGTTTTCCTCTGATATGATACTCCAGCCCTCTCATTGTCATCTGAAAGGGTTTCCCTGTAGCCTCAGTGTCCCTGGGGCTGTGTCCCTCCCCTCATTACGCTTGCCTCCTGTCCCTCCCTGTCCCTCCCTGTCCCTCCCTGTCCCTCCCTGTCCCTGAAAGGAGGGAGGCCTTCTCTCCATTCCATCACTCTTCCCTTTAAGCTTCCAAAAGGAATCTGCACAGGGTATGCAAAGGCTGTAACAGAGTGGCTTTGAGGGTCTTGCTTAGATTAAGAGAAGCGCATGTTTCTGGAGAGGATTTGCATTCAACTCTCCCTCTCCTTTTGGGTCCTCTCTGCCTCTGCTCAGAGCTCGTCATTCTTGTGTCCCAGGTGATTGAACACAGCCCCCCAAAATCCTTCACTGGGTCCCACAGGATTAGGAACTCCATGAAAACTAGATCTTGGTGATTTGCCCTGGGGATCTGCCAGGTGACATTCTAGAGTTTCTAACTGAAAATGCAAAATAGCTCCCAACCACCACCACCATGCCTCTGAGGCGTGAGCATGCAAACACACACACACACTAAACAGAGAGCAAACTCTTATTTTGTTGAAGGAATTCGATCGGGAAAATGCAAAATTGCACATTAATGCTAAGTATATAAATTAGAAATGAACCTGTGACTTTTCTTGTCACGAAGGCCAACCATGTGACTTTTTGTCTCTTTCTAAGTTGAGAGTGGTAATGTCAACAACTATAGCAGTGAGGAGATGTAACTAATTCACTGATGATTGCCTGTTATTTGAGCTTAACAATTATACTAATACTGTAATGAGAGGGAAAGACATAGAAACAGTTTGTCATTTCTCATGTAATCAAAACCTGACATTTTCCATCTGACCTACTTTTGCTATAAGCACCCAAGTTCTACAATTTCTGGGACAGAGCTTGTAAAAGTGACGGCATCAGTGTCTAAACTGGCTCTTAGCTTCTGAAATAGTGCTTTAAAAAAATCCAGCACTTCTGTAGAATGACTGTTTCTAAATTTCAACTGAAAGTAGATGAGAAAGTCCAGCATGCTTTCTACATTTTCTAAAGATTGATAGAAACACTTCAATTGTTATTTCTTTCCCAACACTTGTTTGAAGTATTCACGTTTCTTCTAAGAGCTAACCAAATTCCTACATTGTTCCTTTAAACCTTTGTTTAAATGTACTGAATTTGGGTGGCATGCTGTGACTTTCCTATTATTGTCTCTAAATTCTTTGATAAAGCCTGGCCGGTGTGGCTCAGTGCTTGAGCGTCAACCCATGCACCAGGAGGTCAACAGTTCAATTCCTGGTCAAGACACATGATGAGGTCCTGGGCCAAATACCCAATGGGGGGCTTGTAGGAAGCGACCATTCGCTGTTCTCTCTCATCAATGTTTCCATCTCTCTCTTCCTCTCCCTTCCTCTCTCTTTCTAAATCAACAAAGGAAAAAAAATTGTTTGATAATTACATTTTAAGACATTGATGAATTCTGAAGCTGGCTTGTGGCTTCTGTTCGAGGGTTAAGCCCTCTGTGACGGGACCACCATTGTCATGGGCGCTAATGCTTTATGGGCATGTGTTGTCTTTACCAAGTTCAGTGGTGGGCAGTAGAAGGCGCTCTGAGGTTGTTTTGTTTTCGTTTTAATGTACAGCCACTCACCATTTGACTTGGACTTGGCTGATGCAGATAGTTCTGAAAGTCACAATGAAATTCGTTTTTACCTTTGGTGTTGAACCAAACAGGAACCCCATGTTCTCTCCAGAGCCAGTCATTTTAGAGAAGCTCAAGGTAGTTCTCTAAACCACGAAAGTGTTATGCACCCGCCCCCTTCCAACCACAAGTCAGAAACCCAAAGACTTGCATTTCATCTTCCTCTCCAGATTTTCAAGTCAGAGGTCGTAGAGATGCAGCTGGCCACCAGCCGAGACAAAGTTACGGGGTGAAGGCATATTTGACTGCTGGACCTTTGTTTAAAAAAGAAATTGAAGTGAAATTCACATCATATAAAATTAACCGTTCTAAAGTGTATGGTTCTGTGGTATTTAGTACTTTCATGAGGTCATACAACTACTCCTCTAACTGGTTTCAAAAACATTTTCAATGCCCCCTGGCCAGTTTGGTTCAGCAGCTAGAGCATCAGCCCAAGGACCAAAGGGTCTCAGATTCAATTCTGACCAAGGACATGTACCCGAGTTACAGGTTTGATCCTTAGCCCTGTCAAGGTCTCAAGGAAGGCAACCAATTTATGTGTCTCTCCCACATGTATACCCCCCCCCCCACCTCTTCCCACCTCCCTTCCACCCTCCCTTCCTTGGGTGAGGATTAACAATAAAATAACCTCTCTCCTCAAATACTTTTAAAAACGAAAACATTTTTATCACCCAGAAAGAAAACTCCACCCCTCGTAAGCTTGGCTGCTGGGTCTTGATGTTAAAAACTATAGCTGTCTCCCGAAAAGATCCACTGTCCCTCAAAAGTCTACAGAAGCGTGAACAGAGAGGCTTGACTCTAGGAGGATGAAAATGCACAGTTCTTGAATCTCTCATGCCCTAACTCTTTCATCACACACTTCAGCACACCCAGCTGTTCTACAGCTGTGTGAGCTGGAAACGGAAGCTGCTGACCTCACTGCACCCCTGATTGGTCAAGTCCTCTAAGATTCAATGAGGAGTTTTTTTTTCTGGTTGCTTCATGATTCAGATACATGTTTCCTCTAGCAAGAATTACAATGAGTTCAACTAGATCTGTTGAGCGCCTACTATGTGCACAACTGAACTAGAGGCACTTTTTCATGCGTATATGATGGAAAGGCGTGCTTTAGGAGTGGAGTGAATTACCAACGCATGGTTTAAAAAATAAAAAATGTGACTGTAGGCTACAGTGGTGGGAAATAGCTAAAAGGAGACTCTTGCAAGTGCTTGGGGAGACAGCTTTTGAAATTTTGGAATGGCAACAGGAGGGGGTAGGAGGTGCCATAAATGAACATGTGAGCCAAGGCAGGGGAGAGAAGAGAAGGCACCCGGTGTGGTACAGGGAGGGGTTCTCCCTGCTTGCACAGAGGATCAAAGCAGAAAAAGACAATGCAGTCAGTCTGGTTATGGAGAAGCCTTCAAATTAAACAGAGCAAATAATATGAATTTTATACTTCTGATAATAAAGCAGTAGAAAATAATTTACTGGGTATAAAGGGTTTTGTATAAGCAGCAAGATTCAGCCTGTAATTCACTACAATCTCATGCAAATATCCCAGCAAGTTCTTCAGTGGAGATTGACAAGCTAATTCGAAAATATATCACAAATGTATGAAAGATGTATATTGAAGTTTGAAAGGGTCAAGAATAGCCAAGGAAACCTTGAAGAAGATGAGTCGAGTTGAAGGATCTATCCCGCCAGAGAGCGAGACATATAAAGCTGTAGTAATTGTGAGCGTGGTGTTGGCACAGGCAGCCAAATGGGTTGCTGGGACAGAACTGGGAGCCAGATACACACGCACACCCACACAGACACTTGGCTTATGTTAAAAATTATAGTGCAAAACACTGATTAAAATATTTTAAAATAAATAATGCAGGGTCATTGGGATATCCATATAAAACAATTTTGACCTCCTACCTACATTGGACACAAAAATTAATATGAGGTGCATCGTAAATCTAAGTGTGAAAGTAAAATAAAAAGTTTAAAACAGTGCTTCTTAACTATCTATAATAAATAATGTGTTTTGTTTTTAATGTCTAAACCATCAGACCAGTATCTTGGTGAAGTAAAATAAAATACTATTTGGATATCATGTCAATGTCAAGTGGCTATAAAAGTTTCTTAACATTTACCCGTGATATCTTTGCCTTGTTATGAGCTGGCGACAAATGTTGTGCAGACTACTGCCATTTCTTGGACCCTACTTTGAATAGCATTATTCTAGAAGATGACACGTGAGAACATATCCATGATCTTGGGGTAGGCCAAGATCTCTTAAACAGGACACCAAAAGCCCTAACTTTTTTGATGGAGAAAAATGCTGATATATTAGTCTACAATAAAAGTAAGAGCCTTTGTTCCTCAAAAGGCGCCATTAAGCAAGTGTTTCCCACTAAGGGACACCCACGTCACCAAATGGGAGCAGGCATTTGCAATACACAGAAGCAAAAGAAACACAGGGGCCCTTACCCAAAGTAAACAAACAACCCCATACTTCCATAAGGAAAGGAAAGACGCCAATACAAACCAGACAGAAGATTTTTAGCAGGCAGACACCAACGAGGATTTCAAGTAGCCAAAGAGCATAGGAAGAAGCTCTCTGTCTCATTCGTCACCAGGGAAATGCAGAGTAAAAGTACAAAGAGATGATCACTGTGAACCCCCTAGAGAGACTTCAGTGAAAAAAAGCCACAGGACAAGTGACCATGGAATATGCTCGAACAATGAAAACGATCACCTCTTTCTACATGCAGCAATATGAGAGACTTCACAATCCTGACAGGGAGCGAAAGAAGCCAGACACCATAGACTGTATCAGGTGTGATTCCACTTGTACAGAGCTCAAACACAGGCAAAAATAACCCGATGTTTGCAAGCCAGCACCCTGGTGATCCTCGGGAAGGAGGGAGGTGGTGGCAGGGAGGAGACCCAGGGTCGTAGGAGTCCCGGGAGTGTTCTCTTTCCTGATCGGGGTGGTGGGAGTGTGAGTATGTGCAGTGTGTAGGAATTCGTACAGCTGCACATTTAGCCTGTGCTCTTATCTAGGTGCATCTAATAATGTCAGTGTCATTGTGAATGTACACATCCAGTTAAACATGGTGTTAGGGAAAGATAAGTTTTGTGTGTGTGTGTTTTGTAATATTTGTTGGGAGCCTGTGAGGCGAAGGCACCGTGTTCACAGTGAAGCCTGCAGTCCTGTGGACGAGGGGCCAGGCACATCGGCCACCCTGGAAACTGAAATACCAGCAGATATAAAGCCTTCTGCAGTCAGGCCTGTTTTCCTTTCTTTGTGTTAATCCTCACCCAAGGATATATTCCATTGATTTTTAGACAGAGTGGAAGGGAGGGAGGGAGGGAGAGAGAGAGAGAAACATCCATATGAGAGAGACTTCAATTGGTTGCCTCCCTCACAATCCCAACCAGGACCAGGGATCAAACCTGCAACCCAGGTACATGCCCTTGACCAGGAATCAAACCCGTGACCCTTTAGTCCAGAGGCTGATGCTCCAACCACTGAGCCAAACTGGCCAGATTTAAATCCTAAATAAGAATTTGTCCTACCAAGATTACAACTAAACATCAAGTCATAAAAAAAAAAAAGAGAGAAAATAAAAATGTATAATTGTGATAGATGTTAATCAGGAAAACAGAGTGCTTGCTACTTTACAGAAATTAATGAGCGTGGATGGACCTGAAGATTACTATGCTAAGTGAAATAAGCCAGTCAGAGAAAGACAAATACCACATGATTTCACTTATACGTGGAAAATAATGAACAAAAGAAACTAACAAACAACATAGAAACAGACTCACAGATACAGAGAACAGACTGACAGCTGTCAGAGGGGAGGGATTGGGGGCCTGGGTGAAAAAGTCAAAAGGAGTAAGCAAAAACAAAACAAAACAAAAAACACCTCATAGACAGCAGGGAGAAAAGGGGTGGGGAGGAGAGGGGGAAGGGGATAAAAGTGAGGGAAAGAGACTTGACCTGGGGTGATGAGCACACAATACAATATACAGATGCTGTGTTATAGAATTGTACCTCTGAAACCTGCATAATTTTATTAGCCATTGTCACCCTCAATAAATTCAATAAATAAATAATATGTTGCCGAGGGCCCTGGAGTACGTAATCACAAGGCAGGAAGGTATGAGCTGGGACAGGGTGTGGTACAAGAGGCAGCAGACGAGGTGAGACCGTACACGAATGTGGGAAGGAGTTTGGATTTTATTTTATAGGCAATAAGCCACTAAGTATTTTAAAGCAAGGAGTAAACGGATCTGATTTGCCTTTGTAAAAGCTCACTCTAATTACTTTCTGAAGAGTAGACCGAAGAGATGAGATGGTGAGCAGGTAGCCCCAACAGTGGGCTCTAACTTAGGGTGGGGGCAGAGGAGACGCATCGGTACACAAGGTATTTGGAGATAAAAGCAACTGGTTTTGGTGTGGGGCTGGACTTAGCCAGTGAAGTGGAGAAAGTGTGGGTAGTGGCTCCTGCGTCTGGAGGTGGAGCAATGCTGAGAAGGGTGGTCCTTTCACTGCGGAGGGGAAGACAGGGGAGGCAGCTGGCTTGTTCCATCACAGGGTGGAGGCACCTATGACACATGTGAGTTGAATGTACCAGCCTGGTATTAGGACAGACGTCTGGGTCAGGGAGGTACCTTTGGAATGGATTTATCTGGGAGAAACTGTGGAGAGAGAACAGAGGTGCTGGTAATCAGCCCTGTGAAACTTCAGTTTCAGAGTTGGGAAGCAAAGGAGGAAGAGGGGGAAAGGGTGATGAGATAGGAACAGGTGACAGATTTCTCCCACCTTGAATGTGAGTTAGGGGTTAGAACACGTGCTGTCTCAAATTTGGGGAGCTTTGGAGGGGGAAGAATCGTGTGATGCATTTTATTTTCCACACAGAATTGTAGATGCAAACATTCATTGAGCATACCCACCTCAGATTATAGATGAGCCTATTGAAAACCAGAAAGATTACCCGGCTGGTGAGGCTCAGTGGTTGAGCATCACCCATGCACCAAGAGGTCATCGGTTCGATTACCAGTCAGGCCATATGCCCAGGTTGTGGGCCTGATCCCCAGTGGGGGGCATGTAAGAGGTGGCCAATTGATGTTCTCTCTCATCAACATTTCTATCTCTCTCTCCAAAATCAATAAAGAAGAAAAAATTAAAAAAAAAAAAAACCAGAAAGATTAATTAACTTGTTCAAATGCATTTAAGCTAGTGACACAAACAGTGTTGAAATCCGGAGTTTTCTGCCCTTTAATCTGGAACTTTCATTGTGAAACTTGGGTGAAGAGGCCCCTCTCTGCAGGTGAAATGACTTCGAGTGAAATATAGTCACTAATCTCAACTGATGTGAGACTCAGCTGGCGACAGGATTTCTCAGTCCCCCAAACCCGGACGCAGTGTGGTCTGTTGTTCCTGCAGGCGCTGATGGATGAGATCCTCATGCTGCAGGACGAGATCGGGGAGCTGCAGGCGGCCCTCGCCGCAGACCTGGTGTCTGAGTCCCCAGAGTCCGACCCTGCGGAGCAGCTGGCCTTGCAGTCCACGCTCACCGTCTTAGCGGAGCGCATGGCCACCATCAGGATGAAAGCGTCGGGGAAAAGGCAGCTTTTGGAGGTAACCAGTCACTCCGAAGCCCCTCGCGTCCATGTCTCTCAGGGCTGTGTCGACAAGTGTCGGGGTTGCCTAAGTGACCTGCAGTTTTATTGTTTCTCATGCACAAGAAGCTGGATTGTGTCTCAGGGAGCATCTCGTGAACAGAGCCCTGAGTCAGTGTGCGGCCATGAAAGCATCTTTTCACCCCTTTCTGCCCATTCCAGCATGGCCGATTGAGAGTGTCCACAGCAGACACTTGGTAGGCACGGGCCCTGTGGAGAATGATTGTAGAAGGTTTACACAATGGCTTGCTATGTTTAAATAAGAGCATTTTATAAGCATTACTAATGCGGTGAAGAATACATCTTTAGTCACTGTTAGCCAACTCCAGAACACTGATCCATGAACATTTATTTTTTTACTTTGTTCTTTTATCATTTCTGGCCCTAAACATGGATGACATTAGACCTGAAACTCCATAAAGACCTTTAGAGTGTCTGCCTCCTTGTACCTCTGGGACATGGTCACTTCTCAGTACATTTCTTAGTACATGAGCTTAATATTATTTTTATTTAGCTGCTGATTATACTATAATTCAATTAACCTCGGGCCTAAATTGTTGGGTGTGTAGGCTCTTTCTCGTTTCAGATTAGTCAGATCATATATGTGTATATTTCTTGTTTGGAAGAAATTTAAAACCAACATGTCTTCTCTACTTAAACTTTATTTGAAACTATTTTTTAAATACAATTTAAAAAATAATTATATAAATGATTCATAAAATAATTTTTAAAATAGGTATTTAGAGTACCTTATTTTAAAAATGAACTTTTTAATTTATTAATATTGTTCCCAATCACTCTGTGAAACATTTGTGGAGCTTCAAAATAAAGTGATTTTTTTTTTAATATGAATTCTTTGCCATCATTGGAAAAAAAATCCAGAGATCTAACCCCAGAAAGAAAAAAAAAAAAAGAGGTTCTGCTTTCATTCGAGAAACTGGGACACTGGGCCTCCCCTTCTTGCAGAGAACCAGTTGCTGGAAACTGCATGGTGCTGCTTTTTCAGGGGCCGTGTGTTCTTCAGTTTGTCAGTCCAGCCTCGCCCTACAGTTGCCCCTGCGCTGAGGTCAGGTACCTGCTTCCATGTACAGCACCTCATGCCGTGGCTTGTTCTAATCCTCGGTCAGTTTTTATCACTCATGTTATCTGCCTGGTCCTGCAGGTGTATTTTTAAAGAACGCTTAACCTCCAGTGCACGTTAGAATCCCTGGAGGAAGTTTTTAAAAATATGAATCATGAGACTCACCTCCAGAAATTCTCACTTATTTCTCTGGTATGTGACCCAAGAATAATTTTTTTTTATATTTCACCGTTTATTCTGATGTGCACCCAGAGCTCAGAACCACTGCTCTATCGTGTTGAAGCCTAGTGATTTGACCTTCGGGTAACCTGTAACATTCCACTTAACTCACCAGGAGAAGCTGAATGATCAGCTGGAGGAACAGAGGCAACATCAGGCCCTGCAGAGGTATCGCTCTGAAGTCGACAAGCTGGACCACTGGCTCCTCAGCACTAAGGCCACACTGGACACCGCTCTGGGTACCCCCAAGGAGCCCATGGACATGGAGGCCCAGCTCGTGGACTGCCAGGTACGGAATGGTCTAGAAAGAATATGTAACATCACAAAGCACATTTTAAAATGTGAAACATACCGGTGAAAAGGCTTGATATGGACAGATGATTTTTCATAACCATGTACTTTATATATTTAGAGAGTAGAAAAACAGCACCTCATGAAAGCTTAAATGAAATCCAAACTTGAACTTAAGTCTTTTGGAGAACTTTACCAATAGCTCCCGATCTTTAGAAAATCTTCAGCTTCCTAAAGGAAATTTTTAAAAGATTATGGAAACCAAAACACTTAGAGTGTCTCTATTTGGTACTAATACGAAATGCAGAACTCATGAGAACTGGTGTCAGTGCATCAGGTTGTAGACAAACACAGCTGGAGAAGCCCTGGGTGCCCTGTGGCAGTTCGGGCTCTAATTCTTGGATATGTTTTGGGAACCCTGGAAAAGCTGTCAGTACAGGCAGACTGAACACAGGAAGGCGTCGTTTGGAACAGAGAATTTCCTTTCTCTGATGTGAGGTCTCTAGGGATTAAGGTAGAGGCAGTGACATTAAGGGTTTTATTGTAATATTATTGTCTTACCTCTTTGTTATGAAAAATTTCAAACACACATGTAAGTATAGAGAGTTGATAATGAACTCCATGTGCCAATCATTGAATTTCAAAGATTACCAACATATTATACTTCACACATGGGTGACATATGTCTTAAAAGCTCTTTCTATCACTTAACCAACTAGCAAGTCTCTAGAAAATCCTACGTAATCTCCAGGGTTAGATATCAGTAAGCAGGACTTCATATTTATCCCATTTGGGATTGAGGAAATGCACAAAAACCATCGATTAATGAGCATTATTATTTTTTAATATGTAACATTCCATTGTAGTCATTCCTTTCATGATTTGAGATATATTGTACTATTAATCATTATCACTTGAATTTTTAGATTTCGTGGGCAACTTCTCCATGTGTATTCAAGGCATTATGATTCGCTGCTTTGCCGCGAGACAATAGAGAGCCACGCACCAGAGTTTTCTGTTCCTTAGATAATCTTTCCTTAAATTTCTTTCTGAAAAGACATCTGTGTCAGCATTGCCTTTAGCACTTGGACTCCCCCCTGCACTAGCATTACTCCCGTCACCCCCAGCTCTCCCTCTTGGGTACCTCTATTGTTATCACTGTACATAGGGTCCATGATTCAAATAATACATTTCAGGATTTTTACAAAGTACTAAAATGGTCTTTTGACAATATTTTTAGAAACCAGAGGCATACGGTATCACACAAACATACAACAGTTTCTTAGCCGATTCAGATCTAGTATTTGAGCCAGTTGCATTATTATTATTATTATTATTTTTATCCTCACTCGAGGACATTTTTCCATTTTTTGTTCAGATAGAGTGGGAGGGAGAGAGAGCGAAACATCAATGTGAAAGGGACACATCGAGTGGCTGCCACCCACACGACCCAACCAAGGCCAGGGACAAACTGCAACCGAGGTACGTGCCCTTAGCGGGAACCGAACCCGGGTCTCTCTAGACCACGGGCCGACGCTCTAACCGCTGAGCCAAACCGGCCAGGGCAGTTGCATTATTTTAACTGCAACTGTTCCACGGAATTAGGGCCATGTTGTGACATCTAGGGCTCTGGGCACTTTGCTTCCATGGGTCCCTTCTATAAAAGTACTAAAAATTATATTTTTATTTTACAACTGCTTTGCTACAAAGGCTAATAAAATCCAAGGTGGATTCTTTTTTTCTTCTGATTTTAAAAGAAATTACAATTAAGACATTTTCTTGGTACCCCCCCCCCAAAGTATTATGGACCCTCAGCACTACACCACCTGCGCCGAATGCGAAAGTCCATCCTGCACAGTTAACATTAATGTCTCAAAAAGAGTCCTCAGGATATCATCCTTCAAACCCCATTTCATCAAAAATGTCACTCTTCCACTTAGTTCTAGATTTTTGGTTCAAACCTGTACTCTTAAAAGTTTGTGGCAGTAATTCTGATTTTGTACAGGGCAAGAAAATATCTTTTCTCGTTAATAAATTACTCGATTGAAAATTCCTTTAAGAATTAGAAAGTGCTTTTCAAAGAATGTAGAGTAAAGGAATATAAAAACAGAACAATTTTTGTAGGAAACACAATGGGTGCTACGTGTTCTGCTTGATTTTCTTTGCTGCTGTTTTGGTTTCGTTTTAAACCTGTCTCGAGAGAAGGGAGCCGAGGGCTGCTTCTCTGGCTTAGCCTCCGCCTTACGAGGAAACCCGGGGCTCCAGAGAGTTGTCACAGAAAGGGGAAGTAATTTTTTAAGGAAAACTTTAAAAAATTTAAGGTTAAAAATATATCATAAAAGAAATAAAACTAAAAAGTTGAGAAATACAATCAGCAATCTCAAAGAACAAAATTGACCCAAAGGGACAATGTTTAGAAAGAGAATCCTTTTTACATCGACAACAAAAGGGTTGATCATGTGAAGTCTTGGCTGTTATTAACCATCAGCATTACAACCCAACAGCAAAACAGTAAAATAAGTGTAACACTAGGCTAGCATGAAGGCATGTTCTTTCTCCTCACCTGTTGGTTATATACAGTGGGCTCTCAATATGTTTTCCCAATATATTTTTATTATATGATAAGTAATCTTGACTAAGAGAAAAATTAAGAAGCTCAAAGTATTTTTTAAAATCTACGTACTGTTTTTCCAGGCGGTAGGAAAATTAAGAAAGAGGTAAGGAAACGTGTTTTGCTGTGCGAAATGGGCCTGGCAGAGGCTGGCAGGGTGTGTGAACGTCACCTGGTTTCTGTCGCCCCAGAACATGCTGGTGGAGATAGAGCAGAAGGTGGCAGCCTTGTCGGAGCTCGCGGTCCACAACGAGAACCTGCTGCTGGAGGGCAAGGCTCACACGAAGGACGAGGCTGAGCAGCTGGCAGAGAAGCTGCGAACCCTCAAGGGGAGTCTCCTGGAGCTGCAGAGGGCCCTGCACGACAAGCAGCTTAACATCCAGGTGAGGCTCCAGCCCCGGGCAGCAGGGTGAGGCTGCAGGGACAGCCACTGCTTGGGCACGCTGGCGGCCTGTGCACATGGGGCAGTGGTTCTCAACCTCCCTGAAGCCGCGACTTTCATGCAGCTCCTCATGTTGTGCTCACCCCCAACCGTACAGTTATTGTCGTTGCTACTTCAGAACTGTAATTTTGATACTGTTATGTCTTAGGCGACCCCTGTGCAAGGGTCATTCGACCCCCAAAGGGGTCGCGACCCACAAGTTGAGAACCGCTGAGAAGGAAACTCTGGGAAAGGATATATACTTATATATACCTGCTTTACACAAACCTTAGCATAGCTTTTCCAGTAGGTTTTGTAAGGACTGTTTAAATCCATAAACCCAAAGGTTGCTGTGTAGGAGAAGAAAGGAAATAAAAAGAAATGCCAAAATGTAACAAATACACAATTTTTAAAAATATCCAAACATGGTTCATAAATTAAGATATCCTATAACATTTTTACCTTTTTCTTTTATTTCCCTTACATTCTACTTTTCAGATATACTTAGACTTTTATTTCGGACCCACAACTTTAGGTTTGTCATTTATTCCAGGTGCACTGAACCCTTTTACTGTCATGGAGTGACTTTAACACTCCCTTCTAGTGATTTTTTTTTATTTTACTAAAGCTTTTGGGGGATAATATTTGCCTAGTACATATTTTAACTTTCCTTTGATTTTTGCCTTTTATGTGTTTTTATGTTTTAGATTTGCTTCTTTTAAAGAACATTTAGCTATATTTTGTTGGTTTGAAATATTTTATCTAAGAGGAAAATCTCTGACCATTAAAGGGTAGATTTAGTCCATTTACATGTATTGTGATTACTAATTGTTTGAACTTTTGTTACCTTACTTTTTGTTTTCTCTTTTTCCTGCACTTTCTGTTTTTTCTTTAACCTTTGTTTTAAGTGATTGAGTGCTTTTCTTTGTTTTTTATTTTTTATCCTCTACTTTTTACCATGCATATCTAATAAATTCTACATTTATATCTTTTTTCTTTTTAAAAAAATATTTTTTTATTAATATTTTAGATAGAAAGGAAGGGAGAGGGCGAGAGATAGAAATATCGATGAGAGAGAAACATCGATTGGCTGCCTCCTGCACGCCCCACACTGGGGATCAGGCCCGCAACCTGGGAAGGGTCCCTGACCAGGAATTGAACTGGTGACCTCTCAGTGCACGGGACGACACTCAATCCACTGAGCCACACTGGCCAGGCGACTACATTTATGTCTTAATCTCTCTCCAGATCAATACAAGAACCTTCACTTAGATTTCTCCCCATGCAATTTCATATTGTTATTATTCAGATTTTTATTTTATTTTTAAAATCTCTACAAGTTAGATATTACTATTATTATCTTATATAAGAATCAAGCAAATATGTATTGAGAAACTACTGTGTGCCTGCTACTGTGCTATATGACAGAGTGAAGGAGCATGGAAAAACCACTACCTGTCTCTACATCTATATTTCTATCGGCATCTGCATGTTCCTATCTTCAGAAGATTGTGGTAGGGGGACACAGATAATAAGTGACATTAAAAAGGTGTTATTATCTACTAAGTTGGAAGGTGATGAGAGCTATAGATGAAGTGCCAAAAGGCAGATAGATAGGGAAAGGTGGGACGAGGTGGAATTTCCGTCTTAAACACGGTGGCCAAAGAAGCCTCCGTCAGTGATAGGACTGAGCCATGTGGACATGGAAGAAAGTTCCAAGCAAAGGGGAAAGCAAGTGCAAGGGCTTCCAGGTGAGGGCAGACCTGTTGTGTTCAAGGAGGCCAAGGGGACCGCAGTGGAGGGAGCTAGCAAGTGAGGCCGGACAGGTGACGGGGGCCCAAGGTGCAAAGGCCTCATTATAGGCACCATATGAATTTTGGCTTTCACTCTAGGGAAAATGACAAGCCACTGGCGTATTTGGGAACGGAGGAATGACAAGATCAGAGTTTTACCACTGTAAGGGACCAGGGTGAAAGTTGAGAGACCAGTTAAGAGGCATAGTATAGAGATAGAAGTGTTGAGAACTTCTCAGATTCTAGATAATTGAGAAGATGCAAACTATCTGCAGAAGAGATTTGGGGGAAGACAGAGTATTAAGGTCAGCGGTTTAATTTCAGACAGGTTAAGTTTGAGATGCCTATTAAATTTCAAGTAGTGGTTGGAATTCAGGAGAGAGACTTAAACTGGAGTCATCAGCTTCAAGATGGTCCTTAAAAGCATGAGGTTTGGTGAGATCACCAATGGAGTAAGGAGAGAGAGAAAAGAGCAAGGTCCTAGAACCAAGCCCTGGGACACCCCAGTGTTAAGAATTTAGAAGATGTGGAGGAGCCCACAAAAAAAGAGTAAAAGAGAGAAACCGGTGAAGTAGGAGAAGACCAAGACTTTGATGGTTGAAGCCACTTGAAAATAAATGAAGTAAGATGAGGATTGATACCTGACCCATGGGCTTAGCCACATGAAGGTCTCCCATGAACTCAACAACACCCGTTGCGGTGGAGGGGTGGGGGCAGCACTCTGACATGAAGTGAAAATGGGAGGAAGAGGCGCTGGGGAGAGAGCACAGGTAGCTCATGAGTTTTGCTGTAAAGGAGAACAGAGAATGGGTCGAGAGAAATTTGTTTCATTTGGAGATCAGTATAATGACTGGCAACTGCAAACCGTATTGCACACAAAGGCAGGAAGATGCACACACCCATATACACACATATACAAGCCCACATGTACACACACCCCACAGAGCAAGTGTTCTTGCGTGTCTTTCATCCCCTGGGCAAGACCCGGGACAGAGATCTGAGCAGAACTGGATTCCGGGGACTTTGGCTGCCTGTGCTGGGGTTTCAGGGTGACTACCAGGCCCAGGGTACTCTCTCCTTTGCCGGAGCCCAGCCCGAGCACGACCACCCTGCGGTGTGGAAGCTGCCTCTTCAGCCTCAGAGTGTCTGTGTCGGGGTGCCTGGCCCAGCCTCTGTGTATTTCCCATGTCGGCCTTGCATTCTCGGGTGGTCTGTCTCTCACTTGATGACTTGTTCTATGTAGTTGGCAATAACTCAGTAGAGAAAGTACTGATGTAAAAGAAGTGAGATTGCAAGAACCATCTTCTATAGGAGAGAGACAAGGACCAGTCTCAGGAGGGAGGGCGACACCTGTATTTGCGTGCAGATTTAGCAGATGCTAACAGTGGGCATTCCCTGTGATTGCTTCTATTTTCTTCTTATAATGATTTCTTCAGACTAAACTACGTATTTTCAGTTCTTCGTTAATTGTATGATTACGTTTTTGGAAACATCCAACCTACTCTATTAGAAGCAATGGTTTCATATCTGGGAGAGCCTTCATTTATGAAACTCCAGTTGTGTCTACTTCCGGAGGGAGGCATGGAAGGGACAGCCTGCTCGGCACGCTGGGGGTTAAACAGGTTGGGCACAAATCCCAGGCCCCGGGCCGAGGGAGGGCCTAGGAACCAGTGGAGCAGGCCCCGTCAGGACCTTGGCAAGCTGTTCTCAAGTCGGAGAAGCAGCTGTTGACTCCAGCTATTGTCATACAGGAATTATAGTCAGCATTGCAAGATCTTCCAGAGAAAGGAAATTTGGATTTATATCTAAAACTTTCCAATGTGAAAGCATTTAATTCTAAAATTTAAAAATAATTTGTGCACTAATTAAAGCCCGTGCTGTAGCCAGACTTGGTTTTGGGCCATCACTTCGGAACCGCTGTTCTCACGTCTCCCCAGCCTGTTCCCACTGGGTGTTCACCCAGGGTCCTTGAACTTCCCTTTCTTGCACATCAGTTTTCTCATCTGTAAAATAGGGATAATAATAGTATTTAACTTTTTAAAAATATGTGTTTATTGATTTTTTTTTTTAGAGCGGAAGGGAGAGAGAGATAGAAACATTGATGTGAGAGATAACTATCGATCAGTTGCCTCCTGCACGCCCCCTACTGGGGATCGAGCCCACAACCCAGGCATGTGCCCTGACCGGGAATCGAACCAGGACCTCTCAGTCCACGGGACAGTGCTCAATCCACTGAGCCACACAGGCCAGGCAGTAGTCTTTAACTTTAAAAATTCCTGAGGATTTTAAGGCAAGTCGTGTTCACAGTAAGTGCTCAAATTGCAGCGTGTATATAATGAATAACCACGAACACCGGTTTGCAAGCCACATTCTGTGCGAGGAAAGGACTCGTGACACGCTGGAAGGCCAGGCTGGTGACCATCGGGCTGCGATGACGGCGCCCCCCCCCCCTCCTGCCAGGCGCTGCCCTGGCACCGAGGTTCTTCGGGCTGAGTCCAGTCCCGGTTCCGCCTGCAAGAGAAAGGTTCCCTGAGGGCACCGTCCTGCAAACTGGAAATACAGGAACGGGCGGCAGTCTCACTGCGTTGGAACTAGTCATTGTTCATTTCTTAAATATTTATAAACGTTACCATCCTTCGCCTAATGAGTTTTCAGCATGTAACATTTTGATGTCTTTTGTTTTGTTTTCTTATAATTAGACCTTTTTCAGGAGATTATTTTTCCAAGGGTCGAGCCGAAAGGAGCACTGTGCGTATTATTATTGCCATGAAAGGCATCACTCCCCTTCGTGTAGAAAATTCAGAGTTGCTCTGAAATGAATAGCTGTTGGGGGCAAGAAACCTTCCATCGGATGTTAGTGGAGTTGTGGCCTTCGGCTGGGCTTTGCGAGAGTCGGGGGGCCCTAAACACGTCATTTCTCAGAGCTACTTATCTGTAAAGTGGCCGTGCCTATTAAGGCCATTCTTTCTAACTAACTGGACTTCTACTTGTTATCAATGAGTAAATAACCCACCCCTTCAATTCCCCCTCCCCCACAGGTTCTTTCTGTAATTGAAGAAACACAGACCTTACTGGCATATAATGCTTTCTCTTGAATTACATGTTATCTTTTCTTTGCAAGAAGTTTAAGTCATTTTACGCTTTATTATCTGTCCAGGGAGCAGAGAGTTAGCCCTATATAAATAATGAAATGCTTTTAGAAAGAAATATGTTATTTAGTGTTTAGCATTCTCCAATCCTCAGTAATCTTCCAAGGAATGTTCCTGGCAAAAGAAGTTACTGTTCTAGTATTTCTAAAATAAACAGCTTGTAGCTCCACCCACGGTGGACGGGACAGAAATCACCTACTTCCTATTCCCTAGATAGGAGAGGAAACTGCTTTGAAGCCTCAGAGAAAGTACCTGCTATTGTTTTATTCCTCTGTCAGTGCCTTCTCATCCCAGGGGGAAAGGGAGTGAAAGCTGAGCTGATTTTTTTTTTAACTTTTTATTTATTTTTTTTGTTACAGATGTTTCTCCTTTTTTACCCCATTGGCACCCCCCTCCCCACCCCCCCACCCCCCGTCCCCGGCTTAGTTGTCCATGTCCATTGGTCATGCATACATGCATATAAGTTCTGTGGTTTATCTCTCCCCAACCACCCCCTCTTCTGAGGGATTCTTGATCCTTTTGTTTGCTTCCTGCAGTCCAAACGTTGTGTTTCAAAATGACTAAAGCAGTCGGGGGAAAAATCCGCCAACTGAAAAAGCAACCAAACCACCTAGACAATACATGCGAGTCATCTGCTTCTAGCATTGCCTCGTTTCTGTTTCGCTAAAGCTGTGGATTCGGTTGGTCAGACCTGCCTCACCTTTCTGGACCGTCATAGAACCTGAATGTGGGTCCGAGTGTGTAAAGGGATTAGTTGTCCTTAGGACCGAATGTTGCTATTGTCCTTTCTCTGGGCGCAAATCCCGTGCGAGGACTTGGACAGTGAAAATCTCAGCCACAGGAGTAACCTGCGTGGAGGGTGACGTGGTGGGACTGAGAGGTCACCACGCGAGCCTGCAGCTCTGAAACAAACCTTTTCTAAGGGCAGAGCAGAGAGGAAGAGACTGGATCCCACATGAGAGTCAGCAGGTCATGGCCTTGACCACTGTTGCATCAGCTGGAGCAGCTCTGATGGGGATCAGCTTTCTGCCTCCTACCCTGACTTCTTTGGGGTCGTTCTCTCCAGGTCCCTGTTGACCTGCTGTGTCATCCTTGCCAGAAGGCCCAGGATCTCTGAGAGCTTATTCTGGGTCAACGGTGCATTCAACAGATGGAGGGCATCTGTTTCACGTGGAAACTTATGGGCGTCGGTCTGGAAGAGGGTCCACCCACCCCGCAGCTCCCACCACCAGGAAAATCTCTGTTTTCCTGGGAGCGGCTTTTCTGCAGGAGGGGGAGTACACCGAGCTGGGTGTCACTAACCGCCCGTTCGAAAGGCCCCGGGAAGTGCAAATGCCATATTTCAGACCAAGGGCACCTGCCTTCTCCTGTCTACACCACATTCCCTGCTGGGAACCCCATCATCTTAAAGGAAAGGCTGTACCTGTGAGCTAAGGCGGCTCAGCCTCTGGGAGAAGAATACATCTAATATCCCCCATGGGGTTCACCTTTCCTTCTGTTCATTGCGCTTTAAGCACTGATACAAACTTTGCAAAGCTTATAATCTCAATATTATCTCAAACATTTTACAATCTTACCATGGGATTTCCGTGAATAGACAGAAGGATAAACAGACCCCATCTATTTCCCTGTGATAGTGGCTACGTAAGAAACACCCAAACCTGCAGAGAATTTTCCTAAGAGTTTATTTGAGCCAAACTGCGGACCTGTGCCGGGGACAAGATCTCAGGCGCTCCAGGAGATACCGCTTGGGAAGTTTCTCTTATGCATTTGTAATAAAGAAGGGAAAGTAAGGAAGACGATCTGAAGGTGGGAAAAGCAAGGCGGGGCTGGGCCACGGAATAGTTAAGGTTTGTGCTCTCGAGGGCGGGCGGCTTGGTCATCTCGAAGGCTCTTAAGGGAGATGCACAGAAACAATGGCAGGGCTTGTTTAAGGCAAAGGTACGCCTGGGGGTGGCTTCCCACCTGAACGGGCCCAGTTAGGAATTTATGATCAGAACACCCTGTGATGCAACTTTCCATAGAAACCCCCCCTTTTTTTTTCATCCACAATAGTTAGTGTAAAATTCTGAAAACAAGAGGAAGATCAGGGTCTTTGTGGGCACTCGATCGGACTGGAACCAAAGGACAGGAGCAGCAGCTGCAGAGCCAGACAGCAGGGCCACCCCTCTAGGGAGACAGCTGGCAAGTGTCCCTCATCTCTGCCCCTCACCCCCAGCCCCGCTCCAGCCAGAGTCCTCACCGCTTCCCTCTCTGAGATGCCAAGTCCCTTCCTTCCTTCCAAGGTCTTGGCTCCAGCTGTTCCCTGGGCCTGCAGGGCCCTCCCCCAGGCCATTGCCCTTGCTCAGGACAGTTGCCTGCTCTGGGAGACCCTCCCCTTCACTTCCTGTCCGGTCATCTGTTTCCTGTTCGTTGCAGCTCTTCTCTCTCCTCACCTTGTTTGCTTACTGTTTGTCTCCCCAGCAGGGCCCTCGTCTGGCTCCTTGGCACAAGGTCCCCAGAGCCTAGAACAGTGGCTGACACACAGTGGGTACTTAAGTACTTAGTGGGTGGGCTGTATTCAGACTGTGTAGTTGATCCTTGGACATATACACATATGTGAGTTAAAAAAAGCTCATGCTCAAAGCTAATTCCATTCTGGCATGCAGTATTTTAGGGCCTTTTAAATTCCACCAGAATAATCAAGCAGGAAGGATACATTGCTACCAGATTATAAATAATTACTTGTGTCTGTCTCCTTTGTCGAAGTCAGAGGTGGCAGCTGGTGGCAGGGGTCTGGTCCTGGTGGCGTTAGCAGAGGAAGTCAGATCTAGAGTCACTGTGATCTCGTGCAAATATTCGGGAATAATAACAGGCGACCACATCCCTCGGCCAAAAAGACAGCCTCTAAATAGATAGTTTCTGCCTCAAACATGTCTGAGTATAATCGTCTACTTATTGTTCTCCCTCCTGCAAATGCCATCAATTCGATAGGCTTTGTGTTACCATTTTTTTAAAATATGATTTTACATCCAAATGGAGCCGCGCTAGTGTTATCCAGACCACACTAAAGTAGTGGCACTCCGCTTTGGCTAGGGTTTCCTGTGGGAGGTATGACTGTTGATCTCTCTCTTTAAAAGCAGGGAACAGCGCAAGAGAAGGAGGAGGGCGTCGGTGACCCGGCTGCCGCCCAGAGGTCCGGTGTCCAGGAGTGGCTGGCCCAAGCTCGCTCCACGTGGGCCCAGCAGCGACAGAGCAGTCTCCAGCAACAAAAAGTAAAGCATTTCCTACCTCTCTCCAGCCGGCAGGTGTGCCAAGCAAGCAGTCGAGAGAAACGTTCAGAAGGACAAGTTCCTTGTGTCCTAAAAACAAATGCACCTTTGTCTTCTCTTTGGAGAAACCTGGCGAAATGTTTCAGTGTGCCTCCTCGTGACCACTGGAATGCCTGGCCATTTTTCTGGGTTATTTTGTCTGTTTGCTTTTTCATTTTTGTGTTTGGTCCTTTTGAAGTCTATTCTTTAAACCCTGGCTGCTTTGGCTCAGCAGTTAGAGCGTCGGCCTGTGGACCAGGGAGTCCTGGGTTCAGTTCCTGCTAAGGGCACGTACCTCGGTTGTGGTTTGTACCCGGCCCCGGTTGGGGTCAATGTGGGTGTAGCCAGTTGACGTGTCTCTCTCACATCAATGTTTCTCTCTCTCTCTTTCTCCCTCTCTCCCTCCCACTCTACCTGAAGATAAATGCAAAAAAAGTATCATCGGGTGAGGATTAAAAAAATAAAATTAAAATTAAAAATAAAATCTGTTCTTTAAGAAAAACTTTACAAACAGTATAACAATGAAAATCTGCCTTATCAAGATCACCTACTCTATTTTTAGACTTGCCCCAATTTCTGACTATTTTGTAGAAACCTCAGGAAAGCCTCTGAGAATTGGTGGAAGTCTGAGTTACGTGTGTTTTAAAGAACTGCAATTTATTTTATACCTTTTTTTTTTATATCCTCATCCAAGGATATTTTTCCATTTATCTTCAGATAGAGTGGGAGGGAGGAAGGGGGGGGAGAGAGAGAGAGAGAGACATCAGTTGCCTCCCGTGCAACCCCAACCAGGGCTGGGGGCAAACCACAACCCGAGGTGCCTTTGACCGGAATGGAACCTACGACTCTGGTCCCCAGGTCGAGGCTCTAACCACTGAGCAAACTGGCGAGGGCTTATATTCTACTTTCAAGTAGATACCACTTCAAAATAGGATTGCAAATTATTCCTAATGAAAAAGAAATGAGGTTTGATGAATAAGAATGATTTCTCATTGATATCTTAACTTTATGTATCGGGCATATTAAAATATTTTTTTCCAAAAAGCAAAGGCATTTATTATAAAACATGAAAAAGTAAACCTGAATGCATTATAATCCAATTTACCAAGGAAGCGGAGAATTCAAGATCCACTGCTCTCAAGGATCTACCTCAGCTGGAAAACAGCAGTATTGATTTAGAAAAATGAAAGTACATTTTGTACCACTTGAGGGCACCATCACCCAGCAAAATCTTCACTTTCCATTGATTTTTTTCCCCAAGATTTTTCAGGTATCTTTTCTCAAAGCCGTGGCAGCTGTAGAGTAATTTGGAGAAATGTTTGCGCCTTTACTTAAAACACACCTTTTATGCAACATGCAAACTTAAAAACTTACTACATGAGTTCTCTGAGGCTACTGTAGACATAGAACCATGATTGTAGGTGATGCTCCTGAAGTAACAAAGCTGTGTTTGTTCTTTGCCTCGGGCAGGAGTTGGAACAGGAATTAGCAGAACAGAAGAGCCTCCTCAGGTCGGTGGCTAGTCGTGGAGAGGAAATTCTCACCCAGCACTCGGCTGCAGAGACCTCTGGTGGTGCTGGGTATGTTTCACACACTCCTTCCATTCTGGTCGCTCTTTTCCTCCTGATATTGGAAGCAATAGAAACATCTCCATCAAACTTATTTTAAATATCTGCAAAAATATAATCATTGTGTGTTCTCTTTAGGATATATAATTTACTTGCATTTTGAATGTGTTATGCAGCATGAGTACAAGTAAGGATTATGGTGGCGAACTTATTTGTCTTCTTTCCAGTATGCTCAGCATATCTGTCAGAGAAGATACGAGTTTTAAATCAAATAAGAAATGCATTGTGAAATTAGATCCATGATGCTTCTGTCTGAATATCTAACTGCAGAATGTTTTCCCTATAAGAACGTATCTTGCTCAATGTCACTCTGAAAACTAAATGTGTGTGCCTACTAAATACCTTCATTTTTCTTGATGATCTATTTTTATAATTTCTACATGCAAAGTCATTGAGCGTTGAGTCCTGTTGTAGAGTGGAGATGAAAAGTCTTATGCACAGAAGAGTAAAGTTAAAAGAACAATTGAGGAAGTTGGTCAGTTTTCAAGTTGAAGATTTGGGTTTGAAGATTGGAAGGGAGCTGCAGTAGGGAGGAAGGATCCCTGTATTTTGAGTGAGGTCTGGGTTTTTTTCTTTTTCCTTTTTCTTTTTTAAATTTTTTTTAGAGAGAGAAGAAGGGAGAGGAAGAGATAGAAACATCGATGAGAGAGAACATCGATTGGCCGCCTCCTGCTTGCCCCACACTGGGGATCGGGCCCACATCCTGGGCATGTGCCCTGACCGGGAATCGAACCAGCAACCTCTTGGTGGATGGGTTGACGCTCAACCTCTGAGCCACATCAGCCGGGCAGGTCTGGGTTCTATTCTAGTTCAACTGCTGTGACCATGGAAAAGTAACTCAGCTCAGAGCCCTCGTTTGCTCATCTGTGGAATAAGGAACTAGTTCATCACAGAGGGTTGTGAAAGTTATGAATGTCAACTAACAGGATATATAGGAAAACTTTCTTTAAAATCTAAAGCATTGAAAATAAGTTTTAGTACAACCTGTGTTCATGTACTATTAAAGCTTGTACTATTGCAGTGTCCTTCAGCAACTATAATATGGTAAATAAACTTAATTCCATTGACTGCAATTTCCTCATTTCTGAACATTTATTTGAAGGAAATTACCCAAAGGAGGAAATACATATTATGAAGATAATTTTTGGCCTATTATTTATAATATCAAATAATTTAAAAGGCAGAAATTCCTAGTAGTATAAAAAGAACTAAGAACAAATTATGCATATATAATCTTAAAATGTATATAAGAGTATCAAAAAACTATATGTGATACTAAGTAAAAATGGGATGTAAATTGAATGTACAGTATATGTGTAGGTAAGAGCCAGACTAGTGTGTAAATTATTAAAACTCACTGGAGAGGGAGGATTTGGAGATCTTTTCTTCCTTTTAGTTTACTGTATTTTTTTCAGTTTAATCAGTGCTGGCATAATGTGCTGACATGTAACATCGGTGTTGACTATATACATACATGTGTATAAAAGTATATACATGGGACAAAAGTAGGTTGACAGTTGTGCATATGGAAAATAATGCAATAATTAATAAATAAGAATACAAGCCCTGGCCAGGTGGCTGAGCTGGGTGGAGCATCTTCCCAATACTCCAAGATTGTGGGTTGGATCCTGGGTCAGGGCCTCAGGGCACATACAAGAATCAACCAAGGAATGCACAAGTAAGCAAATAACCTGAACAACAAAGCAGCCTCTCTCTCTCTCTCTAATAAATAAATAACAAAATTTTTAAAAGAATACAGGAATAAACTGTTTCTCATACTCACAACTGTCAACCTACTTTTGCCACACCCTGTATGTATATATTTAAGAATTTCAAGAGCAAAATGGTAGAAACGAAACTAAAATGAAATTACAGTAGACATTATGACAAAATATATAGAAAATAGAAAATAGGAAGGCACTTAAAAAAATAAAAAACTGAAAATATTAATGCAAGGAACAAATATTAATTAAAATAAGAACGACTAATATGGCATCTATAGTCAGCAATGCCATTGACATAACTCTCCAACTATAAAAATTGTGCAGAGTATAAAAGGGTTTAAAAATATTTATTGTGCATCATGCTTCAAAATGCTGAGGCCATAAATACGCGCGTCTGTGTGAATGCAAAGTGAAAAGCTGTTTCTCCCAGGCCGACTCTAATGCCTTCACTTTGCATTTTATATTCTGTTTCCAATTCTTCCAAGACATTCATTCATCCCTCAGAGCTTTCTGGATATTTTTGCCAAACTCTATTTTTACAAAGCACTTATCCACACATTGCCTCCTCATCTTACAAAAGTCACAGAAAGAAGCAGTAGGAATCATGCCATGATTTTTTTTTTTTTCTTTCCTTGGCTTTTAGCTTTAGAAAGAACCCAGAGAAAAGGCAAACAACTATAAATTGCTCTTCCAAATATACAAATATTTTAAAGAGAAATTTGCTATGCAATGCTGACTTTCTATACAAGGTTCACTTTAAAGACTGCTTATAAATTACTTAATTTTATACAAAATTTTTTTTAGAAAAGTCACCTTTAAATCTATTTGACTGTAGTTTCGCTATGCCTTTCAACTCACTGGGCAAACAACTACGCCAAGCAAACACCATAAATTAAGCAATACTCAGAAGCCCAAAGAAAAAAATGTATGTATATAAATAAGCATAGTAACATTGCTAGATAAAAACAAAACAAAACAAAAACTTATATTCAGCCTTTATTTTATTAGCTGATTTTCTAAAACAGTCAATTGTGAATTGGTTTATGGTTTGTGTAAGAAAACCCCTGTGGGAGGGGCATGACTTGCTTCATGGGTACAAATGTGATATATAAAGAGTAAGTACTGTGTGATGTATATAGGAGAGTTGATGGAGGGGTCCCTCCATGATTGCTAATGAAACTCAACTGGAAATTAATTGGTATAAATATCAAAGAGAGAGAAAAATATTTTCCATGGGAAATGAAAGGCTATGTTCTAAGTTAAGACTGATTTGCTGATGATGTTTTATATGTATAAATGATTTATATCTATAAGAATATAGATATAAATTATCCCCTGGTTTTAAACTAAATTGTTATACAAACACAAATGAATTAAAAAGAGATGAACTGCAGTCCACCATCACAACAAATAGCACAGTAAAGCGATTTAGTTTCATAAACACTTTAAAAATTATTTGTTATTTTTAAAGATTTAAAAAAATATACACAGAAAAGTTTAGAAACTAAATAACAAAGAAAACTGAAAGAAATATCACTTTAATTTTGGCATTTTTCCCCACTCCATTATTTATTTAGATTGAGCCATGTGGACACATATAGATCTAGTTCTTTCATTTTAACTGTTTGACAGAATTTTATCTTGGGACCATCGCAATGTAATCATCCATTTTCTTATGGGCATTTACATTGTGGCCATTTCTTTTCTTGTTGCCACTGGTATTGTTGAACTGAAACGTTTTATGTTTCCAACTGCACAGGTGGGATAGAGTCTCTAAGTTATATCCTTGAAATAAAATTCCTCTATCATAGGCTTATAAATTTTTTTTTAAGGCTTAACTTCAGCAGACTTACCTAAAGAAACTACCGTATTTAATTGTTATTCTGAGAAGAATTGGCTTAAGGGTAGTGTATAGTATTATCCTGCCAATGAACTTGCAATTTTTTCCCACTTGAGCAGAAGTTTTATCAAAATGAAAATTACTGTCTGTGTGCCTTTCCGAGGACATAGTTCTAGTTAGGACTGCAAAACTCCTGATAAATTGTGATCTTTGGAACTTGGGTCCCCTAAATTCTTACTATTGCCATTGTCATTACAATTAGGCCCCATTTACTGAGTTGACATTATTTGCCAGATAGGGTTATGGGCATTATGCGTACCTTCTCTTACTTTAATTTCCATAATTCTGCATGATAGAAAACGTCTTTATTTTAAAGAGTAGAAAATTGCAACTCAGAGAAGTAAAGCAAATTACTCAAAGTCACAAAATCTAATGTGCTGGAGCAGGGATTAATTTATTTATTTTTCATGTATTTTTTAAATTACAGTTGGCACTCAATATTATGTTAGTTTCCGGTGTACAGTATATGGTGCAAGGATTAAAAACTCAGCTTCGTCTCACCCTAAAAACCAGTCCTCAAATGCACGTGGATTAGATGGAGGTGCCTTCCCTTCATGTCCTGAAACACAGTCCATGTCCTGAAACCTGGTCTTTGGTCTCAGGGTAAAAACTCTCAAAGACGATGTAACATTATTATGGCTTTGAATTAATTCATGGGCTATTTGTGAAAGGGTGCGAGTCCCTGTACCTCATCTTTAATGCTGAGCTATTTTCATTGTATTTCTAAATCATCATTGTGTTCATGCTTTCATTATAATATGGTGGTTCTGTGGATAGACTCACATGTTTTGTTTTAATTTATACTCTTTAAAGTGAGCGAATGATGGAAATAACCGGGTTCACATTTCAGAGGCCACGTCTAGTACCCACAGCCAGTTACCCAGAGCTGCTCGCCTCTTTGCACACTTTGTAAAGTTGTTATTTGTTCTTCTAATAGTGAAAAACCTGACGTGTCACCCCAGGAGTTGGGGGTGGAAGGAGAGAGGGCACCTGCTGAGGACCAGATGAGGATGAAATGGGAAAGCCTGCACCAGGAATTCAGCGCCAAGCAGAAGCTGCTGCAGAATGCTCTGGAACAGGAACAGGACCAAGTGGTATCGGTGTCTCGCTTTTCTGTATCAACCATTATCAGTGATGCGCGGCTTTGCTGAGACCATGTAACTGTGCCGTGATCTCTGGGTTCACTGTCAGTCCCCAAATAAGACGTGAAACAAATCATTCTTCCTCCATTTTTCTGAACACGCCTGTTTCACATCTCCCCTAATCATTATATATTCGTATGTGGAAATGTGATTTCTAGTTACTATTTCTCCTCAGAGATAATCACCATCTGATCACTCGCCATCTGATTACTATCTGATCACTCGCTAGCACAAACCATTACATTGTAAGCGTCCCTCCCTTTTTTCACAACTTTGAAAATTAAGCATGTGAACCAAGGATACATACATCTAAGACCAAAGAAGTTCCAGAAGTCTGGAACTGCGTTTTCAAGTGATCTTATTTTCCAGGGCTGCTTCTAGTATTTGATCATTCCAGAAGATCCTAATGAGAAGCTATAGGGACCTCGGTGGTTGCAAAAGGAAGGGGAGCCAGTGGTCAGCTAGAATTGCTCCTATAGGTCCTGTGTGGTGTTGGACTTGGTCCCGCCAAGCAAGCCAAACCAGTGGAACGGAACCGAGTAACAGAAGGTTCCGGGTAAATAGCTATCAGTTCACACTCAGCAGAGGCCAGGGAGTCAGAGGGATGGATGCCTTGGAGAGCCGGTGAGTGAGGCCGGAACCAGGCAAGGCCGCGATGCTCAGCCCAGCTGTGGCCCAGCAGGATTTTGAAGCTAGGAACCAGCCTGGGTCCCGGGCTAGCCATGCTTCTCTGGGCCACTGCACAGCCGTGGTATGAACAGTAGATTTAGGGCTTCCCTTGGGGTCTGAGGAAGCTGGGCCTAGGACACATGCTCTTCAGTAAGCTGCCCTGCGTGTCTGCAGCTTTACAGCAGGCCACATCGGCTCCTGGCTGGCGTGCCACCGCGCAGAGGGGACGGCCAGACCCAAGACAGATCCGCGGTGACGTCCCTGCTGGATGGATTGAACCAGGCCTTCGAGGAGGTGTCGTCCCAGGTAGGGCCGTGCTCTTCGTTTGCTCGTGGGTCTGGGTCGTCATGAAGTTGTCGCACCCAGCCCTGGGCGTGAGCTGTTGAGACCCGGAGTGGCAGCCCCGCAAGGCAGAGCTGCTGGACCTCGAAGTCTCACCCTCGCATTTTCCACTGATTTCTCACAACATGCAAATTCATTTCCTGCTTCCCCTCATTGCGTTTCAGGGTGCAGCACCGAAGCAGAACATCCACTTGGAACAGAAGTTGTACGACGGCGTCTCGGCCACCTCTACCTGGCTGGATGATGTCGAAGAGCAGGTATTTGTTGCCACAGCCCTGCTACCGGAAGAAACGGAGACTTGCCTCTTCAAGCAGGAGGTAAGTGTGCGAGCGTGTGTCCGCGAGTGTGCGACATTACGAAGCACGTGCCTTCCTGGGAGGCCAAGGCTTGGCTCGGACGTAGATCCTGAGTCAACATTGAACCGGCGTTCCCTTTTTATCAACCCTAGACGCTCGCCAAAGATATTAAGGAAATGTCTGAAGAAATGGATAAGAACAAGAACTTGTTTTCCCAAGCATTTCCGGAGAATGGTGATAACCGTGATGTTATTGAGGACACTTTGGGGTGTCTTCTGGGGAGGTTATCCTTGCTAGACTCGGTGGTAAATCAGCGATGTCATCAGATGAAGGAAAGACTTCAGCAAATACTAAATTTCCAGGTAAGACATTACCAAGAGACGTTTGCCCATTCTCCAGCCATATTTAATCAGAAACATGAGTCTAATGAAGGAATGATATACCTAGACCTTTTTTTCCCCCCAAAAAATACAGTGAAGACCAAGAACATTACAGAAGAACTAGGGGATTGAATTCAAGGATTAGAAAACTAAGAATCGTATGCTCCTAGAAAGGGAGGTTGAAAAAACCAGCCAACCAAACAAAGGGCTGAATAGGACTTTAAAGCCAATCATTAAAAGTCCTATTTATGGCAGGTTATAATTATAATTTCCCGTTGATCACAATGGAGTTTAAAACATGTAAGCAAAGAAATTTGCAGGAAGCGCTGTAATACAGAATGAAGCCTGGCCTCCAATGGCCAGACCCCTGCGAGTGACCGTGGTCTACCTGTTTCCACCTGGGTTCGGATGTATTTCATTCCTTCCCAGTCTCGTCCTCAGATTTACTGCCTTTTAGCTCCAGGCTACACTTCTGTTGCCAACTGAATAACTGCGTGCTCATGAAACTTTTCCTGTGACTATAGATTTCAGCACATGCAAAAATAGCTGATAAACTTTTAATGTGGGTTTTCATTCCTAATAAAAAAAGTAACCTTTGGGAATATTTAAGTTTTCATTGAAATTTATTTTTAACAGACATAAGTGTTTTATAAAATGGATACCTGTGATTAGGGTCTGGAGTTTAATGTAAAAATTTTGACTTCCAAAAATAAAAAATACTGTAAAATATTCAATAAATGTAGCATTAGCCAGGAGACAAGAAATTTTCTGGATAGATATCTAGAGGGACAAATTACCACCACCTTCTGGAAGTTTGCTTTCTTAAAAACTACAAAGTAAAATTATCACAGACATTTATGCGTATCATTAAAATATGTCTTTATTGAGTTTTTAGAGAGAGAGGAAGGGAGAGAGAGAGAGATGGATGTGAGAGAGAATCATTGATCAGCTGCCTCCCATGCTCCCCCTACTGGGGATCGAGCCCACAACTCAGGCATGTGCCCTGCCTGGGAATTGAACTGGGACCTCTTAGTCCATGGGGCAACACTCAATCCACTGAGCCACACTGGCCGGGCCGTGTATCATTTTTTTATTCACAAAACAGTTTCACATGTAATGTGTCTTTAATCTTCACAACATCCTCATTAGCTAAGCATTGTTCTAACATTCATCTTGCAAAGTCAAAAGAGCAAAAATTAAAAACGGAGTTTCCAAAGCCAACCCTCCTGGGTCCAAATTCTGGCTTTGTCGCCTACTTCTGTATAATCTTAGCTGCTCTCAGAGCCTTAGTATCCACGACTATTAAATACACTCATATTAATCGCCTCCTAGAGTGTTGTAAGGACAAAATAAGTTAAAATATATAAAATACTTTGAGCAATGTCTGAAACACAGTAAGCACCCAGAAAGTTTTGTTATTGTTGTTGGTATTAATAGTAATGTTTATTATAATAGAATAGGATCTGAAACCTATGGACAGGTTAACTTATTTCTCCAAAGTTGTTTAGCCATTGAGAACCAAAGCCAAGATTCAACTCAAATAATATATTTATATTTTATATTGTTAGGATGATAGAAGGGGAGATGGAGAATAATAGACCTATTCAAGATGTATTATGAAGACAGAATCATTTGCAGAGCACTTGTTGATGGTTAGAACATGGGGTATGAGAAAAAGGGGAGCAGTTGAGGAATTCCAGCTTCTCCGACTTGAGCATCTGGGGGCACTGGCTGACAGGGCAGACTGGTGGACAGCAGTGCCGTCAACCAACAGGCAAGTGGTACTTGCCTGTTGCTGGTGGTACTATTGTCTGGGCAAGGATATGGGGCAGAATTAAGATACCAGGTGAATAGTCATTGTACACATTTGGGGACACAGGACTGTGGCTGGAGGAATGACCTGTAGCCTTCATATGTTATATTGTGTGGCACATAGACAGAGATGAGCATCACTTGGCGTAAGGAAAAGCTGGGGTTGGTTACTTGATTTTGTTTTGCATGTAAAATCTGATGACACGTACATGTCTACAGTTTGTCTACAATCAGCAAAACTGGTGTGCAGCAGATGGAAGGTTGTTCCACTGCTCGAACATTCATCTTGCATGAGATAAAGCACTGAGGTGTAAGTCTCCTCGTCTGTTAGCCACGGATGAGACGGGTGGGAGTGCGAATGTGTTGATCACTCGGGCATCATTCCCTCTGGTAACTTGCCCTTACCAGTGTCTTCGGCACGTTAGACCCTTCATTGGAAAGCAGAGTCCGCGAGAGTAAAACGTGCACTTCCTCTGTGCACCAAGAGGAGAACACGTACTGATGAAATTCTCTTTGAATCACATTCTTTATTTTTCTTTTGCCAACAAGTTTCTACCTGTTGGTGGCCAGCTCATGAACAAAACCTGATAGTCTCAAATGTTTGTGTTCTGATTAAATTGAAAGAGTTCCAGTGTTAATGTAATTAAAGGTCAAATCACAGACCATTTTATTTTCCTTCACACCAAGCACAGGGGATGCTGCCGGTGCTCAGGAGTTATTGGAGTGGTACGCCTTCATTTTCCACTTAACATTTGAGTCTTAGCTTTTGCCAGGCTGCTGACATGATCCGATACCCAGCAGATGACCTGGGAGAGTGTGCAGATGTTACACAGGTGTATATATCTGCATGGCATCACAAGTTTTATCCACTCTTCTGTGTTTAAAGAATGTTACCCATAGACTTAACCCCAAGTAAATTTCCTAGACATTTTTATAGTTGGGTATTTTAAGTTATTTAAAAACAAAACAAAACAAACAAACAAACAAGAAACAAATTATTAAGTGAAGGAGGCAGCACAAATGATTTTAAAACTTGAAAGTTTCTGGGAACCTGTTTTTGCAAACAGCTAGAATCCTGCGTCTTTATGCTCTACGTGTAAGACCAGTGACTGCAAGAAAAAAATTGTAATGTCTGTTCTGTGTGTAATAGAGAAATACATTATCCATCCTGCTATGTCACAGTTGCTTTTTAGCCATGAATTTTGTGTGATGATGCTCCCACACAGACTTAAAGTTGGTTTTTCTCCTTGGTGTGATGGTCCTTCCCCTCGTGATAGTCGGAATTGTTGCATCTTGGTGATGTGTGCTCGTATCTGACTTGCTCCCAGTGAAGAGTCTGTGATGAATCAAACTTCACCTTGTGATGGGCAACCAGCCCATCATACATACATGTTTGCCGACCAATGAGAAATTTTCTAGTATTTGGGTGTGGGAGAGGGGGGATTGAACATTTTGTTATTCAAATTTTGTTCCAGTTCATTATTCCCTTTAGAATTGAATACCAACATTCTGATAGTTATCTCATTTTTTTAGAAATCTAACTCAAATACATTTTTTATTGATTGAAATTTGAGAGAGAGAGAGAGAGAAACATTGATTTGTTGTTCCACTTATTTATGCATTTATTGGTTGATTCTTGTATGTGCCTTGACTGGGATCAAACCCGCAACTTTGGCTACTGGAATGATGCTCTAACCAACTGAGCTACCTAGCCAGGGCATATTTGGATTTTTAAGTGAGTAATGTTTATGAACAAAAGGCTTGGCTAAGGCCTTTTGGCGTTTTCTCTTAATATGTCTTCGGTCATCATGGAAATAGTTATTTTCTAGACTTCTGGATGGCTTTTTATAAGCTTGTGAAAATTCTCTGTAAACAGAAAAAAGCAGGAAGTGAGGGAGAGAGAGGAGAGGAAAGAGGGAAAAAAGAATTATATTATTCTTAAGAACCACATTTTTTCCCCAAATTAAGATAACTTCAATAACTTTTACTAGATAGAAGTCATTAGTGGAATATTTCTGCTGGGATGTTGAAATGTGCACATTTACTTTAGACATACAAAAGATAAGCGTGACCAGTATTTCCTTTTTATTTGTATACTTTGTCTCCATGGGTATTGTGTTGGAAATAGTTTGTGTAACAAAGTCTTCAAAATTAGCATTTGGGTACACTGTTACAAGTTTCTTTTACCTTCCCATAGAGCAGTACGTTTTTCTCTGGACATAAAATCCCTACACCTGTATATTGTTTTTAAGAATGTGTTGCATTTACAACCATCTTGAATTCTCTGGTGCACCTGTTAAGCCTTCCTGTTCTTCCCCTTCCCGACCCTAGAATGACCTGAAGGTGCTGTTTACATCGCTGGCGGACAACAAATACGTCATCCTGCAGAACCTGGCCAACGTGTTCGAACGGCCCGTGGCGGAGCAAATAGAGGTATTGACAGTCGCCTCTTCCCAGAAGAGCACATGCCTAGAGTAGATCGGATTTACTGTGAAGTGTCCACAGTCCTGTGAAAGATGAACAGCTTACTGTGGCATTGTTGTTGGTCACATATGTTGTTTTCAAGAGCTGGATTTGAATAACTGGCCAGGTTACATTGACCCTCTCATTCACACCTGCACGGAGCTAGGAAATATGAGTTAGGAAAAGGTGTCGGTGACAGATGCTGACCTGAAGAAGCTTGTCCCCTAACAGTGAGGTTAGACATGAAGGTCAGTGACCTACGCCGAAGTCAAACTGCCCTGGCGGTGCTACAGAAGGAGCGCCGGACAGTCGCAAGAGGCCCGATTGCCTCCAGCAGGGGGGGTCAGGGAAGGCCCTGTAAAGGGACATTTGAGCTGGACTAGGAGTTTGGGAGGAAAGGGTCCTGGTGAAGGGGACAGCAAGAACAGAGGCATACCTGCTAGACAGTTCGAGCTCCGCAGGAGAAAAGCGCGTCATCCTTTGTAGCTGAACTTACAATGCATGACTGTGATTGAGGGGAAATAAGTTTGGATGAGAGAATCTGAAGCAACTTGTAGGGCCCGTGGCATGTCAGAGACTTGGGACTTTATCCTACAAATCATAGTTGTCTAAACTCTACTGCTGCACACCTGAGTGGCTAAAATAAGCACGTGCATACCGCAAACACATGAATATTTACTTATTGATCAATTGTAAGAAGGCATTATGTTGTAAAGCGTATGCAGAAACAGAAAGGAAAGTTGGAAAGGAATGTGGCTGAATATAAAGGAAATGCAGTGTTTCCTCCTCAGGGGTACACACTGTGGACACCTGTCCTCACCTCGGAAAACTCTCCGTGGAAACCACTGCGGGTGTCCGAGGGTCAGAATGAGTCTCGTGCCAGGCCCTGCTTCTGGAGGGTGGGCGTGCAGTGCCCGGGTCAAGAAGCAGGTTCCATCACCAGGCTCTGCTTAGGCAATGGTCGTGGAAACAGGGACAAGACAAGAAATGGGAAGGATGCCACTCAGAGTGTCTCCCGTTTCATTAGCTAAGTAATTACGAAAAATGTATGTTGTAATAAAGTTTTATAACCCAATTTCAGGAGATCTCTAAGGGTTCTATAGATAGACTGTAGATAATCACTTGGTATATTTCCCTCTCTATATATCTGTCTACCTACCTACTTGAGAAAGATCATCTAACATAGTTTGCAAAATTGCATGTGAATGTGTACTTCTCTTGACCATAATTTTACTTGCTTTTACAAGAGAACCCTTATATTCCCAAATTTTTCTATGTCATATTTTATTTTCTACTTGGAAGAAATCTGTTTTCAGTATACACACACACACACACACACACACACACACACATATATATATGCTTATAATGTACCTGATTCCAAAAAATAGATTTGAGCAGCCATAGTGATGCTTTGCTTTTGATTTCTAATGTGAAATATAGGATCACAAGTTACATTTTTTACTAATTACTAACCTATATAACTAGAGTAAATGTCCCAGTTAAAAGTAAATAACTAGGTTATTTTTTTTTTTGAGTAAGTGAAAAGCCACTTAAAAACGTACTAATTTCATCCCTCCCTCCTTGGGTTAAAAAGGTAATAATGGCAGAAGGCATGGGAATGATACCTCTGAATATATTCACATTTCGAGTTGTGACAGTCTGATCTGCCCCATTAGCCTGTTGCAAAGTGTCTTCTGGGATCTTCTTGTACTTCCATTCGGAGAATATCCTTCTTTTCCCCCTGTGCGGTGTCCTCCTCATCCGAGTCCTCAGTCTGCTTTCTGTTTTCTTGGTGCTAATCTCTGCTAGGAAAGGGTGCATGCTAGATATATTTTTTTAATATTTTGCATGTCCGAAAATGTTCTATGCTTACACTTAATTGACAGCTTGGCTCTTTATAGAATTCTTGGCTGGAAATACATTTCTTACAGTTTTGAGCTTCTGTTCCATTGCCTTCTAGTCCTGGTGTTAGCTTTAGGAATCTAAAACCATTCTAATTTTCCAAAGTCCCCAGTGATCGGAAACTTCACAATGACATGCGTGGGGGAGGGACTGTTTTGTCCACAGGCTTGGTGCTCAGTGGGCTCTTGCAGTTTGTCTGCTGCCCTCTTTCCATCCTGGAAAATTTTCTAATGATTTATTTCATATTTTTATTCCTTCATTTTATTTGTCTCTGTTTCTGGTAATTGGAGGTGAGGAGAAAGATGTTGGATATCCTGGTCCAGTTGTCCAATTTTCTTATCAAGAGACATTTCTCTCTTTGTCTTTTTGCTCTGCTTTCTGGGAGACTTTCTCAATTTCAACTCCAAACTTTTCTACTGAATGTGCATTTCTGCACTCATGTGTTTAATTTTCCCAGAGCTCAGGTTGGTTTCCTAGGTGATCCTTTTTTATAGTATCCTATTCTTTTTTTAGGAGATGCATTATCTTTCGTAATCTCTCTGGGTGTATTTTTGTTTTCATTGAAGTTTTATTTTTCTTGTATAAATGGGTTTCCATCCAGATTACTTTCGTTTGTTTGCTTATTTAGGTTTCTCTTTCATGTTGGAGGTTTCTTGCAGGAAGTCCTTTGCTATCTATTCAATTTAGGATCCAGGACTAAACAGCTAAGTGGCAACTCGATGGATGGATAAGGCTGGACAAGGTGGAGATTTACTGAAGGGTAGTCTGTGTGGGCTATTTATTGGAGAATCCTTGGGTCACTATTTTAGGTCTTTCTATTGGTCTTCACATCTTACCCCTCTCCTGTTTGGAGAGCAGAAGTCTGGCTGCAGTACTCCGGAAGACGTAAGGGCTCCTCGTCCAGCACCCGATGGGCATACACGTCATCCCCTTGTTTGCACTCAAGTGCTCAAACCCACAGCTGTGCCTGGTGCCCCTTCTCCAGAAAATCGACATTCCTCCTTCACCAGGGAAGGGAAGGGGCCGTGTGGAATGAGGACAGAGATCTGGGATTTAACCTCTCTTTAAGGAGCTCCTCCCCAACCTCCTTATTCAGTACCCATGTGACTTCACCGAGTACCAGAGGCTCCTGTTGCTGTAAATTTGGGGGTAAAAATCACCTGCTGGGTTTGGAGTCAGCTTTCGGAGAGGATCTTAGTGTAGCCTTCTGATTTCCAGCTTTCAAAATGTTGTCGGTATTGTCTTCTTTCCTTTCGCCCTGTTCTTGTGGATTTATGGTGGGAACACACACCACAAAACAAGCAAACACGTATTTGCTGTGGTGGTAGTGGGGGTTCAGGAAAGAAAATGGGGCACGTTTTTTCATCTGCCATCTGGAGTTTACGGTCTTTTCATTCTTCAAGGGCAGCTGAGGTTGCGTTTCTTCCCAAAGCCTACTCTTTCTGCTCCGGGGTTCACGGGCTCTCCCCCCTGAATGTGCCCTAACAGGGACTTGTGTCAGGTTTAGTACGGAATAGTTTTGCTGCCTGCCCTCTGTTTACTCCGGCTTTCTAGCCAGACTGTTAGCTCCCTGAAGGCCAGGATGAGACCTTGTTCTGCTTCTAGACCACACCCTGGGACAACAAGGCTTAGCACTGGCAGCCGCTGGCATTCTTGTTGACTGCCTGAATTTTCTGCTTCGCAGTAAGCTTTCCCTGACCACGCTGTCACATATTTTCAAAGATGCTCAACACTGCATTTCAGGAAACCAGAACATGATCTAGATGACCTCAGGCAGGTACCTCTTTCTACTGTCCTATACCGTGCTTCTTGTTTAGGTGTTGCTCTTCACAAATTTCTTTCCTTGTTTGAGGAAGCTATTGTTCTCCCAGCCCTGCATTCTCAGTCCCTCCTACCTCCTTACCGCTAAGAGAGCTGATCCGGAGCATCATAAAGGGCCTCCCTCTCTTTTCCACATCATAGGTGACCATGGTTTTTGGGTTGCATCGCAGTGAGTTGTGTTGGATGTATTGTTTTATGCGGACAGGAGAGGAATAAATAAGGAAACGGGATAGTCACACTTTCGGTGGGAAATTATTCACGGGAGGGTTGATGAAATACCGTACATGTCCCCAGGCAATACAGCAGGCTGAAGACGGGCTGAAGGAGTTGGATGCAGGCATCACCGGGTTGAAGCAGCGCGCGGACAAGCTGCAGACGGAGCCACCCGCCCTGCAGCAGCTGCAGGTACGCTTCCCGCCAGCAGCGTCAGGGGCGCGTCCCCACTACCAGCAAAGACCAGCCATCTTCTGTCCATGTGCTTGCTTTTTCTCTTGGACATGCATATCATTTAAGTTCTCATCGTTCTTCCAAGTAACTCTTAGGACATTTTCTGAAACGTTTACCATGTGTACTAGCATAAAAAATTGCATTCTCGTGCTTCTATGATTTTTCTTTTTTATGACATTTATTATTATTTCGATGGTTAAGCAGAGTGGAATAGCTTAGTTGTGGTATATTATTTTCCACTTTTGAAAATGTCCAAATTATCGGTCTAACCCAGAAAAGTTAGAAAAGGGAGATCTACTCTGTATTGTAATGTAAAGGAAAAATACTTAAGCTAATGTGTTTTTAAAGTGGTTTTTATCTGTTGTTCGAAACTAGAGATGATCTTTCATACATGTTTGAAGGGAAGAGAGACATTGTTTCAATTTCAGAGCAACAACAGAATGAAGCGAAGGTAGTGGCGAGCTCAGCAGGCTTTCTGACATCCCTGAGGAGGAGGGGACAGTTCTGCGTTACTTCGCTTTTCTAGATCTTACACTTGTGCAAGATCTGATATCAGGGTGGTCGGCAGATACTAGGCTACTAGTCCCGCAACATTCAGCCTTCGATAAGCAGCATGGCTAAATTACAGTGAGAAGAAAGCGTACATTAGTGACACGTTTTCTCCACACACCTAATGACAGCCTGCTGAGGAACTACTGGTATGAATCCAGTCCAGGGTCCCAAGTTCTTCCTTTTGAGAAGATACAATAGCTCTGATTTTTTAAAGAGCATTTGTATTTTGTGTCTCATTTCACTACCAACATTCCAGTGTCGTGAGCCCAGTGGCCCACGCGGTCCTTCTTAGACCGTTTTCCGACAGGGCCGAAATGTCAGGTGTACGCGTCACAGCTGTAAATAGGCATTAAAGTTGAACTTTTCCAGCTTGAACATTTTGGGCCAGTTAAACCTTAATATGGTACATTAATCAGGTCCATATGGCTCCAATAAATTTTGTGTTTGGTGTATCATCTTCTCCTGAAATGCCTTTCCAGTTAAAATATTTATTTACTTCACCACATTTGGCAAAAACATTGCCTTTTTAAGTCTTAAAGTCTTTCAGGTCACATTAAACTCCTTCGTTTCTCAAGCTCTTCATTTGAAGACTAGTTCCAAATCTGATTATTATTCAGCAAATGATAAAGATACTATATTCAATTACTCTAAAATGATACGAGTGTTGAGAGCATTTTCTGTGGCATTTCCCTTCCTCCCCGTGAACAGTTGTCAACATTGTAACCCCGCATCTGAAGTATTGACATTGCAAGGCAGTGGTCCAGTCTACTTCATGTATCATTTCTAGGCAACGTTTTTGCATATCCTTTGGAATGTTTAAAAAATATTAGTGTTTTTTTTTTAAAGAAGTTTTTGAAATGAGGATCTGAGAAGGGCAGGAGACAGATGCCCTATAGGCAGAGTGTCACCGTAGACAAGACCTGAAGGCACGTCCTTGGGTCACGGGTTTGGTGGAGCAGAGCCACACGTGACTAGAAGGTGAATATTGCTGTCTCTGTTTCCAAGGACATGTATGATGAGCTGATGCTCACCATTGGCTCTCGGCGGAGCGGACTGAACCTGAATCTAGCGCTCAAGAGTCAGTACGAGAGAGCCCTGCAGGACCTGGGCGACCTGCTGGAAACTGGACGGGAGAAGGTGGCCGGCGACCAGAAGATGATCGTGTCTTCCAGGGAGGAAATCCAGCAGCTCCTTGACAAACATAAGGTAGAGAGAGAGAGAACACATACTGTGAAAGCAATCTCACTTACTCCTCTATATTTGGTAAAACCCAGTATTTTCAGTATTTTGGGAGTTCTTACATATGTTCATCTTTACAATGGCCAACAGATGTATACTCAAGCCCACTGGCCTTCAGGAGCACAGAACAATTATAGAGGCTATGTTCTATAGTTTTCGATGTTAAAAAAGAATACTAGTCTTACCAACAATTTTAATTACCACTCCCTCATGAGTATCAGCCGGGCATTCTTTCCTCAGGAACTGCAATCAATGGGAAACACGGGAACCCTCTTCGAAGGAGCCCAGCTCCCTCCTTACCGCTGTTTTCCTCTGTGTCCCTCACGCCCCTTTGCTCATCTGGTGCTAGGTGTTCTCTGTGCCTTCCCTCGTCCTGGCCAAGGACTCCTTGTTCTGCTCTGGGACTGGGTTTCTGTCTCTTGCGTGTGGCACCCGGCTCTTCAGGCCCCTCGAGCACACGCTCCTCCAGGTGCTATAGGCCCAAGAGTTTCCTCCGGGGACAACAGGTCCTTTGCTACATGATCAGACTCGGTGGGCCGGCCATTGCTCCATCACTGTGTGCCATCCCAAGTTAAGTCCAACGCTCCTCCTTAGTGCAGGCCCGTTTCCCGCACACGCAGAGGTAACTCCTGCATTATGCACAATAATTACAGGAAGGTTATCTTCACCAGTCCAGAACCCCCAGCTCCCCCCAGACTCTGGGAATTTCAAACAGGGAAAGTAAAAATCCCATTGGCTTATAGATGGTTAACATTCTACCATCATGGAACTCTCTGGTGGCTTCTAAAAGTGGATTTTTTTTTTTTTTTGGTGGAGGGTGGTGGGAATTATACTTCTTGCTATTTTTCCCAGAAGTTTTTGTCCAAAACTTTGTGATTTATTAAAGCCTTATCATTTGGCTTTGAAAGCATTGCTTTAAAGTTCACAGCTGCTTCTTCTCAGATCTTTGACCCTAGTAATAAAATATGCTCCTGAGTTATTCCAGAGGAGACACGAGGATCGATGAATATAAATAACAGAGAAATAAAGTTCAGTCTCTGAGGAACTCGAAAAGGAGTAAGCTGCCTCCAGTAGACAGCCCTCTGGCCACGGGAAGTCCCTCCAAGGCTGTCAGGGGAGACGGGTTGTAAAAGGGACGTCAGTTTTCCATGAATGTTGAGCTCCGTGACGTCCAAGTTTTCTTCCAACTTTGAGATTCTATGATACAATCGTGGTTGGTGATTTAAAAATAATGGTCCTGGCTTCTCCTGCCCGGAGCCTCTTCTGCGGGAGGGCTAGCTCAGCAGTGACCTTGGCGAGGCACACAGATTGGATGGTCCAGTGTCCTCCTTGGTGCAGAGGGAAATAAATCTCCATGCCTCACAGAGTGGTCCTGAGGGGAACCGAGCCAGCCCATCAAGTGCTGCCAGTGTCCGCACGGAGTACACACCACACGTCACTCTCAGGTCCCAGGCCTTCAGTTCTACCCCCGGGGCTGGGAAAAAGGAACGAGATAAACCCTCTCTCTCTCCTCTCAGGCCTTTTACACAGAAGAAGTCACAATTCAAAACACACCGGTGGGACTGTGTGAGGCGTCCCGTTCTGTCGTGCGTGGGTACACTCCGAGCGCAGTGTACACGTGCAGTCCCACTCGGGGTGTGTCACGCTGCGCTCGGCGGGGGGTATCAAGCACAGCCAGTGCCCTGGGCGTTGAGGACAGGAAAGCCCGAGCCCACCACAGAGGAAGGAAAGTGTGAACGCATCGGGTGAGGTCCCAGTAAGCAGAGACTATAAACAGAGGCCGAGATGGGGGCTGGGAGCCAGTGTGTCCCAGGGACAAGGGCGGCCAGTGTGCGGGCGCAGTCAGTGCGAGGCTGTCAGGACAGGGAGCAAGTCCAGGCTACAGGCTGTAGGGCTCGAGAGCAGAGGACGCTGAGCAGCTGGTCACTGGGAAGGGCTCTGTCTAGGGCTGGGCGCCTGCAGAACAGCTTTGTGCAGGTGGGGACAGACAGGCCTGGCAGGAGGCTGGAGCCCCCGTCCCTGCTGGAGATGGGACCATGTCCACTGAGCACCGTCAGCTCGGGCGTTTGGAGCAATTTTTTTCATACGGCCGTATACGAACAAGTTGCTGACCTCTTTCTACCCGAAACGTTGCAGGAATACTTCCAGGGTCTGGAATCTCATATGATTCTGACTGAAACACTCTTCAGAAAGATCATCAGCTTTGCGGTCCCACGGGAAACTCAGTCCCACACGGAAGCGATGGCGCAGGCGTCGGCGGTCCTGAAGGGGGCGCACAAGAGGGGTGTGGAGCTGGAGTACGTTCTAGAGGTGAGGCAGTGCGGCCTCTTCCCTGGAGCCAGGACACCTTGGACAGTGTGTCCCTGAGGTTTGCCTCCTGTGACCTTGGAGCCATCCCCCCTCGACTCAGCATCACCTGTGTTTCCTGTTTGCGTTTGTGTCTCCTTCCCCGATTGTGACCCAGCTGCAGGCCATCTGACCACACTGGGCAGGAGGACGTGCAGGGTTCTGGCTGAAAAACTGCTCACCTTAGTGACCCCTGATTGAAACGAATTTCCTATTTCTTACATGTCTGTGTTTTTTTAAATTTGCAAATGTCATGTATTTAGTCCACCTCTTACCTGAAGTCAACCTGCCCATCCCTTCTAGTGAAATCATGTGGTCACGGTCACTGGGGTAAGGAGTGAAACCCTGTACAGCAGGTGCCTCCCGAGTCCCAGGTGTGCCGCGTACTTTATTCTGTTGGATCCTCCAAATGGACTACATGAGTGTTACTCTTCTCCTTTTTAAATGTTAAGCATGAGGTTCAGAGGAGTTGAGTATCTAGTCTGTGCCTGTTTGGTAACTCGTTCATGCCGCTGGTGCCCATTGACAACGCTTTTCAGGGGTCACCATCTGATTCCCAGCTTCAGAGACACCCCTTGCCTCCCACAGCAAACCCCCAGCACAGCCATCTCCAACATAACTTGAACGAGAATCTGTCAAGTGCATGCTTTTCATACGAGGAACAATGCGGCTCCTAGACGGAGGTTTACTGCTCATGTTCTGCCGTTGCCTTTCCAGACCTGGGCCCATCTGGATATGGACCAGCAGGAGCTCAGCAGACAGCTGGAGGTGGTGGAGAGTAACATCCCCAGCGTGGGGCTGGTGGAGGAGAGTGAGGGCAGGCTTGTCGACCGGATCACACTCTACCAGGTCAGCGTCCGTGGCTTCTCGGGGTGGGCGAGTTGCTGCCCTTCCTTTTGAAACTCTCCCACGGTTTGAACAGAACCAAATATTAAGCACTGTGACTTTTCCTTCAAGCTATTGACTGTGTTGAAAGTACATACACTTTGTGTTTGCTTTATAATAGAATAGAAGTTTTTTTTTTTTTCTTGTTTTTTTTTTTTAATGAGAACTTCCCTTGAAAACTCGGCTTCCACCCAGCATTTCCTGTGGTGTATGTTGCTGAAAGTATTATAGTTTGGTAGTTTTAAATGCACATAAAGTTGTTACCAAATAAAAGGACACCTATTCTTAGATATGCTAGGTGCAACATCAAGTTTATGGTGTTACTTGTTTGCACTTGGTTGAAGTTGGACTAAGGCCAATGGGAACACGATGGGCACCAGAGAAACTATAATTCTTAGAGGGGCAAATTGCATTATCCAAACTTCTGACCCAGGATTTTCGTTCTTTTCAGCATTTGAAATCCAGCCTTAATGAATACCAGCCCAAATTGTATCAGGTGTTAGACGACGGGAAACGACTTCTCATGTCCATTAGCTGCTCAGACCTGGAAAGCCAGCTGAGTCAGCTTGGAGAGCGCTGGCTGAATAACACCAACAAAGTGTCTAAGGAACTTCACAGGTTGGAAACAATATTGAAACACTGGACCAGGTAATACAATGACTGTTTTGCCTATTTTTAGATGAATATTGAAGAGTATTTATAGTGCTCGTGGGTACAGGACTTGGAAAAACATATGGTTCCTCTAAAAACATGTCACACAGTTTGGAAAATAAAGGCACACACAAGGCCCCTAGGTGGACTCTTGTATAATTGTATAAAGAAGTAACGAAAGTGGGCAGGGAGGCAGGTACCTCACCTTTGAGCTGTCCTCCTACATGACCAATGGATTGCACATGGGTGGTCAGAGTAAAACCTGAGAGAGAAAGAAGAGAAAGTGGTTTTGAGATGATGTTTCTCGAGGACAATGAGAATATTCGAGAAAAGTGGAGGGTTGATTTTACATAATGAAATACTGCATTTCTCTGCCATCTTTAGTCCTGAGAACTTTTAATAACAATAACCTAACACTGCCCAAATAGGCTTACCATGAAGGAACAGGAGAACCACGTTTTTTCCATTTTCAGCTTAGAGAAGGGAAAGCTGAAACTTGGAGAGACTAGCTTGTTTCAGACATAAATATTAAGAGAAAAGAATTTGAGAGTTTTAACCCAGGGCATTATTCTCCCAAACCTCTCAATGCCTTTTTAAGATTAGCAATAGGCCCTGGCCAGTTTGGCTCAGCAGTTAGAGCATTGGCCTGCGGTCCAGAGAGACCCGGGTTCTGTTCCCGCTAAGGGCGCGTACCTCGGTTGCAGTTTGTCCCCGGCTCTGGTTGGGTTGTGTGGGTGGCAGCCACTCGATGTGTCCCTTTCATGTAGATGTTTCTCTCTCTCTCTCTTCCTCTCTCTTCCCCCCACTCTGTCTGAACAAAAAAAAATGGGAAAATGTCCTTGGGTGAGGATTCAAAAAAAAGATTAGCATTGGTACACAGACAACAGCCAGGTGATGACCAGAGGGAAGGGGGTTGGGGGAGGTAGAAGAGGGTAAAGGGAGGCTGAGCGGTGACGGAAGGAGACTTGATCTGGGGTGGTGAACACAATACAATATACAGATGATGCATCATAGAATTGTACAGCTGATACCTGTATAATTTTATTAGCCAATGTCACCACAAAAAAATTCAATAAAAATTTTAAATACTAAAATGAGCATTGGTGACTGACGTGGGTTAGCAGAAAGTAGAGATTGGATGTTTACTTCATTGGCTCGTTAATATGCTTACAGATACCAAAGTGAGTCCGCGGCTCTAATTCACTGGTTACAGTCTGCCAAGGACAGGCTGGAGTTTTGGACCCAGCAATCCGTGACAGTCCCTCAAGAACTGGAGAGGGTCCGTGATCATCTGACTGCTTTCCTGGTAAGAATGTAAAGCACTCGATTCAAATTTACCATTTACAGTCCTATAGGTAAGGCCTGACCTACACTAGAAAAAAAGAAGTCAGCTGTCAATGGCTTCACTTAAAAAACAAAGTTCTAGATTATCTGTCCATGTGAACTATGTGTGTGGAATCATTATGCAAAATACTAGGGCTCCGAGTTGCCTCTTTCGGTAGTTTATAGGCGATGGCTTCATTGGTTGGGCTGTCATTCGGGTCAAGGACCTGCTCATTTTGTCTTTTCTCTGCCATGCTTAACATAACTCCCCTTCGAGATGTAAATAAAGGTTGTTTATGTCATAAATTGGTCTCTTTCCTTACATGAAAGGTCTGGCCCTTTAATCCTGACTTGAACTTTGCTACTTCTTTCAGGAGTTTTCCAAGGAAGTGGAGGCCAAATCTTCCCTGAAATCGTCTGTTCTGAGCACTGGAAATCAGCTCCTCCGATTAAAGAAGGTGGACACAGCCGCCCTGCGTTCGGAGCTGTCGCACATCGACAGCCAGTGGGCCGACCTGCTGACAAATATCCCGACCGTGCAGGAAAAGCTCCACCAGGTAGAGGGAGACTCTCTGGTTTAATTGGCAATAACTGATCGACGCAGTATTAAGTGGACAGTTACCTTAATCTGCGTTTGCTCATACATTTAACTCAGCTTTGTCTTGGACATCTTGTCTTTTCCATCTTTCGCTGTATTACATATTGAAGGTGAACCATGCACAAATGCCATGTCTTCCAAGGGCTCCTTTACTGTGTGTGTGTGTGTGTGTGTGTGTGTGTGTGTGTGTGTGTGTGTGAGAGAGAGTGTGTGTGTGTGTGTGTTAGAATCCCTGTCTGGCCCTGTTTAAATTCTTTGTTTTCTCGTGAGTAAAATGTGTATAGCTACACCTGCCTCATCACATGGGTAGTTATGGAGATTCAACAATAATAAATGTAAAAGACCAATAATCTTACCTACAATACAGCAATTGGCGTTCATTCAATACGTGAAGAGGAGTAAGAAAAGAGAAGTCAATACTTCTCTTTCCTGGAAATAGGCTCCTCTCCTCTGAACTCCCAGAGTCTATTTTAGTTAAAAACACAAGAAATTGGCTATGCTGTTAGGAATAAATATCTGAGTGCCAAAAGTCTAGAAAATGATAGTTGGTAGTGTGGTATTTTTCTTTCTTCTTTTAATCTTCTTGAGTCATAATACACGGAGATTTTACAAGCTAATTAATAAAATACATCTGTTGAATGTTTTGTAGTTAAGTTGTTTTTAAAGTCATAAAACTAGCTATAAAATAACAATAATATTTTCTTCTAGCTGGTGTTTCGATTAATTAGTTAATGTTTATACAATGTTTATAGTATTGAATATCAAGTGAACATAAGATGACCATTATTATTCCATGTTTAATTCCAAGCTTCTAATGAGGTTAAGACCCAAAGATGTCATTAGGAAGTATAAGCCCTCTTGGTATAAGAATTTACGTAGGGTTCTTAGGTTCACAGAAATTGTGTTCGTATTTTAACACTTGTGCCTCGTTCTCTTACTGTGGCAGCTCCAAATGGATAAGCTACCTTCTCGCCACGCCATTTCGGAAGTCATGACCTGGATTTCTCTCATGGAAAATGTCATTCAAAAGGATGAAGAGGGCATAAAAAATTCCATAGGCCACAAGGCAATTAATGAGTACCTTCAGAAATATAAGGTAACTGAACATTTTATTTTATTTTTAACTTTTCACATTTTAGAACTGTTTTATTTGAAGGAACTCAAGAACTTGAGTGATGGAAATTGGGTTGTGAAATGTGTTTCATACATACCAGACAGGTGTCTCATAGTAAGAAAATTGCCTCCTTCATTATAGGCATAGAAAAGTTGTCCGGATTAGGAATAATTTTGAATAAGATTTTGTGTCATTTTAAGAAATCGTAAAAAGCAAATACCATAATTTATAAATATTTTATACTGTAATTATACAATTTATCTAATTCTATATCCTCTGCCTAAAACATGTATATAGGTTTACATTCAACATAGCTATAAATCCAAATTTTTGTGTTTTTACACACGCAAATCTGTTATAAATCCTAAATTTTTCAGTTTAATTATGTTTAGTATATGCATATATATTTTATATATATCTGTTTCTGAAAATAAGGGGTTCTCCGCATACACACAGATTGTGCCATTTGGACTAAATCGGCGAAGCTATGATGTTAATCTTAAGGTTACTTAAGGCTTTCCAGCTCCCGGGAAAATATATGCCATGTCTATGTATGACCTTGCTTTCTTATTTCCTTCCTTCTCTTCTCAGGGTTTTAAGATAGACATGAACTGTAAACAGTTGACAGTGGATTTTGTGAACCAGTCCGTGCTACAGATCAGCGCGCAGGACGTGGAGAGCAAACGCAGCGACAAGACGGATTTCGCTGAGCAACTGGGAGCGATGAACAAAAGCTGGCAGATCCTGCAGGGTCGAGTCGCTGAGAAGGTGAGCCACGTGGCTCCAGGAACAGGGTCCCTCTGTGAAGAAAATTCTCTGTACGGGCAGTGTGCTCCGCTGGGCTCAGGCATGCTGCTGGCGAGAACGCGGCCGGCCGAAGGATGCATGGCCCTCACCGTTCTCTAGTTACTGCAGTTCTTCTGTCTTAGTCACGCTCCGCCCTTTGTGTATTTCACATCGCTTTAGGTTTTTAAAGAGGCCTTTTCATTTCTTTTGCCTTTGTCTCAAGTTCACGTAGGTTCTTTACCTGCTTACCGAAAATAGTCGTGGGTTCGCACTGTGTGTGTGCATTTTTGATCGTATACACAAAGGGCTGTGTTTTACGGATTCACAGTAAAATTCTCAGGAAATAGTGGCCTGCCAGTGATTTGAATTTAAAACACAATTGCAGATTTCTTTCCCTTATGTTTGTTCAGATTCAACTGTTGGAAGGCTTATTGGAATCTTGGGCAGAATATGAAAATAATGTGCGATGTATGAAAACTTGGTTTGAAACCCAGGAAAAGAGACTAAAAGAGCAGCATCGGATTGGAGACCAGGCTGCAGTTCAGAATGCAATGAAAGACTGTCAGGTAACTGGTCCAAGCGGTGGACATGCTCTAGTTCCCAATTTCATGGCGTGTTCCGAGGGACGGGCCATTCTTGAGAACTGAGAGTCACATACTGAAAGGAGTTGCATTTGGTTACAGATTTCTCTGATTATGTGAGTTTATAGAGATTTTTCTATTACATTTTCACCTCTTTTTATAAATTTCAAAGTGGAATTTTTAAACACACTGAGAAGTAGAGAATACTGCTAACCCCCATGGACTGATCATCAGATTTATTAATTATCAAGATTTTGATGTATTTGCCTGAATTACTTATTTTTTCTAAAAGATGTCATAGTTAATCCCAGATTTCATGTCATTTTCTTCCTGATACAATACGTGGCCCTAAAAATTGGACTTTTCTTATGTAACCATAATATTATCACCACAAAAGGTTTGACAATAATCCCTTAATATTTTTTAATGCTCAACCCATAACATTATCTCCTAAATCTTCTGTAAAATGTGTTTTTCCAGTTTATTTATTTCCATAAATATACAACAGTGTCCACATGCTACATATGTTTGTTAGTTCTCTTAAGTCTCTAATACTTTCTTAATATGAGTAACTTGTCACAGAAAGCATAGACTGGCCCCAGATTCAGGATTAACCTGTATATTTCCTTAAAATGTCATTTAACTTGCTCTTCTGTCTATACTTCCTACGAACGGGAGTTAGCACTAGAGGTTTGATTGGATTCTAAGGCTCTTCAAAGTGTCGATATTACCTTTGTGTCACATGCGTGCTCTGTTAGTGATAAGGATTTGGGGTGCAGGTGCAGTGGGCATACTCTAAATGTTCCCCCATTGACTTAGGAACACTGAATATTCCCTCAGGTATTTCATTTCGTTTTCTTGTTAATCCTCACCTGAGGATATTTTTCCAATAATTCTTAGATAGAGTAGAAGGGAGGGACAGGGAGAGGGAGAGAGAAACATCGGTGTGAGAGAGACACATTGATTGGTTGCCTCCATGTGATCCCAGCTGGGGCTGGGGATAGAACCTGCAACCCAGATGGAAATCGAACCCCAGACCCTTCAGTCCTCAGGCTGACGCTCTAACCAGTGAGCCAAACTGGACAGAGCTCCTCAGATACTCGTTTATGCAAAAGAAATGTGAGATGTTATAGTTAACCCTGTAATGATTGTTTTTAAAACTAATTCAATAATTTGCCATGTGTTACAGATTAGCTGTGACGCTTCTCTGTAGTGTTTCCGAAGAACAGTTGAAGGCTCAACTAGGAAGTAATTCTGCAAAAATGCTCCTTTCCCCACAGCTTGTTTGTATAGTCTAGACTCCAAAAAGAAAGGCCTTTGGTAATGAACTTCCTCCTAAGCAGCACTTTTTCTGTGGGGCACACGTAAAGTGAGGTACATGTGAGCTCTCAAGCAAAGCGTTTTGGTTCAGAAAAGGAACAACAGAAGCTTTTGTGCTGGGCTGACAAGCTAATGGATTGCAATTCTGAGGGTGCATAAAAATGCAAAGAAAACCATCATACTGAGCAATACTTTGAAATTTTAAAAAGCTTCACGTCAGAAGACTGGTGTGTAACAAGACCAAAAACAGACATCATTGCATTTTCAATTTTCCAGGGGGCCAGTAGCATTTCTAATTTAGGCCATCAATTCTAAATGTGCAAATAAGCTAGAATTTGAAATTTTTAGTTTGGAGGATGAGAAGTTATGCTCCTGATGAGCTCTTGAGTTAAAACCTTCTCATTACATTGAAAAATTAATTGACATGTTAACATGACTTTGTGATAAACTTTACTATTCAAAGACTGAAATAACACCTTAATATAACTTTTTTTTTCTTCTTCCCCTCCTACTTTTTTTTCTTTTCCACTACTTTTTTTTCCCTGCCATTTTCCATTTTGTGTCTTTTCATGTACATGTTTTCTATTTAGGAGAGAGAGACATTGCTATCTGGAAAATGTAGCAAATGCTTGGCAAGTTTTACTCCTTTTAGGCCCAAATGTTAGTCTCCCAGAGGGTCACATCAGGAAGGAAAGCTTGATGCCAAGGCTGGTTTGTAATTTCAAATGAAAAGTCATTTTTTGAAAGAACAGAACGAATGTAGCTCACACAGTTATTTGGGGGCATCACATGTAAATCACGATAACCTAACTGGCAGGGTGTGTGTGTGTGTGTGTGTGTGTGTGTGTCAGAGAGAGAGAGAGAGGGAGGGAGAGAGTTGTTTTACTCCTAACTGGCAGATTCTGTGTGGCAGTACCACAAACCTTGATCAAAATTTATTGTCATTTTTGGGAAATCATTCCTCTGGCCCAAAGCGCGGAATTCAAGCCAGCACACTTAAATCGGTGACTGGATTCAAGCTTTACTTGCTTTAAAAATCTTGAATATTTTTCCACTCTTTCAGAGGTGATTTATTAATTTAAATCAACATAGAAACTGATATTTATGAATTAACTCAGGTTAAGAATGATTTATTATAGCAAAAAATGTTAGGTTTGGCTTTTCCTTTCATTGATCAGAAACAGAATCATCTTTTAATTATTGTTGAAAGGAAAGGAAAACACCTTAATTTTGCACAAAATATATATTTCAGCTCTGTTTCCCTAGTGGGTTTTGCTTTGATGCCAATATAAATGTGCAGAGCATTTCAGAGATGTGTTTCTGAGCAATGGATCATGAATTCAGTATTGCTCACTGAAAAAAAGTTAACATCTATGGACAAATGAGGATAAATTTAAGTCTTGTGGTTGAATTTTAGAATCATATTAAATACATCTGAAGGCTTATTTATGGTTATTTAATGTTTTAGAGAGAGAGAAATATCTTTAAATGGTAAAGTTAGTAATATTTTCTATACTGCATAAAGGACCTGTCACACTAGTTAGTAACCACTATATTCATCCTCTGGTTAATTCGCTAAGCTGTCAAAATACTGGCAGAATTATAAAGTGGAAATTAAAGAACAGTATTAAAAACACACATGATCTCTTCTGGCTACTAAATGTATACATTTCTAATGAATATATCATGATAAAAATAGCTTCATGATAATCAAGGAGAGAAAAATAAATAGCACTACCCAACCCCAGTCTCGTTATCCGTGTGTGGATCATGAGAGGGAGGTGGAACTCTTTTTACAGAATTGAGACATTATCGAAATTTAAAGTATTTTGGAATTTTCTCCACTCTAACCTCCAAGGTCTACACATCTCCACACCGAGTTCTGGGGGTGTATTCTGAATGTGAGAACGTAGCCATGCCTCCACACACGGCTCCTCACCTCACCCCGACGTGGGGGGACATCCCCTCCGCAATCCGTCCAGTGCCCACTCCCGCTCTGGGCTTGGCTCAGTCAGCTCAGGAGGCGGATTCTGCGCCCACGTTCAGCCTCGCCAGCTCCGAGACCCGGGTTGCATCCCATGGTCTCCCACACGCTGGTTCGTGAAGTGGTGACAGCAGCCAGAGCTGCCTCCCTGAGCTCCCCAGATCTCCAAGTGGCCTTGAAATGCGAGACGATGACGTGTGCCTAAGTGTGAACGCCAGGCCTTTGGCTCATGTTCTCTTTTGAACATCTCACACTGACAGTTTTAAACGCTCATCCAAAGAAAATGAGGATTTGAGTCATGAAAAAAGCCTATAACTTTTAGAATCACAAGAATCAGACCATTTTAGATAGAAGTAAGGGATAATAGACATTCGGAAGAAACTGAGACGCGGTAGGTGTTTCTAAGTTACAGAAAGTGCCACAGCTTGATTATAGCAGAAATGTAACTAAATCTCAGGTACTGGGTCATAGAATATCATTCTGTCGCATTTTATCCTATGGGCTGGGATAGGTAATTGTTCCAGCACCAAGATACATGAATTTAAGAATATGATCATGTTGCCAGTTCCTACTACTTCATTTCTCTAACTTCTTTAAAAAGAATTTACATGGTGTCATTTCCTTATCTATTAGGTAATCAAATTTTACTTTTTAAAGTCATATTAATTAATCATTTAATAAAAAGACTATTTAAATATATATAAATATATAAAAATAATATATATAAATTTATATATATAAATATATATATATTTGTGTGTGGTACGTGCCCCTAGCAGGAACTGAACCCAGGACTCTCTGGTCCACAGGCCAACCCTCAACTGCTGAGCCAAACTGGCCAGGGCTATTTCAATGATTTAAATGTAGGAAGAGGTTTTACTCTGGAGACCCTGTCCTGAAAATGATAAGCTTTTTGGGTTAGTAAGAGATTTATAGGATAGCCCTGGCCGGTTTGGCTCAGTGGTTAGAGCGTCGGCCTGCGGTCCGGAGAGACCCGGGTTCGGTTCCCGCTAAGGGCATGTACCTCAGTTGCAGTTTGTCCCCGGCCCTGGTTGGTCGTGCGGGTGGCAGCCACTCGATGTGTCCCTTTCACATCGATGTTTCTCTCTCTCTATTCCTCTCTCTCCCTCCCACTCTATCTGAACAAAAAGTGAAAAAATGTCCTCAGGTGAGGATAAAAAAAATTATAAAATATTAAAAAAAAAGAGATTTATAGGATATAAGACTAATAATGGTTCAATTTCAGTGCATCATAATAAGACTATTTAAAGTGACTATTTGTTTTTAATCTTTCAGGATCTAGAAGATTTGATTAAAGCCAAAGAAAAAGACGTGGAAAAAATTGAACAAAGCGGACTCACTTTGATTCAGAACAAGAAGGAAGACGTCGCTGCTGCTGTCACGGGTACACTGCAGGAGCTCAACCAGACCTGGGCAAACTTGGACCACATGGTAAGGCTGCCGTGAGAGCCGGCTCCAAGACCACGCTTGCCATTTCGTGCTCACGGCATGCGTCCTGGTTCTCCTACAGTAACTGAGTAAATAATTATGCATCTGTACATCAACTCTTGGTGCCCAAGTTCACTTTATTAACCTTTTTTTAAGTCTAGCTTCGGATGTTTTCTATAATGAACGTGCAACCATCTCATTCATTTCCATGTCCATAGGTACCATCGAGGCACACGCGTATCTCAAATGTGTCCTCAGCCAGGACTTCTCTCCTAAAATCTAGACGGAGACAGAGACAGAGACGGGGGTTGAGAGAGAACTCCAACTTGTAGACATTCCTGTTGCATGATCAGGAGCCATCTCAGGCTCTAAACCACATCTGAACCGCCTCCTGGTCCCCCACAAACCTGCTCTTCTCGCCAGCCATCCCCTTTAATGACATCCCCTTTAATGACAACTCCACCCTTCCCGTCGTTCAGCAGAAAACCGCGGAGTCGTTCTTCACTCTTCTCCTTCTCTCATGCCCCACATCCCGTCCATCAGCAAGTGTGTCAGTCACATTGTCAGAATAGCTCGAGTCCAAGCTCTGCGGTTGACACCCAGGTCTGTGTCACCGGGACCACTCACCTTGATGATATCAGGGACCTCCTGCAGAGTCTCTCTGCCAAAGAAGTCCTGTTAAAATGGAAATCAGATCACACCGGTCCTTAACTCAGAAGCCCCCAAGAGCATCTTGCCTCACTTAGAATGAGGACAGAAGCTGGTGAGAACCTGAAGGCCCCCGACCCGGCCCCCCGACCCGGCCCCCCGGGCCCCTCAGACCTGGTCTCCTGCTGCTGTCCTGCAGGCTCCTCTTGCTTCTGTCTCTCCCTGCCCTTGACCTCAACAGGCATGTCTTACACTCAGAGACTTTGCTCTGGCTGTGCCCCTGCCTGGAACACCACCCCCTCTCCGAAATGCCCGCACGGTCAGTCTCTACCTTCCACGTCTTCGTTCGAATTTGCCATCTCGGCTTTCCGGACCGCTGTTTTCAACGACACCCTCTGCCTCCCCCCCCCCCCCCCCCCCCCCCCCCCGTGCGCTCCCTAGTCTCTGCTTTGCTCCGCTTTTATTCATGCTGTTTATGCTAACATACGACATCGTCTGCTTCTCTGCTTGAATCCTCTCACCCCAACACCAGCTCTATGAAGACCCTTGAAAAGTGTATGCTGAACGGAGTGTTGAACCCTCTGAGAATAAGACACGTGAGCAGATACTGCTCTGCACACAGTGGTGATGGCGCACGGCCGGGGCCCGGCAGCATGAGCCGCGGAGCCCAGGGCACAGCTGCTGCAGGCTCCGCACTCTCGTCCCAGCAGCTCTGCATGTGGCCTGGCCTTGCTTTCAACCTGATTTCTATTTTATTTTCTTTTACATATTTTTATAAATCATTACAAATCTCTGGACACACTTTACCATATAAATAAATTATGTGGTTCTTTCATAGAAACATCGCCTCATGAAAAACAAAAGTAATACAAAGAAGACCTAGACTATTTAAAAATTCTCATTTCCCTCCTGGCTTTAATTTTATGTCTTTTCCGGGCTGTCATTGGCCCGGGCCGGCATCTGCCGCGTGTCTGAGGCACACTTGCCTGGTCTGTCTGCCCATCAGACAGTGTCTTGATGGGTCTCGACATTATTTATTTATGCTGAGAAGAAGGGCAGGGCATGCAGGTGCAAATTAATCTACTGTCAAATCTGTTTTCTTAATCATGGCCATACTCCATATTCAAAAGATTGCATTTATTATTATTTTTTTTATCCTCACCCGAGGACATTTTTTGTTCAGGTACAGTGGGAGGAAGAGAGAGAGAGAGAAAGAGAGAGAGAGAGAGAGAAACATCGATGTGAAAGGGACACATCAAGTGGCTGCCACCCGCACGACCGACCAGGGCCGGGGACAAACTGCAACCAAGGTACATGCCCTTAGCGGGAACCGAACCCGGGTCTCTCGGGACCGTAGGCTGATGCTCTAACTGCTGAGCCAAACCGGCCAGGGCTCAAAAGATTGCATTTAGAAGAGCAGGAGCATCCAGGAAGTCCAAAGCAGGTATCTTTCTCAAATTTATAGACAAAATAAAACCCTAACTTTTCTGTTGCAGGTAAGTATAAGGAAAAAATGTTCCTAGATGTTTTGTCTCAAGATATTCATTTGTGCATGTGTGTGCATGTGTGTGTGTGTGTGTGTGTGTGAGAGAGAGAGAGAGAGAGAGAGAGAGAGAGAGAGAGAGGTGGGTGGATGATAGATAGACAGACTGATAGGTTTTATTTCCTGGGACAAGACTTGCCTAGTTTCAAATCTAGATTTCTCACATTCTCTCCGCATGATCCCAGGTGATTTTCGTAATCTGCTTGTGCCTCAGTTTCCTCATCTGTAAAGTGGGGGTGATGATACCTACTTCATAAAGTTGTTATGAAAATTAAACGAGTTAATGCATTAGTTGAATCACTCATTTATTCCTAAATTATAGTACTAAGTATATTAACCTGTAATCACTTTTATATTATATAAGTATATAATATATATTACCTATGTAACCTTTTCAATAATTGTAATTTAGACTCTGTTCAAAAGTAGAACAGGCGTCCATGTCAACATTACCCCATCTTACTTTTCAAATCTTTTTGTCTGTTTGAATGAATTTATGATGCCTGAAGCCCTGATGACGCTCTTAAATAGTAATGTTTTTTTCCGTCCATTGAACATAGAGTTTATCGCTTTAAATGTTACGCAGTTCTAAGGAGTGTCTGTCCCTGTCAAAAGGTGGGGCAGCTGAAGGCGCTGCTGAAGTTGGCGCACGAGCACTGGAGCCAGCACAAGGTGGCCTTCGATGAGCTCAACGGCAGCCTCATGGAGGCCAGGTACTCCCTCTCCCGCTTCCGTCTGCTCATCGGCTCCTTGGAAGCTGTGCAGGTTCAGGTAGACAGTCTTCAGGTAAGGGATGAACTGCATCTGCCCTTCACGTGCTGCTTAATTTGAGAAAATAAAATTATTAGCAGATACGAACACCGTCCTGGAATATCGTTGCATACTGCTTACACTGAATTATTTTTAAAATATTTAAAATCAGTTTTACCTGCTGTATGTGCTACTCATTCCAACTGGCCTGTGGATGCCAAGTTTTGAATTAATGGTATATAATGATCTGCTTTTTAAAAATTCTCGCATATAAATATCCACACGAATGGACTTTGTACGATGACTGTACACCCACAGCGGCCTCCGTGACCCGTGCCGCTGCCTCTGTGTCTTTCCTTTTCTCCTTTTATCCCTTTTCTCCCAATATTGTCTGAGGGATTAAAAAGAAAGCAAGGAGAAAACTAACAAAAGTGCTCAATTTTATTTTATTATTTTTATTTTTACTTATTTATTTAAAAAATATATTTTTTTCTTCATTGATTTTAGAGAGAGAAGAAGGGAGAGGGGGAGAGAGATAGAATCATCGATGAGAGAGAACATCAATTGGCCGCCTCCTGCATGCCCCCCACTGGGGATCGGGCCCACAACCTGGGCCTGTGCCCTGACCGGGAATCAAACCGGCGACCTCTTGGTGCATGGGTCAGCGCCCACACCGGCTGGACCAAAAGTGGTCCATTTTAAACTACTGTTTTCTTTTTATTTGGCATAGTGTCAGTGGTCTGTCCAACGTGTGCACACATCCTCTTTCTCCAGCACTTACTGCTTGGTTTCCTGGGGGCCCTTTGTCCTATCGGGGTGTCCCTCTGGGATAACGTCGCTGTTTGACTGACACACGGCGCTCCTCCTACCTCTGGCCCCTGCCCTCGAGTTAGCTGCTGCCCTCCCTTCTCTGCACCTGGGCGCCGGGCACTCTCCTCTGTCCTGCCCTCTTCCCTGGCTACGTGCAGGCTGTGGGGTGGGCAGGGCAGGCCCTGCAGGGACGGGATGCCAGCAGAGCCAGCCTGCACCTCCGTGGCTTGGCCATCAAAGTCCGTTTGCTGCTGACCTCACAGGCAGCCTTCCTGAAGGGAATCCCTCGGGCGGGCAGGAAGAAGGATAAAATGCGTGTACATCATTTATCTGTACCTCAGGTAGTTTTTGCAGATACTAAGAATCATTAAAACTTATTTTGAAAATAGTAAGTTTAAAAACAAATTTTATAATTTTGAGGGGGCTATACTTTTTAACTTAGCCTAGTCTGTGTTTGACAGCTGCAAGTGCTGTCTTACAACATGAAAGAACTCTGGGTCTTTACCTCGCATGTCTTGATTTGGTGGCAACCAGATATCGGTGTTATCGGTGTTATAGGGCTTTTGTGGGCTCCTTCACCAATGGAGTTATACTCGGAATGGATACTCTCCTTAGTTATACTCAGAACTGACACTGTCAGCAGTTTCTCCAGGGAAATATCCATCTTCAAGTTCTTTCACTGATAGAAGATTCTGCCAAGATGATAGATATTCTTTACAAGGAAGGACACCCAGATGTGGAACTTAGAGAGAGCTCTCAGAAAAGTTCTGGCTTCTTAAATCTAAATGCGAGGGGTTGCTGGTAGAAAAACTCTAGGTACGTAATAAAACAGAGTCCTGGGCTTGACTTTGATCAGCAGAGAGAACCACAGTGTACAGATTGCACGCACACCACTGCAGGCTACCGGATAACGGACAAGAACACCCTATGTGAGCTTTCCAGCAGAATTTCAGATGCCACTATAGGAAGCCTTAATTGTCACGAATCCCTTCTCACACCATAAGAACAAAATTATATATATACATATCTTATATATATTATATATCTTATATATATCTTATATACATATCGTATATATATAAAATTATATATATACATATCTTATAAAGCATTGGGGCAAATTCACGGTTTGTATATTCATATGTGCGTATTCATGAAAACAGCCATAAATTACTTTTAGACTTAGTTCTTAAAATTTAGATCTAATAACTGTTATTTTGTCTGTGGTATCTTTTTCTTCCTTTGGGCAGAATCTTCAAGATGATCTAGAAAAACAGGAAAACAGCTTACAGAAATTTGGCTCTGTCACCAACCAGCTATTAAAAGAGTGTCACCCACCTGTGACAGAGACTCTTACCAATACGTTGAAGGAAATCACCATGAGGTATGGCGCATGCTCGTTTTACAGTGCTATGCATTACTTCTGTCGCAACCACACCGCAAGGCATGACACAAAGCTTGCCAGCATTTTGAATTTGAGCTTTATAGAATTTATTGATTTTCACACAATGAAGTTAATGATAAGAAAGTGAAAATACTTAGAAATTAGAAACTGCTGTATACCCAAAGATTGACCTCATTCCTATGGTCCACCCCTGAAATGTGTGTGAAATGTTACTTTCGTATGAGGTCAAATAGAAATGAGACATCTCGCACTATTTCCAAAATCACATGAACCAGGATCGTGAAAAATGAAATAGTAACAGCACGGGGGGTGGGGCGCGGTGGTGATCCGCCCCGCGCGCCGCTGTGTTTCCAGATGGAACAACTTGCTGGAAGAGATCGCGGAGCAGCTGCACGCCGGCAGGGCCCTCCTGCAGCTCTGGCAGCGGTACCGGGACTTCTCCGCACAGTGCGCCGCCGCGGTCCAGCGCCAGGCGGACCGCACCGGGGAGCTCCTGAAGGCAGCCACCAACAAGGACATCGCTGATGACGAAGTGGCCACGTGGATTCAGGATTGCAACGTATGTGCTATCGTGCTTTCTTTCCCAACGCGCCTTCCTTAGACTCTCAGCGTTAGCAGGGCGAGTGCTGACGTGGGTGAGCTTCGTACGTGAGACAGTTCCCCCCCGATAATTGTGTTAAGTGTCAAAGGGCCTGCTAGGTTTTCAGAACACGTGAATCAGATTTACAAGCTCCCCACCTTCCCACTGTTTCATTTTGAAAGATGAGTTGTTTTCCTGTTTTTACTAATGGGATACAATGCACGTGAATGATTGAGGCTATCTGAGTTTACGGAGATGGTCGATGTAAGAAATGACCGGATGGAGAATAACGCTGTATCTTTTAAAAACCTCTTGTTAAAGGTATTGCCCATTTTGGTTCATTATCTTTTATGAAAGCATCAGCATAATTTCTTCTGAGAATTTAGTGGTAGAAAGAAGTCTTTCTCTGCTGATTTATGATTGTATTTCTTTCTAATATTTCTCTTTTTTATTGGATCTGCCAATAATCTACTGAAGGTTTTCAGGAACAGTTCTGTTTCACCCAGTGCATGGCTCTTATATTTTGGCCTTATTTATCTTTATTTTAATGAATTTGTTTCAAATATCTTCTCATAAACTTTCCCATTCAGTTTTTTAGAATTAGGCAAGTTATAAGATCTTAACCTATTCTGCCCTGGCTGGTTTGGCTCAGCAGTTACAGCATCGGCCCACGGACCGGAGAGTCCCAAGTTCAGTTCCCGCTAAGGGCACTTACTTCAGTTGCAGTTTGTCCCCAGCCCCGGTTGGGGTCATGTGGGTAGCAACCACTCGATGTGTCTCTCTCACGTCGATGTTTCTCTCTCTCTCTTCATCCCTCTCTTTCTCCTGCTCTATCTGAAGATAAGTGCAAAAATAGGTCCTCCGATGAGGATTTAAAAAAAAAAAGTTTAACCTATTCTAATACATTTACATTAATAATAATCACTTTAAGACTAAAGTTTAATATTTATGGTGAAGATAGTTTACTAATTTTTCTCCTACCTGCAGTTCCCCCTTACAAGATTCGTCATTTGAATACTCAGTCCTCCCGAGTTGAGATACACCTGTTTCGAGTGCTCCCAGTTACTTCTGTGCTTTGCCTGATGTCTGTCTCAAGGGTGAAGTCGCCCTTTGCTTTCTCCCTGTCACAGTAGGCCCTGAAGGTACAGCAGGCTCTTCTGTCTCCCCTATGCCTGGTGCACCAGCAATAGGTGGAAGAATCAGCCACTTGTCATCTCTTAGTGGTAGATGGAAACCAGAAACAGAGACTTTCCATTGGCTTATAGTTTTGAGCATAGAAGAGGGTCCCGCAAAAGGTAGAAGTGAGAGATACCATGGAAAATAACGGAGGTGCCTTCTACCCTCAGCCCTGCCCACCAGAACCATCGCTAGGGCTCTACTCCCCATGGAGATAGGAGGGTCTATCACAACCACTGTAAAGTGACCACCCAACATGCAGAAGACACTGTTGATAAACTCATCCTCTGGCCTCTGATATTATGTAGAAAGAGGTAAAATGTAGCACTGTGTTTTCAATCTGATAGCAATTATAGGAAGAAGCAGGAATAAAACCATCAACTTTTACAGTTAGTGGCTCTAGTCGTGGACTTTTCTTTTTCTTAGGTATGTATGTTTTCCTGCATTCCCCTGTGTTCTACAGTAGACCTTTGTGGCTTTTATGATTCTTTAAGATTTTAATACACGTGCATATTTTTAAAACTGGATTCAATTTTTGATTTCTTTTCCAAATGAAGGTTATTTAGTGTAATAATTAGACAAATAAGAGTTGAGCGTTTCTAGCTGTGTGGCCCTTGCTGATTGTTTAGAATAAGGAGTACACGGGTGCTCTCAATGTGCTGTTTCATGATGGGCGTATTTCATCTCCCACAGGACCTCCTCAAGGGACTGGGCGCAGCTAAGGATTCTCTGTTTGTTCTCCAAGAGCTGGGGGAGCAACTCAAGCAACAAGTGGAGGCTTCAGCAGCATCAGCCATTCAATCGGACCAGCTCTCTTTGAGTCAACACTTATGTGCCCTAGAACAGGCTCTTTGCAAACAGCAGACTGTGTTACAGGTACAGAGCTCGTATTCTGTGTGTGTTGTGAATTGGGTGTTGTATAACTTCTGAGCATAAACGCAGGAAAAGAAGAATTTCCATCATTGGGACAGTGCCTCCTTCAAGAACAAAGAATTAAAACACAAAGCAAACTTGGACTCTTCAGCGGGCACAAGGGAAGGTGGAGTCTTGCACTGTTCTTCACAAAGTAATCATGCCCCTAAACCGATGCTTCCTTCCATGGTACTGAGTACAATGTGCTCAACTGATGGACACTAAGGGGCTTTAATATTCAAATCATAAGAAGTTATTGCAAGAATGAGAATAAATTTCTGTTTGGTAATATATTTATAAAAGTGACTTTAACTGGCCCTGACCGGTTTGGCTCAGTGATTAGAATGTTGGCCTATGGTCTTGGGTTCAATTCCTGGTCAAGGGCATGTACCTGAGTTGTTGGTTTGAACCCCGGCCCTGGTCGGGGTCATGCAGGAGGCAACCAATCGATGTGTCTCTCTCACATCAATGTTTCTCTCTCTCTTTCTCTCCCCCTCTCCGTCCCTCCCTCCCTTCCACTCTATCTAAAAATCAATGGAAAAATATCCTTGGGTGAGAATTAACAAAAGAATAAAAGTGACTTTAACTGGTTAATTACTCCAACAGAGAGTTGCATGCTAATTTTTTTTAGAACTTATATTAATAAAGAGAAGAATATCTAAATCCAAATAGCAATTTGATAGTAGAATATGAGACATAATATCAAGATCCACTTGTCTTTTCAGTAGATTTCTAAATATCAGTTTTCTTTTGTAATAAAAAAGGCTGGAATTCTTGACTATGAAACCTTTACCAAGAGTCTAGAAGCTTTGGAGGCATGGATAATAGAAGCTGAAGAAATACTCCAAGGGCAGGACCCCAGCCACTCGTCTGACCTCTCAACCATCCAAGAAAGAATGGAAGAACTCAAGGCAAGTGTGCTGAAATCCTAGCCCTAGACCGCTTATCTTTCCTCCGAACCTTAAGGAAAACTCACAGCTTTGGACATAACTCACAACTCCCATACCTTTTATTTTGAGGTTCCATGGGAATCCTTGCCAGTTCTGTTTTGTTGCTCCCCTAAGAGGTGTGAACTGTCAGTGAGCACAAGGTGATTTTACAACCCATGATGGGAGCTGTCTTGGATCACACCTCACCCCTCCTTCTTCCTACCTCCTACCTGTCTTCACTCTCACCCCAACTGATCACCTGCTTCAGAGGATCCTCCATGTCCATCTCTGTCACCACCCACTCCGCGTCCCATCTGCCTCTCTCTCTCTCAGACCACTGCAACATCCCATCTGCCTCTCTCTCTCTCAGACCACTGCAACGTCCCATCTGCCTCTCTCTCTCAGACCACTGCAACGTCCCATCTGCCTCTCTCTCTCAGACCACTGCAACGTCCCATCTGCCTCTCTCTCTCAGACCACTGCAACGTCCCATCTGCCTCTCTCTCTCAGACCACTGCAACGTCCCATCTGCCTCTCTCTCTCAGACCACTGCAACGTCCCATCTGCCTCTCTCTCTCAGACCACTGCAACGTCCCATCTGCCTCTCTCTCTCAGACCACTGCAACGTCCCATCTGCCTCTCTCTCTCTCAGACCACTGCAACGTCCCATCTGCCTCTCTCTCTCAGACCACTGCAATGTCTCATCTGCCTCTCTCTCTCTCAGACCACTGCAACGTCCCATCTGCCTCTCTCTCTCTCTCAGACCACTGCAACGTCCCATCTGCCTCTCTCTCTCAGACCACTGCAACGTCCCATCTGCCTCTCTCTCTCTCAGACCACTGCAACGTCTCATCTGCCTCTCTCTCTCTCAGACCACTGCAACGTCCCATCTGCCTCTCTCTCTCTCAGACCACTGCATCGTCCCATCTGCCTCTCTCTCTCTCAGACCACTGCAACGTCTCATCTGCCTCTCTCTCTCTCAGACCACTGCAACGTCCCATATGCCTCTCTCTCTCTCTCAGACCACTGCAACGTCCCATCTGCCTCTCTCTCTCAGACCACTGCAACGTCCCATCTGCCTCTCTCTCTCTCAGACCACTGCATCGTCCCATCTGCCTCTCTCTCTCAGACCACTGCATCGTCCCATCTGCCTCTCTCTCTCTCAGACCACTTCACGTCCCATCTGTCTCTCTCTCTCTCAGACCACTGCAACGTCCCCTCTGCCTCTCTCTCTCTCAGACCACTGCATCGTCCCATCTGCCTCTCTCTCTCTCAGACCACTGCAACGTCCCATCTGCCTCTCTCTCTCTCAGACCACTGCAACGTCCCATCTGCCTCTCTCTCTCTCAGACCACTGCAACGTCCCATCTGCCTCTCTCTCTCTCAGACCACTGCATCGTCCCATCTGCCTCTCTCTCTCTCAGACCACTGCAACGTCCCATCTGCCTCTCTCTCTCAGACCACTGCAACGTCCCATCTGCCTCTCTCTCTCTCTCAGACCACTGCAATGTCCAACCTGCCTCTCTCTCTCTCAGACCACTGCATCGTCCCATCTGCCTCTCTCTCTCTCAGACCACTGCAACGTCCCCTCTGCCTCTCTCTCTCTCAGACCACTGCAACGTCCCATCTGCCTCTCTCTCTCTCAGACCACTGCAACGTCCCATCTGCCTCTCTCTCTCTCAGACCACTGCAACGTCCCATCTGCCTCTCTCTCTCTCAGACCACTGCAACGTCCCATCTGCCTCTCTCTCTTTCTCAGACCACTGCAACGTCCCATCTGCCTCTCTCTCTCTCAGACCACTGCAACGTCCCATCAGCCTCTCTCTCTCAGACCACTGCAACGTCCCATCTGCCTCTCTCCCTCTCTCAGACCACTGCAACGTCCCATCTGCCTCTCTCTCTCTCTCAGACCACTGCAACGTCCCATCTGCCTCTCTCTCTCTCTCAGACCACTGCAACATCCCATCTGCCTCTCTCTCTCAGACCACTGCAACGTCCCATCTGCCTCTCTCTCTCTCAGACCACTGCAACGTCCAACCTGCCTCTCTCTCTCTCAGACCACTGCAACGTCCCCTCTGCCTCTCTCTCTCTCAGACCACTGCAACGTCCCATCTGCCTCTCTCTCTCAGACCACTGCAACGTCCCATCTGCCTCTCTCTTTCTCAGACCACTGCAACGTCCCATCTGCCTCTCTCTCTCTCTCAGACCACTGCAACGTCCCATCTGCCTCTCTCTCTCAGACCACTGCAACGTCCCATCTGCCTCTCTCCCTCTCTCAGACCACTGCAACGTCCCATCTGCCTCTCTCTCTCTCAGACCACTGCAACGTCCCATCTGCCTCTCTCTCTCTCAGACCACTGCAACGTCCCATCTGCCTCTCTCTCTCAGACCACTGCAACGTCCCGTCTGCCTCTCTCTCTCTCAGACCACTAACATCCCATCTGCCCCTCTCTCTCTCAGACCACTGCAACGTCCCATCTGCCTCTCTCTCTCTCAGACCACTGCAACGGGCCCCACGCACTTCCTGCAGGCACCCACTCCCTTCATCCCAATGTTGCCAGAATGATCTATTTTTATTTTTATTTTTTAATTACAGTTGACATACAATATCATATTAGTTTCAGGTGTACAACATAGTGATTAGACATTTATATAACTTACTAAGTAGTCAACCCAGGAAGTCTAGAATGCACTTGACACCGTACCAGAATGGTCTTTTTCTTTTAAAGGCTTATACTTAACTGGAAAATATTTTAAGTAGTCAGTAATGTGAATAAAATAATGCAATAGATATGCAAAGTTGATCCTATTATCCCTCTGCTTAAAGCCCTCTGTGGGTTTCCTTGCTCTCGGGATAAAGGTCAAAGTGGATTCTCAGGCCCAGCGTCGCCGGCTTGTGCCGCCTGAGAGTCTCATCTTCACTGTCCGTCTCATCCCGAAGCCACTTGGGAGGTCGCTTGAGTCTGTGTGCGTGATGTTCCGCTTTCTGGAATCCTTTTCTTGTCCCGGCCAACCCCCTCCTGTCCAAAAGGGAAAACCTTCCGGTCATTTTGTTCAATGTCTTTCTCTTAAGAAAGCCTCCACCTCTGTCCATGGTCAGACTCCCCGGTGACACACTTTCACAGCACAGTATCCCTTTTCTTCCGTGTTTATCGTTCCGTTCGATCACGCTCGCGTGCTGGGGGCACCTGCTGTGCCTCTGCTGTTGGAACAGCACCATCCGCTTGGCAGGCACCGGGAGAAGCGCCGTGCTGCGGAGCCTTGTTTGCTGCCGGGGTCTCCCATGGAAATGCCACCGTCTAGTAGTCGTGCTTCAACAACACGCAAAGGGCAAACACACAAGCCAAAGGTGTCCGGACATGCTCTCCTTCCCGCGGCTAGGTTCCTAGATGGGGTTGCGAATTCCCCCAGGAAACCCAGAAGAGGCAGCTTGTCCTGGGTTTGAGGGGCGGAAAGAGGTCTGAAAGCAAAGACTGCTCTTTCAGCTGACTCTCACCAACTTTGGGTCTGGGGCCAGAGGCCTGAACCGAAGCTCTTCAGATAACACGCGGAGTGGGGTTGTGTTTCTCTAGCAGGAACGCAACAGCTCTTGCTTACCTCGCTCTACCCCTTCCTTGCTGGGGGACCTTGACCCATCGTCTTAAAGGTCCTGGGCCTCTCTTCCTGTTGTAAGGTGGGAACAGCAGTGTAGTACCTTGTGGGATTGCTTTGGGAATAAAATGAGTTACGGTATTACCTGTGTAGCTCTTATAACAATGGTTAGTTCACAAGTGTTCAATAAATGTTAATTATTCTTATTACAACTATATTATTAAGTAATAAAGGAGAAGATTAGCAGTATAAAGGGTAAGAAGTGAGCCTTTTCAGCCGTCAGCGTAATTTTCATCCTTGATCAGGTCTATCGAGAATTATTTATGAGTAAGTCAGTCGAGTAAATCACACACATGAACTGCTAAGTGTCCCCTAGGGGACAGTGGGTGGCGGAGCCCGCTGCAGCGGCAGCCCTGGAAGCTGATTGGGAGAAGCCGCCGTCCCTTCTCTGCAGTCCTGGCCATTGCAGACAGGCGGCCTCCAGGAGCCTAGGAGACCAAAGACCAGCCTCTTCCTGAAATCTAGTTCACTGTGCCCTTGGAAAGTACTCTGCCCTTTCTGACCACGTTGCTAAACCCGTTCTCAAATCTTGCTTTCAGGGACAGATGTTGAAATTCAGCAGCATGGCCCCAGATTTAGACCGCCTGAATGAGCTTGGCTACAGGCTACCCCTGAGTGATAAAGAAATCAAAAGGATGCAGAGCCTGAACCGGCACTGGGCTCTGATTTCTTCTCAGACGACAGAGCGATTCAGGTAGAGTCTCCGAGAGCTGTTTTGGCTGCTGTGATATATCAGTAGAAATAAGTTCAAGATTGGTGTCCAGGTATAAATGCCAGGTCTTTCCAGTGATATGAAATTTGAAGTAAAAGGAAGAAACTCAAACTGTGTGTTCCCTTGTTGAATGTACTAATTTGTAATAAAAAAAAATAGCAAGCCCCTTTATGTAACAATATACTAAAGATATATTATTGTCATATCATTTTTAAAACTCACCATATTAAACTGTTTTTTCAGTTTGGGTTTCTAAACGTTACTACCTAACCTGAAAGTTTTGTGATGGTCACATTAGCATGGGACGCGGGAAATCGTCAATCTTGTTTAATATGCCAAAGACAAGAATGAGCAGTAATAGCCACTGTCTTTCCCCCTTAATCCTGTCAGTAAGTTGCAGTCATTTTTGCTACAACATCAGACCTTCTTGGAAAAATGTGAAACATGGATGGAATTCCTGGTTCAAACAGAGCAGAAGTTAGCAGTAGAGATTTCGGGCAATTACCAGCAGCTTCTGGAGCAGCAGCGCGCCCACGAGGTCAGTTAAGCCAGTAGATTTGGGGGTCGTACAACAGGCCTTTGGGGGCTGCTGACAGATACCATGTGGTAGAATTAAAGTGATGAATCTTATCCTGAGTCTGCTCAAATGCATGCATTGTTTTTGCCTTCCTTCTGAAGGCTGGGGCTTCGATACCTTGATTACAATGTAGTTCAGTTCATTGCTCCCTAGTTGGTTATAAGCATGTGGCTTCGATACCCTACAGTGGATAGTGCCACACTTGCGGTCAAAGCCTACTTACAGGGGTGGGGAGGGGAAGCAGAGAGGGCGTATAGGAGTTCAGAAAGTTGGATTCAATTTTCAAATAAAGTTACAGACTGCGTTAATATTGCCAAGGCCAGTTGCTGAAGAGATGATGTTTTGATCTAAATTCATTGGTAAATGAAAATTGTGTGTTCTTTAAAAAGCAGCAAACTACCAGAATCTCCAAGCGCACCTGTTGGCCAAATTACATTATAATTGTTTTTCAAGAAACACTGAGAGAGAACTAGATATGACATGCCAACTCATTACTTTGCTGGTAGTCTCTGTTTTGCTATTTACTGGCGTGACTTGGTCCCACGTGTTTATAAAGTATGTGCACGTGGAGAGAGAGGATTGACCTAAAAGCAGAGAAGAGGCTTAATGCAGAATTTAAAAGAGAATACAACTAATTTTAAAACCCTTTGTTTACATTTAAGAAATAGAGAATTTAAATATATGTAGGGTATCTTTAAGTCCATTTTTACTGAGTTGGCCGATGAGGAAATAAAAGGGAATGGATGAAATCTTCAGTGAGATCCCACTGTACACCCCCTGGGATGGCTGCCGTGAAAAAGGTCAGCGCTTATAAGGGAGGGAATAGGGAAACTGGAATCCTTACGCATTGTTGGTAGGAATTGAACATAGTGAAGCTTCTTTGGAAACAGTTTGGCAGTTCCTCCAGCTGTTAAATGGAAAGTTACCATGTGACCCAGTATTTCCACAGCTAGGTAGAATGAACCCGGGAGAAAAGAAAATGTATGTCCACACATCTACCTGTGTGGACAAAAACGTGTACAAGACTATTGTTTACAGCGGCATTATTTGTCATAGCCAAAAAGTATAAGCAACCCAAATATCCACCCGCTGAAGAATAAATGAATGAAATGTGCTATGGCCATACAGTAGAATACGATTTTTTATCTTTATTGTTGTATTCCAGATGTTCCCCTCTTTTTCCCATTGATCCCCTCGGCCCCGCTCCCACCCACCCCCATCTTGTCTGTCCATTGGTTCTGTCCATTGGTTATGCATATATGCATATGAGTGATAGACTACTGTTCAGCAATGACAAAGGGATGCAGTGTGATATATACTGCACGTGAATCAGCCTTGAAGACAATGCCAAGTGAAGAGAAGGCAGTCACGAAGTAGACCATATTGCATGGTTCCATTTATAGCCAGAATAAGCAGATCCGTAGAGACCGAAAGGAGATTACTGCTTACCTAGAGCTAGGGATGGAGAGGAAATGGGGGTGATGACTAATGAGTGTGGGGTCCTCTTCAGGGTAAAGGGAATGGCCCAGGATTGATTGTGGTATCTCGGTTGCACAACTCTGCACATATAATAAAAATAATTAAATTGTACACTTTAAATAGGTGGATTGTATGTGAATTATATGTCAATAAAGCTGTTTAAACAACAATGGGGAGAAAGGTCGAAATACTTATAATTTGACTTAAACTTTTAGTCAGTTTTAGTAAACAAATATTAAACTTTAAGTATATCTTGATTGATGGTTTAAAAATACGTTATTTCTAGACTGCAGGATAAAACATGTACCCTGATTCAGTTGGAGATATTTTGTATAACCTTGCTTAAATCAAAATTTTTGGAAACTTGTTAGAGGCCTGGTCATTAAAAGTAACTCTAAATCATGATTTGTTTTTTTTTTAAACAAAAGTTGTTTCAAGCAGAGATGTTCAGTCGTCAACAGGTTTTGCACTCTATCATCACTGATGGGCAGCATCTTCTGGAACAAGGTCAAGTTGATGACAGGTAGGTTCTTTGATTTATTATCATGAAGAAAGGTTCCAGTAAATTAGTCATTTTCTTTTTAATGAGCAGATTAGAAGGCATATATCCAGTCTTCCTAGGGCAATTGTACTGCAATGGAGCCTCAGTAATTGGAGGAAAGGCTTCTGCGAATCTCTGAAATGACTGGGCATTGAATCTTTTTAAAGAACTGCTATTATATTATATGAAGGACCTGGAGTACTTGGAAATCACCTAACCAACTTTTGCTAGTCATCTGTGGGAGACTGGAATTAATAAGTAGATCAGGATGAATTGAATCAATGATGCATCGGTGGTTTGTAAACAGATGCTCCTAATATTCTCATATGATTACAGAACCTTCATTCCTAAAAGTAGCACAGAGATCGCTAGACCGTCCCTCTAACTTGGGGATGACAACTTGAGGTCCCGCAGTGTGAACTGATTTGACCAAGGTCATGGAACCACATAGCACAGAATCAAGCCTAGAACTCGTGTGCCCGGTTTTCGGTCAGAACCAGGCCGGATAATTCCACTGGATTTGAAAACGGAGCAGCAGAGAGCCTGCGAGGCTACCCTAAGTCAGATTGCACGCAACCTGAAATCCTGCTTCCTCTTCATAGCAGATGCTCTCTTTATTGAAAACACAGAGATACTATCTAGCTCCTCTTTAGCTCTGTCGTGTGGGAATTGATGCTTTCGTATTTCCTAGGAGCAATGTTTATGCTGTCCCATCTAGATCCCCTGGTGATATTTGCTGTATATATTTAATTCATTTTATTACATGTGTATATCTTTCCCATATTCAGGATGAGTAGTTGTGATTATAATTAACTTCGTATTATTTTTTTAATAGAAAAGAAATCATTATTTTTATTGAGGTTTTTTATTTTATTTAATGTTTTGGAAGCAATTTCAGTTTTAAGTGGATGTTTCTTTGGAAGAACATGAAAGATTTTTATGGTTAAGCTTGGAACAACAAAATGTGATACCGTATTTATTCTAGAGTAAGTAAGCCAAATTTAATGTGAACTTGACTGAGAATTCAAGTCCTTCAAAACAAGACTATTTAGATGCGATTAACTTACTTATCTTTTGCTAAACTCTCTTCGCCAACTCTATAACAATATTACAAAAGTTTGAGTCATTAAGTAAAATAAAATTTAAAATTCACGCACAAGCCAACATCTATTAAACTTTCAATGTTAGGGAAAAACACCAAGGGATGAAATTATGAGGGTTGGACTCGAGAGTCATTTTGAAAATTGCAAATTAAAAAAATTTAGATTAGAACATGTTGACAGTAGGCAGGCGTCAGATTATAAATGTGTTCTGTTCTAAAAGTGTATTTATAACTTGTGTTTTTAGAGTTCAAGTTCAGCAGTGGGAACGGTGTCATGGTTTCAGTAGTTCCTCATGCTGCCAGGTAGCTCAGGACTGCTCTGCTCTGCAGAGTGAGGGTGAAGTCTCCCCAAGACCTCGGATGGTTACCTGGCAGGGAGGGCAGTAGGCAGGACCCTTCTCATGTTGCAAGATCTTTTCAAGTCCTGGAGTCACACATTTCCAGAGATGTGAGGTGCTTGTAACGTTTAGGGAAATCTCAGAAACCCAATTCATCATATTTGGCTCTACTGCCATTAGATTATAAATATCAGAAATTTTCTTTCCAAAACAGAACCATGAATAACACTTCTGGTTACCAACTCAAAGTTTATAGTGGCCCTAGATAATAAGAGGTATTAAGAATGGGAGTCCAGAGAGTAAGTCCAATTCAGTTTTGAAGCCACCCTCAAGAGAAGAAATAGCATATCCAGAGAAGACAAGCAAAACTAACATAATGGAGAAAGAACGAAGAATGTTGCACATTAGCGCTAAAATGTGTGAATAACAGTATAATCTATAAAGAAACTCATTCTGTTTGACACTGGACAACCCAGTTCTAGAGCTGCAAGTCGAATGATAAAGAAAACTCAATAAATAACTACCACCATTTATTAAAGTTAGAAAATACAGAAGTAGGAAAAGTAAATTTAAAAACCTGATATTATTTATCTGGAAATTAAAAAGCTTAAGTAAAACTTAATACCTTGCCCTGGCCGGTTTGGCTTAGCAGTTAGGGCGTCGGCCCATGGACCAAACAGTCCCGGGTTCAATTCCAGCCAAGGACATGTACCTTGGTTGCGGTTCAGTCCCCAACCCGGGCTGGGGTCACGCGGGAGGCAGCCAATGTACGTTTCTCTCTCTCTCCCTCCCTCCCACTCTATCTGACTATCAACAGAAAAACGTCCTCCGGTGAAGATTATAAAAAAAAAAAATTAATACCTTTAAGTTTATGGCCGACATTTGTACAGAAAGTGATGACTGGTTTTCATTTTTCTGAGAGCAAAATGAAATAGATTTAAAATGTAGAAGGGACAATTTGGTATGTGAAATAATTAGCTAAAGATTAGGGCTATTTATTGTAAGAGAATATTGAGGGTTTATGAAGTACGTTTTTAAAAATTGTAAATAACATACTTGTATTTAAGTGGCTCATGACTCCAGCTAAAATCATCCAGTTTGGTTCATTCAAAGTGCCTTACAATCCTACTGAGGACAGAGGCTACAAATGAGCTGTGCGCCCCACTGTCTGCTGCCACAGTGCACAGGAGATGCTGTCCCCGTGCGGGCCTGGCCCTGGGTGCTCAGCGTGGGGCCCTCCCCACTGCCCGCGCTCCGTCCCCTGGTCACGTGGGGGACGAGGAAATGACAGGGACCTTGTCGACAAGCCTTCCACCTGTGCTGAAACAGGAGAACACTCCTCATTTTCAAACCCCGAGATTTTCATTGTTACTCGTGTTTAAAAGTGCTCGCCACAGACCTGATAGCAGATCGTGGCGTGCCATCTGAAGACCTCTGCCCTAGATCACGCCTCGGGGCTTACCGTCCCCGAATGTGTGGACCTTGGTCGATGCTGTGATGCCGTCCAGGGTCACAGTGCTTTCCCCTCGGTGACTCTGCTCCCCAGGGATGAGTTCAACCTCAAGCTGACCCTGCTCAGCAGTCAGTGGCAGGGAGTGATCCGCAGGGCCCAGCAGCGGCGAGGCATCATCGACAGCCAGATCCACCAGTGGCAGCGCTACAGGGAGATGGCAGAAAAGCTGCGGAAGTGGTTGCTCGAAGTGTCCTATCTGCCCGTGAGCGGTCTCGGAAGTGCCCCGATACCCCTGCAGCGGGTGAGGACCCTCTTTGATGAGGTGCAGGTAAGTGCAGAGCATGCCGTTCCTGCGCCCCCTCTGCGTCTCCCCTGCACCCTTTGCCCTGGCCTCAGGTTTCCAGGATCCTGGTGTGACGCTGGAATGAGGACATTGTTCTCAGATGTCAGCAGACCCAGAGAAAATGACTATATTGCAGAGCCTGTGTTTAACCATGAAAGGGGGGTCGGTTCCCGCCTCTCACCAACACTCCCTCCACTTCACACACCCAGGCCACCCCACTCATGGGATCCCAGCAGGGATGGAAAGGAAAGGGGAGGAAACCCTTGCGTCAGTTACACAGATATCACTCACGAGCCACTGAAACGATTCAGCGAAGTACTCCCGAGAAGAGAGAGGGCTCAGTCCTGGTCCGTTCCCGTCCAGCCCCTTACCTGCGCCAGCCTGGCAAGCTACGATTCTGGCTTCTTGGACAAATACCTCCTAGCATTCTCATCCGTTCACCCCAGAGTATTTCATAGGGTCCTCTTCTTTGGAGGTCACTGTTCTCTGCTTCCTTTCTCCTCCTCACTTCTCGGGAAGACCTCGTCTACACACCTGGCTTCACTTACACCCCACAGCAGAGAATGACCCAATTGGCATCTTCTGGTCACATTCATGTCCTGAGGTTTCAGCTCACACATTTAGCTGCCTTTTAGACTTACACCTGTATGCATCACAGACATAATATACTGTGTGGGTTCAAAGCGAGCCTGGGTTCTCCATCAACCCATTTCGCATGTTCCCAGTCCAAGGAAATGTCATCAGCGGCTATCTGGTCTGTCAGACAGGGACCCGAGAGTCATTCTATAGCTATTCTCTCCTATTATGCCCCTCCCCGTGTCTAATAGTCCTCGAGTTTCCGTCGCTACCACTGCTGCCTCTGAGCAGGTGCCCATGATTTCTCGCCTGGATGGATGCTAGCTTTCCAACCTGTCTTAGTAGATCCAGTATCTATTCTTCCATTGCATTTCCTGCCTTACTGCTGAATGCTTTCAGCCAACATCACTTTCCTGCTTAGTATTCTCTGTGATTCTGTCACTTTTATTTCACAAACCGACTTCCTGCGCGTTGTGTGGTCTTGCCTCCTCTTCTACCGCTCTCGTAGAGGCAGCCTGTGTTCTAACCACTGAAAACCGCCTCCCGTGTCTCCAGTGTCCTGAATTGGTATTTACCTTGTACCCATCCTCATTTCTCTACATGGGAGATGTTCTCTCCTGACTCCTGGCCCTCTCATGACACCAAGTCCTTAACCTGTTGTGCTTATATACGTCTTTCAAGACTCGTGAAGGCTTTACCACTGCGAGGGAGCTCTGTGGCACCCCATGTGGGTTAGCTGTGTGGACACTGGTCTTTCTTTGAATTAGTCTGTATCAAATATGAATCACAAATATTTTCTGCAGAAAAAACATAAAGATCATAATAAAAATTTAAAAAACTAAATACACAAAAAATATATAACAATGTATTCCTTATACATCAATCTTATAGTGCAGTTTTCATACTGCATCATGACTGTATTTAACCTGGGACAGACACTCGGCCTCTCCCTGTTGAATTCTCATGTATTTACACATTGTTTTATTCCTGTACCAAGTATTTGCTCAGTAAATGCTTGTAGGATAAAAGAGGGCACGCAATGTATGCAAAAGTTCAGGGTCATTTAAAAATACTTACAGTAGGGAAATGGCGAAGGAAAGAATGAGAAAGTAAAAAGCCGTGGTTTCTTTCAGTTCAAAGAAAAAGTGTTCCTGAGACAGCAAGGCAGCTACATCCTGACCGTGGAGGCGGGCAAGCAACTCCTGCTCTCTGCCGACCCCGGGGCTGAGGCTGCCCTGCAGGCCGAACTCACGGAAATCCAAGAGAAGTGGAAATCCGCCAGCATGCGTCTGGAGGAGCAGAAGAAGAAACTGGCTTTCTTGTTGAAAGTAGGTCCAGCCCCTCCTCCTACAGATGTAACAGAGTTGGAAAACTCTCCTAAGAGTTGTGCTGCCTCCACACATTGGTGTCCTGCAAATCAAACAACACAGAGGTCATTGTCATACCCTGCCATATCTTGATCCTCTGTGTCTTATTTACGACTTTGTCCTGTCTTGCATAAACTGGAAAGTTTCCCAATTTTCAGCAGTTTGTCTTTCAGGAAAATCCCCCAACAAAGTAGTTTTAAGTCTAACAAGACCATCCAAGCGATGAATTCTGATTGATGGCTGGTGCTAAGCCAAGAGCCATATGATGACTGTATAACTCCAGACAGGAATACAAAGAGTAGAGTCCACTCCCTAGTCTAAGACTCCAAAGTGGTTTGCAAGATTGATATCTCTTATTTTATAGCAGGGAAAAAAACCTATCCAACAAGACACTTTAGATTTGATCTTATCCAAGTGTGTTGCTATGAGATAAAATCTCCTGGAGGGAAGTGTATTGAGCCTTTAGTTAGATACAGGTTGCATTTGGATCACACAGCGAATTTAGGGAAATATAAATGTATCCAGACAATATGCTTTTCTCCCTCATTTTCCAAATCCATTTATAATACATAATTAAACAGCAGTTGAAAAAGAGTACGAATTCTACACTCAGATAAACCTCAGATACACTCAGATATTTTTCAAGTTAAAGCCATAAAATACAAAGTAACTTGATTGACTCAACCTACCTAAGCTTCTGTTTTCTCATCTGTAGAGTAGGTATGATTATACCTCCTTCATGTGGCATTGCGAGGGTTTAATGAAATAGTGAAGGTAAATCATGTGGCACATACTGAGCCCTCAATAAGTGATGACAACTATCATGGTTGATAATGTCATTTAAAAAAGTGAATATAACTAAATACTAAAGTTTTATATATGTTGATATTCACCAACACTTTGATGTGATTGTCTGTTAAATCTGGCCTGTTACTCTTTTGGATCAAAGATAATAACTAAAGTGGATGGAATACATTTTGTTGGGCTTTTTGTGGGTGATTTTTTAATGCTTAAAGTCTGCACACCCATTGGGTTTATTCTATTAAATTTTATTTAATAATATGTTACATTGTGTGCGGGAAACAGTCAATCAAAAATGCCACTGACCATCTGTTAAAGAGCTATTATTTGTACACAACACGATTCATCAGTAACACGATATGCCTGATTCCTTTTCTTCATTTTTGCTTTCAGGAAAGGATTAAAAACATTGTAAATCATTCTGCAGAGAACATGTTAATCATATATTTTTCTTTATTTGTGATGTGATTATTGGACACATTCCTAGGACCTAATAAGATGAGATGTTGAGTCACTGCCTTTGCTTTTCTTGTCCGTCTGTTTGTTGGCGCGTAGAACATCCACTTTGATAGATGTCTGGACCATGGCATTTAGTTATTTCCTTATAATTCATGTGCTGGTAAGGAGACTTCATTATAGCTTCAGAATCTAAGCCATCCTTGGAAAGGAAAATCCCTATTCTTTTCTTATTAAAGTTTATTTTATTTTGAATCATACACTAGATCCTATTTGCCTAAGGAGTTTATGACGCTAAATTTTAATGTTTAGACAGCCTCATGATACTGTACATTTCCCCCACCACTATAATATAACACTTACCTATTTTTAGCTCTTAATTTAATGCTCTGAGTAGATAAACCAAAAATATCATTATAATTCTATGTCCTGCATGGTCATCTGCTTTACTATCACCTCTTAATTTTATTACAAAAAATAAGGAGTTGACCTTTTCTCTTTTAGATAAATGAACGTTGATTGGCTGTGGGTTGATAAGTTTCAGTGTGTGATGACTTGAGAATGCTGTTCAATTTAAGTAGAAAGAAGATCTCTCTGTCTTCTCTCACTTTGCTTAGCACTGATTAACTAAGTGTGGCCTAGGCACACAGATATTTAAATAAGGGGAACAAAACGAATCTGTCCAAGACAGACTGTGGCGAATGGAAGAGAGAATGTGGTTACATACTCTAGGAAGTTCCCTAAAGGAATTTAAAAGAGAAACGAGAATCTTGAGTCAAATTCTGTTCATTTAGAAACCAAGCCCTGGCCGGTTTGGCTCAGTAGTTAGAGTGTCGGCCTGTGGTCCTGAGAGACCCGGGTTCGGTTCCCGCTAAGGGCATGTACCTCAGTTGCAGTTTGTCCCCGGCCCTGGTTGGGTCGTGCGGGTGGCAGCCACTCGACGTGTCCTTTTCACGTCGATGTTTCTCTCTCTCTCTTCCTCCCTTTCCCTTCCACTCTATCTGAACAAAAAAATGGAAAAAATGTCCTCGGGTGAGGATAAAAAAAAAAGAAAGAAAGAAAAAGAAACTAAAAAACATTTGAGCCTGGAGGAACTTTAGTCAACACTTCTTGAAGGAGACAGTTTTAGTAAATAGCACCTAAGGTTTTTAGTAAATATTTAGTAAATAAGGCAGCAGAAGAGAAGATAGGAAGAACCCAGACAAAGAAAGACCAGTAACGATGGAAGAAACAATGCGAAGAAAACGGCAACATGATTTGGCACCATACTAATTCTTAAAAGCAACTCTAGTTGTCTTTCTTTAAAATTGTTTTAGAGAGAGAGGAAGGGAGAGGGAGAGAGATAGAAACATTGATGAGAGAGAAATATGGATCAGCTGCCTCCTGCACGCCCCCTACTGGGGATCCTGCCGGCCACCCAGGGAATGTGCCCTGACCAGGAGTCAAACCTGTGACCTCTGGGTGTTCAATGCACTGAGTCACACCGGCCGGGCTCCAGTTGTCTTTCTTTTGAGCTCAGCAATTTAAGGTGTGGGAAGTGGTCACTGGGGAGAGTTGTTATGGAGGAGGAGTCCAGGAATGGGAAGTATTAAAGAGATTTGTTTGTTGAATTTAATTTGCATTGGCACTGAGACACCAGATAAGAGTTAATTTGTAGATAGGGTGCTGCAAAGAATCAAATCGCCGCTATGATTCCATTATATATATATTTTTTATTTTACTCTTTTTTTATTACAAAAAAAAATGCATGTGTCTGGTTAAAAAAAAAAATCAGGTAATAATTGATGTATAGGAATTAAGAAGAGTGTTTTTCTTTTTTTCCAATTTCCCTACCAAAAGTAAAAATTCATGAAATGTCTTCCTCCTCCCGTTTTAGGACTGGGAAGAGTGTGAGACTGGGATCGCTGACTCTCTGGAGAAACTGCGAACGTTCAAAAGGAAGCTCTCCCAGCCTCTGCCGGATCACCACGAAGAGCTCCACGCCGAGCAGACGCGTTGCAAGGTGCGTCACCGACCTGAGCTTCTCGCTGTTGCCTGTCTGTGTGCTTCTGCTGCGATCACGCCTCCCCTGACCATCTACCTGCCTGTAGATGCAAGTTCCTCGTACATTGCAATGAAAGTGCTCTTTTTAAAGCATCCACATGGGAGAGTCATTCTAGCAGAGGAGTCCAGTTTACAGAGAGAGGAAGTGAGGCTGGGAAGCTTGGAAGTTCTGCAGACAGTGGTCCTGGAGGAACACGCCCTGCGGTCCAGGCTCTACGCTAAAGAAGCAGGAGCGGTGGCTAGCTGATCTCAGTTACTGCATAGAGACACAGTCCTTCCGTTAGTCAGGGCCCTAACAACTTAAAGATTGTGATTGTGGTGTTTCCTCAAAAAATTAAAAATTGAACTGCCATTTGACCCAGTGATCCCATTTCTAGGAATATATACTAAGAAGCCTGAAACACCAGTCAGAAAGAATATATGTACCTCCATGTTCATAGCAGCACTACTTAGAATAGCTAAGATCTGGAAACAGCCCAAGTGTCCATCAGTAGACGAATAGATAAAAAAAGCTGTGGTACATATACACAATGGAGTACTATGCAGCTGTAAGAAAGAAAGATCTCTTATTCTTTGAGATAACATGGAGGGACCTGGAGAGCATTATGCTAAGAGAAATGAGCCAATCATAGAAAGACAAATACCACATGATATCACTTATTTGTGGAATATAATGAGCAACAACAACAACAAAAAAGCTGAAGAACAAAATAGACCCTGAGACATAGAGAGGCATATGGTTCAGAATGATAAACCTCAGAGGAGGCAGGTGGAAGGGATGATATAAACCAAAAAACTTATATGCATGTATGTGTAACTAATGGACATAGATAACAATGCTTGGGGGTGCGGCGAGGGGGGATAGGGAGGAGGGTGTTGGCGGGAGGAAAAAGGAGAAATATCTGTAACATAAATAAATAAATAATAAAAATATTATGATTGACACCTCGAATCACACTCGGAAGCAAATCAGTGGCTAATGCACACCATTCCCTGCCTCGGGAGCTCGCTGAGACCGACATGATTCAGTGGCTGTAGGATCTGTTCCGTTCGCACTTGGAAAGCCAAGGGCAGTGCCCGAACAGCAGTTCCCTCCTGAGCAACATGCAGGTCAAATCAAAACGACCTTTAGAAATGCTTTGTTCCCCAATTATACATGTCCTGGTGTTCCCTGTCCCATGCAAATCCCTGCACTAGAGCAACTCTGTTTAAAACTTCACACATACTTATAAAATTTGGATTTTAGTCCGTTGTCTGCTTCACTCTGGCTGAGCAGATAAGCATTTAAGAATTTTTAAAGAAGTCTAGAAATCATAAAAAGTGTGCATATAAGAATTTTTCCTTGGTTTAAAATTTATAGCAATTCTTTGAAACTTGAGTCAGATTTAGGAAAAATAAAAGGTAGTAAGTATGTTTTACATCATGGATGGTGAGTGAAATATTATCTTGACGTGTAAATTCAGAAGTATGCAAAGATTAAAATGAGTTTGTTTTAAACCTGTGATTGTAGATTCATGGCAAATGATTAAAGAGAACTTCCAATGAGCAGGAATGGGCATTTATTAGCTCCTTCTCTGCGCCAGTGACCACATCAGCGTTATCTCAGTTGGCATGAACACAAGCTCATGAGAACAGTCACTTCCTTTTCACAGATGTGAAAACTGAGACTACTAGAAGCTTAATAACTTTTCGAAGTTAGTAAACATCAAGGTTGCCTGAATCCAAAGGTTTTATTTTTATCATATGGACTCATCTAAGCGAGTCTGTGAGTCCGAAAGAGTTCATTTCTGGTGGTGGTGTTACTTTTTAAGTCCTTACACCAAATCTGATATTTGAGTGGGGGGTTATAAAAAGAGGAAAACCTTTACATTGGTGTGGCAATTTAATATGTTCATGGATATAAACAGAAGTGCGCATATTTAATATACCTGGATGGTTTGGTCTTTCAGCCAAATATGGTTACCATGGGACCTCATATCCCAAAATACAAGTCACTTACACACATGCACTGCTGTTAAGTTTGTAGATTAAAAGGATGCATTTAGGTCCAGCTATCTGCTCCTCTTGCCCCAAACCACCCTTAGCAGCAAAACAAAACAATTACCTGGAAAATTCAGGCTGAAACCTCCTTAGCCTAAATTGCCTAGGACATTAGCCTCTGACGATGCTGTTAATTGCCTTTGCCTTTGGAAACTTGTCTGCTGTGTGAAGAGACAAACAGAGAGGGAAAAGCCAAGTGAAATGTTCTATTTATAGGCTAAATTGGCTGGAATCTAAAATCATCAAGAGCTGGCAAAAATTGTGAGTTATACAAATTGCAAAATCTGTTCAAACATTGCAAAAACTAATGTTGACTTCTTCCAATATTGTTTTATGAATATTTTTTAAAATTATTCCCCCCAAATCAGAAGACATATGTTTGGACAAGTTACTTAAAGAAATCTCTAATCCTGCAGAAAACACTTTCAGTCCATTGTTTTAAATTGAGTGAATACAGCCACAGAGCTTTCCAACTATTACATTGTAAATCCGTGTCACAGAATGTAGCAATTCATAGTGTTTGAAGAAGAAAGTTCAATCTGGGAGTTTGAGTCTTCGAAAAATATTTTATTAGCATGATCGGTAACTCAGAACAATAAAAAAAAAAAAAAGGATGGGCTAGGAGTTAATGAAGTCAGTTTAAAAATAAAGAAAATAAATGGGGCCATGCAACTTCAGCTCTTCAATTTAGAAAATCCAATCAAAAACAATCAAGGGAATGATAAGTAGATGGCAGAAAGATTCTGTAAGCAAAGACACATTTTCTCAGAACTTGGCAAAGTATCAAATGATGCAGGAAGGATATTAACTAGATACCAAGTTAGATGTTCGAACAGAGTGGAGTGGAAAGATAATTGTATCAAGAAGGGATTTCAAATATACTTCAGAAATCACTGAGGATGAATGTCCATGGATATTCAAGTTTGCTTGTTTTGTGTTTGTTTTTTAAATCTAGGAATTGGAAAGTGCAGCGGGGAGCTGGACAGATGACTTGGCGCAGCTGGCACTGCTGAAGGACACCCTCTGTGCCTACATCAGTGCTGATGATATCTCCATCCTGAACGAGCGTGTGGAGCTTCTGCAACGGCAGTGGGAAGAACTGTGCCACCAGGTGAGATGAACTTTAGACTCAGCATTAGCCCAGAAAGGGGGAAAACTGGGAGATGATCGAAATGTCAAGTAGCATGGCCCACATTCGAACCTGTCCCATGACTCAGAGTATGTACATAGGAAGAAATCTGTTATTAAAAAAATATTTCAGATGAACTTTGGGCGATAGGAGCATGATAAAATGTGCAGATAATGTTTTGTTGAGTTGTACACTTGAAACATGTATGGTTTTGTGAACCAATGTCACCCCAATAAATCTATTTTTTTTCTACTTATTATCAGATAGAGTGGGAGGGAGGGGGAGAGAGAGACAGAGAGAAACATTGACATGATAGAGCCACATCTACTGCTGCCTCCTGCACAACCCGACCAGGGCCAGGGATGAACACAGCCGAGGTACTGCTCTTGACCGGAATCAAACCTGCGACTCATTGGTCCGCAGGCCAACGCTCTAACCTCTGAGCCAAACCAGCCGGGACATCACCCCAATAAATTTAATAATAACATATTTCAGATGAAAACAAATTATGTCTTACCATTGTATGTGAGATTCATTCAAACTAGATTTTGCTCTCTCTTTCACTGGCTGGCATAATAGTTTTAAGAGGAAACACAATTTTGTGGTTGTGGTTTTGCTCGGTAGATATTGGCAGTCAGTTTCTTACTTTAAACATGTGAAAACCATTGTTTTATGTGCAGTTTTAGATAATACTGTGGAGCTGGTATGTACATGCACATTAATTGTTACTGTCGATTTATCATGGTAATTTTTAATGATTCAAGGTTCAGCCCTGGTCGGTTTGGTTCAATGGTTAGAGTGTTGGCCCATGGACTAAGGCATTGTGGGTTCAATTCCCAGTCATGGGCACAAGCCTGAGTTTCAGCTTCGATCCCTCACCCTGGTCAGGGTCCTGTGGGAGGCAACCAATCAATCTATTCCATGTGTCTCTCTTAAATTGATGTTTTCCTCTTTCTTTCTCTTTCTCCTCCTCCCTCCCTCCCTCCTTCTCTTCCTCTATCTAAAAATCAATGGGAAAATATCCTCAAGTGAGGATTAGGAAAAACGAATAATAATAATGATAATAATTCAAGGTTCATGGCATTTTTATGTGTGCAACATCTTGAAAGCGATCCAGGTTGTGTTTGACTTGGGAATGAAAGGAAAAGATTAGTGGAAAGGCAATGAGAAGACATGCAAGGCAAAAGGAATAACATTGATTAAAAGCCCACAAGTGAAGAATAGGCCCTGACCGAGGGCCATGACCATACCCTCCCAGAAGTGTTCTTTCCTGTACCTGGCTGCCTTGCCTGGCACATGAGGGGCTGTGATGCATATTTTCTCAGTGAATCAGGCACAATAATTATTGTGAATTTCACAAGCGATAGTAGACGTCGCTATGATCAAGTTTACAATTGAGCTGAGACTAAAATGAGTTCAGAAGAATCTATCCAGTGAAGGAAACCCTGGGCATAAACAAGTTGAAACAACATGTAAAGATGTGAGCAACTGAGGGCAGTGTGGATTGCAGAGGATAAAGAACATGCTTGTTGGAGAGGGCAAAGCTTGAACTGAGATGGGGAGTGGAGGCGGCGTATTGGTCTAAGAGGGTACACGCAGATGTGTGGGACCCGCTACTGCCTGAAGAGGGCGGAGCGGAGGACCTGCCTGGGGGAGGAGCAGATGTTGGGAGGATGAAGGAGGGACATTGGAGAAGGAGCCTCTTGGTAACTTCCTCCGACAGAGATCTCCTCTCTCCCCTCCTCCCACTTCCTCCAACATTAGCGATGCTTCTCTTCATGCTTCAGAAAACATGAAACAGCGTTTAAGAGGTTTGTAGCCTCTCGGATTCACTTAACAGCAACAAGAAATGTGTTGGTAGGTAAATTGCTCTCCGTACGTTTAGAACAAAACCCAGACATTTCTCAGGCCATGAGCAAGAGGAAAATTCTGGAGCACACTTGATAAATGTGTGAAAAGTTTCCTACAAATACACGCTATGCTTTCAAAAAGGAGAAATGTTAAGAGATGGGTTTCATACACATGCTAAAGATTTCAGTTCAAAATGAAGTAGCCCCTTTTCACAAAGCTACGCATTCTTGGTGAAGACAGAAATGTACCTGGAGTGTGACAACGTCAATCACAATATTTCATTCTTGTCTGAATTCTTCAATCCCAAATCAAAACATTACCGTCCAGTAAATTACATAATTTTTTTAATGTAAAGATTTATGCTGGCATGTCATGGAAACAAAACCTAATTTGGATACAAATAACGGGAAGTGAGGACAGCATAGGTTAGTTAGTATTTTAATGAGTGGTGTTCATGTGTTTCTCTCGAAATTCAGAAAAGTCCAGCACTACTTGCTGACTCCATACATGATGTGGAATGCTTCGGACTACACTCATTTCCCTGGCTCGCTGCGGCCGGCAAAGCTTTCAGGGAAATGACACTGGAGAGGGTTCTCCAACTCCCCCTTCCCCGCGGCCCGTGCCGTCCTGGTCGGTGCATGCTCCTCTCTTCTCCTGTTACTGTTTATGGCTTGATTTGCAGACTATGAAGTTCTTGAGGACAAAAGTTACCGTTTTTTATTTCCAGTGCATAGAACAGCTAAGTGTTCACATGCTAGTAATTTACACACACACAAAGGTGACCACGTGAGGGGATGTATGTGTGAGCTGATCTTGTGGCAATCATCTCTCAATGTATACATGTGTCAAATATCATCACGCCGTTCACCTGAAACGTACACAATAGTATATGTCGATCATATCTCGGTAAAGCAGGAAAAAGAAGGTTTAAAATTGCTCACCTGATTTCTACAGGGTGAGGCAAAAGCAGGTATATGGTTTATGAGTACAAGAAACAATTTATTCTTGTACTATTATGTATTAATTGTTGCATTCTTTTCCATACGAACAGCTGTAAACCTACTTTTGCCCCACCCTGCTTATAGACAACAGTCTGTTTGGAAACCCATTTTCAAAGCTGCTGGTGATCATGTGATATGCCATGAAGAGATGATTACCAAAAAAAAGCAGGTTGACTAATGTTTCTAGAAACTTTCTGTATTGAGAGTCTTAAGGCATGAAGCTAAAACACACTTATCTCCCATTACTTCAATCAAAGAAAACTGATTTGGTCACCCCAAAGGTGCCAGGGTAGAACTGTAAGGAGGAATACAGATTAGTCACTAGTTTTTGAGTTAGTGTTTCCGGAGAAATTCTATCAAGTATGAAACCACAAAAGGAAATGAGCTGGTGCCGATGTCTCGGTTTCAAAGTCACAAACGTGTTTCAAACGTGGCACCGTCCCTGTGTGGAGAGCAAGCGGTCTGCTTCTGTTCCAAGGGGAGCTGTTGGCGAGCAGGCAGGGCTGAGCGGACAGATGAGGGTGTACCAGGCGTGCTGTGAGTAGACAGGGAAGAGTTCCTCTAGAAAGGTGGTGTTCTCCGATCAGCCCAAGTGCCCTGCTGTGAGTGTGTGTCACAGCTCACATTTGCTTTTATTCCTGTGTTGGTTTGTGGATCTGCGTGTAATTCTAGTGGAGGTATAAATAGATCATCATGGTCATAGCTCAGTGGTTTGCAAATTGTCATGGTGAAAATATATGAAGTAGAAAAGGATGTGTTTCCTGTTCAGCTGCCTCGCGCTGGAGGTCTTAGCCAGCGCTTGTCGGCTGTTGGCAATGCAATGTGTTCATACCCCTGAGAACATGTACGGGCTCAGCTGGTAAATTTGAGGGTTTCAATTGAACCCCAAAGAGATGTTAGCGTTCCTTTGTCATGCAGCCTAAATGTTAGTTTTACAAACCAAAAGGAAAAGCCTGTCGCCATTATGAATTAAATCTTTGAACAGCTTTTGGCGCCAACTGGCAACCGGTGCTTGGAACCTACCTGTTTCTCTTTCAGCTCTTGCTCCACGTAAGCAAATAAACACAACACTTCTGGTGTTAACACTAGAGATATATATTCGAGCTGCTTGGTGGAGATATTGACTATATGAATGTCAGGGAGAAAAAATAATGAAAAACTCAAGTGATGCACAGCAGTAGTATATTAATGACCCGCTTTTGTTAAGTCTTTTGTATTTACTAGTCGTTTAAGAAAATTTTATTCTTTGCATTTTTTTATGAGCCAACTGTATTCTAGTACATAGGACAATGCTTGGTACATAGTAGATACTTGTTTGCTGCAAACAATAAACATTTTTAATTGAATTTATTGGGTTGACCTGGATTAGTAAAATTATATAGGGTTCAGGGGTACAATTCTATAATACAGCATCTGTATATCGTATTGTGTGTTCACCACCCCAAGTCAAGTCTCCTTTATGCTGTTTCACCTTCCCCATCCCTTTTCTCTCTGGTCATCACCATGCTCGTAGACAATAAACATTTGTGGAATGAATTTTGGAAGCAATGTAGGATTAATCTACAAATGAAGAAAGTAAGGCTTAGAGAAGATGAATAACCTTGCCCTAATCATATCATGAGTAAGTGATGAAGACTGTTTTGAATCTCGGCTGCGTCTGGCTATTTGATCATAATGCTACATTACAGTCTGTATCAGAGACTCAAGCTTTGCTGGTCCTACCTGGTACTACTATAAACAAAGACCTCAGATGTGTCTCACCTTCTCTTTCCCTGCCTCTCAAAGAAATAGATAATGTTTTTCTATTGTATGGTCATCTTTCCTGCAGATGTTGTTGAGAAAAGCCCTAGAGTTCACTCTGGCCCATGGCCAAGATTTGGGGGAAGAGGAAGGGAGAAGCTAGACATAGCGAGACCTGCTCATCTTAAGTCTCAAGGGCAGGAATTTCTATTCTTGAAAAATGGTTGCTTTGAGAAGTTCCAATTAGGAAAATTTAGTTTCAGCTTGGACATCATTGAACCAGAACCATCAACCACATTCCTGACTCTGTGAATGAAAACGAAAAGTCACCCGGCCAGTGTGACTCAGTGGTTGAGCGTTGACCCCTGCACCAAGAGGTCTCTGGTTCAATTCCCCGACAGGACACATGCCCAGGTTGTGGGCCCGATCCCCAGTGGGGGGCATGCAGGAGGCGGCCAGTTGGTGTTCTCTTTCATCGATGTTTCTGTCTATTCCTCTCCCTTCCTCTCTTTCTAAAATCAATAAAGAAACAAAAAAGTCATATCCACCAGAAAGTTTAAAACCTTAGGATACTGTACATCAGGCCACCAGAGTTCAAGGAGGAGGAAGTCTACTCTGATCTTCAGTGCTGTGTTGGAATTACTTAAATTTGTCTCCCAAACTTTTAAACCTGTGTTTTCATAGCATTTTCCATGCCCACCAGTGTCCCCATCCAGGTAAATTCACTGCTCTTTGGCTGTTCTGTATTTTTGTGCCCGAAAGAAAACTAGCTGTTTTAGGAAAGTACAACGATCCTGTATCGTATCTCCACTGAACCAACTGTAGTGTGACGCTGGGTTGTCAGCTGGGTTGTCAGCACTGTGACGAGTGAATGTGCCCGTGGCCCCTCGGGAGGGCAGGACAGGGTTCACCGTGCCCACCTGTTTGACAGCAGGTCCTGTCGTGGAACCATGCGAAGAGCAGTGTCCGGGGCTGTAGCACAGGGAGCACACCCGAGCAGACGCACTGTTGTTCCTGTTGGTCCACCCGACGGCGCCGGCCCCGCAGGGTAAGCGCTGCACTCTGACCACCTCTGCACCGTCTCTCCCTCACTCTGCAGCTCTCCCTGCGGCGGCAGCAAGTCGGCGAGAGGCTGAACGAGTGGGCCGTCTTCAGCGAGAAGAACAAGGAGCTCTGCGAATGGCTGACGCAGATGGAGAGCAAAGTCTCCCAGAACGGAGACGTCCTCATTGAGGACATGATAGAGAAGCTGAAGAAGGTACGCAGGGGCGCCCGGCTCTGCCTGCTCTCGCCTTCCTAGTGCGTCGGGCACTCTGCTCGGCCACCCGGGGGCCTTGCTCATAATTACTTTCACTCTACTGGAAAGGTTTTCTCTTCTTTATGTAAAATACACTTTCATGGAAAGGCCTCCTTTACTCAGAAATATAGAATATTTTGTGAGTTTGTTTTTTTACCTTAAAATTGTATGTTTCGATGACTGTTCATATTCAGTATTATTCTGTAATAGTTTCGGGTGGAGGGCATAGTGGTTAGACAGTCATCTACTTTCAAGGTGTCCCCCTGATATTCCCAGTACCCACTGGCCCTGCACATAGTTATTACAATATCATTGGCTGTATTTTCTATGCTTTACCTTTCACCCCCAGGACAGTCGTGTAGCTGCCAGTTAGTACTGCTCAAACCCTGTACGGTTTTCACCCTCCCCCATCTCCCTCCCCCTGGCAGCCATCAGCATGTCTTCTGTATCCATGAGTCTGTTTCTGTTTTGTTTGTTCGTTTAGTTTGTGCCTTACATTCCACATGTAAGTGAAATCAAATGGTATTTGTCTTTCTACGGAGAATATTTTCAATTTGTTATGAAAGAGATTGTTTGCTGATGATGTTCAATATTTCAGAGTTTTAGTTACCTGTCAGTGGACATTATTTATGTGTAGGAGGTAACATCACAAGAGAACTAAACAACAACAACAAAAAAATCTTGGGATCAACTAAACTGACATTTCTTTATAAAACATGATTTATAGATAGTTATAAGAAGGAAGACTTCTCCGAGAATTTTGATTTAATACTATTTTCAAGTTATATGTGGTTATTAAAGTATTTTATATGTTCATATGGATTCAGAATATTTTATGCATGTATAGGACTGCTCAATTGACTAGCATTTAAAATATTTTTGAAGATTTTAGTGGTATTTTCACATTGTTTGGAAAAATCATTTAATTTTAATTTATGTTTCTCATTAGCACATATCACCATCTGATATACAGTGTTTTCCCTATTTTCTTGTTCATTATCTGTTTACAGAGGGAGCCCTGCTGGGCTCTCAGCTTTCCTGGAACAGGGAATTCATTTTGTTCATTACTTTATCTCCTTCACCCAGAATAATGCCAACTTCTCATAAGTATGCAGTCAAAATTTATTGAATAAATCAATTATAGCTCTGTTTATTCTGAAAAGAAATAGAAATGGGTACTAGGATAATTTCTCTTTATCCTTGCATACATACACAGAGAAAAGAAAACTCCCAAGCCAACATGTAATATTTACTTTATAGGTTTTCACTTAAAATTGCAAACTCTAAGGATAAATGTTTGTATATTTGATACCATAGCCCTTTAAGATGTGGGCTGAGATGATGAAGAGCTCATTAGGCACCTGCTAACAGCTCTGCACTTCGTCAGTTTCTTTCTGCGCATCAGAGAATGTTCCACTGAAGTTTGCTATAGAATAAATGTTGGCTATATAGTTTCATTGATTTTCTTCATGAAGTTAAAGATGCCTAGTTTGGGAGTATGGAAATAACTAGCTCTTGAACAAAATGTAGTTATAACTTAAAATTTAGAAAAAAGTTTTGGCTTTTCACAGTTAATTTTGTTCCGCTATTTGGCACAATGTGAGGAATCATCTTTAAAATATTAACTCTACTATTTTGATTTTTTTAAAAATATGTTTTTATTGATTTTTAGAGAGAGAGAGGAAGGGAGCGGGAGTGAGACTTAGAAACATGGATGAGATAGAAACATCAATTAGCCGCCTCCTGCATGCCCCCTACTGGGGATCAAGCCCGAAACCCGGGCATGTGCCCTGACCAAGAATCGATCCACTATCCTCTTGATGCGTGGTCAACGCTCAACTACTGAGCCACACCAATCAGGCTTAACTCTGCTATTTTGTATATAAGTTACGGGATTTAAAAAGAAGTCTTTATGAGCTTGCCTCTTGTGCTATTTCTTTGTAAAGGAAAATAACACTGAGGCTTGTAATTTGGGCAACATAGGAAAAGCAATTAATAAATAGATTGTAACCAAGATATTGGTGTCTACTGGCATTAACACCTCAAAATATTTTAATCTAAGGGACAGTCCAAGAGGATTTTTTTGCTATAAATACTATTTTAGGCTTAGAGTAATTTATTTTTAATAAATATTTCTCAATAAAATTATCCCAAATTAATAGTGAAAGATTATACATATTAGTAAACACACCCAATGTTTTGGTCTTTGAATTCCATTGTGTTGAGGTAATATAAGAGGGGGGTAGGTGGGGATACAGCCTGAGGGTAGTACTCAATTCTGGGATAAAGTAAAATTTCACTGGCTCTCTCATTTCTTTGGTGGAGGGTGCTTTGTGCTTAGGCAACTGACTTGAGAAGGTAGTTCTGTTACCACACTGACTCTAGAGCAACAGAAGGTTAAAATGTCCATGCTCCTATAATACCTGTCTTCACATATTGTGTTACTGAGAAAAGATTTGCTGTAGAACAGAAGCTTAGGTCAAAACTGAAAAGGTTGATTCGAAAGATTGGGTGTTGTCACTGTGGAAGAGGATACGAGGGTCACTGGACAGGGGTGCAAATAGAGGCGGGGGGAAGGCACCTGTCATCATCACTTTAATCACACCATTTAGTGGGCTGTCTCTTGCAGACAGGCCACGTGGAGCCCATTCTCCTTATCCACCGCACACTCTAAGAGGAGCTAGTGCAGAAACTGGGTAAATGAAGAAAGTGTGAGACCCATGGGACCCTCTAAGACTAGTGGTTATTATTCTTGAGAGTTCATTTGCCATTGATTTACGTATTATAAAATATTGACGTTATAGTGAATGTCTGTTTAAAATGAAGGTACTCTTAAAACATTCTGCACAAATAGCAATCGACACACGTGTATTTACATATATACATACATTTCCGTTGCACACACACACACGCACCTCGAATAAGCTATTTGTGGTTATTTGTATGAGGTCCCATTCGAAACAAAACATCAGGTTGGTGGTTACAGCAATAAGGTATACTTTCCCAGCATTAAAATTCTTCAAGTTTTACCTTTTGTATCTATGAATATACTTTTATTTTCTAATGCCCATTTTATGTAAATAGAAAGCACCCTCCATTCCCCTTAAAAATATCTATATGGAAATTCACTGTGCACTCTGCATACAAACTGAAAATAATAGGTTCCACTCCGTCTTGCACACATGGGCGATGTTCACACGGTGTTCCTCATGCCCGAACTACTTCCAAGCAGTGGAAAACTGTAATTATCCTGTTTTCAGTAGAGCCCGGCTGCGTGTATCAAGAATATGCTTTCTGACCTCTGTGATTGCTACTTATGATGCAGGATTATCAAGAGGAAATTGCTGTTGCCCAAGAGAACAAAATGCAGCTCCAACAAATGGGAGAGCGACTCGCTAGAGCCAGCCACGAAAGCAAAGCCTCCGAGATCGAGTACAAGCTAGGCAAGGTCAACGACCGGTGGCAGCATCTCCTGGACCTCATGGCCGCCAGGTAACAGGGACCCTCCTCAGCAGGACGTGTGTGCAGAATTTCAAAGCCTTCAGCCCGCCTGGCCTATCAGTTTACAGATAATCCAATATGTCTCTCCGTCCTGTTTATCCCACCATTTTAGTTCACCCTCTTCTCCTAAATGTCACTTTCATTATCTTCAAACTTCTCTTAATTTCATCGAGTTGGTGGTGTTTGCATTTATCTGAAAAAAAGAGAACGTCATAGCCTATCAAAATTTATTCCCAGGAAAAAGTTCTTTATTTCAAGCCTTTATGGGTACTCAGCTGCCTCCAAGGGAGGAAATGAAACAGGTTTGCAGTGGGGAAAAAAGGAAAGTTATCGTATTCCTGCTATGTTTCTGGTTAGCAAGGAATAACCGTAATCCTCGCCACTCTGCTTAGTTGTGAAAATGACCCGCTGCTCTATCGTAATTGTGTGCTTCGCGCTAATGACAACTAAAAGTGTCTGCCGCATACCTAGAGGAATCTTACATTCAGTTTCCATGGCAGAAGGGCAGGGTGAGTAAAACAGTAAAAGTCAAAAATAGAAATACATAAGGGCCTTTGCTAGCACATGAAAGTCTGATACGATTGAACGAGGCACTACAGTGTTTCACATAAAAAGAGGGAATGAAAGTAGATGCTTTATTTTAAATATTCTTTTCTTTATTGATTTGAGAGAGAGAGGAAGAGAGAGAGATAGAAACATTGACTAGAGAGAACATCGATTGGCCCCCTCCTGCATGCCCCCCACTGGGGATCAGGCCCACAACCTGGGCATGTGCCCTGACCGGAAATTGAATTGATGACCTCTTGGTGTATGGGTCGACACTCAACCTCTGAGCCTCACCAACTGGGCTAGATGCTTTATGTTAGATGAACTCATGTTCATGTTTGAATGTAGACTCGATGAGGGCAGGGACCTTTGTTTATCCTGTTCATTGTGCATCACAAACACCAAGGACAGTGCCTGGCTGTAATTTAGGCTCAATGAATATTTGAATGAGTGAATGAATGAATGAATGCTTGAATGGATATTCTTTATGGCAGTTAGGAAACTTAAATGTAACAAATGCTTTTGATTCACAGCCATTGTGGAGCTATCCCCCAAAATTTTAAATTTTTTAATAAAAAAAAATATATATTTTTACATTCAGTATTATGTTGTATTAGTTTTAGGTGTACAGCATGGTGGTTAGACAATCATATACTTTACAGAGTGCTCCCCCGATATGGCCGGTACCCACCTGGCACCATGCGTGGTTATTACAATACTACTGACTGTTTCCCCAGGCTCCACACCCCGTGACCGTTCTGTAACCACCATCTGTACTTCTCAGTCCCTTACCGTTGTCACCTGGGTTCCTTGCCTCGGCCATGCTGCATGAAGGTGACCAGGAAATAGCACCTTTTGAATACTGTGTGCGCACACAGACTGCATGTGGGCATGACCGTTCCATATGTTACGTTTGAACATTTCCTGTACTTTTTCTATAAGGGAGTTATCAAAGAGGACTGAATTTAAGAGGGTGAGGTTGTCGTCTCTTTTATGAAACAAAAATGGAATAAATGTTTATCGATAGGGTGTCCCAAAAAATGCATACACAACTTTGAACAATTATAAAGTCAGTGTTTATTAAAATACATTTCATTTTCAACCTGTAATAGAATCTACAGACACTCTGTGTACATTTTGGGGGGGCACCCTGTATTTTCAAAATGTGTAACAATAGTGCTGTAATAGCTAACTCTGTTGAACCCTCAGTTTGGCCTGTCGGCCAACATTATAGCAAATGAAGTAAGTGCTTCTCAAACTCGTGCTTATTTATAACTTTAATGTCTGGTTGTTCAAGGAAGAATTTTCTACATGTTGTTTGGTTTATTTAAAAAACAACAACACACACACACATTAGTAAACCTGAATCAATTAGATATTTTTAAGGTATACCTAGTTTGCACTACAGTCACTACAATGCCCTTAGGTTTCTACTTCTGTGGGAGACGACTCCTCACACGCAGATAGAACTCCCGTGGGAGACTCTGGTGTACATGTTGTCCATTTCTAACTGCCTCCTTCCAAAGTAGACCGGGTCATGTGCTGAGCGTTGGTTTGTCCTGGAGTTTTTAATACCACACTGTATTCGCAGTGTCCTTGAAGCATTTCCTAAATGACCTTTCATCGCATTCGCCTTCCATCTTCTTGTTTACCGGAGCTTCACCAGTGCGCAGACTAAATGGCCTTTTCCCACACCCATCTTCGAATGTGACCTGGCAGCTGAAATATCAAGTTTCCATGATTCAGTCTCATTCACAGCTCTTCCCCCTTCCAACATTTTTGCATACTGATTCATTATAACGGCATAACCTAGTTATGCCTTTTGACATTTCTATGTGTTTTGATGCTCTTGTGGGAATGGAAAGGCTGTTTTTGAAGATGATCATACTCCCAGGTGAACAGCTTCCCAGCTCACGGAAACATGAAAAAGAGAAAGAGGTTGGGTGGTTGGCCCACCAAGCAACATACAGATCACGAATCATAGAAATCTGCACGTGAAACCTATCTAATCTTATTAACCAAATTCACCCCAATACCTTTAATAAAAATAACTAAATAAAGAGAAGGATAAGAAAAGAAAAAAGAAAAAGACAGACAGAGAGGAAAAGAGAAAAAAGATTCACGGATACTAATTCTACTACTGCATACAAATAGAATGCATACTTGTGAGTCAGCTTCCAATCACCAGTAGATTAACTTAGAGCATTCTGAGTACAAAATAGATGTGTGTTACATTGAATTTTTAAATTGTCACCAAGTATTATCAGTATTTTAGGGCAGCACAGTTTGCTCAATTACGTTCAGGGCTCAATGGTTAATGTGTTAGTATGCTTTCTGTACTTTCCGGATGTGCTCAGTCCAGTATGGTAGTCACTAGCAACATACGGCTATTTAAATTTACTGAAGCAGAATACAATTAAATTAGAGTTTAATTTTAATTACAGTTGGTTACACTGGCCACATTTCCAGTGTTCAATAGCCAATGGGGATGATGGCTCTGTTTGGATACTGCAGATACAGAATATTTTCATCGCCCCAGAAAGTTCCATTGGTCAGCGCTGGCTAAGATCATTGAAAGCATGTCTGAGCCCTCGGTTTTCATCAGGAGTCAACATAAGAAAGAGTCACCACTTTAATTTCTATAAAACTGTCTTCAAGGAATCTGGCTTTCATTTTGTCACACGGCAGTTTTTCTAGAGTTCAGGACTGACAGAACCCCTGCTTTGAGCGTAGATGTTCTGTGCTTATAATCAACACCGCACCCGAGCACTCCTGTCTCAGGATCTAGGAATGTCAACTGAAACTATTTGCTCTGTTACAATAACTTTAAAAAACAACAACTTGGTTCTCTAGTATAAATATATTCTTCCTCCCTTTCTCAAACCTACGTCTCCACCAAAACAGAAGCACATTTATTTGACTTCTTTTTTAAAAATAACAGCTTTATTGAGATGTAATTCACGTACCATCCAACTCATCTATTGAACGTGTACAATTCAGTGATGTTTAGTATATTTGCAGTGCTGTGTGTCCATCACCACAATCAATTTTAAAATATTTTCTTTACCCCCAAGTAAAAACCGTTGCATAGTAGCTATCAGTTTCCCCCTCCACTCTCTCCCCTTACCCCAGCTCCAGGCAGCCACTAATCTGCGATCTCTCTCTGTACATTTACCTGTTCTGGACAGTTCATATACATGGAATCATGTGATAGGAATGGTCTTCTGTGACTGGTTGCTTTTAATCTGTGCACTTATTATGATTCTCTTAAACACTATGGAAGTAGAGTGAAACAATTATGGTATTTTTGTAAGACCTACCCCACGCCTCCTGTGGATGAAGCACCGTGCATGCTCCTCTAGGGCAGAGTTTGTCGAACTTTCTGCCCAGGACCAGAGAGTCGATATTTTAGGTTCTGTGGGACCAAGGGTCCCTGCTGAAATCCCTCTGCCACTGTCTTGCAAGGGCAGCCGTGGAGACCCAAACAGGACGTGTGGTGGGTTCCCATAACATGCATTCACCGAAACAAGTAGGCAGCTGCAGTTTGCTGACACCTGCTCTCAGATATTGAAGATGAAAATGGAAATGATAAAGCATGTGTCTCCTCACCTTGAGGTCTTCCTTTGCTGTCACACCGCTCCGGCCCCTGCCCACCTGGGCCGCGGCTCCTCACTGTCCACGGCCTTCCTGTCCTCCGGATGAGCTCGATGCTTCTTCCCTGCTCCCTGGGCTTCTTCGCTGCATTTCCCTCGCCTGTGACAGATCCTCTGTGTGGTCAGCTGATGAGCATTTCTCTTCTCTGGGAAAATGTAAGGGTATCTCACCTGAGCACCAGCATGGTCCCAGAACCTAACAAACAGTTCCTCGCACACAGTGGTCACGCCAGTGTCTGCTGAGTTTCTCTGATGGAAGACACAGGATAAAAAGTGCCATATACAGAGAAGAATAAAGCAGAGCTCAGCCTTAGGGTTTAGACCACCTGAGTTACAGTGTGTTTCTGCTTCCCCTAAACTGTAACGTTCGGCAACTTACTTATCTTTCCAGTATCTCGGTTACCCACGTGCAAAGGTTATTAGGAGGAGAAAATGAGGTAGTACCTGTAACCCTCACAGCTCAGTGAAATGCTCACTGCACAGCACCCCTCATCCCAGAGGGAGGTCAGAGGCTTGGCCTCGGAGGGAGGTCCCCTCGTGTAGTGCAGGAAAGCCGTCATGAAGCAGTAGCCGCTGGCCTCAGATGGTTTTCAGTCTCACGGGAGTTCTACCCACACAAAAGGAAAAAGAAAACTTCGTCCTTGGAATGTATGGCTGTTAACACCTCACAGTGGTCAGTTCCGAGATGTCTGGCCAAGATCAGGCGTGTTGTGGTGCAGCAAGCATGGAAACAGCACAAAACTAGAGTCCTGAGTTTAGTCTCGCAGTTCTAGCTGCATGACCTGGGATTCA